TCTAATGTGTCCCAGTCTATCTCTAATGTGTCCCAGTCTATCTCTAATGTGTCCCAGTCTATCTCTAATGTGTCCCAGTCTATCTCTAATGTTTTCTAATCCCAGTCCCAATCCCAACCCCAATCCCAATCCCAATCCCAATCCCAATCCCAATGCTCTCAAACCGAGTAGCCTCGATACATCACTACTCTCGAGTTTCAATGAGATCAATTTGCGCCGCCACTAGAGGAAGAAGCTAGAATAATATCAAAGACAGTTTGGTCAAAAACCCTCTGCAGACCGTACAGGATATTGCCTCCACCAACTTTGACGTTCTCTTTCGCAGTATTCATGTCTTTACCAAAATGATGGCCCCATTCTCTCAGATCGTTCCAACTGATTGGGACGCCTCCCTTCTGCGCAACAGCTTGCTGCGCTAAAGCCACACCGTCCTGCAAATTCTTCTCTGAAATCATCCCGGTTCTGCGAAGCTCCTTTCTGATTTTGTCCATTTTTCCTGCCAGGTTAACACCAAAGTGTCCATGAGCCACATAGAGTCTCGTGCCACGGTAGATGAGTCTATTACTCCTTGTGGAAATCCATGTTCGGCTACCGCTTGGGATAAAACGCTCAACTGCCGTGTTCATGTAATTCGGTGCTAGTAAGTGCGTATTGGCCGAATAGACAAGCGAAATAGCGGTCCGTAGCGCTATTTGTATTGCCCTGGACGTTCCATCGGTAAAGAAAAAGTCGCAGTCCTCGGTTACGCCCACAGGGCCTCTTGACCCCAAAGCGAGTGTGGAAACGCCACCCATGACATTGATGATGACTGGATGTGTGATTCTTCGGTCCCGCGCTAAAATATCGTCTATCTGTTGGAATACTATGGCAATGTAAGTTGGACCCTATCAATTGTAGGAGAGAGAGCTTACTCTCGATCCAAGTCGCGATTGGGATTGCAAATCGGTCACCAGACATTCGTTTGGCGACTTCTCCAACCTCACGCTTTTGTTCAGGTTTCGAATCATCTTTCTTCTTGTCCTCTTTCTTTGGTTTCTCCACGGGCTTGATCATGACTGGTTTCTCTCCCTTGTCCAAACCATACAATGCCTCATCAAGGTCCTTAGGTGGTGGTACCTTGGGAAGTGGTTTTGCTTTGACTCCTTGCTTTGGAACGTTCAACTTGACAACGGGTGCTTTAGCACCGGGTTTGACGAGTATTGGCTTGAATAACTTCAACTTCGTTTCATCCATCTTTTGGGGCGGTTTCTGGCCAGGGTAAGGTTGCTCCTTCCTTTTGTCATTTGATGATATGGCATCGCGTTTTGAAAGAGGACTCCCATCGACTTGATCGATGCCAATGTCTCGATCTGCATGGAGAACACCGATATCTCCATCATTGTACGCGGGCCATCGGGCTTCAGCTACTTCTCTTTCAGCAATTGTCAGCGCGTAGGACGTCCCAAGATGGTTGTTGAGGACTGCAAGCCCGAGGGCCACGAAGGTAAAGCGCATGGTGATCACCCAGTCCAGGCGTTGGAGAGTCCCGATTGAATGTTTACTGCCCGCTCAAACTATGGGATAGAAGGTGACACCGGCCAGCGGTATCGTAATCAATGGAAATGGAATATGGTTGTTGTGTAGTGATTGTTGACGGACTGTGTGATGATAGCGTTTACGGCTAAAGCCATCTCGTGCTTTATATCTCGATAAGATGGGATGCAATCATCTCGACACAGTTTCGTTCAACAGTGTTACCTCCACCATACCATTCTTATGGCGAGTGACAGCCCGTAGGAAGCCTCTTTCTCCCAAGGACTTCCACGATTCGAGCTCTTGTGGCATCAACTTATTGCCAATGATCAACTTCAGTGACTTTGAAGAGGACAGATACAGATTCTCTCCCGTAGGCAACCCGTCTTATCGAATGAAGTCCACATCCTCAGGTTCCTCAGCCCCAGAAATGGTACATTTTGGCCATGCATAGACGCGGAGATATACTCTCAGGCTCGCTGCATTGTCGGGGATCGAACAGCATTGAAGTACCTGCTCCCTTAAGACACCGGAAGCTCTTGGGGAACCAAACAGATCATACTGCTCTTGTACGTGTCTCTAAGTAGGCTTCGAATGCTTCCTAATCCCCTTGATAATGGTGTGGGCCTATCGCTCTGGAGTCCTTGGACTCTCTCATCGGACATATAGAAATGCGGAAGGCCTTGAATCGTCATCAGAAAGGAGACAGTGTGAAGTCCGCAAATTGTGTCAAGTCTTCGCATTGGATATGATAGGGTAATGCTCTCGTTTAACAGCTCGGGGACATTAGATCTATGATTATAAAACATGGAATAAGGGCATACATTAATCAAGGTATTTGGTACACCTCGCACTACATCCTAACCAAGATAGTGAAGCACGTGGAATCCAAGCTGCGATTACTATCTAGGCGGAATATATTCGTTGCATTTCATGAATCCAAACAGATAATAATCAAACGGTCATAATCCGGCCATATTCGGAATCGTCATGCGTTCTGTGCTTGATGTAGGTCGGCACATTTTCCAGAACAGGGTAGAGGTCCAGGTTATTGCGGAAGTTTCAACGGCACGGGTAAAGGCAGTGTCCGCACAGCATGAGAAAGTATTGGACCATCGAATAACATACTGACCACATTCCAAGAGACCAATACTCCGACGGTTTCACGCCCAAATCGAGTTATCGCTACCAACATACCAGCTGCCGGGATGCAGTCGATGCCAAGATAGGAGACTCATCCTGTAGAGAAATATAAGGTCCCGATATTTTTTTGATTCGTCGAACGTTGTAATAAGGCCTTAGCGAACTCCGGTGGGTGAGGAACATTTGACCGGACTAAGTCTCAGGAAATGCGGTTGAGCGCCAGATATCATACTGGCTTGACTCTACCATTAGACACTCTATTCTCCGCGATCACCGATGCCAATTTCTGGTGAATGGCCTCTCCGGTCCATTTCAATGTGTTTTGGCAATTGCTATTGAGCACTCTGGGAATTATTTTTTAAATTCAATGCGCTTTTCAAAGTGGGTTCTGTACTCAAGCAAGCATCGGTTGTGGAGATAGAACGTTGTCTGGGGTCCGCTTCTCTGCAATATGAAGATCAGGCCCGAGGACGCGCTCAATCTTCTCCAAACGCGCGGACTAGAGACAGTCTATAGGCGACTTACGAAAAGGTGTGCTGATAGGCCAAAAGGAACATATGCGCACGATGAATTGCTATAGGAGGTGCGTAGATGAACCTACAATGATTGCAGTCTTGATCGCATTCGCATTCGACCAACATTAAGAATGTCTCAGTTTGCAACCCTCACGACGGTTCAGGCACGCAACTCGCTTCCGACTTAGCTTCTTACCGTGCCTTACTTGCGATTACAAGGGTTCGAAGCAAGCGTCATTTGTATATCTAGCTAAGAAGAACCCCAAAGCCATCAATTGACGGTGTGTAACGAAGATTCTCATAGTCGCAATGAGACAGGTCCGCTGATGACCGCTCCACTCACGAATCTTGTCGTTCGGATTGGTCTCCGCATCCACATGAGGCATAGAAGACCCTTGCTTGCTCCTGGTTCCCTTTTCATGGCGATTGAAGACGAAGTTTCAATATCCTTTTGTCCCCTAATACTTCCCTAATCGTCCGGCACATCAAGGTTATCATGAAGCGGTTTTAACAGCAACAGCATCCTCGCCTCCTAGATGAATTCTCCTATCCGTAGTAAGATCTACATCAGATGGGTATAATAGTATCCGTCAAGGCCGAGGTTGTCGATTCAAAAGGCCATCTGCACCTATGCCACCAACAACATGATTCAAAGGTACAAAGATCTCATGATATGCGGCGGCTGACTTGGATGGACATTGAAAACCTAGGAGATACCAATCTATCATCGAATAGCTGCTTATCTAAAATAGACCTCAACGTGAGTATGGTCTTTGACATTATTCGATGTCTATAGTTCCTATGATTGTATTGGAACCCATTCCGCCAAGATAGCTGCTCAATGTTGCAAGCAATGATGTTTCTCCAGTCCTTTCCGTATACGATAAAAGGCAAGTTGCTGCACTTCGGGATATGAAGGGAGAGCATTCGTTGCACGCTCTTTGCATGCTCTTGCACAATGTGTTCACAATGCCCCCTCAATGTAATAATGTACATGTATGGAGTACATACATACATATGTGCAGAGCCAATAGCTTCTAGATGTATCCAAGCACCTTGCCACTGGATCGATGTCGTGTCCGCTGGTCCAATGCATGGACTAACCTTGATTAGTCTGCATCGTGTTGCGTTGTTGACCGTTGGGAGATGTTCTAGTTCGATGGAGGTCGATCAACGGATATGTGTAACGACCGCCTCGTAGAAGAGGAAGACGGGTATCGGACTACACTTAGCAGTCTTCACATATAGTTTTAAGATTCTTTTAATTCTCTAAGTAAAGTAGTCATAATAGATGAAGGACGATGAATTCCTGAAAGGGATATCCGGGAATCTGCTTGGCGAGCGCGGGGAATGTATGCGAAAAGACGTCGTCCGGTAAATTAGCGACCTTGCCAACGCATCCGCGCATGTCCAATACAGCGAAACTGCCCCATAAGCCGCACCGCAACAACTAGCCTGATTCCTGTCCTGTCCATTCCGATGTCCACAGCATCATGTATCATGTACTTCGTCACCGCCTACATGCCCGTCGTCCAACTTAAGGGTCATTCGTCTCCTCAACTCAACCTCCCTCGCACCCGTGAAACCGTCTAGCATCAGACGAAACCACCAGGACTTAGGTCTCGCCACAAGATCGTTACCCCTCCCTTGATCGCCCATCAATTTCGCAGGTCGATTGCACCGCGATAATGTGCTTGGATGAGTCCCAACATTGAACCCCAAGAAATGGATGCGGCTCCAAATTGCGCCATCTGCAACGCTCCAGCGTACTCAGAATGCTCATGCGAATCCGAGCGACTGCAAATCGCAGTCCACCAGGCCGAACAGCGGGCCATGGAGGCGAGATTGGCGGAGATAAGGTAGGCACGCATCTACCCGTCGTCTTGTTGAACCGGAGAGAGCTCACCAAGTCAAAGGGACTGGGTCATTGCGCACGCTCGCATGCACATTCTGGGCGCCTTTGAGCGACTGAAGACGACTCGCAAACAGGCACATTCCGCCTATCTCGCATCGTTACCTTACTACACCGTCTATATGCAATACTCTGGGCACCCGCCGATACATCCAATGGCTATTGCACAGTTGCAGGCCCAGATTGGCGAGGCACACGCTGAATTGAAGAGAGGTATCGATGCCGATTGGCGAGCATCGGTCCTCCGCTATCCAGAAGTCCTGGATTATTTCTACAGTCTAGTGGAGGTGCGGATGCCGAGCGATAGGTCACCCCGTGTTAGAGAACCTCCATTTGCCGTCGCGGGATATGCAGACCGAGGGTATGACCATTCAAGGCTAGAGAAGGAAATGAAGAAGAGGAAGCAAAGGCGTGAGAGAGAGGGCTCTGTTGGTCTGAGAGAAGATCAGGTATACTCAGCGGTGGGCCGGCATTTGAGGGGCCCACCTCCTGTGCCGACACCTCCCGTAGGTGGAGGCTATCCTCCTCCACCTGGGAGGTACAATTATTGAGGCCAGCCTTCCACTACTGCACAACTTGTTAACGAGCAATTGTCGCCTGGTAACACTGGAATTTCCATTTCGACTACGAGAGCGGGCCCGATCTGCAAACAAGACTCTGGTGGCCAAGAGTTCCACCCAGAAACGGCTTGATGCCTTTCATTCTTATTCCCTCACATCACGAATAGCTGGTATGAACGCCTTCTTGCCACTGACACAGGATCGATTCTGGTTCCATCATGATCATAGAGCATCTGGATCTCTCTGACCTCACTCATTTCAAACCCGAAGGCTGCAACCTTTTCATCTTTACTCCTTACGCGATACGGTACCACACGATCACTCACGAATGAATCCAATACCAGCATACTGAGCGGCGTTTTTGTCAGAATCCGTAGCAAGCTGGCACTCCTGCGCGGCTTATTGGGAGGTCCCTGTGTCTTGAAGAGCAAGCATAGCGCGGAGTAATTTGTTTTTCTAATCTCTTTGAACGAAATTGGTTCAGTTCTTTCTGTAATTAGCTTTTTACTTCGATACCTCGCTGAATTATCTAAATTGAAACCATTGAATAGGATTAATCACCTTATATAACCTCGAATCATGAAGCTCATTCAGTTGAACACCACGGCTTGCCCCAATTGGTATTAGCGCCAGAATTTACCTAGGCTGTTTGGACCTCGAAGCTAAGATTTCGAGCTTCAACTTTCCCCAGAAACTAATCAACTGCAGCACTACTCAATTCTTCTAGGCTCTCCTCTACTAGACCAATCTACGATAAGAAGCCCATTCAGACTACCTGCTACATCTATCTCCAACTGGGTCCAGCATTACGCGTTATTCCTTTCCCCAGACGTGCCTCGCCATGAGTTCGCAAAAGCAAGGCGCCTACGGCGGCGCAAAAACCGGCGGAGACACACACCGAAAGACCTGGGACCGAGAAGAGTATGCGCAGCGCGCAAAGGACCATGACCACAAGTCGAAGGAGGAATCCAAGGCCCGCTACGAGGCCGCCTTGGCCGGGAAGAAATACCACAGACGAGCGTCGACGCCGCCCGACGTGCGGGCCACGGAAGCGCGACAGGCGAGGCTCGATGTCGCATCTCGAGTCGGGACGACGGTTCTGGTGGGTGCAAGTGCTGCGACGGGGAAGAGGGGGAAGGGCGCGGGTTTCTACTGCGAGGCTTGCGATCTCACGTTCAAGGATCACCTGAGTTACGTCGAGCACTCGAATAGTATACAGCATTTGAGGGCTATTGGACAATCTACGGAAGTTGCTGTGGCTACACTTGAGGATGTGCGGAACCGTTTGCTGTGGTTAAAGCGGAAACGAGACGAAGAGCAGAGGGATGTGGTTGTCGACTTGGATACTCGCTTGGAACGAAATCGATTGACGGAGGAGCAAGAGCAGGAAGAGAAGAGGCGCAAGAGGAGGGAGAAGAGGAAGAACAAGAAGAAGGCTGATGATGATAACGTTATGAAGTACGAAAGCGACGATGACGGCGTTATCCGGTGATCGAAGGTTGCTTGTCAAACATCAAGAGGCTTGCATCAAGTGTGACCTTCCGAGATATGCCATGGTTGCGAATGCTGCGACGGATTGCCATGCCGAACAGTTCGCAGATGATGGGATACTCCTTGTCAGAGTCGGCTAGCCAACATTTTCCCCAAAGATATTCAAGATGATCATTGAGGAATCCAATACCGGAGTGCCATCAGGATTTGTAATATCCCGTGCTGCAACTTGGACAGCCAATCTTGCCAGTACTGTACATGTGGTTGCCAGGACCTCCAGGAAGACGAGTCTGCAACTACGAAACCAAGACTCGTAAAGGAAATTGCATGATTCCAGAAGGGACAAACCCATCCTGAGCATATTCACATCGCGTTGTGCAAGCTCCGTGAAGCTTTGTCCGGGCATTTCCTGTGGAGGTGCGGAGTGCAGGAGGCCTGGGCGCTGTCAGATGGCGTGGGCGAAATGGCGGGGCACAGGAGTCCCTCCTCATTCGGGTCGCGTTGGGGATTCGCCGAATGTGTGATTTCCTTACCTTTGACGCAATCCTTTGATTTCTAAGCCATCGTACCTGGGGAAAATAAATATAATATATATCCGTACTCTGCTCTATCATAAAAGAGACACAATATATTTGTTTCGTCCTTCAAATTGCAACAGAAGTTGACCTCACAACCCCCGACCCACCTCATACTCACATCATTAGTCAGTTCAGAGCTTCCGAAGCTGTTGGATTGATTCATGTAGCTAACTTACCCCAGATTCCCAACGTCACAATGGCAGCTGTCAGCGGCGAGGCTCCCAAGATCACACTCTATACTAACCACCGATGCCCATGGGCTCACCGAGCACACATCGTGATTAAAGAGCTAGGCCTTCCATACGAAGAATCCATCATTGATCTCGACCGACCACGAGACCCATGGTACCTCGAAGTCAACCCTGTATGAACTACCCAGAGACCACATAATCACTACGGTAGATAGCTAAGAGATCCCCAAATATAGCGCGGTCTCGTCCCCTCAATCAAGTACTCCTCAGACTCCGTCAAAGATGAAATCATCACCGAATCCGGCGTCGTCGCGCAGTTCCTCGCGGACGCCCACCCCTCGCACCTCGTCCCCAGCACCGGCGACCCCAAGGCGTCCCTGGCGCGCGCTCGCATCCAATTCTTCGTCGAGACGTGGTTCTCCAAGGCGAATTCGTTTTGGTTCCAGATTCTGACGAAGGACACGCAGGAGGAGAAGGAGGAGCTGTCGAAGCAGCTCGTTGCCGCGGTCGAGAAGGAGATCGAGCCGCTGTTGAAGGACGCGAAGCCTTTCTTTGGGGGTAGCGAGAGGCTTACGCTTGCTGAGGTATGGTTTGGCTGTGTAGATGATCAATTAGTTGTTGTTCTTGTTCGCTGACGGTATCGTTAGGCTCTTACTGCGCCATTTGTCCTGCGTATCTATGCTCTGGCGAAGCATGACATCATTCCGAAGTCCACTTTGTCCAGCTTTGAAGCCCTTCCTAACTTTTCGAAATGGGCCGCAGAGGTCATCAAGCACGATAGCGTCACCTACATTTGGGACGAAGAGAAGGTCATCGCCGGTACCCAAGCAAGGATTGCGAAGCTGAAGGCTCAAGCCAAGTAAGTCCGCCACGTCAGTGAAGGGTAATATGCAAAAGAGTATCGCGGGGTAATTTCATGGAGGGAGATTTCACTTCAGAAGTACACAATCGAAACGAATGAACGACAGTTTTCATTTGCTTTTGCTTTCAAGTTTCGGTGTTGGTTAATCTTTCATTTCAGATTAACATGAATGCTCGACCAAGTTATAACCTAAGCTATGTTTACCATAAAACAAAGAATCCCAACCCGCGAAAACGCCAGCTCTACGAACGAAAAGGTTATTTTGAAATCGTGATTGCCACCGTGAATTGGGTATGTGCCTGCCAGTATCGCTGCATGTTGAACTAGGCCAGAAGGCTACAGGTGTGTTTCGTTACAATAGCTGCCTCCAGTGTTCGTGAACATCATTCCTCATTATCTGGAACCCGTCAGGAACCCGTCAGGACCCAGGGCCCCGACGAAGTCTCTTGCGACGGTGTATCATGTTCTCGTCTCCCGAGCTCAACTGGAGAAGGATCTCCGCTGCGTCAAGGTCGTGTTCACAGTGACGCCTCTCTGGAAGAGACGACCCCGAGTCGGATACGAGATCCATCTCGAAGGCGGAGGCTGTGAATGGTGCCTGGCTGTCCTCTCCATATGTGACTTTTGAGAATGTACGTTTAGCTCTAAAGTCTTCGTCGCTGTATCCGATGGGACAGGATGTGGCCCAATGCTGAGGAGGGCTGTATGTAGGTAACGTTTGAGGGGATTGTGATCGATTGACCGTTGTCCATGTGGTACTGCGGGGTGAGATCTCGGGCGAGAAGAGACCCTTTTCGCTGATGTCCTCATCAGTCCCGTACTCGCTATCTGTATCCGCAAGCTTCAGATGCCGTGCCCTAGTACTCTTTGCACCCCAGGGTGGGAAGGAGAACTTCAGGTGTGGAGTTCGGGGGCCCATCATGTCGGGACTGGAACTCATTGCTGGATTCCTGCCTGAACTCAATTTCTTCTTCCACTGCTTGCAATCCTCCGCGCAGAATTTGACAATCTCTGGGTTGATTACGAATTTGCCAAACGTGGGGTCTTTGGGGTGGATGCACATGGACAGGAACTCGTATCCGAAGACGGGGGTTAAAGCGTGCCGTATGTTGTAGCAGAATGTGGCGGCAATCGCTTTCGCGGCTTCGTAAGGCAACCAGTAGCCTAGATAGAGTGAGTACTTGTTGCCATATAGCATCGCGGCATGGGGCTCGGTCACTTACCTTGTGCTGCCAGTGCGCCACCAGTGATGCTATAAGAGATCTCTCGTAGGCCAGGGTTCAAGCTGAGAGCTTTTGCCGGTGTTGTCTAAAATCGTAAGAATGAAGCTCAGGACGTGAAGATCTTCTACTAACCTTGGAATATTTGCAGCACTTGAAGAGGGCAGTCATGCGAACAAGACCGACCTGGTAATCCCATAGCAGGATGTAGTCTTTCTCATCACCAGGCACCCTGAACTGGTACTGAAACACTAAGACGATGTGAGTATGAGCCTTTCTGAGATCGGATCCAACGAACCTTCGAAGGCGTCTCGCCCAGTCTTGTTCATGAAGTCCTTCTTGTCACTGTTATAAGGAATGCGGCGCGGCCCCTTCTGTCTGATATTGCCATTCGGGTATATCTGGAACTTGCGATGCTGAGCCTGAAGCTCTTTGTCATCCATGTACTCGTACGGGGGATAGTTGACCGGTCCATTGACCTTGGCTCCCTCCGTGAAGATGGCGGCATCCTTGGGGATCTTCTGCCTCTTATTGCCAGCTGTGTATGGAACAATCGGCCGCGGGGCCGGGGCAGGCGTCGGGCTCTCTGAAGTGCGGTCATCATCATGATAGTCATGGTAGTCGCCGCACTTGATGGGGTTTAGCAGTAAGGGAATCCGCATATTGAGAAGCTCAAGGAAGGTGATCCTCGAAGACTCAGGTCTAGGTTTTGTTGTGCGCGGTAATCCTGGTAGGAACGATCCACGGAAGGAAAGGGCTGAAATGGGATTATTACCGGAGGGTAAGAACTCGCTGTCGTGAAACAGTTGAAGACTCTTTGGACTTGAGGCTGCTAGATCAATATTGGGTACGGAGTGGCCAGGCAACAGGTCGTTTGCAAGTGTGGCCACGCGGGCGCGAATGACCTTATACGGTATGCCAACGAGAGCAGCCAACGTTGATGCCCACTGATTTATGGGCACGCGATCTATATTGGCCCGTTGAGTTCGTGGTATCCAAGAAGACTTTAGAGATTACTTACCTCTTGTAGGCGCCGAGAAACGAAGGGGTTCGAGAGAAGGGCGACGAAGTCCCAAGGGTTCTTGCAGTTCGTTCAGTATTCGGTATTCTTCTGTTCCAATGGGCCGACGCTCCAAGTATCAAATGACTTCGTTTGCTGGCGCTCTTCCCGTGGCGACAGATTGTGTCTCGCTTGGTCGTCCAACGAGTATGCCAACTCAGTGATTGGATGGCAACGTTCAGGTCCGACCACTTCACAAGTCAGCTCTTGGTATGGATAACTTGTGATGAATACGACCCTGAGACAGTGTTCAGAAGTATCTGGAAGAGAATGAAGGGCAGTCTCAAAGGGTATAAGAAGCGGTTGATGTACTGAGCGACGAGGAAACAAAGCTAACCAAACCATGTGCTATCAAGCGGCCTTATAGCACAATTTGTTTTGATTTTATGTCCACTAGTCGCCACACGTACCCGCAGGTGCGTCGCGAAAGCTTGCCGTCAAAGCTTCCTGCAAAGACGTCCGGTGTACTGAGCGCGCAAGATGGTACTCTGCGGTTTCAGCACAATCACTTGGTGGCTGGAAGGCCACAAAAAAGAAGGACAGCTAATTGCACCAAACGACCGCCCCAGCATGAATTTCTGTGGGTCAGCCTGGACAGATGGTAGGGAATAAGGGTCGAGGGAGGGCCAGTTCCACGACGTCAATCACTCATCCGGCTTGAACCATGCATCATGTCCAGTAGCCGTATGAGCGGTCTGTCAACTACAGATCCAGACTTTGACCTCAGAAAAAAGAGAAGAGATTGGGGTATGGGTTAACCGAGCTTGCTGTCAGTGAGTGGTGTAGCTTGTCCTGTTTGGACTTCACTGGGTGTGTCCTTAGATGCACCACGTTATTCAACAAGCGGCACTGCAAAGTCCATCCACATGTACCGCAATGGATCAAGTGGTCACCGTGGCCGATCGGATACTCTTCGTCATCGGCTTCTGCTTCTACCAGTCGGAAAGCATAGCGTAGGACACTACATCCTGGACAAGATCGCCCACGAAGCCCTCCGATTATTGGTATACAAGCGACATTGATGGCACCACACTTCAATTACAGGATAGCTGTCATGTACCTTCTTCTTGGTGTGTGGGTCGTGGAGATGAATTGGTAGGGTTGTTTACCTGCAGCCAGCCGCCAAATGAGCGCACGCACCTACATGTCAAACGGATACAAACGTGGTAGCACTCCCTTTCCCTGGCATTAACATCGGCTTGCCACACATCTGAACCCTCATCATCACGAATAAAGAATTTATTTCCAAACGGCCATTAAAGTTGCTCGCAATGTTTGAGACGACGGATGTACTCGAGAGAGCACCATCTCAGTGTCTTAGAGCTTGTGCGTGGGTGTCTTTCCGCGACACTCATTGATATAGCATCAACATGTAAGCTGTACTGGATTTAATGATGATTGGACTGCATCTCTCATGCCCACATGTTTTACGCCGCCATATGATTGCCCACAAATATGCAGTCAATGAGCAATCCAAGGATCATCGTTTTCTGGAGACTAGCCTTCACCGGGCGGACAGCAACACAGAAGTTGAGTTTCAACTCGCGATTGTGCATCGTTGACCGCTTGTTGCTCCCGCATTCTAGGGAAAGGCGGTGATTGTGTCTCGGTCGTCGTCATTCAGAAACAATTAGTTTTTGTGCACTGCCTCCTGGCATCAGTAAATGATTGCACTCCATTCTGGATCATTCTGGAAACCATATAACCAGAATCTGTAGCTTGTCATTTGGAGCCCATTAGAACGAAAGAACAGCAATATGCAGTGACTAGTTCACGAGCATAAAATGCATCCTGAGTTCAATGCTGCCATACGGTCAAGCCACGACTAGAGTCTAGGTACGCGCCCAGCGCCTTCGTCCGTATTGACCTCGATCAGTGGCCGTCTCTCTGAAACCCATGGTCAATAGACATTGCCCGATACAATTTCGGCGAGCTCTCATCCCTGCCGCTGTTGACCATGCTTGTGCGCGAAGCTGCCGATTCCGCCTGGGGACACAGAACCGTCACATTGGGATGACAACCCCTTTGCAGGACGTTAGATCTTACGGTGTGACACAAAATATTAACAGTGCATTTGGATGCCTATTGGGTGGCGGCTATCAACATTGGATTTTCAGTGAGGAGAATTGCCATCGCGGGCAGTGTTGACGGGCTTGAATTAGCGGACTGATGGCCTTTGAGACAGGCCCGTGATGGTCAACAGCCTGATCAATTACAGCCACAGTACAAGAAAAGCAATACTGCGAGGGCTGTATCTATTCGAGTAGTCTCAGCATGACTCACGACACCGACGGACAAGCACATTTAGCAACGAGCGTCGAGGAAGTGATTGGGCTTGCAACATGGCACCATGCCGGCCGTCTCTGTAGCAGCACAAAGACTCAACGAGGCTTGGAAATCCAGGGTTGGCCAGAAGAATTTACAACCAATAGTACAGGATGAATTTGCCTTGAATACTCCACTCGTCCACCCATGTCTATCGCACACATTGCGGGTACGCCCAGGAAGTCAGGGCCTCCTTTCCCGATCAGGTTTACAACATGGTAACTCAAACTTAATGATCGCCTAGATATCCAAGTCACTAGCGTACTTACAACTCATAGTGCTCAGTTGCACCCAAAGCGTGGAAACGAGGCCATCCCCACACATCAATCGCGAAGAGGCGATGAAGTGACTACAGCGCTGTCAGATCGAATCAAAGGTGAGTTTGACCCTCCAAGCCCATCATTCCGACGGCATATTCTCATTAATCTTAACCTTGCTATAGCAGACGTCTTGTATCGTGCTGTCCGAGAACAAACTACCGCACTCCGGGCAACTCTGCCAGCCGTTGTAGTCCATCGTCAAGCGGCGAACCCTTCGAGATGTACTCATTTCTCAGCCGACACCAGAGCATTACCTGTACTTCCTCGGTAGATTCATCTCATGTACGAGGCAGCTTCGAAAAAACACAAATGAACACATGCAGAGGCACCAACCCTCGCAACCAAAATATCTTTACGTCCGGTTCACCCGTACGCAATCATTCGTTCTGCCAATGACTTACCATCTCAAGTCGAGAACGCTTGCTCGAACTGCGTGCACCAATACAACGATCCACAACGTTTTCGACCAGTCAATCGCTCGTACAAGGTAAGTGGTATGCGCGGCAGTGCTTGTCTTGTATGACGAGGCTGTCAAAGGTTCCCATCCTGTACTCTCCCAGTACCGTTATGCGCTTCCGCAACCTATATCGGAGAAGAATTATATACTGATCTGAACGGTATAGCTGAACATTGGAGCTCCCAACAGCTGGGTGGAGTCCAGCTCAACAATTTTAGCAAACCGACGCACCTAGCGACTGCACTGGAACGTTTCCTGGAAGAAATGACCAGTTGCATTTGCCTTCCGAAATCCCCCCCAAAGGAAAGAGTTCACACAGCTGCTCTAACGAAGTTGTCGCCGAGGACAACAGTAGACGCCGATGCGTCACCCCCTCCCTGCCCCTTACCACAAAACAAAAGCAGAGAAGTGTATCGTGTACACCTGGTAACATGTCGAGTATGTAGGGTAACCATTACCTCACGGTTGAGCGAACGCAGTCCGTAACTGACATCTGCAGTGAGGCGATCAAGCTTTGTGGCGCATTTTGGTGCAGGTTGAACACGACCTGGTCACTGAACGACGACCTCGATGACCCGCATCACGGTATTGGAACACAACATGGCACAACACAACGATGAGGGAAAAGGGAGAAATAACCAAGGATCATGTTCAACGGGTTGTACTACAGAATGGTATCATTGAACCCCCATTGAACTGGTCCTTCTAGCCTATGATGGCTAGCCACGAGGTGCGAAACGCGGGTAGGGGAGGAAATTTTCGTTCGGCTGGGAACTGTCAAACAGCGGGATCGCGCTTTCTGTCAGGTCTGCCTTGTCTACGACATGGACACGGAAGACAAACGCGAGAGCGGGCTGGTGGTATCATTTGGACCGAGGAACGAAGACAAGACGGGAGGGGTAGTAGTCGGTGTTGGGATTTCATAGGGGGTCAGTCTTCACAGTGGTAGTAGTAGATGTTGTATCATGTAGCCAGGAGCGACGAGATCGATAGTAACGCCCACATTCCGTATCAGGGTTGATAGTACAACGCTTTGCGGGCACCTGAACGCTTCCAAGCTTCTGAATCATTCTGTCGTGTCGTCCAATGTCTGATCGACCAGGCACCCGAAATGATGAGATTCTGTTGTGCCATCTGTCAAGGACTTAAATGAGCGGGGTTTGTACGAGGGAGCACCATCTACATGCTCCCACGGTAAGTTGCTCATGAAAGAAACGTATCACAAGTAGATATGATTATCTCATTGGGTCTGGGGGATTTCAGTCCCGGTGATTCGCCCCGTCAATGTCCATTGACAAAACTCTACAGATTGAGTACCCGGAGTCACAGTGAGCAAGGTATATTCAGTGAAATCTCGGACAAACTTATCATGTCTCATTGAAAGTATGTTGGCCTATCGTTGCAGGTTAAGAACGCCTAAAAATCAACGAAACTGACGAAGACCCATAACAGGTCCAGTAATAAGGACCAATGAAAGAAAACTGCCGTGAAATGTGAGTTTCCCACCCACATTCGTCAATCTGCCCTCAGTGCCGAACGCCCACCCCTGGATATCTAACCCCAGAATAAAACAACGCCACCGAAAGAGACTGCTTAATCGCTGTCATCATCATCGAAGTCGGCCTCGGAAGCCTCGTCACTGTCGTCATCGTCACTCACGACATACTTCGCAGGCTTCGCAGCAGCCCTGCGGCCTGGGCGAGCAGGAGCGGGCTTGACGATGGACTCATCCTCCTCGTCATCAGAGAGGATTTCGTTTGCAAGATCATCGGCATCCTCCATGTCCTCATCGGAATCAAGTGACACGGGCTTTTTGGGCTTTGCGATGGGCTTGGTAGATGACTTTGCATTCATCAAAGCGTAAGCCTTTGCCGCTGGGCTCAGTTGTGTGCTCTTCTTAGCTACCACAGCGGCAGCAGGCTTGGGCTTGGTGGCCGTCTTTGAAGCTTTCAGAGTCGCTTTGGGTGCTGGTTTAGCGGAAGGCTTCTTGACATTAAACCCGAACTCATCCTCGTCATCGGAGAGCATCATTGTGTCGTTGACGTTGCGGGGTGCTGGCTTTTTCGGGGACGCCTGTGGCATCAAACCCTCATAGTTTGTCTCATCATCGTCAAGCTCGATGGGGCTTGACTTTGCTGCACGATTCGGTAGTTTTGAAGGCCCAGCGGCACTACCGGGGCGCGCTGTAGTCGAAAACAGCGGCCGATCGTTGCCCCCACCCCCGATGGTCTTCACCATGCTGCTGACATCAATATTGTTACCCAGGTCATCGCTGTCGCTATCATCATCAAGTGTGTACTTCGGGGCCTGCTTGGTGGCAACGCGGGCGGTTCGAGATGATTTGACAGGTTCCGCTGGCTTCTTCTCCACCTCCTTTGCTACGGCAGCGAAGACGTCAGAGTCCTCATCGGAGTCGATGGGAGCAGGTGTCGGCTTTTTGACGTTCTTAGCACCGGCAGGGCGTCCCCTCTTCTTTTCGGGTGCTGGTGCTGGGGCAGCTGCGACAGGCTCAGGCTCATCAATCTCCATGACATCTACCGATGGGGTAGGCTCCTTCTTAGTCAAATAACTAAGAAGACCATTCGTCTTCGGTGCAGCACCGCCCATGTTCTTGAGAGCCTCTGTAGCACTAGGCTTCTTCTTCGGCTCCTCCTTTTGCAGATAGCTTAGGAGGCCACCCGGTTTAGGCTTTGCAACCTTCTTCTTGGCAGGCCCTCCGAAGTCAGAGTCAGAGTCGCTCAGATCACTGTCATCCATCTTTCTCCTCTTCTTCTTGCCACCTTTGGCTGCTCCGATCCCGAGCTTCCTAGAGGCACGGCGACCCATGCTGGCCCGCTTCTTTGCCCGCTTATACTCTAGATCGATCTCGGAGTTCCATTCCTCAACAAAGGCATCAAGATCTTGCATCCAAATGTCCTTTGGTGACAACTTGATGAGAGCATCGATCTCGACCTCTTTATCGCCAATCTGTTTCTGCAGCTTCTCTACTCGTTCCTGAGTCAATGACCAGATAGCCATCTATATATGTGTTAGTTTGCGATACGCAACTGTAGATATTTCACTTACACCCAAGAGATAGTCATAATCGTTTGCTCCAGCTTCACCCTCGCCCTCTGATTCGTCTTCTGCCGCATCCTCAACTTCGCCAGCCTTCTTCGCATCGCTAACCTTGGGGAAAGGCTTGAAACCAAGTTTTTGAAGCTCCGCGACCAAAACGGCCTTCTTCTTTTTGGCAATCACGAGCTTTCCGTCGATAATCATCTGAATGAAGCGCGCCTGGTTGGTCAACTTGTCTAGATCCTTTTGTAATTCGCTGAGTTGATGAGACTGTAGTTTGTTAGTTTGCATGTCTCCATTCAGACAATTCTCACATTACCTTTCGCTTCTCATAGTACTTAAGACGGATGTGATAGAACTCCTCCATGATGTCAAGTGGGGTCTGATACTTATGAATGCGACCTTGAGAATCAAAGGCCACCAAGTTCGAGGTTGCCATTGTTTTCGCAAGCTTGAAAGCTTCCTCGAGTCCTTTCGCAAGAGCACTTGCCATGTGCTTGTCGTCCAGTTTGATGATGAAATGAACCTTATCCGGAGTATTGTACTCCGTGTAGTCCTTGATGAAAGATGGAGCCTTCTCAGCCTTAATGATTTCTTCCAGCTTCTCCTTGAAATCCTGGGTCCAGTATCGCACAGGCAACTCAGTGACCTCGATTTCATTGTCGCTGGTTTGGCGAATAGTTCCAGTGAATTTGAATCGATCTCCACCCATGTCTTCCGTGGTTCCAGTGAAACCTTTGAACCAAGGGATCATGGATTTCATATCATCTTTCGAACTTCCTTCTTGCATGCGAATCTTCAGATTCTCAACAATGTCAAGTGGGTTGTAGTTAGGAATGGATGTGCTCCATCCAGTTCCGATACCGTCAGCACCATTGACAAGGACCATTGGTAGAATCGGTACGTAAGTCTCAGGCTCAACCTTCTTTGCATCTGATTCTCCGTATTTCAAGATGGCGTCATCCTTGGGATGAAAAATTCTCCGTGCAAAAGGCGACAACCTAGTGTAGATGTACCTGGCGCTGGCGGCGTCTTGACCACCCTGTAGACGTGAACCAAAATTGCCACTAGGCTCCAGGCAATTGATGTTGTTGGAGCCGACAAAATTCTGGGCCAGGCCAACGATGGTGCCTTGCATAGACGCCTCACCATATGCGTAGTCTGTCGTTCCGGATACGGAACCAGCAAGATCCACGACCTTGATATCCTTCTTGAGATTCCTTTTGAAACAGGTATAAAGCACCTTTCGCTGTCCCGGTTTGAATCCATCAATGATTGATGGAATAGAACGCATGTTATCTGCCATACTGAACAAGATGAGCTCCTTGTTGACAAAATCGTCGTAAGTAATGCCTTCGTTCGTCAGATCTAGATGATTTCCCGGGACGAAGTCACGTAGCCATTCTTTTCGCGCATCGGCCTTTTTCTTCGAGAAAGCGAGCTCGATCATCTTTTCTTCGTGCGCTTGCATGGTGTGGAAATGCTTCAGATGCGTATCCAGGTCCCTGAAGTAAACTTCGGCATCGCTGACATTACTAGTACCCAATCCCTTGTAGTACTTGTATTCCCATTGCGACAGATTGTGTTGAAGTTTCCACTCTTCCCATTCAGGCATGGAGAAGAAGTTCTTCATCTGTTTCGGGTCTTTTGGATCACCTTTCCAGACTCGGACAATGGGAGTGATGAATTCCAGTAGGAATTTGGGAAGCTTCAACAGGCTTGGGAATTGGCACTGCAAGAAATTGATGAGTAAACCTTTGATATGGCTACCGTCGTGATCTTGATCGGTCATGATCATGATGTGGCCATAACGCAAGCCTTTTGTGTCTGTGTACTCTTTCTTATGCTGAAGACCGATGAACTTCTTGATGTTTTGAATCTCCTGATTTTTCGAGATTTGATCGATAGAAGCGTCTCGAACATTGAGAACTTTACCGCGGAGAGGGAAAACACCAAACAGATCAGGATTGACAACGGCACGGCCAGCAAGTGCTAACAGAGCAGCAGAATCTCCTTCAGTGAGGATCAGTGTGCACATGTGGCCGTCCTTTGTGCCAGCTCTATTTGCATCGGTGAGCTTGGAATTGCTCATGCGACTACGCTTGTTTCCATCTGTCTTCTTCAACAATTGATCAGCCTTCTGCTGCGCAAAATGCATGATGTTTTGAACAACTTCGGTCGCTTCGACTTTCTTTAAGAACCTCTCGGTCAGGACAGGTTTGCTTCCGAATTGTGACGATTTTGTTGTCAATTGTTCCTTGGTCTGCGATGTGAATGCCGGGTTGACGATCTGGCAGTTCACAAACAAGAAGATGTGGTTCTTGATCTGGGCGGGCTTCAACTTAACTCCGCCTTTGTTCTTCTTGTTAACATGGGCGAGAAGTTTGTCGATAATCTGGTCTGCGATGTAGTTTACGTGTGTACCACCGGAGGAGGTCGCAATCGAGTTCACGAACGAAACCTGGTTGAACGCGCCGTCTGAGACTGCGAAACCAATTTCCCATCGATCCAACGAGTCGGTAATGATGACTGGTTTGTCCTTTTCTTCCCCTTCCTCCGTCTTTCCTTGTTCTTTCGAGATGGCTTTTGTGTACATTTCCATGTACTTTGCGAAGGAATTGATTTTGATTCGCTCGCCATTGAGGTAGACCTTGATACCCCGCAATGTACCAGCCATATCATAGGTTCTGCGTCGAACCAGGGCGTCGAAATCGTCATCGATGCCAGACATACCAAACTTGCTGAAATCCGCCTTGTAAGACACCTTGGTGTAATCGTCCGTTTTGATGTCTGTGATTTTGGCCTTTCCCATCTTGCTCATATTGTTGGTCCAGGTCTGTTTGTACTTCTTCTTTTGCCGGGAGTCCACAGTTTCGAGTGTGAACTCAGTACTGAAAACGTTACACAGCTTCGCACCATAACCGTTTCGACCACCCGTAATCTTCTGCTGATTATCGTCGTAGTTGGAAGATGTCAGTAGATGACCAAAGATCATCTCCGGCACGTAGATGTTGTGTTCCTAGGTCCATAAGCTTGCGCAACATGCCCAAAACCAAATGCTAACTTACCTTGTGAATTTCGATTGGAATACCCCTACCATCGTTCTTGACAGAGATTTCGCCTGATTCTCTATCTACCGTAACGCGAATTTCGCTCATGTTCTTGTCGTTCTGCTTATTATCCGCGGCATTGACAAGAATCTCATCGAAGATCTTGTACAGACCAGGCACGTAAGTCACGTCGCGGAATTCCATAGCCTCCGTGGTCGAGTTATACACCCACATCTTGTCGGTAGTTGGTTCGACCGATCCGATATATGTGTCGGGACGCTTCATAATGTGTTCCAAATGCGTCAACTAAGTCACTGTCAGCAACCTATTCCAAATAGCAGGCCAAAGGCGCAATTCAACATGCCATCTGATATTTACCACTTGAACCGCCAGCGGCTTTCTTGGGCGCCGGGACTGGCTCATCATCATCTATGCCATCTAGACCGAAACTCTCGTTCGCAATATCTGCCAGGGGTTTGCCGCCTGCTTTCTTCGGTGCTGGGGCCTTCTTCGCCTTTGGGGGCGTGTCTGCGAGCAAGGACTCGCCGTCGAACGGATCCTCGTTCATGTCGACGTCGGAGTTTTCATCGTCAAAGTCGTCCTTTCTCTTCTTCTTGGGCGCTGCTTTAGCCTTGGTCGCTTTCGGTTTTGCAGGCTGTGAGGGGTCTTTGGCTGGCCTTCCGCGTGGTTTTGCTGGTCCGGCAGCCTTCTTGGGAGCGGCCTTTGGTTTCGTGGCTTTTGCAGCCTTGACGGGTGGTGCAAAGTCAGAGCTGTCACCGTCGTCGAAGGCGTCGCTCATCAGCGAATCGTCCATGGCGAAACTGTGGTTAGTATAGAAGAAAGAAGTCCCGCAGGACGAGAAGAATCAAAAGAGCGTAGTAAACAGGTCAGCAGTGGGTTGATGCGACTCGAGCGAAAGGAAGGGTTGTTGTTATGGGTGAGAAAAGAGAGAGAGGAGGCGTGAGGTGTGTTTTGACTGCAGCGCGGTCGTGTTTACTTTCGTTAGTTTCCGTGGCGCCGACATTGGAGATCCTTGCGCAGGGACAGCCCTTCACTAACCCCTATTGGCTACTACCTGCCACTAGTCCCGATCTGGCTTCACCGCGCGTGAAGTGAACGGCTGTGGTGAGATGCGCTTTGTGATTCTGGGTCTGTAAACAATCCATACTGAATACTTCCATGCGTGCTCCCAAGGAAACCAGGTCAAAGGATGCTCTGATGCTACCAAAGAAGTCTTCAATGGTTATCTCTAAGGCAACTGATTATACTTGCACAGTAGAACGCGATGGTTCCTGAAAAAGCTTAAATTACATGTTAATGCAACTCCTCGTATAGTGCACCGTAGTGAGTACTAAAATCAGTTCAAATCAAAGTAAACGGCAACGCAAAAATTAATTAGACACCTTCAATAGTTGGTATAGAATCAATGAAAACGTTTGTATTACTGAAACAATGGTTGCCATGAGATGAGGAAAATTGGCTTTTCGTTTTTTCTAGAGTAAGCACCAGACTATGTACCCAAAGTGCAATTTCTTGGTCATCTGCATGCTGACAGCAGCTCCAACGTCTCAACTTCTTTTATAATGTTGATTCCACATAAAGCTGGGTAGTAGTTGAATCTTTCCTACGTTGCATTTGCTGGCTTAAGAACAGAAGAAAACCCACACTTCACTATTGTTGGAAACCAGAATTGAAGGTATCGAAATCCAGCCGCGCTATAGCGATATCAGTTACACAATAAACAACAAAACATGGCAGACCAAACGACCTCCAAAAGGAGATCCTGCGCCGACTGCGTGAAACACAAGAGGAAATGCGACATGCAACAACCCAGATGTCGACGATGCCAGAAGAAAAAAATCCCTTGCTCGTATCCAAACAGACCCTCTATGGTTGCTGAAGTCGACATCCCAGAACTTGATTTCCCATGGCTGGACGACCTGATGAAAGATCCGGGGTTGGCACCGTGGAGTGGAAGTTTACAGCCATCCATAGCGAAAGTGGCTCCGGGCGGCATTGAGAGGGCATCCAAAAGGCAGAGAACACCTGATTACTTACCCGGGTACCCGGAAGGCTATACAAGATATACACTACCGCGAACAGAGACTGAAGCGGCGGTTCATCAGTTCAAGCTGTGGCCTTGCAAATGGCTCAGTGACGGCAAAGCGCCGTTCATCCATCCAAGGGTTTATTCAACCACTATGCCGAAGCCGCTTCAAGAGGCGTATGCGGCTTGCGCTATATACTCTACCATGACTACTCAGAATGCTTTCGTTGGCTTTACCGTAATCGAGTCGAAAGCGAATGAGCTGCTGAGGTCCGCTGATGAGGCCGCGTGGACGCCTCTAGATCTCCTAGCAGCCGTGCAGGCGTTGTTAATTTTCCAATTAATTCGACTGTTTGATGGAGACATTCGACAAAGAGCGCTGGCTGAGAAAGCCGAGTCTGTATTGCAAGCATGGACCGGTCAGTTGCAAGCTTGTACGGTGGAGGAGCGAGACTTTACATCGGACACTGCACCGTCGTGGCGATCTTGGGTTTTCGCCGAGTCGGCCAGGCGGACAGTTATCATGTCTATGTTCCTATCAGGGTTATATTCGCTTGTTAAGAACGGATATTGCGGGATGGGAGATAAGATCAACGTGAACTCCTTCACTGCCCAAAGAAGACTGTGGGACGCTTCTTCTGCGCTGGAATGGGAACGTATGAGACAAGCATACAACCCCTACTTCATCCAACGCATGAACTTTGAAGACTTCCTACGTGAGGGAAGTGGATCCGAGCTGGACGACTTCGGATTGGTTATGATTACAACGTACAAAGGGAAGGACAGGATTGACGATTGGTTGGCACTGAGAAGTGAAGGGTGGAATCTAATTGAATCATCCAGTATTGGCAATGATTTTTTGAATGTGGCTCAGGTTGGCAGCTCGATCTCATCTTCGGAAACTTTCTGAGGCATGTCTATGAGTAATTTGGTTACAATTTAACGCCCTTAGGTGTCTCGATGAGCGAAACGCTTATGCTGTCCACGTAGGAAGACCACGAAAGATGGCCAACGCACCCTCCGCCCCATTGCAGTAGTGTTCATGAACCCAGTCTTGTGAAACAAGTCGCCATTGCACCCCCGTCAGACATGGTGTACTTTCCCGTCGTACGCCATATGTCGATACCCGTCGGCGTTTGCTGCCCAGCTCATCACAACTCACCGCCACTCTCGACATGCTTGTGAGCACTTGTCAACGAGCCAGACGGCGGGCTGCGCCCGATCTCACTCGTTTATATGTTAAAGAAAACGAAAACTGTCCAAAGAGGGCGTGGTGGCGGAGTGGTTATCGCGCAAGACTTGAAATCTTGTTCCTTCGGGATCGTCAGTTCGAATCTGGCCCACGTCGATATTTGATAATCTGCATGATTTTTTTTGCTTTTATTGCTAGGCGATGTACAGAGAGGGCACAGACATGTCGTTGTTGGACATCCATCTGTATCACAAGTTCGGTCTAGTTGGCAGGTAGCTCAGGGTATGAAGTCGTACATTACATTTTTATTTTTGCATATCGTATCTAAATGACAGCTGATCCATTTACAGGCTGTCGGGGCTGACCTTTTGTACAATAATTCCCGTGGCTGCTCCTCCGCCGTTGCAGATGGCAGCGGCACCATACTGGCCAACCTCGAGCTGGTGCAACAAAGTCACCAGGATCCTGCTTCCTGAGCTTCCGAGTGCGTGGCCAAGAGCGATGGCGCCACCCCTGGGGTTGACGTTGTCGACACCAAGATCAAGGATCTTAGCATTTGCCTTGATGACAGCGGCAAAGGCTTCGTTGAATTCCCAGACAGCAATGTCAGACTTGGAGAGACCGGATTGCTTGAGGAGCTTCTCTACAACGGATGCAGGCGCAATTGGGAAATCAATAGGATCTATCATATTCGTTAGTACCTCCGCAGAAAAGTGGTCCTTATCCTGGGAATAAACTTACCAACAGAAGCATCAGCGTACGTGACGATCTTCGCCAACACCCTGCTGTCCTTTCCGTACTTCTGTGCGATCTCCTTGCTTCCCAAGACCAAAGCGGAAGCTCCGTCGCTGAAGCTCGAGCTGTTTGCCGCTGTGACGGTGCCAGTACCGTCCCTCACGAATGCAGGCTTCAGTGTTGGAACCTTCTCAAGCTTCAACTTGTTGTAGCCTTCATCCTCCTCGACGACGGTGTCGCCTTTCTTGCCCTTGACGGTGACGGGGGCGATCTCATCCTTGAAGAGTCCCTGCTTCCAAGCCTCCTGTGCACGCTTGTACGTCAAGATGGCGAACTCATCCTGCTCCTCGCGGGTGACCTCGTACTTCTTTGCAGTGTTCTCCGCACAGTTGCCCATGTGGATCTGGTTGTAAACATCCCAAAGGCCATCGCCGATGAGTCCGTCCTGGAGCTTCTGGTGTCCGAATGGGGGTTGCTGGCTCGCCCTGTTCAGGTAGTAGGGCACGCGGGTCATGTTCTCGAAGCCGCCGGCAACCTGTGCTTCTGCTTGTCCGAGCTCGATCGACTGTGCGGCAAGGTTCACGGCCTTGAGGCCGGAGGCGCACACCTTGTTGACGGTGGTGGCCTCGATGTTGGTAGGCAGACCAGCGAAGATGGCAGCTTGCCTGGCGGGTGCCTGTCCCACACCTGCAGAGAGCACATTGCCCATGTACACGGCATCTATCGAGGAGACCGGGACGTTCGATTTGGCGACTGCGGACTTGATGGCGGTGGCGCCGAGCTGTGTCGCGGACACAGTTGTGAAAGAGCCATTGAACTGTTACAATCAGTAAGTTTGGAGATCCAAGGACAAATGTGGGCAAAACCTACAACACCCGTGGGCGTCCGGCTTGCAGACAGAATGTATGCGTCTCTGATCTCTTTCTTCGCGGACTGTGACGTGCTAAAGTGCTTCTGAATGCTCGCCAGTCGTTGCTGCGGGCGGGACGCCATTCTGTATGATGCTCGTAACGCAGTGGCAGACATGATTTTCTCACACAAAAGCTAGGAATATGACGTTTTGCACGAGACAAGAAAAGAAAAGATGCAGCTCTTGCGAGTCGAGTATTCTGTCTCTCACATGGTGCATTACTGCTGTTTTAGTGCGGGTTGGGGTTGACATCTGCGTGCGGAGTGTTTCCGTGCCTCGGCTTTGCGGGCGCGTTCGGCCCGTTGCGGCTTAAGGGCTGATTTGGGCCAATCAGATGGACGTTCACCCACCTCGATCGACTTCATCCCTCTCTTCCTCTTGACCTTGGTCGGGATGTGGGGGAAGACGTCCTTCATCTTATCCCTGGCTTGGTAGTCCAGAATCTCTCACGATGGCAGACAAAGCTACAGCTCCGTCCACTCAGAGATTGAATTCGTCAGGTCGCCGGTGTCGGTAACCTCGCTCCTGACATCAACCTCAAACGCCTCCCTCGCATTTGCTCAGCCTGGGATCCTGACCGTAGGAACAATGAACAAGAAACACACAATTTGGAAGAAATCGTTTGGCGATGTGACGTTCTCCTCTTCCCTCGTAGAAGCAGCCGCAATTGACAATATCTCAACATGACGGGTGCAACGGAAACGTCTCAGCCCTCGCGCGCCGTTCCCGCCTCGAAATGAATTTTGTGTGGCCTGGTGGCGCTGCTTGACAGGTTGACAGATGACCACATGCTCAATGGAATCAATCAAAACATCATTTTCCCTTCCATATCTCGGTATTTGAGATGTTACCACAGAGTGCTCTCGTTGTAGTACCATTCGAACCGGGCCCTGTGGTATGATATCTTCAGTCCCCATGTACAATATCTCATCTCAATTGTGCTCCCCTCTGATAGGCCTCCTTTAGGTGAAATATCACGTTTCCTAGCAAATAATTGTCAATCACGGATGCAACGGTACCACCGCTATTCATCAATCTTTTCTGTACCTGCATCATCACAATCCCAGGTCGTACCAACGTGCCCGTCCTTTCGTAACCCTTCCACTCGCAGGAGTTGTAACCAAAACATAGCCCACGGGGGGAGAGCAGGAGAGAGGAAGAGGAGAAAACTTTTCTTGGAGAAACCTTGCACATACTAACTAACCCCTTGCCCTTGCCTGGATATTTGATATCACCAAACAATGTCTCTCCTCGCATCAGACGAAGGAGCTGCTCCTGCTCGGATACTGGCACTGGTGCCCGCCCCCGTGGTGCCTGAGTTGGGCACCTTGGTTCGACATTCTACCACCTTGCCTTATCTGCGACGACGCTAAATCGTCAATATCATTGTTCTAGATGGAAGAGCGGCAGTGTCTGACGCCTTCGCTGGCCAAGGAGGTCCTGTAAACCAAGGACAAATGCTCAGCAGATCGTGTATAAAGGGCGCCCGTCGATCTCTCCAAACACCCATACACTTCCCAACCACACTGGCCAGACACATCAACATCAACCAATCCCTCGTCCATCCAAACAACAACTCCAAACCCAAACCCAAACTCAACCCCAAAAAGAAACCAACTACAACAATGCTACACCTCCTCCTCCCCACCCTCCTCTCCACCCTCCTCCTCCTCACCACCCCAACCCACGCCACCAACTCCACCATCCTCGTGAAAAACAACTGCCCCTTCCCGCTCTACATCACCAGCGTCTCCTCGACCGTCGGCCCCACGATCCCCCTCGGCGGCGGCGGCGGCACCTGGACGGAACCCCAACACAAAGACCCCCTAACCGGCATCGCGATCAAAGTCGCCGTCGCGCAGGACGCGCTGTACGCCTCGAAGCCGGTGCTGACGTTCGGGTACACGGTCGACTACGGCGTTCCGGATGTGTACTACGATTTGACGACTACGTATGGGTTTGCGGAGGAGCTGAGGGGCAAGAAGATTGCGGTTAAGGGGGACGAGGGGAAGGGGGTGCCTGGGATTACGTGGGAGGGCGCGCCGCCGGGGGAGCAGCAGACGAAGAGGTTTGTTGGGACGACGGATTTGACGCTTGAGGTTTGCTCTTGAAAGGGCGTTGAAGGGAGGGGAGAGAGTGGTGGTTGGAGGAGGAGGGGATGGTGGATGGATTGGTCTTTGGGAGGTGGAGATGGTGTGTGGCAGATTTCAAGTGAGTCGGTTTGTCTGTGCTTGGATAAGTCAGGCAAAGTAATAGCGTGTGTCACTGTTCTTCAGTTCGATCAACGGAAACGAAAGCTTTGAGTAAAGAAGTGGTCAATATTGAAATATTTATGGAGCTCAATAAACACAGAAATGAGAAATGTTCCTCCTATTCAAGATCCCTTCATTGTGAAAAGAACTAGCGAAGCCGATGTAGTCCCTCGATAGAAATATATGTTTGACTAGAGACACATTAGGAGCAGACAGAATGCAACGCCGGATAGTAATGCTATGTGTATGACTCCAACCCAAAGAATCGTCGATATGTAGTTGAACAGTCCATGAAACGCCTAGGCCAAGCAAAAGAGGGTATAGAGCAGAAGAGTAAGGACGAAGTGCCTCCACCCTGGATGGAAACTACAGCGCCCGTCGACCCCCCCGTCTTCCAGACCCGCTAGCCGTCCTCGTCATACCGACACTGCCGAGGCCTAGAGAGCTGTCGCCAAATCGTCCCAAGGGAGTGTTGCCTCCGGTATCGCTATACCCGCCCATGCTGCTCTGGGCGCTCATAGGGATGCCGCCAAGGGGCATGCCGACCTCTAGATGTGGTGCGGAAGATCGCACGTGGCTCGTGATTTCAGAGACAGGGACTTGGAAATCTGGTGGTTGGATTTGGTATTCACGAGCCTTGACTGGATTCACGGCGGCCTGGAGGAGCTTCTCGTTGAGTGCATCATCTGGAGGGGCGTCTCTCATCATGAGCATCATATCCTGATCGATATCTTGCGATACTAGTGGGGGAGGCGTCGGGGCTTGTGCGTTCTGCTTCTGGAAGACCTTTGCATCAAGAACGAAGGGCGGGTTATAGATGAAAGGCAAGCGGCCGTTGGCGAGAGACGCAACATTGAAGGCTGAGCGTGTCGCACCGCGAGTGGCGTGGGGATTGGAAGAAACCTGGCGCGTCATCTCTGGTGCGCCCGCGGGAGAATCTGAATCATGATTGTCATCCGCAGGGTCACCATTTTCGCTGGCGACCTCCTGACCATTGCCGTTTGTACCGTTTGCCGAAGCCTCTTGGCTGGGTTCCGCATTCTTCATCTTCGTGAAGAAATGCGCAGCCGCGATCGTGGCTTGGTTCATCGCAAGATTCAGTTCCTTCTCGGTGAAGAGACGCTCCAGCGAGAAAGCCGCTGCTTCGAATTGAGTGTGCACCGTCCGCTGCTTGGCTTCGCGGAATGGTGATCCTATGCCCATTTCGAGATTCCTGCCAGACGGTGCTGGGGAGTCGTTGTCGTTCTCCTCGAAGAGCTTCCGCTTGCGCTTGTTCTCAGCAGCCAGCTCCTCCCCTTCTCCGGTCTTGTGGCCAGTCCTTCGAGTTTTGCGCGGCGCCTGAGGTCCACCTGGGCTTGCGGGGTTGTTGATGCTGAATTGATTGGGGTGTAGAAGCATGGCATTGCTGTCGGAAAGGTCCAATTGCTCCTTTTCACGCTTTAGTTTCGTTGTTCGCTGGAGAATGCTAGCCGAAAGGCGTTCGCGGATGGTCGCGGTGAGTAACTTGTACTCTTCTTCGGCGGTCTGCATTTTGTAAAGGTACGAGTTCTCGATTTCCTGCTTTATGCTGTCGTGCTTTTTCTGTGTATCGATGATGTGGTCAGCCAATGTCGGAAGTCAGGGTCTGCGATTAGAAAAACCCTACCATTAGTAGAACGAGATTGTAGTCACGCTCCTCCATGGCGTCATTCGAAGCATCCACGAAGCGTGCGTAGTTTCTGCCGACCTGGGCGACATAGTCGGTGCCGGCACTGGGCGCAGTGGGAACATTTTCGCCCATGATCTGCTTGATGAGGTCACGAGCCTCTTCTCCGTTGTCCTCCAGCGGTTTGTTGGCGTAGGGATCCGCTCGGAGAATAAGATTGATATCAGCTTGAAGCGCCTGCAATTGGGCTCTGAAATGGCTGTCCCGGTTGTCGGAGAACGAGGCCGCCATGTCGCCCATCTTCTCAGCAAGCATATTGCGTCTTTTATCCCGCTTAGAGACCTGCGGTTGCGGCGAAGTTGCAGACTGGCCGAGGGGAAGTTTGTCTCCCGGAGACGGGCTTCTATTACGAGCCATGGCGAGAGAATTCTAACGTTGTCTGTTTTGCGCAAGGGTCTGACGGGGAGGGTTGATCGTTTAAGGAAGCGCAAGAGAGCTCCGCTCGTTGCTGGAGCGGTGCGATTCGAGGGTTGGTTGGTGATGGAATGAGAGTGCAGACGAGGGATCGGCTGCCCTTTGAGAAGTAAAAGACTAAAGTGCGAGTGACATAGAGGACGATCGCAGTAGGTGAAGGTTCATTCAAGCGGCGCGCGAGAGTGAGTGAATGGGTGAATGAGTAGTAGAGCTGGCGTGAATGGTATTTCTGGTCTGCGCTGCGACCAATCGCCGGACCACCGACGGTCTTGGCCAGCACGTGCCATCAATGCACGGCATCGAAGCGCAGATCTGTACGCCAGTGATCATGCATGTAATGGACATCAAATTTGATGCTGGCATCCGGAAGGTGATCTATGAGAAAATCCTCTTCCGAATAGTAGAAATTCGAAATCAGCTCTCCATCTTCACTCAACACCCAGATCACATCTCGAAGTAGTCCAAAAGTCTGGAAGCACAGAAACGCTAACACGAATTGAAAACGCAGGAGGATTCTATTAGAAGAAGAACAAAAGGAATACTAGGCTACAGAAAGGAACACACTCAAGGTGGCCCGAAGTGGTCCACCTGGAAAACAGTCGTCATGCTTCAATGAGAACCACACTTTTTCCTTCTTCAAACAATTTGACCAATTTCCCCAAACCATGCTCTGCGTTCAGCATCAGGTATCAGACCTGACATCTAATGCTCATCATCAGACCACTCCACCTCCGGCCAGATTCTGTTGAAGTTCTTCTCAACATCCTTGGGACGCAGACCGGGGAGGTGTTCCTTGACTGGCTTGCCGAGATAAACCTTCTTAGAAGCAGAGAAATCGTTGACGATGGTTTCGCAGTTGGGGGCATTTCGTTCTGGGTACATGGCAAGGAGCCATTGGCATGCGACATCACGGGAGACCTTTGGTGTCTTGCGAGCTACGCGTAGACGAGTCAAGTGGCCTTCGCCGTAAGGGGTCCCGGAGCCGGAACTGGAGCTCCAGTCGTTCGCAGCGAAGAAGCTCTTCAGATCCTTCTCGAGGGATTCCCGTTCAACGAAAGAGTTCTCAATTCCCGTTCGAGAGAAGCGAGTGCCAAAGTGAACCTCGGGGTCACTCTTGGAAGGATGACGGGCCAGGGCCGCGTCCTTGAGCTCCCGAGCTCTCTTCTCGCAATCAGTGCCGCCGAACATCTTGAGAACCAGGTCGCAAGTGTCCTTGTAAGAGCGGGTCGCCCTCTTCGCCTGCTTGTTGTCGGCAGGCTTCGCCCAACCATAATCGGTGTCGGAGCCACTGGTGTCGCTCCAGCTGATCGTACCGTAGTAGTTGTCGAAAGCCTTCTGGAGCTTGTTGCGATTGCCGTTCTCGAGGCGGTGATCAACATACCAGCCAATGTTGACCTTGGGCTTTTTGCCGGGCCTCTTGGCCTTGAGGTCCTTGACGATTTTCTCACAGTCGTAACCGCTTGGGAAGGCAGGGCTTTTTGGGCGTCCAGTCAACGTACCAAGAGCCTGGCAAGCTTGGTCCTTGCTCAACTTGGTCTTGCGAGGCTCGACCTCGCCATTCGATGGCTGCGGGGTCGCATTGCGAGCTTGTGCACTCCAGGGGCTTTCGATCACAACGCGTGGGATCCTCTTTGGTGAATCTTCATTGCCGTTGGAGAGGATGCGTGGGGATCCTGGAGTTTTGTAGCTTCGCTCGGTTGAAGACTTGGTGCTGTTCTTGGAGGGCTTGTCCTTCAGCGATGCACAAAGCACGAGCTCGATGTCGTCGTCGGGCTTGCAAAGTCGAGTTGTGACTGACGCTCCGTGGAAGGAACCGTCGCAGGTGAGCAGGTCGATGTCGTCGAAGAACGCACTGCCACGAATATTGGAAAGGCCGGTCCAGATCTTCTTTGGGTCATGCAAGTCGACGGCGTAGGCGAAGTTGACTTCGTCCTTACCCTCGTGAATGCCGTTCTGGAAAGGCGAGACTTTGATGGCAACGCCGGGATTGGTTGGTGTGCCGTAGCGGAACTGCTCGACGTACTTCTCGCCAGACTTGAGGGGAAGGTTCTCGGCGTAATGTTTGGCTTCGACAACGGACCAGACATAGACGTCGTAGGGACAACTGTTGGTGACGATGGCCTTGGATCGAGCAAGGGCCGTGAGGGCACTGAGGGCCAGGACGGTCCGGCCGACCATGATGCAGGCAAGTCAGGAATCTGAGAAGGGTAGCTGGCTGGATGTAAGAAGAGAGAAGTGGGGATAGTGATATGGAAAGGCGATGTTTGGATAATGGGATGTTGGTGGGTGGATGAGTGAGATGAAGAAGAGATGGTATGAGTCGAGGTGTGGCAGGTTTAAGTACAACAAACCAGTCCGATGGGTTGCTTGGGTGATTAGTGTGAGTGCCATTCGCAGTGGTTTAGAAGCCGTGTATGCTTGATCAAGAGGAAGGAGGTGGCGGCAGAGGTAGGGGAGGAGGAGATGGAGGAAAGTATAGAGCGGACATCCACGAGCAGCCAAACTTTGCGTGGGCTCTAACTGACTTCATATGTTCAATAGAATAGCATCCTACGATATGTATATCAGCCAGCAAGCAGGAATTCCATGTCATATCTCAGGCAGTTGGGGTGATTCATTCAAAGTGTCTTGAGAGGAACACGTGAAGATATCATGAGCTGCTGCCATCAGTGCTTGCAAGATCGGTAGCTTCAGAACCGGAAGGAGTGAAGAAGGCAAGACCATCGAGCAGCTCATGGCAGGCACATGATCTTAGAGAGTCGTAGTCTCGAAGCAAGCTGTAGACACCCAATTGAGAGGTAAGTCACTAGATGAACAATATCGCGAACTGTTATTGGTGCCATTTCGGTGGAGAGTTCGCCATGGTAGTCAGTTCTCATATTCAGATCAAGCAAACCATCCAAACATCTAATAGGGTAATATCAGAGCTGAACACTAAACATGAATATGTCAGCCAAAGCGGCGTAAATGATTCAAACAAATGTTTCGAAGATGATCGGACATAATCCCCATGTCGTCGCTTACATCCTTCGGAGCAGTCAACCCGAAGATCACCTCGATACGGAGCAAGCCCACCCTAGCCATCACAGTACATCTCCGACAGGGATGGCGCCTCCAAACCTCCGTGTGCCTGAGGATGAAACGCAACGAACCTCAGATCTCAGCGCCCACTCCGTACGGTGAATTTGTTAAAACGATGCTTGCCCACATTCCCATCTCACCCCGGACGCTCCCTTTTATTCTTCTCTTTCTCTCTTATACCTTAGCTACTGGATAGCCCTACCTCTTCACGACATCTGAAATATTTAATCCCTAATCCCTCGTCCAGGCCGTTACTAAATCGGCTGCTGTGCCTAGCTATACGCGCCCGCATCATTGCTCCCCCACCAAACACTCCCGAACACCTTACAGACCACCACAGTCCACCGCCCGCCCGCCAAAATGGACACAAACACGCTGGACCCAGAGAAGAAGCTCCCAGAAGTTAACCCCCGCCTCCCACGCAGCAGCACGACGCCAGACGAGCCATGGCTCCGCTACGTCAACATCGACATCATCGCGTACGTGCTCAGTTACACGCTGTTCCACCCGTGGACGTCGTGGGTGCTGGTGCTGTGTCTGCGCGCGCAGCACACGCCGTGGCACCACACGGAGATCCAGGTCGCGATGGCGTGGGCGTTCGCCATGTCGACGGTCAGCTTCTTCAACGTCATGAGCGACCGGATTGCGTTCGGGGCGCCGAGGGAGGTCGATCTCGCGGAGGAGGTCATTGTCATTACTGGGGGTGTCGAGGGATTGGGGGGTCTGCTCGCGGAGACGTACGGCATGCGGAATGCGAATGTCGCTGTGCTGGATACGAAGAGGGTTGGTGAGGACGAGGCGGAGGAGAAGGGCGTGCTGTACTATGAATGCGACGTGGGAGACGCCGAGCAGGTCGAAGCTGTCGCGAAGGAGATTGTCGAAGACGTAAGTTCACCGCCATTGGAACACCCAATTGAACGAACAAGAACATCTAATACTAACAAAACCCACAGCTCGGCCCTCCAACGATCCTAATCAACAACGCCGGCATCGTCCGCCCGAAACCCATCCTCGACTCCACCGCCGCAGAAGTCGAACAGTACGTCTCCCCCATACACTCCCCCATATCAAACCCATTCCTTCAATTGACTAACACATCTCCCCAACAGAACCTTCCGCACCAACACCCTCTCCCACTTCAACACCCTCCGAACCTTCCTCCCGCACATGCTCCGCGAAGGCCGCGGCACCATCGTCACCGTGTCCTCCGTCCTCGGGCACCTCGGCGCCGCCAACCTCTCCAGCTACACGGCCTCGAAAGCCGCTCTCCACGCCCTCCACCAGTCCCTCCGCGCGGAGCTCGCGCAGAACCCAGAGGCCAGGGACATCAAGACGATTCTCGTGTCGCCGGGCCAGATGAGCACGAACATGTTCGCGGGCGTGGAGACGCCGTCGAGTTTCTTCGCGCCAGTCGTGCGGCCCGTCGACGTTGCGAAAGAGATTCTGAGGCTCGTGGAGAAGGGCGAGAGCGGGGATGTCGTGTTGCCGCTTTACTCGAGCTGGATTTCCGTGCTTGGGTTGCTGCCTGCGGGGATGAAGGCGCTTGTTAGGAGGTGGAGTGGCGTTGACACTGCAATTGCGAAGGCGGGTCTCGTCCAGGCGGGGAGGGCCGTCGAGAAGTCGGGGTAGATGTGTGCACATATGGATGGAGAGATAGATACCCTCGGGGTGTGATGCGAAGCACCGCAACGCAAGACGAGCATTGGAACTTTTGACACTTCCACATTCTACTACATAGTCGCATGTAGATATATACTGTACTTATACCAAACATCCCCCCATCACCACCTTTCCAACCCTCAACCCTAATACCCCACCCTCCCCCTGGGCAAATACAGCTCCTCAAGATACTTCACATCCTCCTCCTCCAGCACATACTTACTATTCCCCACCGCCTCATCGATCCGCGCCTTACTCCCGAGCCCAATAATCGGCGCCACCCCTTTCCCCACGCACCACGCGGTAGCCACACACGCCATGCTGACCCCGCGCTTCTTCGCGACCTCCTCGACCCGCGAGATGATGGCCTTGTCCGTCGCGTCGTCGCGCGACAGCGTCATGCTCTCGAGCACCTTGTCCGTCGTCGACCGCTTGGTGCTGCGTTCGGACCAGGGGCGCGTGAGGGCGCCGCGCGCGATGGGCGACCAGGGGATGAGGCCGACGCCTGTGTCGTTGCAGTATGGTATCTATCCTCACTATTAACCTCATACCATTACAAAGTGACGTGACGTGACGTGATGTGTGGTGAAGTGTAGGGGGGACTCACCATCTCCCTCTCCTCCTCCCTGTACAGCAAATTATAATAATTCTGCATGCTGATAAACTTATGCCACCCCCTCTTCTCCGCAATGTTCTGCAACGTCTGGAACTCCCACGCAGCCATCGAACTCGCGCCAATGTACCGCACCCACCCCTTCTCGACCACGTCGTTCAGCGCCTTCATGATCTCTTCTCGCGGCGTGTCGCGATCGAGACGGTGGATCTGGAGGACGTCGATGTAGGTGCCCAGGCGGGCGACCGAGGCTTCGACCGCGTCGAAGATGTGCTTGCGGGAGAGCCCGACTTGGTTGACCATGGCGCCGTTGTTGATGTTGGAGGCGGAGATGGGGATCGAGGGGTCCGGTTGCACGCCGAAGTAGCATTTGGAGAGGAGGACGACGGAGGAGCGGGGGATCGAGTAGGTGCTGAGGGCTTTGGCGATGATGCGCTCGGATTCGCCGTGCGAGTAGATGTCGGCCTGGGGGGAGGGGGGCGTTAGTGATGTGTTTCTTGGAGGAGTTTATATGGAGGGCGGTGATGGACGTACGGTGTCCCAGGTGTTGATGCCCCTGTCGTAGGCATATTTCAACAGCGGGAGAGACTCGTCCTCGTTCAAGATCCAGTCTTGCCATTTGTCGGAGCCATAGCTCATGCATCCCAAGATGACCTTGGACACCTTGAGGCCAGACTTGCCCAGGCTGTCGACGAGTTAGCGGACCAATTCAATGGTGGAGGTGTAGCTACTTCTCAATACGACGACGTACTTGACGTATTCCATCTTAGCCTCAGACATGTTGGTAGCTCTACTATCGTTGTCGTTGTTATTGTCTCCAAGAAAGTCAAAGTCCCAAGGAGTGACTCAAGAGTTGAGGAAGAAACAATCGGACGGGCCAATGTGGATTCCAGCGCCCTCTTATATATGCAAGGGTCCAATACTTGCTTTCTGGGTTAACTTGCAACATATTGAATACGGATTTTGAGGGATATATCCGTCGCATTTCGCACATTGGCCTTGACCGCATCCAGCGTCGTTCGTCGTTCAGCGGAAATTCTCCATGGCGCCCAATGCATGTTGATGACTCCCTTATTCCCGTAGCCCAGTTAATTTCTTTTGCTTACGGGGCACTTTCATGAATTGCACATCATTCAAGGGATCCAAGGTGGGGAGGATGGAGCTATGGCGGGGATATTCCTCTAATTCCGCTTCGTTGGTGCTGTTGTTGCGTCAGAGAACGAGAGGACCAAGTGGGGGTGCCCCTCTTTCTAGCTTCGGAGGAGGTGCCGGGCCGCCAGGGTAGTCGAGAGTCAAGACGACTGGGTTGGAACTGTTGAGGATCAGAATGCTTGTTTTGTCTGTCTATCACGATATGTAGGAAGAAGATAAGTGATGAACACGCAGCACATCAGGCTTGTGACACTGCAAAGATAGTAAACATACATGCGGTGCAACGACCAAGCAAAACGCTCATGAGGCGAGGTTTCCTGGCAACTCAACAGCACAGTCAACGTACACATCACAAGTTCACGTTCACATCATGATTGGGGAGAAACCTTGTTTGAGAGAGACTCTCGTTGCCCGTGGGCAATGCTGCTTTCGCGCATTTGATTGATTCTGGGCCTTCACGGCCGCAGTAAACTAGCTAGAAATAATAATCGTTCCCTTGCAGAAGACCTGCCCGTTATGCCTGAATACGAACGCCGTACATGATGAATCCGATATAAATGACCACAAAGAACACCTACTGTCCGCCACGGAGACGGAGCACCAAGTGCAGGGTCGACTCCTTCTGGATGTTGTAGTCGGAGAGGGTTCGGCCATCCTCAAGCTGCTTTCCAGCAAAGATGAGGCGTTGCTGGTCTGGTGGGATGCCCTCCTTATCTTGGATCTTTGACTTGACATTGTCGATTGTGTCGCTAGACTCAACCTCCAATGTGATAGTCTTTCCAGTCAAGGTCTTGACGAAGATCTGCATACCACCACGAAGACGAAGCACCAAGTGGAGGGTGGACTCCTTCTGGATGTTGTAGTCGGAGAGGGTTCGGCCGTCCTCGAGCTGCTTACCAGCGAAGATCAAACGCTGCTGGTCCGGAGGGATACCCTCCTTATCTTGGATCTTTGACTTGACGTTGTCGATGGTATCGGACGACTCAACCTCCAACGTGATAGTCTTGCCGGTGAGGGTCTTCACGAAGATCTGCATACCACCACGGAGACGGAGGACCAAGTGGAGGGTGGACTCCTTCTGGATGTTGTAGTCGGAGAGAGTGCGACCGTCCTCGAGCTGCTTTCCGGCGAAGATCAAGCGCTGCTGGTCTGGGGGAATGCCCTCCTTATCTTGGATCTTCGACTTCACGTTATCGATGGTGTCTGAAGACTCAACCTCGAGAGTGATGGTCTTTCCGGTCACTAGTGATGATGTCAGCATGTCGTTGAATGACAGATGTGATGGCGGTGAGTGGCGACTTACGGGTCTTGACGAAGATCTGCATACCACCGCGGAGGCGGAGGACGAGATGTAGAGTGGACTCCTTCTGGATGTTGTAGTCGGAGAGAGTGCGTCCATCCTCAAGCTGCTTTCCAGCGAAGATCAAACGCTGCTGATCCGGAGGGATGCCCTCCTTATCTTGGATCTTGGACTTGACGTTGTCGATGGTGTCCGAGGACTCCACCTCCAAGGTGATGGTCTTGCCAGTGACTGTGACGATGGTGTTAGCAGATGAACTTGACGAACCTTCGAGTGGCGATAGTGAGAGAAGGCAGGTACTTACGTGTCTTGACGAAGATTTGCATGGTGACAGCTTCTGATGGTGTTGTTCTGGTGTGTTTGTCGGTCAGGTGTGTGGTGAGTGAGAGTTCAGGCTCGTTGCCGTGGGTTGTGAGGTTGGAGTTGGATGATTGCGATGATGAGGGAAGAGAGAGAGAGGAAGAAGAATCGTAGGAGCAAGAGGCGCAGGAAGGGGTTTATGTAGTGTGTGAGTGAAGGAAAGGATGTAGGGTTTAGTAGGTGTAGGCGTAGGCGGCGGCGACAAGCAGGAGCGGCGGGAGGCTGTGACGCCTTCACTCATTGGAAGCTGCGCAGGCAGTGGTGAGTAATACAGATTGGAGAGGGAAGGAGCGATGGAGGGCCCGTGCGTTGGGGCTGGCAACTGGCAGGCCTGGAAACAAGGAATGGCGAACATTCGAGCGAATTCGACCAGGCGGCAACCCCAACACCATCCTCCTTACACCTTGTCATAGTCATACCTAAAGTCCAGAATAACGCCGACATGAAAAGAAGAAACTGCATTTACTCATCTCCTCATGAAAGGATTTTCAGGCACCTGTGCCACTCACAAAAGCCCTCACCAACGACACCGCCACCGCCGGGCATTCACAGGACAGGTACACTGACAGGTACCTCGCAGATAGCAGTGAGTACCCTACATGACGATGTACCTACCTCCATACGGACTCCACCAACAGCGCTAAACCCACCTCGTCGCTCCTTCCCCCGCTCGCGTCACCGTCACCGTCTCCACCCTCCCCTCCGTTATCGCGCGCGCAGCGCATTCAGACACACCGGACTGCCTTATCCGACCCACTAGTTATCGACTACCAACCTCCATGTGATCAATAGCCTCCAGTCTAGACGAACCTCACCTCAAAGCAAGTACATACATACTTGATCGTACAATGCACTCGCCGTAATCCATCGCGACCAAGCAATCCTGAATCCGAGGAGAAGTAAACTTATCTTACAAAGTGTACGATGCATGCAAGTAGTCATCCGCCCGCATGAGAAAGATACCATGCCGAGTCCGAACTTCCGCCGCGGGCCGGGAGGGGAGGGGAGGGGGATCGCATCATCTTGCGAACGCCAGGTGTACGGTAGATGCTTCCTATGGACTGATTGACTGTCTTTGTCACTGGTATACGCATGCATGCGCTTTTGCTTTGCGGAATAATTGAGCTGCTGGTTATAACTAAACGCAATGCTGACTACACTGGAGCATCTACTGCGAGTTAACATCTAGGCACCTAGGAAGATACATATCTCCTCAGAAGAATATGTGTATGTAGATACATCCAACAAGGTACATATAACGCGCGTGCATTGCTCCAATGCCTACTGTGAGGTACGGAGTACCTAGGTAGATATCTACCTAGAGAGTTACCATCAAAGAACAGACAAAGACGTCATAAGCCGCAATACCGTGCCACCCCTCCCTCTCATCCATCCCATCCCGCGCACATTCCCATGGAGACTCGTACGCGGAAATTAAATAAGCTACACCGTAAGAACAACAATGGTATCAACAATGACATCAAAAGCAAATGATAAATGGTATACAGTAAACAGCAGATAGTAACAATACAAGTACGTATGAGAGGGGAAATCATAGCGATTGAGTGTATACGCGAATGCGACGCATTTGGAACACGTTCGCCCGTGCGGTTTCTGATATGTGGCGCGGCGTCTTGCGTTCCACGTGTGGCAGTGCTGAGGCTCAAGATACACTCGTACGCGTTTTGTATCTCATGTACCGTGCGTACCTACATACGTACATGAATAGATGGATGAATAGACGAATAGATGAATAATTATAGATAGACACGTACATATGCACACACATAAAAACAATTGACCACGAAGCACGAAGCGCGAACTAACGACCAACCACCCAAACAACTTTTTTAAAAGTACTTGCGATTTACATTGTTTTTTTTCTATAGTACAAGTACTTTCTTCAAAAGTATTAAAAAAGCTTTAAGGTGTTTGGTTAAGAAGGTAGGTAAACGAGCGACTGAGAACATAAGTAAGGCTGATAAGGTAAGGGAACGGGAAGGTACGTGGTGATTCGAAAAATAAAAATGTACATTGTTCAGCGCTCACGATATACCGCTAAGCTACATACACATACATACATGAGAAGGAGAGCAAGAAGGAGGAGGGCGTCCTTGTTTATCAGTCCCGTCCCTCTCTCCTCGCCCTCCTTCTCTGGGGTCCGATGCACAGAATCAGTAAATGGATGATGGAAAGAAAAGGAAAAGACGAAGGAAAGGAATTATCCCAAGCCTGGCCGACACTCATAAGTGAGGAAATATAGGAAGAAACGCAGGGAGACAGAAAGGAGAATGTTTAGTGCAAAGGGTGATGGTGATAGATGGCATTCGATGCAAAGTATTGCATTCTAGTTGGAGATCTAAAATCTTTCTTCTTCTTTTGTGAAGAGAGAAAACAAGAAAACGCAAAAGAGAGGAAGAATTGGCCGGTCAAGAAATTATTGGAAATAGTGGCCGCCGCCTGAAGAACGCCAATGCATGCGTGAAAAGGACGAGAAATGAGGCAAGAGTAGCCAAAGCCAAAGAAAGGACATTAGATGGCGCGGAAGGACACAACATGAGCGGGAAGGCGTTCTCTATACCATCGACTTCTCGGATTGGCCGGGATTGATCGATGCGTACTGAGGCCCGCTGGAGACCTCCTTGTTGGGGATTTCCTCACCCCGGCTGCTCTCGCTGGAGCGGCTCGCGGCGTTGTTGGCGGCGGCAGCAGACGGGGCGGCCGTGGTCTCCTCGGCCTTCTCCTTCTTGACCTTGGGTACACGGACGAGCCAGTAGAGCAAGCAAGCGCCGAAGATGTTGAAGATGATGTACACCCACATGAGGCCAAAGTTGCGCCAGACGTTACCGTAGTCAGAGTTGACGCCTGCAAGGAAGATGTTGGTGTCTCCCATGGCGCAGTAGCTGCAGTTCTCGGTGGCGTTGGGGTTGGAGACATAACCGCCAGTCATCTTGGCGAATGGCTCAATGTATTCGTAGCAGCTGCCCTGAACAGGGTTGAAGTGGACGTACTCGTTGGGTCCGCACTCGACTCGTTGATTCGCCACGCCCGTAGCCAACATGCCTGAGATGAGATACGTGAACGGCGAGACTCTGTACATGAAGATCCAGAAGCCAGGGAGCTGATCGGGGGTGGCGAGAACACCGCAGAAGACGAGGCAGAGAGAGAAGGCCAAGTTAGCAATGTTGCCACCAGCTTCAGCCATTTCCACCCCAGCAATGACCATGTGGGCAAATGTGGAAGTGAAGAGCAAGAAGGTCCAGACGAGCAAGAACATCTGAGCACCACGGAGGTGGACAGCGTCGGTAGGCTCGGCATTGCGGTAGAGACCAATGGGATAGTACCAGCAGAGGAAGATGAAGACAGCCTGGAGAGTGTTCCATGGGAGTTCGACGACGATGTTGGCAATCATGAAGGCCTTCCAGGAGTATGCCTTGGATGGGCGCTCACGGACCTCGTACAAGGCACGTTGAGTGACGAAGTGGGGCATGATCTGCTGCACGAGCTGTCCGAAGATGGTCATCAACATGAAGATGGAGAACACTATAACTGTGGTTAGCTAATTTTCACCCAATGAGAATGTGTCAACTTACTTTGATTCTGCAATCCCTGCATGGTGTTGGGAGTGTTGTAGAGTGAGAAACCGATGAAGAGAGCCGAGAAGATGCAAAGACCAGACTTGGAGTAGATGTACGAAGGGGAACGCCAGTATTGCTGGAAGACTCGGACGGTGACTTCGCGCAACTGCTCGCCAAAGGGAGCGGCGAATTCACGGTAGCTAGCCTTGTCCTCACGCTTCTGGGCCGAAAGGGTGCGTTGAAGAGCAGATTCCTGACCGCGTTCATGCTTGAGCTCGGCAAGGTGCTGCTGGACGTACGCATACTCGGCACTGTTGCGCCATACCTCATTCCAGTCGATGTCAGTGTGAGATCCGGGGGCTGCACCAATGACTTCAAGCATCCATTCGGCAGGGTTGGCAGAAGGAGGGCAGGGAGGACCACCGTTGCGGACGAAATAGTCGATGAGGATCTTGGAGTTCTCGCCAACGTCACCATAGTACACGGTCTTACCGCCGGCCTTGAGGAAAAGAAGTCGGTCGAAACGCTGGAACAACATGGCAGAAGGCTGGTGGATAGTGCAGAGAATGGCCTGGCCGTTCTTCTTCAGTTTGTCAAGTAGATCAAGAATAGCCCAAGAGGTCTGAGAGTCCAAACCGGAGGTAGGCTCGTCCAAGAAGAGAAGGAGGGCAGGCTTTGCAGCGAGTTCGACACCAATAGTAAGACGCTTGCGCTGTTCAACGTTGAGACCTTCACCGGGAACACCAACGACGGCATCGGCATACTCGGACATTTCCAAAAGCTTGATGACCTCCTCGACGTAGTCAAGCTTCTCTTCGCGGGGGACGTGGGCGGGCTGGCGCAGAAGGGCGGAGAAAGTGAGAGCCTCACGGACGGTCGAAGTGGACAAATGGAGATCTTGCTGTTGAGCGTAACCGGTCTTGCGCTGGAAGGATTCATCACGAGGCTTGCCGTCGACGAGCATTTCTCCGGTGATAACACCCATAGTGGTACGAGTAGCGAGGCAGTCCAAGAGCGTAGTCTTTCCGGCACCAGAGACACCCATAAGAGCAGTCAGGGTTCCAGGCTTGACCCATCCATCGACATGGTCCAAGATACGGCGAGGTTCACCCTTGATCTTGATGTCGTAGCACACGTCCTTCCACTGGAAGATGGCGGTCTGGCGTTCGATGATGGCAATGTTGTTGTCGGAGGGAGTCTTCTCGGCACCGACTGGGCGAGCGGCTGGGGCAGCCTCCAAATCATCAGTAGACTTGCTGGGAACAAGACCAGTGTGACCACGACGGAAAACCAAAACTTCACCCTTTGACTTCTTGGCAGTGATGAATTCAGTGGCAACGAGATACACACCCATAAGACCGATCATGAAAGCCCAGAGAATTCCGAAGTTCCTCCACTTGTGGCTGTGGAGGTAGTCGTAGGAGACCCGGATGTAGGTATCACCGTTTACGAAAGGCTGGCCAGGGATCGATCCGGCAGTGGAACAGACATGGTTGTCGCCACCCACACTCTCGTAGCCAGGGCCGAAGGGGATGAAGTTGACGCAAGGGAAGTCCCTGTTGTGGAACTCGTTGATCATCAATGACTCAAAACCGTAACCGACGGGATTGATTTTACTGATCCATTTGGCCCAGCCAAGCATGTAAGTTGGTGGGATAGCGAAACCAGTGTACATAACCAAGCCGAGAATCAAGATGGCTGCGGGAGCCAAGGCTTGCACGAGAGACCTGGAAAGAGAGGCAACCGATCGGAAGAACATGGACATGACGAGCGTAAGCGTGAACGAGATAAGCGTGAAGAAGAAGAACGGGCCCACTTCGCGGCGAAGATTGGTCATGAAGTAGAGAACCAGATTGAAGAGGATCGCGTTGCAAATCTTGTAAGGCATATCTGTCAACATGGACGCGAATGCTTCGGCAGATGGGTGGTAAAGAGCATAACGGGAGTGCTTCTCGACGATGGGACGTTGGGCGTAGAGTGTAAGAATTTCCAAAGCAGAACCGAAAGCGTTCATGAGAATAGCGAAGAAGAGCAAAGCACCACGCTGGTAAAAACTGTTGGTATCCTCTTTCAAGTTGAAGAAAACGCTGGAGATGATAAGGGCCATGATCGAGTTTGCAATGAGCTGGGTCAATGTGATGCTAGGGTCAGCCTTGAGGCGCCAGAATCCACGCCTGAGGCAGAGGCCGACCTGCTGGGTGTAAGACAAGGTGTAGGGAGACTTGATGCGCTGTCGCTTGGACTGCTGGGCGCGACGAGACTCCTTGAACTTCTGGAGGTGCTCTCCGCCGATCGGGTACTTCTGTTCGTAGACCTCGATCTCTTGGAGCAGACGAGCACGCTCCTGAGACTCCTTCCATCGCAGGGCAAACTCATCTGGGGTCCTGGGAACACGGCCCTCGAATCCCTCACGGACGATACGCTCGAGAGGGCTGGTCATGGAGGTCAAGAAATCGGCATCGGTCTGTCGGTCGGGGCAGTGGAAACCCATGTCGACGAAGTACTGCTTGGCGGCCGTGGTGCGCCCGAAGAAGATCTGGCGACCCTCGTAGAGGACAAGGACCTTGTCGAAGACGTCGTAGGCGGCCTGTGGGGCCTGGTAGATGGCAACACACGCGGTTGCGCCGTTGATGTCGGTCTGCATGCGGAGGGTCTTGCAGAACTCGATGGCGTTGGCGGAATCGAGACCACGGGTACTGTTATCCCAGCATTGCAAGGGGGCCATGCTCAAGGCAGCCTCGGCGATACTGACACGCTTGCGCTCACCACCGGAAACACCACGGATGAAGTCGTTACCAACCTTGGTGTTGACGGTGTGGCTGATGCCCATGATGGCCATGATAACATCGCGCATGTGGCAGGCATATTCGTGGATCGAAACTCCTCCAGGAATGTGACGTGGTGCTCGAGCGCGTGCGGCGAAGTACAAGGTCTCGCCGACTGTAAGCATGGGGAAATGGACGTCGACCTCAGCGGTGTAAATGGCTTCACCACGGAAGTGCTTGGACATGTGCTCGGCGCTGATACCTAAAGAAATGGTGAGTACGGAAAGTGAAAAGCCCGTTCAGGGGGAATATGGTAATTACCTTGGTAGTTGATCATTGACTTGTCGTCGACGAAGAAGCCGTGGGTCTCACGAGTCACGGTCTTCAAGAAGGTAGAGCAACCAGATCCGGGAGGGCCAAGGACGACGAGCATCTCTCCGCTCTCGACAAGACCATCGAGGTTCTGCAAGATGTCGATCTTGCGCTTCTTGCTCTGGCCGAGGGCGTTCTTTGCGAGACCAATGACATCCAGCCAGACGTTGCCAACACTCTTCTGGTAATCGGTGGCGGAACCGAAACCGTGGACGTTCAAGTTGCGGAATGCAATTCCAGAAGTGCGGACGGGGTGTGCCTTCTCGTCTTCGGTCTGAAGGTGCAGCATAGCTTTGCACCAGGCTCTGGCGTTGAAATGGTCGCCAGTAGGGTCCAGGGTCGAACCAGGCTCAGCGCTGAACGGGTTCTGGCCAGTGGTGGAGTAGTGGCTCTGGGTGGTATATCGCCTTGCCAATTGGTGGACCTCCTCTTCTCTCCTCTCCATGCTGGAATCGTCGTTGTCGTTGTTGCTGGTTCCCTGGGCGTTCTTCAGGTCCGAGCGTTCGTTGTTGGAGTTGTCACGCGAATGTGCGCCATCCTGGTGGGGTGCGATTGTCGAAGCCTCGGAATCCAGATGGGGAGTGTGCGAGTTCCTTCGAACAGCATCCATGGGGGAAACGCCGTTATGGGTGGCCTCCCGGTCGTTGTTTGATGTGAAGTTACCGACCAAGCTCATGGTGGTTACGTTGTTGCCTCTATGGCAGGACCGAGGTAGGGGTAAACAATGCGGTCTTTGCTAGGGGCCGAGCCAGTAACGATCAGATGGGGATGCCGATATCGATTTCTCCGTCCAGGTAAGAAAGTTAAGGTTGGTTGAATTGTTCAGGAAAGGAAGCGGGAGGGAAGGGGGGATATTAAATGGTAGTAGTAGTAAAGTGAAGAAGAATTGCCCTTGAGATTGAAGTGGGGGGAGGAAGGACAATTAAGGACGAGGGAAGGAGGTTGAAGAAGGAGGGTGAGGTAGTAAAGAGAAGGTGGAAGAGAGTGACGGGGAACAGGAATAGGTATATTAGTAGTTGTTAGATATCTAGGGGCGGACGAAAGAGAGATGAAAAAAAAGGTTAATAGAGAGAACGAGAACGGAGGTCGCAGAGGCAAAGGCAACAACAACAACTGTAGGAAGCTCGCACTCTGGAATCGGATTGGGGATAGTGCAGAGTAGGAGTAGGGAGATTTGACCCCCGGCCGTCCGTTTCGTTTGGAGGGAGCCTGGGAGCCTTGGGAGGGGGAGGTTAGGATGGATGTGTAGTGGAAAGAGAAGAGACCGGGGGATGGGAGTAACCTTTTTTCGTCCAGTCTCCAGGCTTGTGGGTGCGATACTCGAGGGTGTTGCAGGCGTATTGCGCGGCGCGGGTATGGCATGCAAGGATTAACAGGGGATGGGGAACGGGTAACAACACGATGGGACAGCCGAGAGAGGGAACGGGATTTCAGATTGGTAGAATTGCAGAATTACGGTATTATCGTACAGGAACGAGTATCCGATGTCATACTACGGAAAGGTGTCATTAGTTCTATTACCTAGTACACAGTGAGTGAGTAAAAAGTGGTGAAAGTGTTGGTATCGTATTGATACATTCGGTTACGAAGTCTCTGTTCCAGCCGAACGACGGCGGAAGACGCGCTTGGCACGTGGCACTAAACCTATCATAGGCAGCAAAGAGACAATGTCGACCGGCTGGCGGATGTCCAGACCTCCGATCCGTCCTCTGATACAACAGACTACACTACGAACCACGACACTAATGCCACATGGACATGGACATGGACATGAAAATACCGATACAACATCGTTATGGTTCACCTAGTTAAGGTTTTCTTTGCTAGCAGTGGCCAATTTCATCACCATCACCATCCTCATCGTCACTCATGCATACTCATTCAAACTAATTACGACGGAGCACCTGTTCCACCGTATTGCTCCTCGTCTTCTCTTGTTGTTCCAGAACACTTGAGGCCAATAGCAATCCATCACAGTACCATACATACGTCCATTGCACGTCATTCCCACGCGATCAACTCCGTCGTTCGGAATATATCAATGTAAACAGATAATGTCTAACCTAATTGATATGGATAAACAGTATCGCGTATTGCCCATGCATTCGGCCATGCGGCTCTGTTCTCTTAACCTTAATCTATATCCAACGCCTGCACATCAACGGCCTGCGGATCCCGATTGTTCCAATTTCGTCCGAAGAGAATTGATCAATTGTAGCATCGTGTTGCATCTATTGCGTACTGAACCTTCCACGTGCCTTGCCATATCCAGATGCCTACCCAGCAACCAGTGCCGCGGCTCATCTTGTCTAGCATCAGAACTGTAAGCTACAAGACATGTTACACGTTGTACGTCCACCTCACAGCCAGTCGGTGACTCAGTATCACAATCTTTCGGATCCATTACCCATTTTCGAAATCGCATAGTCATCCACCAAACCGACCACGCGGCTAGAACTTCCATCCGATCTGTTTTTTACAACGTAGGTAAAACCCATATTCTCCCTCAGGCAGCATCAGATCTTGAATACAGCCCTTGGCGGGGCACAAGGGAGCACAAGGGAGCTGGATAAGCGAGATACCGAGAATCCTCGCGCTAACCCCATACGGAAGTTGGTGCTCGCCTGGCTGGTCTGCATACGGCGCTCATGATTCCATCCAGCCGGTCAGCTCGACATGTCCTGCCTTTGCTCGTGCTCTCTCGCAGAAGACCTGCATGCGCATGTGCTCGTGGGGTTCCCTCCGATGTTGCATCCTTCTGCTGGAAGAGAAGAAGCTTCAACACGAAAATAGAACCACCTCGTGGAATCGGTGAACCGATTATACAAAGAAAAATCTTATTGCGCAGGAACAGTGACCGAGTTCCTGGTCACGACAGGTTTGCACATTGTTCGCCGCCAGGGAAAGCCACGCGATCATTCCGTCTTGACTTTTGCCAACCTGTGTGTAACAACAACCCAACAACTCTTGTCGAAAATACCATACACGAATATTACAACCATTTTACGTTTACCCTACCCTTGGCGTAGGAACATCCTTTTGCCAATGATCACCATCGGACGAAAAACAACGCTCTCGAACGGTCTGCCGTACTCTGAGGGATGTGATTGACTCCCGCTTCAACGGCCGTCAGATCTTCCCTTCCTACGCTCGTCTCCCTTTCTCCATAAATGTATTTAGCGTGTGGACCTCCCACTACTTGTACACATGCCCCACCACAGTCTACGAGTACTCCCCATCAAGACGTTATATGAGTGGACGGATGGCCTTCCTCTCTGAGGGGAGAAAGATTTGCTTACTCGTGTCATGTACTGTACATAATAGCGGGACTCCACTCTCCGAGGATGGCCTACAACGTACGATAGGATTGCGAGGGAGATGAGTCGAAATGCATCGCACTCCAGGAGTCTAGTCCAATTACATGCAAACAAGGGGCATCCGACCTATAGGATTGCGTACCCTCCGTCGTAAATCTCCCTTAGTTCTACAATAAGCCCTACCAAGTCTGGTTGCGGCTAAGGGAGACGACGAGACGCTAGCTGCACTTGCCTCGCACTCGCTTTCTGCCTGAGGTTGGGAATGGGAGCCCAAGCGTCGGAACGCCCTCGAATCCGTTTCCGAGCCTGTCTTCACACTCTCACAGTACACAGTACACTCCAGTCCGCTAGATGAACTTTACAGCACGACATCTCTACAAGTACACTTACTTACGGCTCGCGGCTGTGGCTCATGCACACCACTCCCTTCAGCCTTACAAGCTACCCTCCTCTCGCATCCTCACTATTCCGACCGACTCTCCCATATGTATCTCCATATTAAACGTTTCAAAAAAAAAAAACCCAACTCTTCCAATACTCCAACATCCGAGAAGGAAGACTCTATATAGATAGCCAGCACACCTTCCTAGCAACACAGCACAGCCGTGTCCTTATCCCCACCCACGCTTCCTCCGTCCGTATCTCGTCCTTACCACCTACCCTCCTCCTCCCATCACACAAACTTCGGAACCATACCTCAGTCTTCCGGTAGGTGACGTCAAACCGAAGATTATGCGCTCACGATATCGTCCGCCCTTCTACGCAGGTACACATCGTGGGTAATACTCGGCACCTACGCACTCACACGTGGCGGTGCCGCCGCCGCTGCTGCTGAGGCGCTGTCGGCACCGGATGTCCCAGCGCTGGGGCTGCCGGTGCCCGGAACAGTTGAGCTTCCCCATGCACCAAGACGACGACCAGCAGCCCCGGGATGAATCGGATGGATTGAAATGACGTCCTTTGCCTCGTCGTCGCAGTGCTGTGTAGGTTGGAATTAAGGTTTTAAGGTGGAGGGAGGGGTGTGGGTGTTCCGGTGTGAGTTGGGTGGCTGTGTGCACGGACGTTGTGGTTGTGAGGTTTGGTTACTGACCTTTAGGTGTGATATAAAGGTATGAGAAGGAAGTTGTTTTTGCGTAGGAGGAGGTGAGGTTTATGTGTAGCTGTGATGCCTAGTACATATGGATAGCTCTTCGAACTTTTCACCTGCGTAGTCTTGCCCCGGCAAGGTAAACCAGAGCATACATCAGTACTCCGTACTCCATATATCTCTTCACCCTCTCCGAAAAAGGGAAATAGGAAGTATACAAACAATCACCATCGCCATAACCACACCTGATACAATGCTCTCCATGGTTCTCCGGGCAGACCTAATCACTGCACAGTCGACAACGAGAAACTTCGTAATCAATTCCAGAAAACAAAATAATTACCCCCATACCCACCTTCCTTCTCCTCCCTCCCTCACTCCCTCTATACTCACTCCACCTACTCACAATGATATAGAAATCCAACCCACAAATTCCACACAACCCACACCTCCCCGAACTGTCCGCAGACATGGAAACCCCCCCCCCATATCCTTGAGAAGTGCAAAGCAATCACGCAACCATCCACTCACAGACGAGAAAGGTAGATAGGAGAAAAGTGTGTCTCTGCACGAGCACGCTCATACCCGCCCATAAAGAAAACATGCGGCCATAAGTCCTGGGAGTTGGAAACATCAGACGGTAGGGCGAGGTGTTACCAGATCACACACGCACGCACATCTTTCCATTTGTTTCCATGGAAAGTGCGTCCGTCGAATGTGGAGTTGGAAGTGTGATACTATCGCCCCTTCCCCGTGGTTTTTGTAAGGAAGATGGATGGGAAGGGGAGGAAGGTGATTGTGGATGGGGTGCTATCTCAGCGATGTGGCAGTATTTCCGGGGGGTGGAAGAGGTGGGGGATTGGTTTGTATTGGGTGTTTTGGGGAGATGTGGTTGTGTGGAAGGGAAGGGAGAGGGGGAATGTTGATGAAGGTGTAGTTTTGTGGTGATGGGTAGTTATGTGTTGATATGCAAGCATGAGGGTGAGAGGATTTGGCGTGGTGTTGAGGTTTGCATATATCTAAGAAGGTAAGGACATTATTGGGCAAAATGGGTATCTTCAAAAGTAGAGAGGTGAAAAAGACGGCTTCCATATTGTGACAATATCATTGATGGTGATGATGCAGGAATATTCATTACTAGCGGCCGTTGATCCTGTCCTCCCCTCCCTCTCTGTCTGCCTGCCTGTCTGTCTTCTCAGAATCATTAAAATAGTTACAAGATGGGGGACCTCCCCCACGTCCTATCATAGGTTCTCAATTAGGGATGAAGATGTTGACCTCGTTCTGTTGTCTCTTCTCCAGATACTACTTGCTACTGTTTACTTCCACGTTCACTCTCGTGATTCAGATGCATGGCATTCTGCTTGTTGACGCCTCGTGTCGTTACTCATATACCGCGGTATCCACACGCGTCAGAGGGACGCTCATCGCTAGCGAGCGTACATCCTACTAGTAGTCTACGAATCCTACAACGGCTCCGTTACTCCACCCGCGAAACCTTAATCGGACTCGCCAAAGAACTGGCTGGCGAGTATGATGTCCGGATCGTTGTTCGCGAAGTCCCATCCCACGATCGTGGGGTCCTGGCTGCAGCAGATGATTCTGCGGGCGTCGAACTGCAGCTTGAAGACTCGCGAGTTGGTGCCTTGGTTGTTGAGGGGTCCGGCGAAGGGGTGGTGGTGATGGTGATGGTGGTGATGTGCACCCGCTCCTCCGGCTTGCGCTGCGCCCTGCTGCTGCTGTTGCGCGGCACCTAGATTGATGACAGGTGCTGGGCCGGCTGGTTGATGTTGTGTTTGGCCTTGGTTGCCGCTAGCCTGCGCAGCGGCTCCCTGGACAGCATTCTGGGTTGCCGTTATGGTCGTCACGGCTCCTGTTGTGTTTGTTATAATGCCCCCTTGTGCTGTATTAGATGCAGCGTGAAGGGCTTGAGCTTGTTGGGCAAGAGTTGCCGCAGCTTGAGCCTGTGCCTGTGCCTGTTGTGCAATGGCTTGGAAGTGGTTCTGGGCAGCATGGTTCAACTGTTGTGGGTTCTGGTTTGCACCAGGCTGATTCCCGTGGGCATGATTGTGTGCGGCCGGTCGTCGAGGTCGTCCGCCAGCTGCCCTGACAGCTTCATGCTGATATAGCGTGTTAGATCTTTCCCAAGCCCCGTCGTGACCTCTCTTCCAGATTATGACGGTTTCATCGTAGGAACCAGATACAATTCTGGCCCACTTACTACCACCGCCTCCCGGCGGAAGTTTCGCTCCGTAAGCGAATAGCGTTCTCGGATCTCGGGAGCCTGCGTTGCGCGCATGGCGCTGAGCCCTGGTCAAGTCATTGTTGACAAGCCCCTTGCTTTTGGCCTCGAAGAAAGTACGGTCCACCGCCCGGGCTTCGGCTTCGAGCTCTTCCTCGTTGCCTGGGAAGTCCCCAAATTGAGCCTGCACCGTCCGCACAAGATTGGAGTGCCCGTGAAGGCATGCAACTTCGGCCCCAGTCGCGCGGTCAAAGATGCGCACGGTTTCGTCCGAACTGCCACTTACTATCCTTCGTCCGTCGAACTGCACACACGCTATTCCTTTGCTGTGGCCCGTGAAAGTCCTCGAGCATGCACCTGTACGCACATCCCACACTTTCACGCTGCGGTCGCCAGAGGCAGACACAATCTGTCCATCCAGGATCTGGATAGCATTGACAGCCGCCCCGTGACCCTCCAAGCTCATGAGGAGCGAGTAAGGCTGCAGCATGGTATAGTGCAGATGCGCATTCTCCACTTGATGTTGCATATCAATGATATAGGATGGGAATTTGGCCGCTGACTTCGTCGTCGATGAAGGGTAAGCATCATCAGTCGGCCAGAGCTCCTTTCTATTCCACACTTTGATGGTCTTGTCTTTTGAGCAGGTCACCAGATAACGGTCGTCGAACCGGAGGTTCAGAACAGACTCAGAATGCGCCTTCTCGATCTTCTTAATGATCCGACCGGTCGAGAAACGCCACATGATAACCCGACAATCACTACCACCCGATATGATTACATCTTGTTCAGGCCGATCATCGAATTGCAGACATAAAACTGACGCAACATGTCCTTCTAGGGGTTCATGCATCAGCCGTTGGGTCTCTAGGTTCCACACTCGGACAGTCTTGTCGCGGCTGCCACTGACAAGGTGCTTGGCCGTGTATTGTATCGTGTATACACACTCGGTGTGAGCCTCTCTTGGGTGTGCGGGGTGGGGTAGTTGGAAGTTAGAGAAACGGCCTGCATCCCAATTGTCTTCCAGGCGACGCTTCTGCTTATATAGAAATTGCCAGTTGATCTTGGGCTCGAGATTCGGCGAAACAATTAGGGTTGGACGAATAGGGGGTTCTACTGGTGCTGAAGTGATGGGAGATACGATCGAATTGTCGCGTGAATTTTGAGCGACATGATCCTGAGTCGGTTGTTGTACCCCGTCTTCAATCGAATTGTATGATATCCCTTCCATCGTGTCGTCTGCTCTCCTGCTTGGACTTTCGTCAGCTTCGACGGCACCATGCTGCTCGCCCCAGTCGGGTAGGCCTTCTTTGTTGCCGTCTAATGATAGGGGCTCTAGTCCATTGCGAATGCTGTTATCGGCAGACGCGCCGTCGCCGAACAGTGGCCGCTGTCGAAGTCGTTTCTTCGTTGATGGGTTCTCATAATCCATATCCTCTGCGGCGCGCGCACGAGTTTTGCGTTCCCTCATCTCGACCCGCCTCGCTCGTTCAGACTCCTCGAAAGCACGCACTTGTGGGAAATTTGAGTTCCATCCTTCTAATCGGAACAGGAGCTTCCACAAAGGACTGTCCATGACCCGAAGACGCCATGTTCGAGACAATGTGGAAGCTCGAAGCAATGTTTCCGGCGTCAGATATGAGAATATCTGAAAAGTGATCTCGGGGGGGAGGTGGACCACGGGGTCGAGGTGAAGGAGCGGGTTCAACTTTTCCACAATGCCAGCTATTGAGGAAGTTCGTAGGGATCGGAGGATGGCATATGCGAATTCTGATAGCTAAAGTTAATGTTCTGGACATAACAAAGACAACAAATGAAACTTACCACTCCTTTCCGTCTCGTTCATGTTCATGACCCATTCTGGAAGTGGAAACTGCGCGTCTTGGTCTGATATTACACCTCCGATATTCTCACCAAGTCTTGTGTCTATCCTCATCACCGTGTCGCTCCCACTCTGGCTCCTGGTATCCTCGGAATACCCCTCATCGAACCTATTTGCGCTCATGGAAGATGCAGGACGGAAAGCTTGAATATATGAGGGTGGAGAGAAGTGGGCGCCCGGGTTGCTGAACGGGCCTGCCATCGTCGGGGTTTAGGCAACGAACGTGTGTTTGCGCTTCGAAAGCGCGTAGAGGAGTTACTCCAGAGAGCGGATTGTTGGTAGGTTGTAGTCTTCAGGAAGATGTGAAGGATAGTTGGTTTAGGACTGGTTTGCGTGGGTGAGCTGTACTGGTGCTGCCTGGGGAGGTTCAGATGAGACTACACGGGCCTCGTGGTTTGCTATTGTGGTCATCAGCCCGAGCACAAGGAACGTCACACGGTTAGAAGGCGAAGTTCGATTCGGATGGAGCACAAAGTGAACCCGATCAAGTTCAGGTGGGACACCAGGTGAATCCGATCAAGGTGACGATGGCACAATAATGGACGGGTACCTTGATGTTGGTCGTTGGGCCTAGAGGATGCGGCGCCGGTTCTCAAGGCGTTTCCACCTCCCGACCGCCATTCACGCCTGGCGCATGCCGCTAGCCGCTCTTCGTCTAGTCTGACTTGGGCTTGCATCTTCTCTCGACGACACAACCACATCTACATCTTGACTCTTAAGATTATATCGATCAAAACAATCGTATATGCGCTGCTCAAAATGTTTAGAGTCCGTACGGACTAGTTGTCGCAAAAATAACTTTCCAGTCACAGGAAATGCAAGAGTTACACGCCAGTCCGTCGGATGTGCCATTGGGCCGCGATCTGTCCACTCACGCAAAGCATGTAGACTCTGGGTCTCTGAATGCTCAGTCGGGCGCGTAGACCAGCCACCAGCGTTCCATTCTCTCAAGTCGCGCATGAGCCAGCGCATGAAGAGTGCTCAGTCAACCTAATCGATTTGCGATGCTGGCATGGAAAATCCGAATGGTAGGAATGTCTGTTCAGGGATCGTGAAATCACTGTGGTTCATGAGCCGCGAAATGCCTACCGGTTCAACGAACTAATTAATTGTCTTACAATTTACCTATGATGCTAGTACGGAGTAGCATACTTGTGTCAAGGAAACGATGCAGACACACGACGGACTGATTAACAGTCGCTCAGCAAGCTGCTTCAGGTGTTCGCTACGCTTTTGTTCAAATCAAGACAAGGGAAGTGATCTTCCCTGCATTGTTACCTTTTTAAGTTTCTGAATTCTACTGGCCCCTCGAGCGGGGAGACTAGCCCAGCAACAATCAGGCTACATAGAATGTCTAGCGCACCTCGAATCGCTGTCCATCACGGATCACGACCCTGTGCATAATTCGAAGTCTAGTTAGACAGTCTTCAATAGATAGCGACCCGTGTTGTATCATTGTATGGCGGCATCACGATTTGGATTGTTGGCATAAGCAGTCGCACGACGCAGCTCCAGTGTCGCCGATGGAACGATACAAAAGATTTGTCACGGGCGGGCCTCAAATCAACAACGTGCTTTGCTGCACGACCAGCATGTCCACCGTCCACCGTATACTAGGCGCAGTATGGATCGGAGGAGGTGAGGATCTCCGTCAACTATGCCGGCAGAGGAGCTCCACGAAAAGCACAGCACCTGGCCGTTCTGAACCCAACGCGCAGGGCGAGTGGGACGGGTTAGCCGAGTGCGCGGAAGTCATGTTCGTGGAGATCAAGTGACCAATTTATGCAGGATGCAAGATCCATCGTGCTAGAGAAGGAATGTTGTGAAAGGGAAATATGAGGCGTCGAGGCGTCGAAGTATGCGGCGTGCGGCGTGTGTGATATGCTTGGGGGATGTACCAGAATGATGTAGTTCAAGGAACCTAGTTGATCTTCGAAACGGGGATAGGTTGCGTCTCCAGAATTTGTGGTGCAGCCCGTCAAGTGATGGATCATGGGTGCCGATTGCCGTCAAACGCTTTGACGATTGGGAGAAGAAAAGTTCCGACGGCTTGTGAATCGTTGATGAGTCGTCTCCTCCTCCTGCTCGAGCCCAAAGTGTCGTTCCTCTTGTAACTTTAAGTTGTAGCGCAGTGTGCAGTGTGATGCGGCTAAACAGCAGCTAGCCGCCTTTCCCCATTCGTCGCTCACGTGGGGCCGAAGCTTGGCCTTGGTCGTCTCAGAATCCCCTATCGTGCGTCCCATCCATCCCACTACACCCAACTTACACCTACCACCTCAGACTCAGCACTCACCCTCACACCGACACCGATCTCTTCTCCTCTCTCCCCCTCTTACAATCTAAGACACGACAAACCTCTCCTCCACAAGCTGCTGCTGTTTCCTACCAGTGCTTGTATCCCGCGAGATATTACACCACAACACACCACCAACACCCGACGGCACTCTCTCCCGACTCCTTCTGCCTCCCTGCTCGGCCTCGACGCAACCCGCCCCAGCTTCTCTTTCCGGACCCTGTCTGTGTCGCAGCTCCGTCCAAGCGCTCTGGCGCCACCCACGCCGCAACCTGCGATCGAGGCGATGAACGTCTAGTATGGAGGTTGCCTTTCACGCCGGTCTTGCACGAGTTCCATCAAACCCCCAGAACTTTCCTCCTCCAGCGACACATTCCCGGATGAATTCGAGCGGCGGACCGCCCGCCCTCACGAGCCACCAGAGCTTCCAAAGCCAATACAGCAGCTACTCGCACAGCAGCGCCCGCGATACCCAGTCATCCTCGGCCACATCCACTTCTACACTCTTTGGACAGCCGCCTCCTATATTCCCCAGCTCCACCCCCATGAACGGCGGGCCGATCGAAGCCTCGAACAATGTTCTTAACAAGCGGGCCGACAAGGACACTTCCCTCTTCCAGCGATGTTTGAATCTGCAACAGCGCCTACGTGCTATTCCGGGCTTCGAGCGGTGGATGGTTGAGGAAGAGAATAATGCAGACGATGACGCTGACCCAGTCACTCTACTCTGGAGGACGTTCAGGAGGGGCTACCCGCTGATGGATGTTTACAACGCGCTGGGACCCCAGAAACCTCTCGTTGTCGATGAGGGTAGGATACCGGAGAAGAACAGGCCGAAGACTGCGGCCTACAAGTTCATCCAGGCATGCGTTGGAGAACTTAAATTTCCTTCCGAGGAGTGCTTTATCATCAGTGATCTCTACGGCGATGATACGACCGGTTTTGTGAAGGTAGGTTCACGTAACTAACAAATCCGAATCATACGCTCACTGTCCATAGGTCACCAACGTCGTCAATCGTGTTCTTGATATTCTCGTGCAGATGGGAATCATCATAACCGAGAGTGAGGCAACGGACAGCGGCTCCGTTACCTCCACCGTCAAGCGCACGCAAAGAGAGCACATCATCGATGAATTGGTTAAGACAGAACGTACATACGTTCAGCATCTGGAGCTTCTCCAGGCATTCAAGAAGCTCGTTGAGGAGAAGGGTGTTATCACTGGTGACAGTGTCCATGACATCTTCCTGAATCTGAATGCCCTTCTCGATTTCCAGCGCCGATTCCTTATCCGTGTGGAGCAAACAAATGCGCAATCAGCATTAGAGCAAAATTGGGGCCAGCTTTTTGTCTTGTACAAGGACGCATTCAAGGTCTACGAGCCTTACATTGCCAATCAAAAGAAATGCGAAGAGGTTGCCATGCGGGAATTTGATAAGCTAAGGGAGACTGGTGGCTCTCCAGAGATGCAGCAGATGGTAGAATCGCCTACTCATCTTACCTCGTTCCTGTTGAAACCTTTCCAGCGGTTGGCTAAATACCCGCTACTTCTTAAGGTAAGACATCTTCATCGGAACGCATTGGACTTGACTAATACGAGGACAGGAACTTCGCGACAAAGGCGACCTAGACGAAGAACGCAAAGGCGATATTTCGGCCGGCATAGAGGCTGCCTCTGCCGTGTTACATCGAACGAATGCAGCCATTGACCGAGAAGAGCGAATTGAAGCCGTTGAAGAGCTGAAGACCCTGGTCGAAGATTGGAAAGGCCACCGAATTGAAGGTTTCGGCGAACTCCTTCTCTACGGACAGTACACCGTCTTGAAAGGCGAAGGGATTAATGCGAAGAATGAAGAACGCGACGTATGTTACAGCAGCCATTGATATCCGTGATATGAAGTTTCGCTAACTGTGCCTCAGTACAGGATCTACCTCTTCGAGATGATTCTACTTTGCTGCAAGGAAATAAACCCCAACAAGCAGAAGAATCGCATGATGAATAAACCACTCGTTAACAAGAACGGGAAACCGAAGTTGCAGCTAAAGGGTCGTATCTTTATGCAGAACGTTACCGAGACCATATCCCTTCAAAAGCCTGGTAAGGACAGTGGTAACCATCATATAATGTATTTTGGACTAACGATATTCCACCAGGATCATACACCTGCCAAATCTTCTGGAAAGGAGATCCTGGCATCGAAAATTTCATCATCCGATTCAATTCTGAGGAGACTATGAAGAAATGGGCTACCCAAGTCGACACCCAACGACGCGTTTGGAAAGAGCATTCAAGGACGAGCAGCAGCGCAGGGCAACCCAAACCTTCGGATACTCAATTTAATTACATGCGAGATCAGGTCTTGGAGAATCCTTACCAAGAAGAAGAAGATGTTGAAGAGGAGGATGCAGATACAGTCACACCCGGTTATCCAGGACCCCAAGATGGTTATGGTGTCAGGCAAAACAGTGGCAGTGTTCCGCCTCGATCACGATCTACCACAGGCGACAGCGACGGTGATTCAAGGGTACCGCCTCCTCGTTTCCCCATGGGCGGCTATCCCGCTCAGGCCCCGCTAACCCTGCGAACCCAACAGTTGCAAAACTCTGGCAACGCAGATTCTTATTTCTCCCCAACTCTTGAGTCACCGATGTCGACACATTCAAATGCCCGCACGAGCTCTTCCTCGGCTGGCACATTCCCGTTTCCCAGGCAAGCACCACCCAACGGATTCCATGATGAGAATAACCGATATACTGCTCCTCCACCAGCACGCGGCCACATGTCTCGAGACGGATCTGTTAGCGGTCCATCATATCCAAATAGTCGCGCTGCCCAACGCCCGTCATTGCCCCCTAATACGGGTTCATTGGCTCAAGGACGGTTGCGAGCTGCCAGTAGCCCGGATATCCACAATCCCAATCTTGGAGGTCGACGGACGCAAACTTCAGTGCCAGATGTCCCGCCATTTCCTACGCATTATGCCTACAACGCTGCAATCGTGAACCGAAGTCAGAGCAATTCACCAAGTGCTGTTCCCCCGCGAGCAGCCACGCAGTCGCCAGCAATCCAACGCGATCGATTGGTACAGCAGCGAACTGCTGCCGAGTTGGCCAACGTTGAATTCAACGGAAGCGCAGCCCGCCGTGAACCCAGCCACCCAATGTCACGAACCATGACACCTGCTTCCTCATTCGAAAGAACTTTAACCCCGGCATCAATGGATTCACGCAATATGTCACCACCTCTCTCTCAGACCCCTGGTCCTGATATGATCAACCCAAACCTTCCAACACAGCTGAAGGTTAAGGTGCATTGCCCTTCAGCCGGCAGCACCATGACATTGGTCGTTAGCACAACGATTAGCTTTCAATCACTCAAAGATCGCATTGATGCGAAGCTTCAGCGATCAACAAGTGTATCACTGGGAGCAGGTCAAGTGAAGCTAAAATATTTGGATGACGACGATTACGTTAGCATTCTTTCCGACGAGGACGTGCAAACAGCCTTCGAAACATGGAAGGAACAGCAGCGAGACATGAATCCCGGTGGACAGCAGCTCGGAGAGATTGAGCTTTTCTGTCAGCGGTAGCCACCTCGATATGTGGCATTGTGTATGACGAGCATATATACGGCGTTTATGGCTGGCATCATCGTTCTTCTCTTCTCGACTTAACAAGACGGATCATTGTCCAGCATTTACTGGCGCAAGGAGTCAGTCAATTGCTAGATTTTGTAACCAATGGTTTGGGCAAATGCTTCCAACCAAACGTCACACCCAAGGCATAAGGAGTCACGATATTCTGTTGATCCACGATGACCGCGCGGCTCCCTTGGGTGTTTCTTTTCGGATCGGATGTGGTTAGAGGTTCCAGGCTGGTCTCACTTTTCTCACACTCTTTCCATGGATATTTCTGGAAACCATACGGCGGACAGGCGCCCGCATGAATGATGATGGAATGAAACTGTTGTATCTTTTTTTTTCTACTTTTCTTATTCGGCACATGAAAGGGGGTGATGACGCATTCAACAGCTGGCATACAGCAGATCAACAGCATTAACCTAGTTGAAGAATTTTACATGAGGAGCGAGAAGTGTTTTTACCACATCGGTTGTTTCTCCCCCGCCCGAAGAGAGAAAGGCACACTCTGCTCATAGGAATGTATGGAGGGCCTTTTTCGTCTTTTAAACTTTTTTTTATCTTTGGATAGCAAGAACTTCTTCCCTTTTTCTCTTCTTCAGGCGTCAAACTTGCTTCTCTCCTCCTTCCCCTCCGATAGACCAGATATATGCGTACTGAAATTCCGGATTGCCTTCAACTCTTTACCTCACGTTCTCCACCCGTGCATGCAAATGTTTAACGCTTCGTCCCCCCGAGGCAGCCAATGCCCAATTCCCCACATCGAAACTCCTGTCAGCGTGTTTCGCGCCCGATAAGAGACGCCAATCTTTTCGCACCATGCACGCTCGATGCACGTTGGTCCGGGGTGCGTCATGCAGGGCCAGACAGACCCCACGCTCGCCTCGCCAAGCTGGCCCTCGAAATGCAAGCTTGCCGTGATTCCCGTCGTGTGTGGATCTTTCTGCCATCAACGTGATAAAGCCAAAGAAAATAAAATAATTTGCTTGCGGCTGGGAAGGAGCGTGGCTTTTCGGCGCTGTTTGGTTGTCTTGGGGGAATTGTGCGGCCGCGGATGGGGATGGGGATGTGGATGGAGTATTGGTGTGGTGATCTAATAGCACTTCATCATTTGATATTTTCGATATTCGACGTACATGGTCAAGAGACATGCCAGCTTTGTAGGATGAGTCAATGGGTCTATTATCGATGAGGGAAAAATAAGTCATTGCGTTTGCTTGTGTGGGGAAGAGAGAGAATGGATGAAATGTGATGTTGCTGCATGGTTTGTGGTTAACATCTCCCAATCAATGAATGATTAATTGAACGAATTGATCTGTTTTCCATAAGGACTTGAATGATCAAGTATATTGAGTTGGGAACAAGATATCATCAATAGTGGTAAATTTAAATCATTATTATTTTGATAGTACAGAGGAAGAACCGTCCTAGTACGCAAGTTATTCCATCCTCATCTGCACATAAACTTGCCAGAACAAAGGTTTCAAGAATCCATGTATCATAACAGCAGAGAAAACCCGGTAAGCAAACAACCAAGCCCTCTGTCAAAACCAACGTACTATCAACCGCCTGCTAAACAGCCCTCAACTCCCCATCATGGACATACTCTACACATCCACCCCCTCCCCCATCATCGTGACAACTCAGACGAGCTCCTCGGCCGCGCCTCAGCGGCTAGAGGAAGCGGCGACATCAACGGCGTCCGAAGCATCTCCTTCGGCGTCATCTTGTCCGGGCTGCCAAGGAAGTACTGCCGCGGTGGGGATGATGGTGATGTCGAGTGTGAGAGCTGGGTTGTGAGGTTGGAGCTCCGGATCGGGAGGGGGACGCTTGGTGAAAGCGTTGGGGATAGAGCTAGGGGCATTGTTTGTATGCTTGTTTGGTTGTTTGGGTGGTTGTTGGCTTGGTTCTTAAGGGTGAAGTTGTATCGGAAGTGTGGTTATAAAAACAGATGTAATGGATGGTTTAGTCTTGTGAATGTTTTGATGGATTGATGTACTTTTCGTGGAGGAACGATATAGAAGTTTTATTCTTGAGAGCCTGATTGATTGTATTGATAGAATTGGTGAAGTTTCGAAGAAAGTTCAACACAGGTGCTTGAGGCTAGTGATATGGGTGTCTGATAGTGAGTAACAATCTCAATGGTGATACTTCAATTCCAAGCGGACACTCGCCATTGATATACCCAACGACAATAGCGGAGAAGGCTCCGGAGTCATAGTGCGGAGTCAGAATTACACTGGGGCCAAATTGCCTCATGATGGAGTTAGGAGAAGAAAGGTCCTCGTGGTCTCTGATACTTTTTGTTCCTATCCGCATGACCCGGCGCCACGAGAGGGCGATTTGTTAAGTCCGAGGTTAGTGGTATGGTCCGTATGGACTGTTGATGTTATGGCTGGTCTGGCTAGTAGTATCAGGTAAGCTACCTATTTGTTAGCAAGCTCGAAAATACGTCATATTGGAAATCCAGGGACCACAAAAAAAAGAGGAAGGAAGAGTTAGAACAGGAACTGCACGGAAAAGAAGTTCTTTGAAGATTGAGGACTGAAAAGCATCGACGCCCCATAGCCTATTGCGCGGTTTATTCGCAATTGTGTTCTCGCCTCAAGACTCCACGCTTGTCCGATCAGACGGACTGGACAGTACCTTCACCCTGTGTATGCAACTCCAAAACCCCAAAACCCCAAAACGCCTTTAGTATCACAGAAACCCCAGCTCGGTAACAATGGTCCTCCCATGGCAAGCAGATAAACCTCACGTGTTTCTTTCTAGTATGAATGGCTAGAGTGCGGGGCTCCACAGACCATTGGACTTCCTGCCACCCGCCTCCTCCAAAAGTCTAAGTTCTCCAGCACCGAGGTCGTAGATCAAGCCGTGGATGGAGAGGCCACGATCGTTCATGGCCTTCTTGATGGCTGGATGATGTTTGAGAACATCGATGGACTGATGGACGTTGAGTTCTGCGACGCGCACAGCGCGTGCGTCGTCGTCAGGAAGCTTCTCGAGCTCAGCTTTGTGCTTTCGGCGCAGCCTATAGGTGCATGGGTCAGTCGGAAGTCTAATGCAGGAAGCGAAATCGTACGATTATATAAGGGAGGATTGGAGAGGGAAACGGAAACATACTCTCGGACAGGATGCAGCCATGTGTTCAGCGTGGTTCCCAGATCTGCGTCACCCAGGGCTGCATTGGCACCTCCACACTTGGTGTGTCCACAGACGACTACCTTCTGCACCTTGAGATGCGCGACAGCATATTCGACGACAGACGCGGCGTTGATGTCGTCTGCGTGCACGCAGTTGGCGATGTTGCGATGGACGAACAGCTCGCCAGGCTTGCTATGGCAGACGGTCGTCTCTGGGATTCTGCTATCGGCGCAGCCAATCCACAGAACCTCAGGTGCCTGACCTTTGCTGAGTTCAACGAAGTGATTCGGATCTTGCTCGGCAGCGAGCTTGGAGTAGACTCGGTTTCCGGCGATGATGCGGTCGACAGCGTCTAAAGATCAGGTGAGGTTTGCAGTTAGCTACAGGCCATCCTTGAACTCGGCTGCTTGGCCGGGGGTTGTAAGACGGGTTTGGGGACGAGTGGGCGCCTTTTCTTTGGTGGGGACGCCCCAGCGGGCCCTTTTTTGACAGCGGGCCGTTGATCGCTACATATAAGAGTAGTTCATGGCCCGCGAATGGTGCGTCGAAGACTTGCCAATGTCTTCTTTTCGACAAATGTGACCTTCAAGAGACTTGGGGGGATACTTCGAAGACTTTATCATCCTCGGGAGGGGATGACGACGCCCACTGTCACTGCCACTAACACTGGTCCGCAGATGCACAAAAGTACTTACCGGCGAAGGCCATCTCGGAGATGGCGTGTAGGGCGTATATGTACGGGTAGGTGTCTATTGATGCTAGGTCCCAGTAATATGGAGGAAGGATTGGTTGAGGATGGAGAAGGGACTGGCCACCGCGCTGCTGCTGTTGCTGCTGCTACTGTTGAAGAGATGAAATGTCGGTTGTCGCTGAAAGAGCTGGGAAGTCGAGGGCGGAAGGGAGAAATGAATGAATGAATGTCGCCGTCCGCAAGAGACAAGGTCTCTCTTATCCATCGGGCTTATGGGTCGGGGGTAGGAATTGGAAGTGGCTGCTTCGCGACCGCGCACTTCTGCACCTGCTTTGGGACGATGGTCACTCTGGGCCAGGGGATGGTCGATGTGCATCCCATCCCCATCCCCTCATCCCCATGATCCATCCTACTGGTGGGCACGCAAAGGCAACGCAACGCAACACCATACCAAACTCCAACTGTTGCATCCCCCCTCAACCAACCCCATCCATTTGGCTTGTCACTTTTTTTTCTTCCCTTCCCTCTCGCTCACGGTCCGGAGCCCGGCCAGCTCCGCCTTCATTCATCTATCGTCCTCAATTCCTGACCTCACGCCACGGTAAAGAAACGGAGCAAAGAGAAATAATTATTTCAACATCAGGTCATACTACTGCAAAGTATTCCTTTTTCCTGAACTTCAATGTTGACAGTATTCACACCAGCGTAAACAGCATGTGGGACTCGGAATCGAATGGTCGACCCGCAGGAATCCCTTTGGGTGATTGTGCAGCCTGGCAATCGTAGCGAAACAGCGCCGAGAGTCTGGTCATGCGGTGTACATTACACCGTCTTGGGGTACTTTCGGCTTAGCAACTCTGATATCACCCCTCAATATTCCAAGCACGGCACCGATAAAATCAAACAGCCATACCAGACAGATGCTAGCAGATCTATCTACGTATCGTATCGTACCGAATCTATCCATGCGGCTTTTTATCTCCATCTTGATAGACGGCAGATCAGTTTCAGCTCGAGCCATCTACGCCTGGTCGAAACTTCTGGGCGAGGTATCCAAGTCTCCCCCGGCCAAGCCTCCGACAATGCTTCACGTTCCACGGATCTGGGTCTTGAGCCGGGTGGCATGCACAAATTCACTAAAGAAAATAGACACGTAGATCGACAAGAGATGTTGTACCACCAGCATCCGCTCTTCGTAGCGCTGAGTTCTGCTCCGTATTCTACCAAGGTAAAAGTATATGGAGCATCCAAAGTGCTCATCCAGACAGAAGAGTACGCCAAGTACGGAGTGTCTACCAAGATATGTAATGTTCGCCGCGCCCCTCCACAATCAGACGCGGTCACAAAGCTTCGCGGGAGCTTGGATATTGGCAGCAGTTCCCCCACAAGTCCGCCCCTAGTTGACAAGCTTTCGAAACCGTAGATAGAGCTCTTTATTCATGTCCTGCCTGCTTATTCTATGAAAGTCATTACGCGTTATCTTGTGCCTCTGGTAATCCAAGTGATGTGCTTCAATCTGTGCGACCATGAAACCCTCCTTCAAGCCTGACGCCTCACGTCCCAAGCCAATTACTATACCGCCATCCGGTTGTCACCTCGAACTTTGATCGCCCCAGTGCTATGGCCGTCCACAAATTGCCTCATGTCAAAGGGCATACCTCATGCAAATCTCCATCTCTCCGCCGGCAGCTGAACAGTCCCTCGTCCCTCCAACGCTCTGATATCCCCTCAAACCTTCGTACTTCACTGCCGGTCCTTGGCCTATCACATGTACATCGACGATTACAGACTGGCCAAGGTCTTGTCTTATCCTCGAGGCCTAGGGTTGCGGACCACATACCAACTCCCTCGACGTGTACGTATCTTCCGTCCACCCTTCGATCCAGCATACCGTTTTGCGATTCATCGTATCGTCAAGGATCGAACATTGTGGTAGCATAATATGAAAAGACAAGGCAACAATGAATCTAAGCCTAGATTTATCATTAATTCTATACGTGTACAAAAGAATGCCACATAGAAAATTGTTTTGAGAATGAGATCACATACAAGCACCTTCTGGCGTCTGCTGCTCCTGGTCTCTGTGGAAAAGGAGAAGGCGAAAGAGTCTTGAAGTCATCTAAAGTACCTAAGTCCTTCGAACTGAGAGAAGGGAAAGTGTCGTGAAACCAGACAAAACATAGTATCGACGTGCGGTTCGCTTCAAGTCACAACGCCTCGGGTGATTGCACTGTAAGCAGTGTCTCCGAGACTGAGTGCGCTCAGGCGGTGTTGTGGCCCCTTTTGATGACATGGGGTCGCGGGCTCGGAGGAGCTGGTGAGGGTGCCGACGGTGTCGGTGCTCTCGTCATCGTCGTCGTCGTCGGTATCGCGCGTCCACTTAGATTCCTCAAGGGTCTCTTCGATTTCGGTCTCTGTAGCTCGGGCCGAGTCCTGGGGTCTCTCTTCCTCCTTGAACCGGACCGGGCTCTCATGTTAAGCTCCCTGAGAAAATAGCCTTCATATCGTTGCGGGCGACGAAATCGCCATCCTCGAACTCGGTGGCTGGATTGAGAAACGCGAACGTGAGTACTCTGGTCGAAGGAGTTCCCTCTACGTCCTTGCAACTCGATCATTTTCTCCTTGGTATGTTCAATGAAGTTGTGTATGGTGTTTGCGGTAATTCTTGGTTTGAATTACAAAGGTAGTATTGCTTCGGTGCTTTGGTATCTGGTTCGCTTCAATGGAGCGGACAAGTGGGTGTAAGTTGAGGGAATGGATAGTAGAGTATTTGATGAAGCAAGACCAAGTATTCGAAAAGTACAATAGCTGTACTTGAGAGTGTGCTCAACAAGCCAACTAATTAATGAGGTTGAAGAATAATAGGGTTGTTCCGTAGTGCGCAGTGCAAATCGAACAGTAGAGTCTCTAAGTTGATGTACAAGTTAACGAACTGCAAAGAGGAAAAAATGAATTGGGCTATTATCCACTAAGGTCGGACATGGCCACTAATCGGAGGAGCTTCCCCTTGTAGTTCAATGAATCAAGACCACGAGTATACCATGATGCGCACAATAGGTGCTGTAAGCGTCTCAATTGCTGCTGATCAAGTTGCTCAAGCCTGGAGAAGCGCGGACCCTGGAGGCTACTGATAGCTAAGTAAACCATCTATTATGAATTGCCAGCTTTCACAAATTCAGTCCCATTGTTGCGAACATATAGTCAAGTAATCACTGTGACGATCGTCTCTTGGTCATAGTTAAATGGCTTGGATGTGTGAATTTCTTTTGACGGAGCAGTGAACAGCCTCGACAACTATGCCGCTTGTTCCTGAGCTCCCACTTCTGTGGCACTTTTAGATAGATTGTGTGTTCTTGGAACTGCTCATTACCCCAGTCGCGCGCAATGCTGGATGGAGTTATAACCAGAAGCGTACGGTCCGCATGATGCTCTGTTTGGGGTATCGTACCTGGTATCATGTCGTAGCTGAAAGATAACCTGGTAGCGACCTGCCCAAAGCATATTGACAAGTGGCTTCAGGGTTGACGATCAGCTCAGGGTGAACTGTCTATGCGCCAATGCTAACATTGGGAGAATCGAATCATGATGCGTTCTCGTAAAACATACGGAATTGGTCGTAGTCAATTGCGACCCCGCGGTGCTTGTTACATATATACATAGTTGCGTAATCTTAGGCTGACAGGTCAAATTTCACTTACTGCGGAGCTAGCTACAATTTAATGCAGTAGTTGTGGCAAGAAATTCAGGAATGATTATTCCGGAGGACGATGGTGGAGAAATAGTCCAACTACCTCACCGTTCGCATAATGACAAAGTAAGCATCCACCTGATAAATCTTGTCAAGATCAGAATCTAATACTCCTAGGAGCGAAAGACGATATTTTTCACTTGGCATGGTATCATGTGCGGGCTAATACACTCGGAACAATAGGGTGATGTCGCTGCTTTCTCACTTGTCCAGGTATGATAGCTGATCTGACAGGTTGCACAGCTAAACATTGTTGTGATACAAGCCACAATCTTTCGCTTACCCAACCCAACGCAACGATGCTTGCTAGAAAATTCTCAGACGGAGCACATGATCCCATCGCCACTTCATGTATGCACATGTCTACAGTATGTGTATACTCCAGGCAGACGAATAATTTTATGAGTGACGCGGTGTAGCATGGTTTTTTGTTTCCAAGCAACAGTGGCAATGCTGATATTGGAGCTGCAGTATCAACTTCTCCGTTGAACTTCCTGCGATGTTTAGGTTTATGTAAACCAGGTTCCGGGATAACTGTATGCGAACCAATCATGCATGGTTTCATGATGCGTAAGCCTGCTCCTGTCCTCGGATGTCAATCGCGGCATGTAGCTTTGACTCTTCGTTTCCCCAAGGATCGTGTCATAACAACTTCTAGAAGCCACGATGACTGCGGCATACCCGTACTGCAGCGGTCGCCGTTCATTCTCGATGACACCGCTTGTTCAACACTCATGCTGTCCTCCATGACTACCCACGCACCAGATTCGGAGGAAACCCTAACCTACTGGTGAATCACTGCTAGAAGTCAAGGATTCATCGGGGCCCCGGATATCCCATTACAGATATTGTTAACAATGCAATCGATCGACCGAGTCACCATGGCCGACCGACTCACCGAAGTTTGTTGACATCCCCGCCGGCCCATGGACGCATGGTGTTCGCAAATGAAACATGCAGTCTTGCCGCGCCACATCACGAGTGTCACCCTGCAGTGAAGTTAAGCTCAAGGGCTGCCTAGAAACGGAATGAGGAATGACTGGAAATGGACTAAGGTTGACCACACAGGCGGTTCCAACAACCTGCCTCTATTCTTGTCTTTTATTATTCAGCGAATCTGAAAATGGATTTGTATTAATTAACGTGTGTGTGATCCTACTATGCTGTAGAAGGCTGGGGTACTAGCCCGCCCAAGCTTCTCAGGGCTGAACTGTCCCCACCTAATCCATGGACTTTCAATCTACAGTATTCTACTAATCAGCCACTCCAAGCCGACTTGGCCCCGAGGCATACTTATACCAGTCTATCATTTCCATTAAAGACACCAAACAATTCGACATCAACAAACATACGCTCTCATGGAGACAACTTCTACCTCGAAGCCGAAGCGGAAAGCGAATGCGTCAGTGGACATGGAGCCGGCAACGAAACCGAAGAAGGTCTACAGTGAGACTCGGAAGAAGCAGAACAGAATAGCTTCGAGAAATTACCGTAAGCTATTGAACTGCTGGTCGTGTGGAACCGTGGGCTGAAATGTCTTCTCAGGAGAAAAACGAAAGCAGAAGCTGCAGTACCTCCAACAGCTTCTAGAGGACGGCCCCAGAGCACGACAAAATCTGTCAATATCGTCGGAATCAAATGACGAGGAGCGTTCGAGATCATTATCAGTAGAATGTCTAGCATCTTCGGCGGCTGGTACTCCAACATCTTTACCGGATGGAAGCGACTACGATTATCACGATACAATCAACATCAATCCTACAATACCTACTTCGAATCACTCTTACAGCAACCACCTCTCGGAAACGCAGTCCTATCAATACTCAGAAAGCTCCTGGTACGAGCCCTCTTATGATACTGAAGTTCACTTCAATCCAGCGTGGACATCGCCACACTGGGCACCGAACACGACATACACGGTACCACTTGAACCAACGATGGTGACGCAAGAATATCAATATCCCATGGGGCAACTCGTACACGGATATGGGTCGTCCTCAATACCGTCACTTCAACACCAAGGAACCACTCTTGACACAAATGTGCACTTCAAAAGCTACTATACCCACGGGGACCGCATTTCTGGCCAGTCACTCTCTGCACAAGATGTAAGTTTGCACTCTAGGGTTTCTCAATCGTCAGTCCATGACCAACTGAGGCCACATAATGTGCAATCACTAATCAACGAACAGTACGGCCAGGATTACGTCTCTACCAATTCAGTCTTCATCTGAGATTGGCTTACGAATTCCGCATCGTCGGACTAAAGACACAGCCGGCGATATGATATTTGGAATGACGGATGACCAGACTGGCCAAAAGTACGAGCGATGACGACTAGGCCTAAAAAGGCCAAACTATGCGAAAGATCGAGATATCCACATCAGAAGTAAACGTACTCCGCACAGGTACAAGTACATACAAAAAGAACCCTTGCCAGTCCCACGCGACATGCAGTATAACAACCCCATATTTTGATTGGTCTGGCCCTGGCCTCCGGATTCCCCTCCCCCAAAGCAAATAGACAACCTGCGAGAGCACAGCGGGAGTCTGCAGCCGGAAGGCGTTATCCGCCTGAAAGCAGGGGCGAGGCATTCACCTGCTTATGCCAAGGATACATGGGTTCTTCCACTGAGGCCAATCGCCGCTTACTACCTCGAAGTGTTCCGTACTCAGCTCTGGTACACCGATAATTCGCCTCTTGATACACATCACATCGCATTACATATTCGATTTACATTTCAGATTCGTCATCATGTGGAGTAAGGAATACTTCACTGGGGAAAACTGGTGCGATGCCACTTCGTTGGACCTGACAATTAGTAGGGGAGGTTCGTTGTCTAGGTGTAGAAGTTGAAACATCTTGTATATTATGTCCTTGTATCACTATGTTTCACTTCCTTTTTCACTGGTCAATACCTCCTACGCAATGTCATCATATACGTTCTTTTAACCTCTTCGCCAATACAGTCGCTACGCTAGACTTACTTCCGTATACAACCGAAGCTATGCCTGGACACAAGTCACCGTCGAATCTCAGGCCTGGATATTAGGTGCCCTGTCGATGATACCTTGATACTACTCGATCCCTGACGACTACCGTGGAGGCCTAGTCAACGTTGCCGCAGTTCAGGTAGACCACAAGTAGAACTTGAGAGGTTACGTTGTGATTTCTGTTTAAGCTAAGACTGAATCATTTCCGTCAGGGTTGCAAACCGTTATTCAAAAGTCAAGTTAGGGTTCTATTTCTCTATCCTGTGTTTTTCATAGCATGTATGTATATCCATCTTGAATACTTTTAAAAGTTTATAGACCACCATCTTTTCAGCTCCGCTTCTATGTCGAAAAGCGTGAAGACAAAATGCAAGATGAAATCTACGCACGAAAGAAATGAGAGCAGTGGCAGGACCTTCAAGTCTTTTACGACGGTCTACGTCCCCTCCCTCTACCTCTCCCCCTCCCACCATGACCACCTCTCCTATTCCCCGGATCTTGCCCTCGACTCCATCGATCACGCTCATTCCCAGGATCGCCCCACCTCTCGTCTAGAGTGGCAAACCTCGTAGGGTCTCTCGCTTGCGCGTTCTTCGCAACACCCATGTAAATGCCATCCTGGACCATCAAGCGCATGATCACCGCATTCTCGTCGCCTTGTTCATACATGCCTAGATTCAGCGCATCACCCGACGGGTTGTAACTCTTCTTGACGTCAATCCTCCCCGTGTCTGGAAACCGCTTCACACAGTCTGCGAAGAAAGGGTCGGGGTGTCGGTCGGCGATTGAATTGAACGTGAGACTGAGGACGGCGCCCTCGACGCCAGCATAGAGGTTGGGAGATGTCGCGGACGGGATGGAGAGGCTGTAGATGGGGGAATCTGCGGTCTGGAGCATGCGTCGGTTGCGGTGGTGGGGGTCGTTGTGATTGCTGTTGTTATTGCGGGTGTCGTTGCGGGGGTTGAGGAAGAGGTTCCAGCCGCCGGTTATAGGGCGCTTTCCGGTGTAGGCGACGGCGTCGTTGACGATCTTATTAACGGTGTAGTCTCCGGATCGGTGGATGGGTTTCTTCGTGGTGGATGTAGGGAGGGGGATTGTGGAATATGCGTGGGATCCGGATAGGCGTAGATCGAAGACCTTGAGCATGCTGTGCATAGAGGTGCCTGCTATGACGCGCTCCATGCCTTGAGTGGCGAGCGAATATATGGATGAGTCGTTCGTTACATCGTAGTACATCGTTTCGAACTGATGGGGGGAGCGCATATCGTGCAATCGAATGATACCATCGTAACCTCCAGATAGGAATGTCTGCCCTCGTTCAGATCCACCTTGGCTCTCTGCAGGCACTGGGATTATCGGATACACCGAGGTGGTGTGTCTCGAGATGGTTTGGTCTCCGTCAACTGCGTCCACCTTGGGATCTAGACTGAACTTGCGTAGAGGTCCAGTGGATAATCCACCCGGTGTAATTGCAAATACTTGTATTGGCTCAGTTGATGGTCCTGTTCCTATTGAGAGGAGGTCTTCTGAGATGAAGTTGGTAGACCATATGCGACCGCTAAGATTCGTAGATATCGTGGGTATAACATGGCTGGTAGGATCGATGGGACTGTCGGTGGTGTCCTTGGTAGATATTGAGTACAGCGCTAAAGTAGTATCGCCCAACGTTGCTGCAAGCAAGGGATCCTGAGCATCTGACACTGCTACTGATCCAACAGCAAGTTTTCCAGGTTGAGATGCATCGAGATCAGTGCGGTAGGATTGTAGCCGATCTTCCTTTTGCTCGGGGTCGAACTGCAATAATGACAAATCTCCTCCGGAGGTGCCGAACACTATACTCTTATAGTTGGCATGTTGCTGATGGGGTCGAAGAAGCTTCAGTGCAGAGATGTCGTCTCTACCTTCGCGACTATCCGGGAGTCGATGTGAATACCACACAAATGGTGACTTGGGCACCTCCTCTTCCTGGCCCTTCTCTTTCAGATCTTGGTCTACGGGAACTGTATCCCTGTACCTCACTAGAATATTCGTCCCAGCTGACCATGCAATGACTTCTTTTCTATCCGACCAGCTGCTCCTTGTGTCTTCGTAGCTATCAATGCTAGGCCTGTAGCCCATGGTCTGGCCCCGTGGCCCTGTCCATGCTGCTTCTGACCAAGTGTTTAGACTGATTACATTGCCTCTCGGTGCAATATACCGGGCTGTCAAAGCTTTGCGATCCCAGCTCCGGTACAATCTTGTCAATCCATGGACAGCATTTTGTGCATCGGAATCAAGCCCTTGCAGACCAAAGCGACCCTTCAGGAAAGCCTTCCAACCATCAAGCTTGACGAAGCTATTCAATCTCCGGCTTGCAAGCGACAGATTCAACACGTCCTGCGTACGTTCCAGATGACTCGTTACAAGTGATAGAAGTTCATTAGGTAGACCATTAAGACCAACCATAACGAAGTACCTTTTGGTAGTGAAAATTTGAGATTCTCATAAGACTTGATTGTTCTATGAATCAAACACAGTTACAATCTGTCTGGTTAAGTGTTGTTTGTACCTTGCGCCCAGTAAGAGCTAAATCCACAGAGTGGGTATCTGCGAGTATGACTGGAGTATGACTGAACCCATAGAGTGACTCCTAGTCTTTGAGTGTGACGACAGAAGATTCGACTACGGCCGCCACCGCGTTGACACCATCCATCCCCTTTCGGTTAGGCTGGTTTCCCTTCCTAGCTCTCTGTCTGCGCCACATCTTAGCACCGCTGATATGTCAGATATGACATTGCGAAAGCCCACAGACTGGTGTAACAACTGTAAAGCGCGCGATATGAGCGTGAGTCACCGTGCCAACTTGATTGATGAGATATCTTGCAAATGGTTTTCATACTCAAGCATGCATGCTTCCTTTTGGCCCATTGCTGACTACCGCGGACAAGAAGTTAGAATTTAGCTCATCTCGATTAGCACGTGGCAGTTGTTAGTTAGTCCCGACTTGGGGATAGGGATGTCACAACTAAGATGAACTCTATCTTGATGCTCATGTAATGAATTTCAGTTCTTTTAAAAGCGACGCGTCCACCTGCACGTAGTCTTTAGATAGGTACACCCGGTCTGTCAATCTCTAGTTTCCGCTGCACGCTTGCATGTAGCTCGGAACCAACGTCATGAGCATGTACCAGCCTGTGTCCAATGATAGTATCCACCCCCTTTTATGGCTTCGCCTTGTTCCGATTCGGACGTGCCCACAGCAAAGGGATGGTGAAAACAAAAGTGCCATTGACTTCGAAAGCAGCTAAATTCTCTACAATGAAATTACCTAGACCTCCAGATCGACCATGGTGTGGTACGTAGGTTATTGCGCAACTTAATTGTCCGGCAACGATGCATCTTTCAGGAAGGCTGGAGAGACTGCTTTTGCCATCTTACAGCCTGCATTCACTGGTTGCCTTCAGGACCAAACTGTTCGTATAGGTCGAAAGCCTGCAACGACAGTGATAGGCTCGAATGCAGTAGCAACTGAACTGCCTAAAGTCGGATCCCGCTGCACGTCGGTGTTCATTATTCCCCTGGCCCTGGTCCTTCGCTGAGAATTCCCGGGTCACGGCCAGAAACGTCTAAGCGCCATTACTCCCCATCTCCCCACTCGTGACTTTGACAACTTCAGCGTCTTCCAGACTCTGTTATCTGCTTCCTCTTCGCTGTACATACGAAGTCCTGTCTTTGTCCTCTCCAGCGACGCGCGATTCCGTAGGTCTGAAGCCATGGCCGACGAGAAGAGCGTGTACGCGCTGACCAGCGCCGTCGCGACCAACATGGACCGACTGCGCGCGTCCATCAACGAACTACGTCAGCTCCACGACCGTTGGAAAGACGAGAACGGCACTTCCATCAATCTAATTGCGCAGATCACGTCCTTGAAAACGAATCTTGGTGAAATGCAAGATTGGATGAATTATAGCATCAATGAAATGCATCCCCAGCTCTTGCAAGATCTGGATGTGCTAATGAATTCGTGCGGTATCCTCGTGCGACACTTGGAAGCTTTGATGGCAACTTTGAAACAACCTGCCCATGACAACGTAGACTGGGCGCTCAAATTAAGGTATTCAGTCAGTACCAGATCCATGGAGCGACTCCGCAATGCCGCCAAACGGCAGGCAGATGCTGTCGCATTACTTCTGGCTGCTTGTAAATGGTGAGCATTACAATCTACTCGATCTTCTACAGTTCAATAACAGCAGGGCAGTCACACAACAGCACAGCGTAAGATCTTGTTACACAAGAGTAGACAGATCAGAAAAGAGGATGCCTCATCCATGTCAACATTGGCGCGGACGTCGAAGCTTAACAGCCAATGCATCAAGACATTGACATCAATCTCATCCATGATCCAGTGGTTTAGATTCTTATTCTTTGTCAAGATTACTGGGAAAGAGGAGAAGCCACCACCGACAGAAGAAGATTACCTCGACGCAGCAGCAGCTATGCGTTCCGAAGCTATTGATCGAAGTCTCGAAGAGGATGCTGCGTCACTTCGCCGCGAGACGAAGCTTGTGCTGATGGGAAGCGTCAACAGCGGCAAAGAGCTAATCATGAGGCAAATGAAAGTTCTCTATGCAGACGGCTATCCTAGAGAAGAGCGGATGGGGTATCGTTATGCTGTCCGCTCTACCATTCGACTCCTTATTCATGCCATGATCGACCTTCTTCGAGACACTGGAATCTCGTTGCCCAAGGAACTTCATCGAAACTTTGCGGTACTCCTGGATGAAGTCGAGAACACAGATATCGGTACCATCACACCAGATGCCGTTCGTGCAGTAACGCGGATATGGAATAGCAATGAGTTCTCAACCCTCTATGTCAAAAACTTCGAGATCGACTTCCCCCAATACACGCCATACTTCGCTCAGGATATCGAACGAATCGCAGATGTCGACTACATTCCTTCTGAGGCAGACATCATACGTCTCAATCACTCTATGGGTGGCATCAAAGAACTACGCTTCACATGGGATGACATGAGCGTGCACCTTTTCAACATCAGCGGCTACATCCCCGATCAATTCCGGAAACGATGGTTCCATCAGCTCGAGGGGGCCTCAGCGCTGATCTTCACAGTCGACATATCAACCTACGATCGCCCTTACCTAGGTCAATCTGCTGAATCACAACTCCTATCCGACTTCGCAACTTTCGAGTCCTGGGCGAACTCGCCAAAGTTCTTCGGCGCCTCTATCGTTCTACTACTAAATAACTTCACACGCTTCAGAGAGAAACTCCAACACTCGCCCATGCAAACCTTCTTCGAAGACTACACACCTGATGACGAGGATCCAGAAACCGCCGCTAGACAATACATCCTGAAGCGCTTCAAGGAACTCAACCGAAATCGCCTCAGCATGTACTCCTTCTGGGTCGACCTCGACATGAGCGACAACCAGCATCTATACGCCGCACTGAAGAAGACGTTGAGCCACATCCAAACGCGAAAAGCGAGGAGCGAAGTCTGGGAAGCGAATTCACAAGGCTTGAAAAGCCGCTCGACGCTCAGCAGATCTGCGCGTAATAGTGGAGGTCTTGCGAGTCCAAGTAGTCCCAGGCGAAGCAACACCGTGACTACGAGGAACAGTTCGACGAGAGGATGATTCTCCCTTCTTTTTACATTTCATTTTATCTTCCTTATTTCGCAATTTCCCTTCATATCCAAACTCTTTTTCACTTCATGAGATACCAGGATTTGTCGTTGGCCTAACGCCTTTTTCTTTTTGCTTTTTCCCTTGCTATCCAATTCATAATCCAGCGTTCAGCATCATGACGGCCCAAAAATGTCTTTTGGTTTCGGAGGCATATTTGTTGTGTGGTGGTACTGAACGACATTTCTTCCTTGCTGCATTTTTATCATATCTACCCCCTTACGATCGCATATACACTTACTGCCTTGATGTCGATGGTTGGCTACATACATGACACAAACGTCTCTCCCTTGTTCCTATGTATTTTCCTTTGTAATTATGCACTTTATACGTGCTGGTGGTGCACGGGATGCACCTAAAGACGCTGGGGTGGTGGGTCGTTGTTGATACTACAATGAGTCTAATAATGTGGATGTTTTAGTTACCAGGACAGGTTCCTCCAAATATATAATCACCTTAATGATTCCATTAACAATTGTTATCAAGACTCATGCGAAGGTGACATGCAACAAATCAAGTATCTTGATGCTTGTATAACATGCTGACTACCTCAGCTCCTAGAAGTTCATCACTCGTCATGAAAAGCAATACATGGCCGTACGTCCTTACCACAAATAAATCAAAGAAAAAGGAAACTAAAAAAAACAAAAAAGTTCTTGAATCAAAGCTGGGAACTTGCAGTCCCTTGTGTGCTGGCCTAGTTAGTCCCTGGCTCAAACGCCCCAACGACACTGACAGTGGTAGTTTCAGAGGCCTCCATGACATTGGCACCATTATGAGGAAGCCAACGAACGTTGAATGTTAGATTCCGATCAATCAAAACGAATTCCACCAAGACGTTCAAAACGATCCGTTTTACTGTTCTATTCCCTATTTGTATTCGTCTGGGTCGAATTTGAGGCTTGCGCTTCAGCCAGTTCAGATCGAGCCGAATGCTGCCAATTTTCTCAACCTTGCCTGCACAGAGAGACATTAGTTTCATTACTGACTTTTGAGACCGAAACACGTACCTCTGTTGTAGAGACTGTCGACTTGGAAGTGGTCTTTATTGCACACTTGCGATGCATACAGTGCTTCAAACTTGGTCCAGTCTTCAGTTTTATTGCGCCATATGTATTCTCCAATATAAGTCTTCCGATGTATGGGGGCCAATGGTCCATCTCCCTATAGAACCTTAGCGAATTATTTCTACTTGGTGTCAATTTGCAGCCTACTTACGACTTTGATTGCCCAAGTAATAGTATCTGCAAGATACTCTTCACCGTCATGTAGAGACATGATCCCTTGCTTGATTGGCTCTCGGAAATCTTTCAATCTGTATAGCTTAGATTCGTGCGGAATATGCCGCAAGAAGCCAAAACTGCATGCTATTGTGCGAGACGGGCCATTTTCCTTGTCCAATGCTCTGAGTAAAGCACCTTTTGCGACACCAGTCGCACACTCAAAACCATGTGTGAGATTGTTATATTGTGGAAGGATAAACTCAATAAGCGAAAGACCCTGTCCACTGCGCTCATCATTGATCCTGTCTTTCAGACTTTCCAGGAAGCCGCGCAAGGCTACAGAGTCCGAAAATCCTCCAACAATGAGAACCTTTAAATGTACGTTGGTAAGATTCATCTATAGCTACTACAAATTACTTACTTTGTCGATATTGACAATAGACTTCCCTATTTGAGAGCGTATCAACCGCTCAATCTCGATAAAGGATCTCTCGAAGAGTCTCTTCATGTCGTTGCTGGGCCCGTCAGAAATTGAAAGTGGTATATCATAATAAGTCTTACTGGCTCAAAACGTAGTTTTCTCTTTTGAAACGCGCAAATTTTTCGTTGGGTTTAAGTCCAGGTACGGAGCAGACATATGAACGTTCTGTGCTGAATTCTGCCATTCGCTTTACTGAGCTCTCGAATCGCGGCATCGTGATTGTATCGATTCTATTGCGAAGGAGCTCGGCTTTGGATTCGTCTTCAAAGTAACCAGCTTCACGAAGGTCCTGCAACAGCATGGCCAAAAAGCGTTGATTGACGTTTGAAGACCCACAGAGTGCGCCTGCAACATTAGATTGTGACTTTGTAACTCAATCAACAATATCATACCTTCAGTCGGATTGATCTCTTTGTCTAGTCTCAGTGGTTCTGTGTCCCTAACACGGTAACAACCAACATCCACCGTGCCACCACCGGCATCGACAAGGACGAAGACCTCGGAACGCTAGAGCCATTGTATTAGTGAGTGCCCGACATGGAGTATTGGACAACAACGTACTCTTAAAGTATAGATACTCCTTTGCAGTGCATATGTAGCAGCAGCTTCTGATTCATTTACCATGAATAGCTTGGGAACAGAATTGTGCTCATTCAGACCTACGCCGGACCGCCGCATGGCTTCTATCATGCATTGGCACATGGTGTTGTTGGCTTTAGGCGTCCACGAGACTGGTACAGATATGATAAGCTCAGCTGATTGGCAAAGAGTTAGCATGGAAACGAGAGCAAGGAGAAAAAAATAGGTATTTGTACCTGTACTCCTATCGTGGAAACCTTCGTGGGTTTGCAGGAACTCTTTTAGTTGGCATAAAAGCACAGTGAGGTAATGCGTAATGACATCAAAACTTGAACGGACAATGTTACGCTTCTTGAGTCCGCCGATTTTTGTCTCCAACGTATCGCGTATCTCCCTCGTAAACTCAGTATTGTCCAATAGAAGCTTCATTCGCGACAAACGCCCGTCCGATATGTTGTGATTTTCTTCTTCTTCTTCGGTGTATTCGGTGCCCAAGGTTTCCTGGACCTCCCATCCATGAAGATAACCTGGGCAAGGGACAGTATCTTGATCATTTGGGCCGTGGCTCTCATGCTCAGGCTGTAATTCACTATCCAGTATGGTTGGTGGGTAGTAGCTCTCTGTCGGGATTTGTCTTGCTGGATCTGTTGTCATTGAAAAACTGGTGAGACTTGGTAAAGTAGATATTCCGCATGTCTCTATGTCAACTCCTCGTTTGACATAAGCAACGGTAGTGAACGTAGTACCCCAATCTACCGATATCTTGTAATCTTCTTCGAAGTCAGCGGCTGTCGGGTTTGTCGACGAAGCATCTGTTTCTGGAGGTGTAAGCATATCCCTTTCTCTCAAACGACGAGATACTCTCTGCTTTTGTCTGGAAGAGAGTGTAGCCTCGTCATCTGAGCTCAATGGATAATTGCGCCTTCTTTTAGACATGACTGTCTGCCAATAGAACGAGTGATGAGACCAGTTTGAAGATGAATCTTGAAGTAGAGATCAACACCTGGGTCTACTTTAGATGAGAAAGAGTTGTTCGAGAATTAGAGACCGTTCGCTAAACCCTGTCGGTGTATACTTTCAAAACTTTCTTTATCAAGGCCGTCTCATAGAATCGTACTCGAACGTTACACAATGTACACCCGAGGTGCATGGCTCCCCATACCCTTCAGCCATCCCGCTTCCGCGGACGCAGATCGGGTGGCTTTCTACTCCATATGACGATAGACATATAGCCTAACCTTTGTTGGTGCCGCTTGCAGCTTGACGATATGTACTCGAGATGAATACCGTAACTCTGGAATAACGCACAAACCCATGCAAGGCTCCACATTTGTGCAAGAATCGAAACAAAATGAACCCAGATCTACGCCAAAAGGTCTACAGTGATCCGCCAGGGCCAAGAATCTGAGTTCATGAGTCACAATATGCATTCACCGACGCCGTGACCACTGCCTCGCCCGTAGGTGAAACGACGGCGCTTCAATCCGTTCAATCCTATTGAGCACTTGAGGCTGCGAGCTGCGCCAAAGAATGAAGAGGGACAGTTAGCCAAGATATAAATGAAGTCATGTCGCTGGTGGCGCCGATTGACCAATGTCGTAGGGTGAAACCCCTGCTTGTCCTACACAGGGTGGAAAAAGTGACAGGTCTTATCGTCAACAACACAGACGTTCCGAGATCCCCGACATGGAGGGAAATGAAGAGACTGCAGACATTAATAAATGTTAAGCAAAGTGTGAGAGACTTGGTGAAAGTATCCAGGATAGTCATTATTGCCATCGCCCTGACCTACGATTCCTGCCTATCTGGTCTTGTCTCCCGAGTATCAGCCTCGTTGGATACTTCCCGGACTCCCCTCCTATCCTCGAATCTTCCTGCAAACTGCAAAGCACTTGACAACGTCTTCCTGATGAAGGAGCCCAAAGAGTCCAAAGAAGAGAGCAATAGGAAATTGGCCTTTGCGCTCACCGTCCTCGATCACTGCATCGCAAATCATGGCGATTGGCGAGCAGAACTGCATCAGCGCATGACCCAAAAGTTCAACAAAAAGAAGAACTGGGAAGTTTCTTTGAACAATCTGCTAAGGCGTTTTGAACTGTCCGTTGAAGAGTTTCCTATTGTGAAAGAGAAGGGTTCCGAGCACCTCATCAACAATGTTCATCTCCAAGAGCTCATCCCAATAATGAACAAAGATCGTCTAGAATTTGGTCTTCCTCTTTACGAATTTTGTCATCACCAGAGCACACAGCCCGACAATGATAATGGCAAAGGCTTGCGTCCAGAGAATGATCAGGTGAGATATGCGCCCAAGCAGTGGAGATTTACGCTAAATTTCATGAAGGCTCCCGTCGATAGTCTTCCAACAACTACTAGTACCTTGGAAGATCAAGTCGTTGAGACGAATCCAATTATCAGCCCTGAACACCAATCCAAGGAAAGTCGCCCTAGCGTCCTTGCCTGCGATGGAATACCCTACTGTGGCCATCGTTCCGTAAACAGCTTCGTGGAGCACGCAGGAAACTTCGAAGCTCATGTCAGTGACGGATCTGACTCAGACGAGCTTTCAAGTCCAGACAATGAATCCTCATGTTATGATGATGACAAAGGACTTGTAACAACTCAGAAGAAGAAGCTCAAGGCTGCGATCCGTGAAGTGGCGCCTGGTGAAGGGACATTGGCCAACGAATCAACAGTGAGATCACGCCCACCTTGCTGTCGGTGCAAAAAGAGAAAGGTGAAGTGTTTACAGCAGGGTCTGAGCTGTAAGGGCTGTATGGATGCAGGCCTTCATTGCATGCCCTATGCCACGCCTGCGTTGGGACAGATCCTCCCACCTTCGAAGAAGCGTAAACGTCCCCATTCCAGCACCCAGCTACTTAAGTCGAGCCCTCATGTAACGCAGTTAATGAAGTCGAGCCCTCATGTAACGCAGTTAATGAAGTCGAGCCCTCATGTAACGCAGTTAATGAAGTCTAGTCCTCAGGTAACGCAGCTACTGAAGTCTAGCCCTCATGTAACAAGTGCCGACTTTACGACCAACAAACTCCTCAATGGCACATCGTCGCCCAGTAGTAAAGGAGCTGTCGTTGCGCAGGCGATATCTTCGAATATGCCTAACACAGATTGTGGCAGGCAAGGTGATCAGGAGAAAGAGTTGCAAGAGATGCAAGACAAGTACTGGTTGCTCGCCAGTCATGCTGAATTTCTTCTGAGGCGTCTACAATCACATCAACAATGCTCTCTGGCAGAACTTGGACGGCTAAGGAGCATTGAACGAACGATCGATGGTTTTGATCTGTCGCAATGCCGAAAAAAGCTGACGGGTGATTTGATCTCAGCAGACAAACAAGTCAAAAGTGCCCAGAAAATGGTCAGTAGATTGACTGGAGGAATGTGCTTTGATATAGGCCCAGACGACATAGCTTCGGCCTCCTGCTGGTATGCAGAACACATTGATGATGATTGGACGTATATACGGCGTCAGCTACGAATCATCATCAATCATACACAGCCATCAGACATCCCAAACACTGAAAGGCTTAAACCGATCTCAGATGTGATTACACGCTGGTTTGACGGCGAATCCTCGGCGAGCTATTTTCCGGATTGGTTGGCACAATATGGAGGCAGCAAGCTGCTAAATGATTGCGTTGAGCAGTCTCTTCTGAGCACTCTGTTTTGCTATTATGCGTTTAAAGACCAGATCATCGGTCAGCTGGAATCATCCGATGATGCAATGAAGTTATACGAGATGATTAACGTCAAGGGTAAGTACACTATCAAGACATATCTTGCAGCGTCCGCTAACAAGATCTTAGGAGGTTTAGGAGGTCTAAGAGCCGTGAGAAATGCAAATATGTGTGCCACCAAGCTTCTCATAGAGGAGGATGACTTCAAATCAAACCAACTTCCCAAAATTGAAATATCGCTCACCAAAACACTCACTAGAAGCCTGAACATCGCTTTCGGACAGGTTTCTCAGGAACGCTACGCCAGGTCAGACCTCTCTCAAGTGTGCAAACTGGCCTTGAAATTGAGGTTGGATCTCACGGTCAGTTCGCCAAACTACCAGTTCATCTTCTTCCAGCCGCGCACCACCTTTGATCCACACTGGATGACTGGGGAAACCAACACATGCACAGAGTTAGAACCTGATCACTGCGTTGGGAAGACCGTAAGAATCTGTCTCTTCCCGGCTATCGCCCAGCAGGAGTTTCAACTTGACGAAGTTACTGCGAATGATATACCATCCGTTCTGGCTTGCAATAAAACGTTTGGGCTGCACTTACATGACACTGTGCCTGTGGACTCGACGGCACTGGTGTCGAAGGCGGTTGTCGTTCTAGACTAAGATGTGGATCACGTTGAAATGGGATTTCATTCTGTTTTCTTTCTTTTTCTTTCAGTGTATGGTAAACGGTCAACATTACGGTATTTGCTCCACACATGCTTGCACACTTTCGGGTTTGGTACACGGTCACGATCATGGTATTTGCGCTAGGTAGCCTTATGAACTTTCGGATCCTGAAATTTTAAATGCGATCTTGGGAATATATTGGGTACCTTCTCTGAAGGTTCATTTCGATTATCTTCAGTTTCATAGAGCTTTCAAGTTTTGCTTTGTTGCAGGGTACGCGGTCACAGTCACGGTATCTGTGCTACGTATGTTCATGAACTTTCGGATTCTAGAGTTTCAACGCGATCTTGGGAATATATTGGGTACCTTATTTGAAATTGTATCTCGGTTTTGTTTGGTTTCATAGTGCTCTCAAGTCCCCTCGTTGTATGGTAAACAGTCAGGATCATCACTTTCGGTACTAGACATGCTTACGCACTTTCAGTTTCTGAAATTGTGATGCGATGGCTAAGGATGTATCGGTGTTGAACGAGGGAGATACATTGAGTACTCTTCGACAACCGGGTGTCTTACTACATTTCTAGAATGTCAACTCCATTAAAGTGCGGTTTCATCGCGTATTCCCTTTTCTTGGTCTGGTGCGTGGCGATCGATCACAATGCTGGTAGTTGTGCTAGATAAGGTACCACTCTCATTCACTTCGAGAGGGTAAAGCTGTGGAGTTAACTAACGCGACCTTCTAGGTGGGCTCACATGATTTGGGGGGTTGAGATTGAGATGTGATCCCAAGGGAGACGTGAGTATATCACTGTATAAACTAGATCGCAAGGCAGGTAATGTTTTCCGTTTCTCTTTGGTGCAAAGTCAACAGTCACGATCACGGTGGTTACGTACAAAATCTTTTCAGGTCTTGAAAATTGAAATATGAAATTGAAAACCGAAAATTGATCCCTTAGGATACGTTGGGTATATGTATACAGTTTCAAGGATAAAGCGCTTCTGTAATGGAAGCTGACACAAACAGTCAGTCCTCGAAGCGAATTTGCATCTCTCTGGAGCTATTCAATACGAAGGAAAATATCAAGAGTGTTTGTCCCAAACAAAGCCGAAATTATAATGCAAAAGAGTCCAGGTACAAGAGGGAAATAACCGAAAGTAACGTTCGTGTCTTTAGTAGACCGGATCAATGGCGCTCAGGCATCTGGTGCTGTCTCTTGAGATATTCTTTCTGTTGATTGTGTCAGTAAAGTTCGTGGGTGAAGGTGGAGCATGTAAATTACATCGTCAAGTACGTCCATCAATCTTCCTTCGTCTGCGACGACTCTCATGATGGACTCGCTGACTATGCCGTCCATCTTGACGCGGCAGCCCTTTGGCAACCACCTGAGGATGTGAAACGCGTTGGCGTACACATTTGTGGTTCCAGCCAGATGGCGATCATCAGGAAATGAACGCGGTAGTGTGATAGTAAGGCTCTTCAAGCCCCAGCAATACCTCAAACCAAGACGAACAACATCCGCAAATCCATCCAAAATGTCGTGGTGAGAAGGTATGGTCAAAGCGACAGACTTGATCAGCGACCGATTGCGCTGGCGGAGGCTCTCAAGAGAGTGAATTCCAGTGTCGAGGTTCAGAACGAATTCGTTGTCAGAGTAGAGCACCTGACGCGCTTCCTTGTAAACCAAAGAGCATGTTCGTAGTAGGGCCGGGTTAATGCTGTCTTTTGGGCGACGGATCGGTTCTGCGTGGGGATCGTGACGCTCTAGACGCACCCGGCTGGGTCTGTGCCTGCAAGGTCCAGCTCTTGCAGGCCTTCGTACGGGAGCGCAGTATCGTTCTTCGTCGTCGGTTATAGTTTGTTTCTGAGGGAGGTGGATGTAGAGCGGCTCCGCGCGTTGTAGGGCCATGCGGTAGATGTGTACGCGTAGTTCGGCAGGAAGATCCATGAAACGAAATACCTCCGATTCATCCGTTTCCTCCTCCTCCTCCTCCTCCGCAGTGCATGGCTGGTCGTTGGCTGAACCGAAGGACGGACGAGGCTGGCTGGAAGAGCTGCGCTTGGGTGATGCGGTTGAGACGCGGCCAGAGGCGGATATATGATGATAGGATGATCGGCGGCGCTTTTGAGTTGCTGGAAGAACAGAAGGTTCATCAGAAAGAGCTGGTCGGCTTCTCTTCCTAGAGGAGCGGCGAGGCTGCGGTGGTTGGTTGTCCATATTCAAAGTAATGTACTGAAGGTACCAATGTGATTGATGTACGGATGGAAAGATAGTCTTGGTAGGAGAGGACGACAAATATATACGAGATGGATATACGAGTTTGAACCCTATTGTACAGGAATACAATAACACCAGCGGGTTTTACTGGATGAGGCCAAAGGGAGTGGGAGGGTGGGGAGTATTGTGTTGTATAAGGCTATGTCCTGTTACAATAGTATGTAGGCAGGATACCAGTGCGGCGGGGGATCCTCCTTCACTGTTCAGCGCTTGTGTAGAGCGAGTGACGTTGAATGGCGGGCAAACGTCCCGCCTTCCTCCGCCCTTATTCAAAAACAAAACAATCACACCGCGAATCGACCAATAGGAAGGCTTGCACGTCTTTGTTCGGCGACCGAGAGCAACGTCACGTGCACCAGTTGAAGACATCTGCTTCACCTATTCGCCTTCACTCGCAGTGCTCACCCGACCTTAGTTACACAACAGTCCTACTGGTGCTACGAGTAGGTAGGTCGCTTGCAGATGATCATGTCAGATTTGACGCAGACTGATTTGACTAATGTACCTAAAACAACAGTAATACCGATGTATGGCCTGCCCAAAGCATGTACATAATTCGAACGAAGAAAATATGAAGAAACAAAGAAAGGATCATTGTACTTCTACATGGGTCTCATCAAGTGATAATAGAGAAGATTCTAGAGAAATCAGATAATTCGCTACAAGGTCGTGAAAAGAATTGTAAAGGCTCGACTCCATATCTTGAAGCATCGTATCTATCAAGCAATTCGTGCTTGACTTGGAACCCCCAAAGGGATCAACTGCTACTTTCAGGACGCAAATATCCGCACTGAGTAATCGACGCTGCCCGTAGCAATCACACATCTGATGCCTGCTGCTTTAGCGGCGTCCTCCTTCTTTTTCGACGGGCCATTCGATGCGGTTCCATTCGCTGCGTCTCCGTTGATTGGCACGTCTTTGACGAGACTGGGTGCCCAGCGAATACAGGTGATGAAATGCCCGTGCGAATCATCTACCGTCTTCACGCACCGTCCTTCTTGTGTAAAATCCCAGCATCGAATGGTCTTATCGTCACTTACAGAGAGGAGATACTTTCCTCCGGGATGAAAAACAAGGCCTCGTACCCAATTGTCATGCCCAATCAGAGTCTTGATCAATGTCCCTCTCCCATCCCATATCTTGATTGACTTATCTCTCGAGCCAGTTGCGACGAATTCAGACGAACTGCTGGGTGGTGGGGCCTTTCTCAGTCCAGCCAGTGAAGCGAGGTGCGGATATGAAGCTGGAGGCGCAATGGCAACGCATTCAATCGCATTTTCATGGCCCAAGAACGTGCACTTTGCCTCTCCGGTAGTGGCGTCCCATAACCGGGCTGTTTGATCAGTACCTCCGGATAATAGCCATCGGCCATCAAAGCTTGGCGCAACATCGCGGACCCAGTCTGCGTGGCCTTGAATTGTCTTTACGCAATAACCCGTTGTGACATCCCAAATCCGTAATGTCTTATCTCTTGAGGCGGAAACGAGGAGATTCCCAGAGGAGGGTGAACCGGCCGCACCGCTGGGAACGAAACGAACGGCAGAAACCGAGTGGTCATGTCCTGGCAGTGTTCGAATGTTCTTGTACTCATCCGACGGATCCCAGAGCTTGATGGTAAGATCACTCGAACAGGATGCGAGCAGAGTACCGCCTCGTGGTCCGCCAAAGTCTAGGTCCAGCACTCCTTTAGTATGTCCTTTCACAGTACGTTCCAATTCGCCTAGTTCCCAGTCCCAAATCTTGATTGTAGTATCCTCGGAACCGGACGCCAACGACGAGAAAATCGGGTGGAAGGCTACGCACAACACATCCTTTCGATGGGATTGTAGAGTATGCCGTGCAGGCGCTCGTGGTAGCCAGGCTGTAGGGTCCTGATTTCTGCGAAGCAAAGAGGTCGGTGTGGTCGAGTCAAGCTCGTTCTGGAGGGATTGGGCCCGTTGTTCAAGCTCTAGCACCTAGCAAGTGTCAGTCCGCGAGTGTCTTGTCTCGAGATGGTCATATTTACCTTCTTCTGTAACCTGACGACGCTTGTCCATTTCTTCTCGAGCAGCCCCTCGTACTTCTTCTTTGTAGCGTCATCGAAGCTCGCGGCTATGTTCACTTCTTCCCGGAATGCAGCAGCAGCCTTGGGCGCCTCAATCACCCCGAGATATGCTACTATAGCTTTGTGACTATTATACTTGGTCAATGCGAAAGTCCAATTGCGGACAAAGGGGGGGTCATTTTTCTTACAGCTCTTCCGCTTGTCGGTCAGTCAGAATGGCGCTCATGGCCAAGATTTATATGTAGTGGTTAAATCGCCGATAGAGGCGACCATGATCTCGAGGTCCTGAATCACCTCGGTTGTGGCCCTATGGGAGAGGTCTATGTGCGATACTTGAGGTGCTCGAAATCTTGGCGGTGGGATGTTGCGGTGAGTGAAGTGGTCGCGTATCGGAGGTGGGCAGGATCTTTAAGCCGGGAAGCACAGGGCACGACAGCAGGAGATGGTGAATGATGATGTATGTTGACCGTTATAATTGTGAAGAGTGAATGTTCGCAGGCGGGGTTGGCTCCTTGTTGCTAGATAAACTACTCGTGCACTGTGGTGGGTGGGTAAATGTCATAGGGCCGGTGAAACTGCGACTGCGACCTGCCCTGCGAGTGATGTTGCTCAGGGAACGCGCGCCCAACACAGAAACTATGGAGGGACAACGGAACAACCGCATTTCTACCTTGCACCAACACCCACACACCCACCACACACACACGACAACCACAACCACAACCACATAAACCACCATTCCTCCCAACCTGTACAAACGCCAGTCTTTCTTCCTCCATTACCTCAAGCTCGAGCTTATGCGGCACTTTAGCATCGCCAGCACCTGAAACTCTGTTTGGTCAGTAAACCCTGCGTCTCAATACATGCCCCTCGCTGCCACCCCCGTTGCCTGCATAATCTCGTTCGCGTTGCGCAGAACACGTCCACCCGAAGCGCGTTTTGGGACATGCTTTTCAGATTATTCTATATTTCCATTCTAAAGACATCATTATGGACAACACAGCTAACATCTAGCAACCTCAGATTGATACTCCAAAAGCCCAAACCTACCGGAACCGTTCACCATGGGAGACCAAGAGGAGGACTTTAGCTCACTCCCGCTTCCCGACCGATTCGCTCATAAGAACTGGAAGGTGCGAAAAGAGGGTTATGAGGCCGCTGCAAAGGAGTTTAGTCTCGCTGCTAGCGAATCAGACCCTGTTGTTCGACAATTTATCAACGATTCAGGTATCTGGAAGGGTGTGGTAGGCGATTCAAATGTGGCAGCACAGCAAGAAGGGTTGGGCGCACTCTGTGCGTTCCTTGACATTGCAGGAGCAGCAGGTTCGACAAGGTACGGAGGTTTGGCATGAGAAGGTTGTGCTGGTCGCGCACACTTGCTTACAACATTGCAGAACACGGAATGTCACCATTGCTACGATTGCCGAGAAGGGACTCCCCTCGACGAGACCAGCAGCCAAGCAAAAGGCAGTAGAGGCGTTGATGCTCTACATTGAGACGGACAAGCCAGATCCTGTAATCGAGGAACTCCTTCCCATACTCTCTCACAAGCAACCAAAGGTCATTGCGGCAACACTAGACGCGTTAACACAAATCTACCATGCCTACGGTTGTAAGACGGTCGAGCCAAAGCCAGTCCTCAAAGCTCTACCCAAGGTCTACGGCCACGCCGACAAGAACGTGCGAGCAAAGGCACAAGAACTCACGGTCGAATTCTACAGATGGTTGAAGGAAGCCATGAAGCCATTGTTTTGGAACGACCTCAAGCCTGTTCAGCAACAAGACTTGGACAAGCTTTTCGAGAAAGTCAAAGACGAGCCGCCTCCAAAGCAGGAGCGATTACTACGATCGCAGCAAGCCGCGAAAGAATCCGCCGCTGCAGCCGGTGGCGATGGCGATGAATATGGCGAAGAGGAGGAAGAGGCCGCGATCGATCTTGAGCCTGAGTATGAAGCAGTCGACGTGTTCCCGAAGATACCGAAGGACTATAACGAGAGGCTCGCATCCAGCAAGTGGAAAGATCGAAAAGAAGCCTTAGAAGAAGTACAGAAAGCCCTCAACCACCCCAGGATTGCCGAAGGTCCTTTTGACGAGTTACTACGAGGATTTGCGAAGAGTATGAAGGACGCCAACATTGCCGTCGTCTCGACGGCGGCTAATTGTGTTGAACTTCTTGCTAAGGGACTCCGCAAAAGCTTCGCCAAGTACCGATCCGTCATCATGAACCCAATGATGGAAAGACTCAAGGAAAAGAAGCAGTCTGTTACCGATGCCATTGGTGGCGCTTTGGATGCCGTGTTTGCATCTACTAGTCTACAAGAATGCTTGGAGGAGATTCTGGAGTTCCTGAAACACAAAAACCCGCAAGTCAAATTGGAGTCCACGCGGTTCCTTGTGAGATGCCTGAAGACGACAAGGGAAGCGCCGTCTGCAGCTGAGGTCAAAACCATTAGCGATGCTGCGATCAAACTATTGACAGAATCACAAGAGGTGCAACGATCGGCAGGTGCAGAAGTCTTGGGAACTCTATGGAAAATCATGGGTGACCGCATCATGAATGCCCATCTGGATGGTCTTGATGAGATTCGCAAGAGCAAGATCAAGGAGTTCTATGAGGCGGCTGAGGTCAAAGCTAAATTCAAACCAAAGGCTGCTGCTCCACCTCCCAAGCCAGCTGCAGCCCCGGCCGGAAAACGACCAGCGCCTGGTAAGAGACCGCCAGCAAAGAAGCCCGCGCCTGTTGCTGCCGCTGCTCCGCCTCCGCAGGAAGAGCCTGCTGCACCTTTGGCCCCGAAACCGACCTCTCGACCAGGCGCATCTAAGTTGGGCGCGCCAAAAACTGGTCTCGCGGCACCATCAAGATTGGGGGGACTCAAGAAACCTGGGTCTGGTCTCGCTGCCCCCTCTCCAAGGCGCCCAGTAGCATCTCCACCTCCTGAGGAGGAGTTTGCTCCCCCACCCGCGCAGCCTAAACTAGGATTGACCCCCGGACGAGGCCTCGCTGGTCGTCCATTAGGGAAACCTATGGCGGAGCCCGCTCCTGCTCCTGTCGCAGCGCCTACGGGACTCAGTTTAGTCGAGCGAGCTGAGCTGGACGAGTTGAGGGCGGAGGTAGAGAGGCTTCGCAGGCAGAATGAGGAGGTTCGAGCGGAACGCACAAAGCTGACCTCCCAAATCCACGAGTTGCAGAACCAGAATGCTCAGCTTATCGAAGATCACACGCGTGATGTGCTTTCTATAAAAGCTAAGGAAACCCAACTGGTTCGTGCGCGCAGCGACTACGAAGCTGCGGAGCAGACTGTACAAAACCAACGTCGCGAGAATGATCGACTGAAACGCGAGCTTAGCCGTCAAGTTCGTGCCACCAGCCCGCCGCCTACGGATCTTTCTGAACAGATTTATGCCGACTCTACCGGAGGTCCCGGACGCTTTGGCGACTCTGGCTACGGCAGCACTGGTCTTCACGGGGCCCGTAACAGAAGTATTGTCAGCCAACCGACTAGTCCTGGGCTCGAAGGTAAGGAGAACTTCGATTCCCTTTCTGGAAGCGCTTTGGGCGGAAAACTGAGCCCTTTGCGTGTAGGAGCTGGCTCTTCGAAGTCGTCGATTTCCTCGCGAGGTGGTCGGGCAAGCCCTGCGGAGAGTGGAATAAGCGGATTCGGAAGCCTGGGGGGTTCGCAAGCAAACAATGGTGCAGAGAGCTGGAAGCGTGCGGCTGAGGTGACACAAAACCTCAAGCAAAGAATCGAGATGATGAAGGTAAGTCGAGACATTCCAATACTTTCAGTGACACGTGTTGCTGGCTTTTGTGCTTGGTGTACAGGACGAGTGAGAGAGTTCTCAAGTGGCGCATCATGTCGCGTGTTCTCGAGCGCCTCCCGCAAGTTTTGTTATGTCACATCCACGAGCACACGCACAACATTTACTACGCTATCAGAATACTGACTGTTTTCATAGGCTAAACAAGGGCTTGGCCGGTTACAACAATAGACCCTGAATAATGCACTCTCCATTGTGCCGCATAACGCAACATTGCCAGCGCCATGTGGCACGTAACATCGGGAATTCCCAATGCAGAGGCAACATGCACGACATTCGCAGCATCGGCCTTCGGTGCGGCTTAACACCGCCTTTCATGGTTTTCCTGTATATTTGCTTTCGATACCTTTCAAGCGGACATCTGTGTACGCTCGTTCTTGATGGCATTTATGTGGCGTTCGGGTTGGTTTCTTTACTCTGGATCTGGGTGGACCGGTCAGGAAAAGGAACTGGACGGAAGTGGGATGATGACGATGAGCTTGATACCAAGTAGATTACCTTTTTCTCACCCGTTGGCCCTTGGTTGATGGGCCAGCATCTTTCTAGATGAGCCACCATAACGTTGTGTAGGTGAGCTTTTAGCCATATCGCATAATCTTTGAGTGGACAATGATGCGAACATAATACCAATCTTACTCCACATCGTCTTCATCCTGCAGTCCAGTTGTATTTGCGAACACCACTAAAGTGATTGGGCAGTCTGGGATACTACGTGGAAGCAACGGAATGAAGTATCGGCTGCACGCTGGTGGTGAATATGTTTGACATTGCACATTATTCGATATTTCACTTGCAGGGTACGAGTAGTAGTAGCCATGATTTCAATTACTGTTTATAAAAGAATACCGCCTATAGAGCGCGTCACACAACATACTTCCTATGACATGTACGGTCTATCTTGATGATTTCCTTCAAGGGCACAATTACCAAATGATACCTCCAGCCGTCTTGCACGCACTCGCTACAGATGATGGCGTGATGGTGGTACGAACGGTATATCTGCGACTCAATCAGCGTCTGTTCGTTCATAAGGATAGATCAATACGTACACAAAGGTCTTCGTCTTGGTCGTAATACTCGTGGCGATGTTGTATCTAGTGATAGTCCTCGTAGGGGTAGGCGCAGTGACGGTGACAATGGCGGCGGTGGTCTTGCCGCTGAGCACGACGACAGGTGGGGGTGTTGAAGTCGTCGTCGTGAGGAGTGTTGCTATAGGCAGTTAGTCTTCTTCTGTATCTACAAAGTAGAATGGGCGGGTGGGTGGAGACATACAGGAAATGAAGGCCGTAGTTGCAGGTGCGGTACTGGTACTCGTAACCGTCTGCCACTTCGCGGTATCCGTCTCCGTGACAGTGAGAGGCTGCGGATCGGGAGCCCTCTCCACGAAGCGGATCCTCCTCTCCTCGACGAAGCGGGCCTTTTCAGCCTCGATCTCGCGGCGGAACTTGGGGCTCATGACTCGGGCTGCTGGACCCACGGTCGGGCGAATCCTGGCGACTGGATCCGGAGTCGGTTGGCGGAAGGGTCGTCGACAGGTTGCGGTTTTGGTCTGCGTGACTTTGGATATCTCGAGCTTGATGGAGGTGAATCTAAGGGTGAAGAGGGCTTTGGTGGACGTGGTGGTCACGCGTGCGGGCGTGTAGGTCTTGGTGCGGGTGACGGTCACGGAGGGACTGGTTATGGTTGAGGGGCTGAGAACGGTTGTCACGGTGTCTGTGATTGTTGATGTCGCGGTTATTACGGGTGTTGATACAAAAGTTGCAGTTGCCGTAGGGGTTTCTGTGGTTGTGGACTGGGGTCCAACGGAGAGTTCAAAGTCGCGCTCATAAGCAATTGGATTGGCATCTCCATTGTTGCTGACGATGAGAATTGACCAGGGCCCAGAGCTGAGCTGATTCTTTAGGATTGGGCTGTAAGGGAATGAGTATGTAGTATGCTAATCGTTCAGACGAATAGTTACCATGTCGACAGCATGTTTGTATTGTCTGGTCTCAACTGCGTATCTGTGCAGAGATATTGGTCGCCATTGGGATCAACCAAGACATTGTACGCAGTGTCATCCTGGCAATCTTTTTTCAATTAGCCAATGCGATATTCTCGATGAGTTCGAAACGAACCTAAGAATTGCGAGACAAATGTGAAGCTGTCACTGGACAGTGAGTTCTGGAAGTATGACCCACGATGCTGGAAGTCCATTCCGAATGATCGGCATATTGGATAGTCAACAGCAAGTACTGATACAATGTTGAAGGCCGCAACGACCAGCCATAATAATGAGGGCATGATTCTGAGATTGGTCAAAAGGTAAAGAAACGTGCGACCGTAACTGGAATGTGAGTCGCTGGCCTCATACGGCAGGGAAATAAATACTTGTGTACTTTCTCATGATTCCATTCTCAAACCTAAGAATAGACTATGTAAAGATAGTATGGTCATGATCGGAAAGTCTATATGCAGTCTTGTCAGCTAATATTGCGGCGCACCGATCAATTCGTAAATAGTAAGCGACGGCGACATATTTTGCGCACTGGGCGAGAAGTTCCACATAATCTGCATACAGCTGATATCTGAACAACATGAGGCGAGGCCGAGGTTGAATACGATCTCCGATCATTATTGTGAAACACTACGCAGGGCAGCAGGGGATGTCACATTTATCCGATACAGAACCGGACTTTGCTTTGTAGGTATGTCGCTTTGCCGTCTTTGCTGTGTACAATACTCCTACAAAAGACGCCAAGCATGCAAGTTTATAGAGGCAGACTCGAATCTGTTGGAGCATTTACCTGAACGCAAACACGTGGTGGAATGGCGGAGGTTTTGCATGTACTCTGATCGAGTCTGAGCCGACAGGCACATCAACACGTGGGTATTGGATGAGTGTACCAACCGGCTGGTGTTGTACAATTATTGCTGGCGGAGATTGAGGCTGACGACACCTAGTAACGCAGATGCGCACGGAAAAATCTTATATAGGGCCTGCCTGACAGAAACTCTAGATTGAAGATTCTCACCATCGAAAGTGACATTTCGACTGATGACAATACTCTTCAAGAGTTGAAGGAATTGGAAATTTGGAAGTCCTTTCACGATTTCTCAGGGCCCATGCCATGCTGGGCTGGAAGTCATGGTTCGCCTTGAGCACTATCGATTTATAGTGGTCATACTACAAGGTTTCGAGCTGCTGCGTAACGTCATGCAGTGAGCAGACCCTGCGCTCCTGAACCAGTCCGTTCGCCGCTAAGCAAGGCTCAGCATGATCGCCTAACGAATATAGTCTACATGAAGAGGGTACGAGCACATGTATGTGATATGTACATGTACAATTTCGATAGCGTGGAAGGGCGTGAAGTCGCATATCGGAGAAGCTTGGTGGGGAGCCATACTAAGATGTAAATCATGTATACTACTGCTTAGAAGGGAATTGTTGAAATGAAAGGGATAGGATAGTTAGCTATATTTTGATATTATGTTCTGCGTAGAGCGTAGATACTTCGGTGTACTTTTCTCAATCTGCGATCCTTTGGGTGCATGTTGATCTCCGTGCAGTCTGACAGGTGGATATATTATACGTCAATGATGGGCTCAAATACACAAGTTTGCGAAAAGAAGCCATTGGTTTCCTCACAACCGTGGCAAGCACCTGGTGAAGCATGGGCGGCAATGACAGTGGGATTGGCGAGAACCGTGTTCCGGGCTGGTGGAACTGCTCCACAGCCAGATCAGCTCGACTACATGTCATCGATTCCGGCGTTCGTACGAGTAGTTCCACCGCAGGGCGCTGACGTACTAGTGGCATGATCAATGGAAAGGATGCATGTGTGCTTCCACATCCCCATGGATGGCTGCTGATTCCGAGATGTGAGGTCGGAAACCTTGAGCTTGACAGAGGTAACTAATCCACAAGTGGACTAGCTAGGTCCCCAATCGGGTCCCTGGCGCAGCTTCTTGCTTTGTGCTTCCGACCAGAGTCGCCTACCCTCTTGGAATCTTTCCCATGGTTCGATGTGTTCTCTCCTGAAGCTATTTACAACTAAACCTATGCCCTGACTACCGAACTCGAGGTGGTTCCTGAACCGCTGGGCTAAGCGATCAATGGCCTTACCAATCATACGGCTTCGTCGGAGGCGAGCAATCAATGTTGAACTAAGGCTTCGTTGTTTCAGGATACCACTTCCATTATGTTTTTTCTTTGTTCCATTTTATCCCGATGCACTTTCTACGGCATATCGAGACTGGAGTACCGACGCTTAGGTCAACAATTTCAATGATATCGAGCTCGCAGGTTCGCAATGTCGCACTGACTGGAAGTAGCGAAAACAGCCAGCGACGAAATCACAATCACGTTGCAGGTTTGTGAGTAGTGAGAGGAGCTTGCCCACTCTCAACTTATATCTATATGCAAGGTCAACAACAAGTTCTGAAAATTGCCCTCTATGAACCTTACCACGTCTTGGCCTTGCCAGCGTGATTGTCTGGTCGCGTTCCGCGTTCACCCCTCATATCCGTCGGAATGTACATGTACACCGTCATGCTGACCCAACCCAAAGAACTAAGGATATCGCATCTCATCTTCGGACTTCTCGATCCATAGTCAAGGTCCCCAGGTTGACAAGTCATGTGCACTATGTCTTCAATGGTCCAGACGATCCCTGAAGAACCAAATGCCTCCGGATCAGGAGCTTGAACCGCAAGTATCCCTTCAGGGGCTCTTCGTCCATTATGTATTGCCTGCCTTCGGGATATCGTTCGAGGAACGCAGTCTTGGCTAACAGACTACAAGGGGAGCCCAGCCTCAAGACCGATTGCTGGGACAGTGATAAAGGTCTGGAAGAAAGCCAATGAGAGCCCTATTCATGGTGATGGTTTCCGGACGGACCATTGACCCAGAATGTTCGTTTTTCTCAGTGACGCTGCGATCTTAAGCGTGGCATGCAAGACCTTTCTCGATCAATGAATCGCATATTTAGATATTCAACATTCCCATGGCTTGTTCATGTCATAACTTGCTCAATTTCCAAACTTCTTGAGTAGCTCTTATTTGCTGATTTGGTTTCTCATCTCTTGATTCTATTTTCGGCTTCCCACAATGCTCCTTGAGAGAGGACTCCGCGGCTTATGCATCTTGGCAGTCGCCTCGCAGGTATGTGCTCATATCAAGCCGGAAAATATACTTTGGGGCAAGGCCGGGCCCCCGGTCGCCGTTGGGAGGCAGCAGAATGGCCCGCCTGAAGCAAATCCAGAAGATACAGTTGAATCCACACCCGAGCCTCCACCTGAATCTTCTTCTGAAGTAGCTCCGGAGGCGGATATCAAACCTGACGAGGAGCCCGCCCAAGAGCCTGCTGAAGAACCTACTGAAGAGCCTGTGGAAAAGCCTGCCGAAGAGCCTATTGCGGAGGGAGAGCAAGATCCCGACCCCACCTTTGAATCCGAGGCAACTCCAACGGAAAGAGCCGGACCGTCGTGTACCAATGGCCCGGGAACTCGTGGATGTTGGTCTCCTGGATTCAGCATTGATACCGACTTTGATGCCGAATGGCCTACGACCGGAGTGACAGTAACGTACGATCTCGAGCTCACAGGCGGGACCTGCGATCCGGACGGCTCAGGGCCTCAACCTTGCCAGGTATTCAATGGCCAATATCCAGGGCCTCTCATTGAAGCGAGTAAGTTCTACATCACACTCCGTCAATACAATACAGTATGGCTAACACGTTGGTGTAGATTGGGGAGACTACATACAAGTAAACGTCAAGAACAGTCTAACAGACAATGGCACAGCGCTCCACTTCCACGGCATGCGCATGTTGAACAATTGCCCCACCGATGGAGTCCCAGGAATCACCGAATGCCCCCTCGCACCCGGTGACACCAAAACCTACACGTTCCAAGCGACCCAATTCGGCTCGACCTGGTACCATTCGCACTGGAGCATCCAATACGGCGATGGAACCTTCGGACCTCTTGTCATCAACGGCCCAGCATCGGCCGACTACGACGTAGACCTCGGTGCGTACACGATCAGCGACCTCTACTACGGCTCCGCGTACGAAGTCGGCATTCAATCGCACGACAACCTCCAGATCGACAAACCTCCCCCCTTCCCAGACAACATCATCATCAACGGGACGAACAAGAACAAGGAAGGCAAAGGCGAATACAACCAAGTGCGAATCGAGAAAGGCAAGAAGTACCGCCTCCGTATCATCAACGGCTCCACCGACAACAGCATCCGCGTCTCCCTCGACGGCCACACCCTCCAAGTCATCACCTCCGACCTGATCCCTATCGTCCCCTACTACACCGACTGGGTACTCACCGCCCCAGGCCAACGCTACGACGTCATCATCGAAGCCAACCAAACCGTCGACAACTACTGGTTCCGCGCCGACGCCGCCTTCGACTGCTACTGCCTCAACAAAGGCCCCGGCGGGCGCTCCATCTTCATCTACGACGGCGCGAGCGGCGAGGACCCCAAGACCTCCGCCTCCAAGATCCCGAACTGGGGCTGCAACGAAGAGAGCCCGCTCGTCCCCTGGGTTCCCAACGTCGTCGAAGGCGGGGAAGAACAATTCACCTCGCAAGCCGTCAACCTACAATTCGACCTAACGCGCGAGGGCGTCAGCACCAACGGCGAGAACGTCGTACTATGGGGCGTCAACATGTCTGCCATCAACGTCGACTGGTCGAAGCCCACGCTGGAATACATCCAAGAGGGCAACCTCGACTTCCCGCCCGAGCTCAACGTCGTGGCCGTCCCCGCCCCGGACACCTGGACGTACTGGATCATCCAGGAGACGCCCGGCACCGAAGTGCCCATCCCGCATCCGATTCACCTGCACGGCCATGACTTCTACGTCCTGGGTAGGGGGAAGGGTGTGTTTGATATCAAGGAGTCGCCGAAGACGCTCACGTACGATAATCCGACAAGGAGGGACACGGCGATACTGCCCGGTGGTGGGTGGCTTGTTTTGTAAGTCCTCTCCCTTCCTCTCTCTCCCCTTCTCCCTGCCTTCCCCTTCCCCCAACTCTAAACTCAAGAATACATGCTAACGAATTCAACAGAGCCTTCCCGGCAGATAACCCAGGCGCCTGGATCATGCACTGCCACATCGCGTACCACGTGTCGGACGGCCTGGCCGTGCAGTTCATAGAGGGAATCGAGCAGATGCCGCTCGGGGACGAGCAGTGGCAACAGCAGTGCGATAATTGGCGGACCTACGCGCTAACCGCGCCGTATCCAAAGCTGGATTCTGGGGTATGAGCGAGTGTATCCCCATGGAGGGGGAGGGAACGGTAATGGGGAAGATGGCAGAGGTTTGTCTTGTTTTGAGGTGGCATTTGTGAGTGTGTTGTGCTCAGATGGGTGAATAGAAGAGTGGATGGGTGGTCGGTATATGCGATAGATATAGGCCATAGTTTTGTCTCGGGGGAGGTGGTTTCCGTGTGTTATCAATCCTCAAGTATGTCTCAGCTCAGTTGGTTATCAATTGTATATTTTGCATCCATTTGTCTCTTCTCCTGTAGTCCCGATTCCTACTCTGCTTGTCTTTGCGCCGTAGGTCCTAGGTGGGCGTGATCTGTTGGTGATTGAATTGTACGGTACTGTACGGTATTTCTTTCAGCTTCAATGTCAACCTGTCGTGTACCCTGTTGATTCAAGATCAATCTGTTCATATCGAAAAGGGCAGGATAGAGGAGAAAATTATGTATAAGAAAGGTATTCCCAGCGATATACATACACGAAAATAGCAAGAGTAGGAAAAAAACACCCGAGCAGATCGCCGACCAACAATACGAACAATCATATGATGCAGTGCAGAAGAAAATTGGTTCCATGCTCATGTTCGCCCAGTGTCAAACTCTCTTTTCCATCCCCAACCACGCATATATCCTCATCCTCCAATGTCTTCAAATGCAACACACTGCTTTTTTCCATGCAGAAGGAGAAGTAGAACAGGAAGCGCAAGAATATCAGAGTGAATCCGATGCGACCATTTTCGAGTCATCGCACGGCAGAGCAGCACCGCACAATCAGTAATCAGTGCCCTTGACGCCGAGCTTGCCCTCCGTCTCCTCGATATACGTAACGAGGTCCTCGATCGTGCAGACCTTGATACCGAATTTCTTGCCGAAAGCCAAGCAGTCGTCCCTCCTCATCATGCCGCCGCCGACGAACTCTGCCTTCCCCTCGACCTCCGCGCCGTCGAGGATCAATTCGCAGATGACGCCGACCTCGGGCTTGCCCGCTAACCTGCACAGGTCGACGGCGGCCTCCGTGTGGCCCCTCCGGACGCGCACGCCGCCGTCTCGCGCCTGCAGCGGCAGGACGTGGCCGGGCCGTCTGAAGTTTGTGGAGGTGGAGTTGGGGTCCGCGAGGAGGCGGCATGTGAGGCTGCGGTCCTGCGCGCTGATGCCCGTCGACACGGACTCGTCGATTGCGTCTATGCTGACGGTGTAGGCGGTGCGGTTGGGGTCCGCGCTGTCGGCGACCATCTGGGGGAGATGGAGCGCCGCGGCGCGAGAGGCGGGGAGGGGTGCGCAGATGTAGCCGGAGGAGTAGCGGATCATGAAGGAGGCTTTTGAGGGGGTGAGGGCCGAGGCCGCGATTATGAGGTCGCCTTCGTTTTCGCGGGACGGGCTGTCGAGGACGATGACGAATTCATCATTTGCTGGAGGGGACGTGGGGATTAGTCTGGGAAACACAAGAATTGATTGCGATTGAAGGGACAGGACAGAAGTAGTAGCGAGGAATGGAGGGTGTGCAGAGGTTGCGTACCGACAGCTTTTATGACATCTGGTATCGAGTCGAATGCTGGATGTGAGGGAGTGTGTGTAGAGAGGCCATTGGTTCCGTTTGCGCTGCCATTGACGGCGTCAGCCCCGTTGATGTTGCCGGGCATGTCTGCTGTCCTTCTCTTGCGATTTGATGTGAATTGACTCCGACAGGTGCTGTATCCTTGGTGTATGTGCGTGCGCGTATGTATATACGTAGGTGTGTATGTGTGTTTAGGTACGGAGTCGTTGGATTAATCGCTTCTTTTGGTGGTGGTGGTGGTGGTGGTGGTGGTTGAGAAATATGAGGGGAATCGGAAATCGGAAGTGGGATGTATCGTGTATGTATGTATATGATCGACTCGGAGCGGAGCAAGACCGGAACGGAAAGGAAAGGTCAAGGAACAGTACGAGTAATAGGCACTGATTAATCAGAACAGAACAGAGACACTGAGCTGCTTAGCAAAAGTTGGGTTTCCTTTGTAAGCCTTAAGCCGGGAACATCCGCTAAGTAGTAGTTACTCGTACTGTAACTATGCTGTGTTCTGTATGGAAGGCCGTGGAAATTGGTGCGAAATCGGTGAGACGGTATGCAGGTTTGTGGTGGTGCAATTGAGGTGAGGGATTGCAGAAGTAATTGATCAAAACTGGTTATACAGGAAGGTAGAAGAAGAAGGAGTATTCGAATACAGAAAGAAGAGAGGTCAGATGTCAGATGTCAAATAGTCGGAATCACCACGAGGATGACTGCAAGCAGGGCAAAATGATTTTGTTTGCGGGATCGTAATTGGATAAATATGGAGGGGAAAAGGGTCCTTGTCCCGAGGCACGTTTCTTGCGCCTCATCTAGGCGGCTACCATACGTACCATCTTAACGTCAACCATAAGACAGTAACTATTGTGTAGACACCTGGATACTGTCATAATTGCCCCTCATCTCCATCATTGTCGACTATTGAAGCCATGACCCTTCATCGGCATAAGCAATCGCCGGCCCGACCGACAACCTCGCTTCATCTACTCACCTTCCTCCGATCTTACAGCACGAGAACTGCTGTACAACATCATACCCATAGATCCAACCAGGCACCACCTCTTCTCGTCAAATCGATCCATAATCAGCATCAGCCCTAAGCAACTTGCCATCACCAATTATCACGCGGCCCACCTCAAGGGTTCTACCACACACCCACAAGACACCCAAGGGCCCAACACCTACCGGTCTCCGAGTCGCCGCCCTCACAACACCATAATCCCACGACTTGGACGATAATCGCCGAGCAACCTTGGTGGTCGCTCGTACTTGTCGTAATGATGCGGATCAAAACCGTCTATCATCTTCAGCCTACTCGTGTGTGTCGCATTGGCGTTTCCCCGACTTTCGACGTTTGGCATAATACTATGAGTAGGCACGCACGCACGGCAAGGTACCACGTACCTAATTATCTGATAGGGACTTTATAGATTTCAGGGTCCAAGTGGATTTACTATGCGTGCCACTCCATGCTTACCTGCCAAAAACGATGCAAGCGTGATTGGACGGGGCGCCTACTTGTACTCGCTCTCTACAACGCCGATGTCGCTGCGTCTCGACTCGTCCATTTGTTCTGAGGAGAACATAGCGCCGACAGTATCGTCGGTGGTTATGTTGTTTGACACATTTCCTAGGTTCATCCTTATATCACATGTGACATTACCCACCGACTCGACTCCCCTCCCCTTCCATAAAGCATGAGTGTTCGTGTCTTCAAGGAGGGGGGGGGGAATCCGGCGTTTGTTTTATATCGAAAAGGGGTTGTCTGCCTTGAAGCACGATGCGTGCGCATTGATGCGCTGAAGCTAGGTAGGTCCTATGGAATCTCAGGTTCGTCCGAGCGTAGGGGAAAGGACCACAGCTTTGCCTCAAGTTGGAGATGGCCACAGATTTTCTGCGAGTCAGTGGATTGAGGGACAGAGGAGAGGGGAGTGGGACTTCTACCTAAAGGTGCGGTCCGCCCTTTGCGTGTGGCTAGTATCATAGTATGTGGTAGTTAGTTAAGTACCTAGGTTTTTAGTATACATGTATACGACGACGTCCCACCCGCTGGATGTGTGGCTTGACTGTGACGATTCAGAAGGCGAGGCTGCGGTGGTGGTTTGAATCAGATGTGTATGTGATGTGTAAAATGTAGTTACTTGTTTCGATTAGATAGCGAATGTACTACTGTACTACAGCGACGTGTATGTACGGATATATGTACCTTGCACACGCACACCGCGTCCCGAATCCGAATCTCGACAGTGAAGTTGTGAGTCTAAACGGGGACGTCGACGACGACGACGACCTTCCAATCCATCCGCACCAAGTGATATAGCGCCCCTTTCCACCAAGGGGCAACAACAGCAACAATAACCATGCGAGCGAAACCTCCCATTTCCCATATGCACCCCTTTTATCCCAATTACCCAGAATGTTTACTATACAACGAAATCAAAAAGTCTTCCCTACGGTGACACCGAACGGGCCCTTTCCCGCCGGTCCACCCATCCGTCCTCCACCCGCTTATGCAAGCTTTTGAGGTCCCTTGGTCTCATCGAGGGTCTTTTCGGGATACGACGTGGGAGCCTGCTCCGCGCTCTCGCTGTCGCTCTTCCTGGGCTGCCTCTCGGGGACGCCATCATCGTACTCGTCGGAGCGCCAGAAGTCGCGCTTGCCCTTGCGGATGCGCTGCATCCAGGGTGGCAGGATGCCGCCGGGGATGTGCCAGGTCCAGGGCTCCTTCTCGTCCTTGTTGGGGGGCACGATGCGGCCGCCGGAGGCCTTCTCGACGATGTAGACGAGCGTGTTAATGAGGATGTAGGACATGATACCTGCGATCAGGCCGTACGCGATGCTGTATGTGAAGGGCATGACGGCGATGGTGAGGAAGGCCGGGATCGCGTCGCCCATGTACCTCCAGTTGATGTCCTTGGCGGCCTGGGCCATGAGTGATCCGACGATGACCAGGGTGCAGCCGGTGGCCCAGGGCGGGATGGAGGCGAAGATGGGCGCGAAGAAGACGGCGATGAAGAATGCGAGTCCGGTGACCATGGCTGTGAGTCCTGTCTTGCCGCCCTCGGAGATACCAGCACCGGATTCGATGTACGCGGTGACGGGCGACGTGCCGAACAGACTGCCGATCGTGACACCCATGGCATCGATCATGTAGGCGATGGAACTGTTCTCAAAATCCTGGGTTCGCTCGTCGATGGCGCCGCAGAATCGGGCCATGGAGTACATGGTACCCGTGCCTGTGACATGTTAGCTTGTGGTGACGGTGACATTGGGCTAAGGGGACTGACAGTCAAGAATATCGACGTAAAGGAACGTGATGAACGCCAAACCGAACTGTCCACCAAACTTTGAGACATCCCACTCTTGAGCAACCAGGACTTTCTCGATCGGGCGGAAGGTGACGACCTTCTTGAAGAAGTCGAAGGCGGAATCACCGAGCTGGTCGTGAGGGAAGTAGGTGACGGGGGTCGAGCGAGGCCACGAAATGATCGAAACGAGCAAGATACCCGCGATGATGGCGCCCTTGACACGGTACATCATGAGCATGACAGTGAAGACACCGCCACAGAAGATGCCGATCCACATGGTAGGGTTGCGCATCTTGTGGCTTCCCGGGCAGGCGCCAGTCAATTCATCGATAAATTGGGGCTCGCATCCTGCAAGTTCCAGAGGCGTAGCCTTTGCTCCTGTGATCAAGCCAATACCGGCGCTGTACGTAAGACCAATAATGGTAAGGTAGAGGCCAATTCCAACTCCAGTTGCAAGCTTGATGGATGCCGGAATGGCTCGGGCGAGCTGGGTATTAATTAGTCCTGTACCACGGCAAGGGATGCGAGACGCATTGCTTTTCACATCCACTCCCTAGAGAGACGAAATGGACATGGACGGCAGCAGAAGCAAACATCGAGGACGTACCCATTGGCGGATTCCGAAAAGGGTCAAGGCAACAAATGCAAAGCCTTCCACGAAAACGGCCGTCAGTGCGACCGAATACGGTACCATTCCCGTTCCGTGGTATCTAGATATCACGATCGATCAGCCCATGGTTCCACAGATTCGAGCCACATCCCCAATCGCAGATTCTCGAAACTCACCCGACGACAGTAAAGGCGAAGTAGGCGTTCAGCCCCATTCCAGGAGCCAGGGCGATAGGCATGTTGGCGAAAAGTCCCATGCAGAAGGAAGTCAATGCAGCGATGGCAGCGGTGGCAGTCACAAGATCCCTGTTGATTTCTTGGACGCACAGCATATACTCAGGGTCGCTGTCGCACGCATCTGTACTCGTAGGAGGACAAACACAGGTGCCTCCACTTTGAGAGAGGATGGAAGCTACAAGGGAGGTTCAATTAGCCCGAGGGTCGTTTCTGAGCGAGCATAGATGGGCGCATACCGTTGACGGAGATGATGTACGCCATAGCAAAGAAGGTGGCAAGACCGGCGCGGATTTCTGTGAAGAAATAACTTTGCTGTCGCTCCCTGGCCTGGTGTCTGGTGGTTAGCATGATGTTCATCATCATGATTGAGATTGTCAGAGTCAGATCTTACATGGCCACTGCCTTCAAGGCGGAAGTATTTGCCCACCGCAGAGCGGGCAACTCTTGCGTTGGTAGCTTGAATCCAAGTCATGGTGACTAGAAATTTATTTTTCTTCGAGGCGCGTCGCCTGTGAGGAAGGGCTCGATTGACGGGACGTCGCAAAAGGCAACCGGCCTTGAGACGTCAGAGGTCGCGTGCGAAGTTGTCACGTTAGCTAGCTGAGGGCTAACAGAAGAGCAGAGGGGAGGATCATTTAAATGGATCGAAGTTGGATCGTCAAGTCATCGTGGTGGACGAGTGTATCAGGTGCATCCCGCACCAACAGATAAGGGTTTGCTCGGACAGGCCCTAGTGGCTGGTCGCGCGCCGTCCTCGCCGTTTGGCCTTTGTCCAATCTCAGCGAAACAAATCCAAAAAATAAGATCGCCCTACCAAGAGCGGAGCTTCTAGCCAGCTGTAGCGAAAGTGTGCCATGGGCCATATGGCTTCTTGCCGCATGTCAGAACCCTGTGGTTGCGTGTGTAGCGCCTCGGCTGGGAACTTCTCTCTCTCCCGGTTACCGTAGTGGTGCTAAAGATTGGATGGATAGTGGCGACCTTTCTCTTGCGGCCTCGCGGCTTGCCCCCCATGCTCTCGTAGATACCCATAACCCATTCATTGGTATGTCTCGCCTGGTCTCAAATGGCGCCGCCGACGAGGATGTGTGGAATCGTAGCATACAACAAGACTCGAGAGTGTACAACGTACTGAGGGGCCATAGCATAGGGCGATATGGCACACCACCTGCAGCTCGCCGTGGAGCGTCCTCCTTCGGCCTGCTCCATAGACTTTGCTTTTGACCCCGTCGCGACTGTGAGCAGCCACAACTGCAAGCGTACTGTCAGAGAGAGGGGAAGAGGCGGAGGCGGCCGATGTGCGCCAGTTGATCTCCTCCAGCTCCTCCATGGAGTTCGCCTCTACCCTTCAATCATCGAGATATCGAGATAGCAGCACATCTGCTATCTTGGATTGTGATGCTGCCCATGTTTCCCCCAGGAGAGGGGGGCCTGATTTGCAAATGCGATTTGGTCAAGATCCGAAAGCGCGGCGCAAGTACCAAGTAGGGAAATTGGGGTTTATGGAACAGAGTTCCAGAGCCGAACACCCCCAATTGCTCCGCTTCATGCAAATACAAGTAGAAATCAGCAGCAAACGAGCTGTCATCAGTCGTAATCACAGGGCAGAGGGCAAGTCATTTTTTGTGAGGAAGTGAGCAGTCGAGCAGCCATCCATACTCATACTCAGCACGAAGCTGTTGTGTAACGCCATCTTGCATACCAGGTTGTGCTATGATACACAAAAGGCATTATTGACGTTGACATGGACCGACTGCTAGGACACGATAATGCTCTGACGGACGTGTGACAAACCGATCGTAGCCTTGTATTCGTAGGATTTGATGTTAGCAGTAGTGTGCTCCGTAGAGTGCCTGTATCTGACTGAGCGCTCAGTAGACTGGTCGAACATCGAGTGGATTTCTACTACTGACTGGTAGACTGTGTCATGCCGGTAGATCCACGGCCAGCGCAGCCAATCATGGCCCTATCGTACCCCTCGCCTTCCCCGGTATCATCAACTGGTAGTCTGGTAGTGGTTGGCAGCATCACGTGGTGTCAGGAAAAGGAGTGTTTGTTTGGTCAAATTGCTAGCAGACCCCTTTTCCGAGGTCATACAACTTTCATAACTATCATCAAGAACTTAGGGAGGATATACTTTCACGACAGGAATAGCATTAAGGAGTACAGGGTACTAATGAGCAGCGACAATGCGCCTCTGTACCATCCGTAGGCATGCTCTCAGCACTGCTTGTATTCTTGTATTTCTAATCTGGGCAAAGTATCCAGGGGATCTTACAAGCCATTTCACAAATCAGTAATTTCGAGCGTAGTCGTATAATGACAGATGCAACAATCAACTTAGAATGCATGACTGCTCAGTGCTGTTACAGTAACACAAATAACAATAACCCATTTATTATTACTGATCCTACTTCCTCCAGTGCGACCAGGCATCCACGTGACATCGTATATTGCTTCGGATGCTTTCCAAATTGGGTAAACACATCGAATGTAGATTAAAATGGGGCTTGGCGCACGGATGAATTTCACTCTTGGACTGCATGGTTCTCGCGCGATATTTGCAGGGCGAAGACCCTTAGTTGCATTGGCTTCCTATAGGTATATTGTTATAAAGGTAGGCTTGCTGTAGAACCAAGCAAGTCTCATGTGCTCTGGAAGAGAATATAACCATTAGAGTTGCCCACCAAACCTTTTCCAGACACCAGCAGAACACGATGGATCAGTTACAGGAGTCGGTTGGTTATTCTATCGACCACGAACACGCATTCTTAGTAGAATGAGAGTCCTCGTCGACGGGCCCGATGATTATTGCTAGAATCAAAGTGTAGCTTCATGCCTTGGGTCGTTGTCAGCAGTGTTCACCCAGACCAGTACTCAATTGAAATGCTTACTCTCAGGAAATGGACTCCAGCGGTCCCTTTTATCTGTCAAGAACAGTGTCAACCCATCAACCATTCTTAACGTCAGCTTGCCTTGCAGTCCTGGTGCCCTCCTCAAGTTTCGTAATTGTGCGAGCACTTTGAGTTGTGAAGCGACGGCCACCGGAACAATAGATTGACCCAGACAGGTATGTGTTCCGTATCCAAGATGCATGTAGGCAGATTCGGGTCTATTCAAAAGAATTTCATCCGGCTTCTCGAAGTGCTGAGGATCTCTCGATGCACTTGCTACGTTGACAACCACTAGATCGTTCGCCTGGATCTGGTGCGTCTCGGCACCGTCCGCAAAGGTGTGTCCCGCAGCTGCCACGCGCAAAACACCTCCTACCGGTGTGGTCAGGCGCAAAGCCTCAAGAGTATACCTACGGATCTGTTCAAAAGCGGCATCTGACGAGTCCCTCGCAATAATTTGGATAGCATCCCAGTGGTGAGCATAGGGTCCTTGGAGGAACAGGTCAGTGACTCGAGACAGCTACGGCATGTTGTGGTTAGCAAGAATATACCAAAAGAATGCGGGGTTTCAATATCACTAGGAGATACTTACAGCCAGCGATCCTGGTGGAGTCATGCCAAATGCAAGCGTAACAATCCACCAGGTTATTTCGTCAGCGCTTTTACCACTTCTTTTCAGCCTTTGTAGCAACTGAGCTCCTTGACTAGGCAGAAGATTGTCACTGCTCCTAGTTGCCGGAACACAGTGGAATATATCCCTGAGATCGGCCTTCTTCGACCCTATGCTTTGTTCGAGTACAGGCTTGATGATTGATTGCAATGTTTCAAATGCATTTGCTGCTGCCTTGTGAAGCGCAAAAGAAGAGACATCTTCAGTATCGAGAAAGACGTATTGAAACAGGGTCTGAAGTAGTTCGTACAGTTGTCGATCATCCAATGTCGTGTCGGTATGTAACTCATTCTTGATTGGAATATCCAGAAATTGTGCGGCAAACCGACTCCAGCTCAGAGTTGCGACATCTCGTACGACATCTATCTCCCATGAACCGCTAAGAGATAGAGTATGGGCCTCTAATAAATCAATAGTTACCCTCTCAAACAAAAAGCGTATCTCTTTCAAGGTTGTTGGTGGTTCGAATATAGCATGAGTAATGAAATCCCGCTGTTGAGAGCTTTCCGTTCCATCACTGCCCAGCATCACTCCGTATGAACTCAGCCGTGTGAGCGCTCTACCCCAGGGTACCTTGAAAATATGAGGGTTGAGGAGAACGTCTGTCGCTGCCTTCCAAGTATTGACTATAACAGCTTTGTCATTTAGGGTTGGTCGGGTCCAATCATATGCTGCAGCCTGGCCGAGATTCTCCTTGATTGCTCTCATCTCGGAAGGAATTGTGAAAGGAAAGAAGGCGTATATAGAGTTGGCACGATACCATCTTGCTTTTGGAAGTCAGTAGAGGACCTTCAGGTCGGTATCAATAGCTACTCACGGAATGAACGCATCAAGAGTCTGTAAAGGACTCCGCCACCAGCGACCGATGGATCACTAGCAGTCTCGTTGATTCCGAAGGCTGTCAATGTCACTGGGTTGTAATCAATGGTATAGAAACGATCTCCTCGAACTAATGTCACGGCATCTGACAAAATAGCTCTTGTCGTTGTGAAGCCGGCACATAGGCCAGAACCTGGTAGCATGGGCACTTTAGCCTCTTCGACTACTACACCTGGGTATAATTCAACATTATCAACGTCGCCGTAAAGCGACTGCAGGGCGCTTGCAATAGCTACATTTATCAGCATTAAACTCAGAGCTGTTTGTAGAAGTACTTACCAGGATCGGAATTGATGTCAAGAAACCTTTTATGTGGTATCATCCCGAATTGCATTCTGAGTTCATTCAAAGTGGCAACGCCCCATCCTCTACTTTGATGTATGCTCAAAATCTCGACAGCCTTTAAAGCTACTGGGACGTGACACGGCCCGAACGCAGCAGCAATATCCTCTGTTGCATTAGTCAAAAGTCTCACGAGGTCTGCGTCTTGAAAGTGGCCATCGGCATTCCTCTGGAGGCCGCCAAACGTCCGTTGACCGGGATCCTTGGGCAGCTGTCTCGCCCACGCACCCATTCCCGCCTTGAACTCCGCTTGGGTAAGGTCCTTGGGCTTCTTTCCAGGAAACAACTGACTGAAAAAGCCATTGAGCCATTTCTCGTTCTTCGCCGATATTGCAGAGTGCCACCGGTATATGAGGTTGAACTCAACACTGACTTGATTACCAATACCCTTCTCGATCCCATCGTGACCAAATATCTCTTCATAGTCCTTACTTGGATTCAAACTCCATTTGGAATCTGTCCGGTGAATATTTATTATCGTGCGGAAATAGTCGTTGACAATGATGTGCATATACAAGCTGCATGTCACCAAGCGTGCCGTTTGGAAGAGGTCATTGTCTCTCTTTTTCATCAATCGTTCGTATTCTGGTGTCCCGGGCAATACCGTATCAGAAGGCATACTGAATTTCCCGCCTTCGTTAATTATAGACAGTTCCTCTACCATAAAATTGTGGAAACGATTGAAAGATATCAGTAGGGCAGAGCACTATCAATTTGTCAGTGTTGGCCGCTTACTGCACAGAATCGATCATACCTCTGGTGGTTGACCAAGCATGCGAACTTCCGAGAAGGCATCTGCTTTCAATTTTCCGCCTACAAATGTTCTTACTAAGGACTGCGTTTCTTCATTGGTTCCATAGAGCGGGGATAAATCCAGATACGATGAGACAGCGACGATGTTTGGATCCTTGTCATCGGTCCGAAACAAATCATGGATAATGATGGTAGCTAAAGCGAATAATAGCCCAGAGATGCCGCTCGGGTGTGGTTTCGGAGGTCCTCGCCGTGCAAGCAGAGTATCGAATAGCACATTCGGGTCAGGGAGCGCGGTTGGTAAATGCCTGGGGGTGACGCTGCGAGCATAGAAGGAGCCGGATTTGCCAATGTGAGGGAATAATACATTGTTGTTGGAGCCATCGGCGGTACGGTATTTGACTTTATCATGATGAGCAAGCCTTCTGTAGCATGGTGATTCTCCTTACATGGTTCACCAACATATCCCAGAGGGGGGTGTTGGAGATTATCCCACAGACTCTTCAAAAGAATGCCTGATCCAATATCTCTAGCCCTCGAGTCCTCAGGAAGCGATGCAAGGATTTGGATGAATCTCTCGGGCTTGCCAATATCAGTCGCTGCTCCGCAAGGGTTCGATATTTCTCTCTCCACATACCACATATTGCTTGTCGTCTACCAGTCCACCATTAAGCGCCGCTTGAAGTAGACTTTTCACTAGCTTTTTGTTCGATTCGACACGGCCGGGTTTGAGCTGACTTGAGATATCGCGAATCAGATCCCGTATGAGACGTTCATGTGGGTTCTCAGGTTTAGAGGCGTTGGTTCTAAATGGAATCAGGCTATTCATCCCGAGCAGGAGATCTAGGTTTAATCGAATAGAAGGCGGATAGGGTCGAGTAGGGCGCGGGCTCAGGGAAGTCCTGATTAGGGAAACGAGGAAAATTTAGGGACAGAATCTCGACTGCGAAGTTGACTTTGGTGGAAAGTAGATTCGTCCCTTCCACCAATAAACCTCTTGCGCCACAGCAAGATCGCCAGGAAGGAACATAACGGGCAGTTGGAGTTTGACTACATTCGGCCTCAAAGACTTCTAGATTTCTACTTCAGAACAGCATGGCATTATCCACAGTACGCTTCAGTTTCACTATGATGATTGAAGTTTGGGTGAGGCTTCTCTGACCCCGCATTATAATTATTTGAGACCCTAATTGTGTAAGTCGGTAACATGTACGTTCGTATGAGTCGTGTTGAAAATTGCTAAATTGTATTCAACCTACTAGGAAGGCCGAACTGTATTTGGGACGACCGACTCCGCCATAATGATAACAACCGAGAATCAAATAGATTACTTCAAAGAGAATATATCGTTTACACAGACTTACACAATATCCAAGATACTACATTCGGGATTAAGAGGTGGAAAGCAAGTGACGTCGCAATTCATGAACATTGATCGACCGCTTGACCTGATTGGGCATAGATCGGAGATTAGGGCTGCAAGCGAGTCTTCGCACTTGCCTATCACCAAGAGCTCGAATTCGAGATCAAGACCACGACGTACGACAATTCACTACCTACAGCCATTTTCAGGGTGCGTGACGCTGCAATTCCACCTGGACCTTTTCCCTCAGCTAACTCGTACTCAAGACCTCCTCTCCGACTCCCGAAAATCCACAATGTCCGACCAGAAAGCTTCCAAGTACTACCCCGCCGAGGATGATGCTCAATTGAAGAAGGTATGGACATCTGGAGCTCCGAAATGGCATACATCAGAGTCTAGGACCTTTTCTGGGCATGCATGCGAAGTTTGATGGGAAGACATGGGGGCTAACGTACGGTGGTGAACAGGCACGCAAGACCGCGCATCCCACAAAGTACCGCGAGTCTCTCGCACCGGGTACCGTCCTCATTCTCCTCTCTGGCCGTTTCCGTGGCAAGCGCGTCGTGCTCCTTCGCCAGCTCTCCCAGGGAGTCCTCCTCATCACCGGCCCTTACAAGTCTAACGGCGTCCCCCTTCGCCGCGTCAACCACCGCTATGTGATCGCTACCAAGACCACTGTCGACATTACTGGCGTAGACAGCGAGGTTTTGGACCGTGTCAGCAAGGACGAGTACTGGGCTCGTGAGAAGAGGGACGGAGAGAAGGGCGAGGATGCGTTCTTCCAGGAGGGAGAGGCACAGGTTGGTGGTGAAATGAACCAATGAAAATATGACGGGAGCTAACGAATGAATAGAAGAAGGAGACCGACCCCCAGAGGATAGAGGATCAGAAGAAGGTTGATAAGGCAGTCATGGCCAACATCCGCAAGGTTGCTGATTTGGAGGCATACCTTGCTGCAAGCTTCAGCCTGCGAAGCCACGAGAAGCCCCACGAGATGGTTTTCTAAATGGCTATCTACACGATGACAATTGATCGGAAAATACGGAAAGGGAATAAGGACAGCATAAGTGGGAAGAGTTATGACAGCATGGCAGCTACACAGAATGGAGATACGTTTTCTCCAGCGAATCATATGAACAGATGATACCCAATCACCGGACACCCAATAAGGGTCTCGGTATGATTCCAAAAAAATAAGAAAAAATATTCAAACAAACTCAAATATTACGGCGGCGTCGAGCATGATGTGATGTTGATGGCTTTTGTATCCGCTTGTCCCGCCATATGGGAGGAGCCCTTCACGACAACGACGATGTTGCCCGAACGGATGTACATATATTCGTAGCGATCGACCTACTTCACAAAGAACGATAGCATACACAATCACGGCATCTTGCACTTAGCTGATATACCGCAATCAGCAATCGCCATCTTCCAGTGGACTGTATCACCTCACGTACCTATCTATCTGCCCATCACCTTTATCATGGCCAAGCTTTATGCCTCGACATTTCTCCACGCACGATATATGTCATCATTAATCAAAATCAATACATGCAAATACATTTGGATATTATATCATCTACCATGCTAAATCTTAAAGAAAGAATGCCTCTGCTCTCCTTCAGAAAGATGAACAGAGAGACCGCCGGGTATCGATATCAAAATGAAACCTCCCACCCATCTATCCATCTATCCATACACATGACAACATATATTCCTTCCTCTACAGATTATAACTTTGACCATATTCTCAATCCTACCGTACAACTCACGGAACTATCACAAGGTTATGAATCATTACCAAAACAACACGCCAACACGACATATCAAACCGAGGTATCAAAAACGACACATCACACCAACAACAGTACCAACAGACCACAAAACCAACCAAAAACTCAGTTCATACGAATAGCTTACCCTGAATATTTATTAACTGCGCCCGCAGCCAAATCGAACCAGGTACGAACACGATAAATCCGATTATGTAAGCTTGCCCTCTAGTATGGATGGACATCCGATTACTACGTCTCTCTCTCTTTCACTCTCCCTCAGATGAAACAGCATTTAATTACTTGGAACGAGTGAGATTGCAAGGACGAATACGTGTTCAAGTGATTGAGGCCAAGAAAGCAAGAAGGTCAGGAATAGACGAAACAAACGGTGAACTCCTTCAGCAACGACGGGACGTAACGCGATCGATCGTGTGGCGTATCACACATCAACTATATTTATTTACCATTCTAGGTACACAAATCCACCCGCCGAACCCTAGTCCCAGTCCTAGCTGGCTCTAGCATATAATAGAGTCTTTCACAAAGGATCGCTCGAGGGGATAGTTGAGAGATAAAATAGATTATGAACCGGAAGTTGCAGGTGCAAATGGAAGCGGGAGAGGGAGGGGGGGCAATAAGCAGTCTGGCGGTGTAGGAAAATGCAGGGGGAGGGGGGGTCTCTCGGTGGGGGGAGGGATGAACTTCGGGGATCGTGGAAAATAGTGCGCGTTCGAGGGCAGGCTGGGCAGGGAGGGAGCGGCGAATTTTTGCTCTATTCCAAAAAAGATTTTGCTTTGTTGAGAGGGGCAAGCAGGATTTCGTGATGATGAATTGGTAGTAATGAATTCGTTGTTTTGCTGGTTCGATTTAGGTAGTTGGGATATACGTAGATGCTGGTCTGCTGTGGGGTACGGTGTTCTGTCGTGGCATTGAGGAACGTGAGACTTGCGTGGTTGTGTCTCGTCATGGTCGGATGACTCAGAACATTCAAGTCCTCGCTTTCTTGAAAATCTTTGAAGTTTTTTCCACTTTGTATATGTTCTTACAAAAAATATGCAGAAGTACATGCGAAGGCTCTTGCGTTGATCGACAGGGTTTGATCCTCGTCCCCTGGAAATGCACTTTGCCGTGAAACGGCTTCAGATGCTACAAATCCATCGGATCAGCATTTGCGGAAAAAGCACCCGATAATTAAGTGATTTCCCAAATGATCGACTCTCCATTACTCACGCATAAGAATAGTGTTTGGTCACTCAATTGGTCATGCTCGATATGGAAAAATATGATACCATTTCCGTAATTCCATGTTTGCACTAAATAAATACATAATCGTAGATGGAATAAGAATCTTCATCCAAGATAAACAAACATCCTCCCGCTCATCCAGAGATATGCAATCGCTACTAAAAGGCATGCCTCAAGGTCCGCAAGGCCCAGGGATGACTTCTGGATAAGGATGTGCTCATAAGGATAGTCAAGTGAGAGATCTTTGCCCATGAGATGATAATATGATCATCGGTCTCGTGATCATGAGATCTTTATATTCAAAAGTGACTTGCTCGCTATGCCAATAAAACAAATTCATAAGAAATAAATGAAAATTGAGTAGCCAGGAGGAAGGCAACATCGATATCGATCGGGGATGCCATCATATACGACGTTGCCCTCCAAGGTTAGACTATTCGGGAAATAAGTGAGAGAGAATGGTGCAGGACAACACTTGTCCCTGCATTTTAGAAGTGAGAAAACACTCGAGGCTATAGTCATGGAGCCGTCATCATGAGCGTAAAAGATCAACCATATAGTCGTAAAGAAAAGATCGAGATTGTCCCGAAATGAGTGTAGATAGTTGGAGAGATGGGAAACTTGATCGCTGGCCGTAACTTGGCGTATCCAAGACGCCGGGGAATCGGAGGAGTCAATAAATTCGAATCAGAAAGAACAAGACATCCAGGTGTCATCATACTTTTGTGTAAGGGTCGTCAGCCGTAAAGTTGTGGTCGTGGTCTGCAAGTGAAAGACGCGTAATCCGTGGAATCGTAAATCCGGGGAAGGTTGCAGGTTGTCGTTTCGGACGATGATGCTGGCATGAGAAGGAAGGTAGAAGGAAGCAGCCATTATATCGAAGAGTAGAAAGAGATAGAATGGGAGAGGAGCAATAAGCCTCTAATTGGCACGGATGACGAGTTTCGACAAGAACTTGTTCGAGAGCGAATCGAAGTCCGATCGGTCGAACTTGCAATCACTCCTGCTCCTCAAATAGGACTCTGCAAGGGTGGTCAGCTTTCAAGCGCTCAAAACAGGTGCTGCTTCAGGACTTACCGTATTTGGTGACGTGTGCACGGACCTCAGTCATGGCATCGCACACCGCTGGATTGGAGTTAAGGAGATGGTGGTGTTTTCGGGTGTCCCACTCGGTGAAAGCAGGGAGCTTCTGGGAGATGGCAGAGAAGAGGCCAACGATGACACCGACAGGCGTGCCTTCCATCTCGCCAGTAAACTTGTTGACGGCCGCCTGGTCAGGGACTCGGTAGTTGCAGTCGAACTGGATCAATTCCCAGACCGCAAGAAGGATAGCGGCAAGCATGAAGATAGTTGGCCAGTTCTTGAGCTTGTCACCGCTGTACACAGAAGAGTAGAGTGCAGAAAGCTCCTCCAAGACATCCTTCTGGAGCTCACGCCACATGTCCGCAAGAGCACACTTGACCTGGAAGTTGATCATGACAGGGGCGATGGTCTTGCCGCAGAACTTGGACTGTTGGTCATCGACCTTCCCGAGGTTGCACTCATCATCAGGAAGACCCTCAACCATGGTGACGTGCAAGGTCAGGTTGTAGGCAAGGACCAGCTTCAAAGCCTTGCGGATGACGGGAAGCTTCTCACGGCAGTAGAAGCGGTAGGCAGTCTTGAGCAATTCGGTGAGGAAGTAGGTGCCCTCGAAGTACTCATCAACAAACTGTTCAAAGCCACCATCAATGTGACGGTCGAGATAATCAGAGAGCATGCTGTGGGAGATGCCCTCCATGCCGGCAGAGAGTTTGGCAGTGTTCATCTCGAAGTGGAGACCGTGGAGAGTCTCGACCCAGTCAACGCCAAAGCACTTCTCATCACGAACGTAAACCTCGCGGGCCATGATTGGGAGGTAGTGACCATAGCCGTGGGTAACGTAGATTGGTCGTTCCTGGGGGGAGAAGCCCTTGATGTTGCCAACGGAGAATCCTAGGCTAACGTGACGTTCGTAGTCGGCCTTCCAGTCCTTCATGAAATACGCGATGTCCTTGATGTCAATGCGCGTGCACGGTACCTGCCACAGCCGCGCGTGGGATGGCTGGCAACCACCGCACGGATCGCCCTTGTCACAGGTCTTCTTGAGGAATTTGCAACGGAGGCAAGCACGGAGTTTGCGGATTTCGTGAGCCTGCTGTCGCTGGTCGGGTCGGAGAGGGCCTCGTCTCCTGCCAATTCGCTTCTCGCCTACAACATCCTTCTTGGTGGAATGAGCCGGAGTCTTCTTGACGATTGTCTTCGCGGGCTTAGCACCAGTAGTGGGGCTCTTCCTCCGGCGGGTTGGTGGTGAGCTAACAGCCGAAGAAGAAGGAGAAGTGGTGTTGGAAGTAGATTGCTTGACCACCACAGGCTCAACGCGAGCGGCAGGGGGGCTAACGGACTGATTCGGGGAGATTTGGTTGCCATACTGGTCCGCATCGGGTTGAGCAAGGCCGTGATAGCAGTTGGACGAGTGGGAGTGGTGGGAGTGCACAAGCTCGAGGCTGTTATCGTTCTCGGATCCGGGCGAGTTCATGGGGAAATGGATCTCCTCGAAGCTGCTGAAAGATCCTGCTGACCGTGGAACGTCCGATTGGTTCGAGTTGGACGAGTCTGAGTTCGTGCGGATGTGAAGTGCCTGTGCAGGGTTGAAAATGATGGCCGATTCTGGGGTGAAGTCGTATGAGTTACGGTGGCCACCAAAGTCGACAGCAGTCCAGCCGTTGTCACTGCTTGAGAGAGATCGGACCTCGAGCCACTGCTCACCAGGGGAGTCGAGATTGACGCTGTTGGAGGAAGTGCTTGTGGTACCGGTGAAGTCCTGGTGACTACCTGGGAAGATATCGATCTCCTGGTTGATGTCGGCCATACCCAGACCAGATGAGTGTGTCGAAGTCATCGCAGCCATATTGGCGAGTCCCATGGATGCGGAGGTCATCAAATTGGAGAAGGCCGGGGCGTCCATCGACATCGAGGTCAACATGGCCTGTGTGGTGTTGATAGGGAACTCGACTGGAGAGGTCTGTAGTTGTCCACCGAACTGTGTGAAGTCAGATGGGTTCATGGTCATGTCGAGGCCGTACGCCTGGTGAGTGAAGGCGTTCGGTGGCATGCCCATCCAGTCTGCGAGCATGGGATTCGCAGTCTGCAGGCTGGTGGAGAATCCGAGGCCGCTCGTCTGAAGCGGAGCAATGGCACTTGTGGTTGTGGGTAACGAGGTCGCAGCGGTCGAGGCGGCCACTGTGTTTATCCTGCGTTGGTGCTGGTTATTGTGATGTTGCTGTTGCGACGATTGCTGCGCGTTCGGGTCGTGGGACGCCATTTGTTGTGATGGGGAGAGTGGAAGCGGCCAGGTCTGGTGATGGTGGTGATTGAGGAAGAGCGGGTGCCGGTTGGGATCGTAGGAGGGATCGAAGCCGTAAAAGGCGTCGAAGTTATCGATATTATTATCCATGATTGCGGCGTGGTGGAGAAGAAGAGGAGGTGAGGTGAGGTGAGAGGCGGAAGTGGAAAAGGAAAGAGTGGGTTGAGGGTTGGAGGGTGAGCTCAGCTGGGCGAAGCTCTGTGCTGCTGAGAGGGTGCTGCTGAACAGAGCAGCGGTGTGAAGGGGGAGGAGAGGAGGAGGAGAGGGAGAGGGAGGAGAAGTTCGAAGGTTGAGTGAGAGTTAGACGAGAGACGAGAGAGTAGACGAGAGGGTAGCGAGTAGCGAGTGGAGTGGGAGAGGATGAGAAGGATGGAGAGAGGCGGGAGGCGGGTAAGACTTGGCCCGTGCTGCCCTCCCAAGTCACGGTCACAGTCGCCCACCACCACCCAGCCCACCATCCACTAACAACCTGGGACCTTGCCCACGACGAACTTGCGGTGTAAGAGCACGGGACTAGCTTTGCAGGACACTAACAAGACGATGCCGACGATGCAGACGATGCAGCAGGCTTCAGATGTAACTAACCTATCCACCCCCCGGCTCGCCGCCAATTGGATCTGTCCTCCGTCGTGGGAGGAAGAGAGAGCCTGGCCGAGCGAGAGCGTGGGTGGTCGTCGTCGTCGTCGTGCTGGTCGTCACCCTCATCGTCGTCCTCGTCCTCGTCGATTGAGTGACAATCATACACAGTACGGGGTGGACGAGGATAGTACCAGGATGGACGGAAGCCAGACGTCCGATATGGATGTACTGGACCGATTCAAGATACCCCGATGAAGATGGGCAACTGGTGACCGAAAACGAATAGACGGCGATTCACATTGATCATTCAGTAGACTCCTTGAGGGTTGGCGACTATTGAGAGAACGCGCTGCTGGTTATGATCTGCTTTTCCCTCCCGCTGCCCGCACCGCCGCACCGCACTTACAGCACAAAAAGTAATAAAGGTGGGAAGAGAACTACATAACGAGGGATGCGAGGGTATGGGGGTGGGCCCATTTCTGGGATAGGTGGTATTGTTGGTGTTGTGCAGATATGCCGTACTGTACGTGATTATCTAGTCTGATGTCTACCAAAGTAGTAGACACTGCTTGATTGACGTGCAGTACGAAGTACAATAACGACACTGGAACGATCATGCCCGTACTACGACTACTTTTTTAGACCCTCTCCATGTGAGGATTCCCAGGTCGTGGGATGTTCAATTGTTTGATACACAGAGGAAAACCTGGATCCGGCACAAGTCTGGATTCTCTCTCTGACGACCATCTTCTCCTCCTCCCCTTCTCCCTGCGTCCGATCATCAATTAGTCCAAACGCCCTACTCGCACTCGTAGCTAGGACGGTCTAGCAAGCACAAATAGCATGACTTGCTATTAGTTATTATTCTACAACTGCGGCAAAGTGGCCGTGAATTGTGGAGGGACCCGTTATTGTGTACGGAGTATTACTCTTCGGCCAAATTGAGTGTGCAGTAGCGAGAAAATCAGGTCAAATGTTAACAAGGTCTCCCTACCCTCAACATTCAATCTCTGCACCTTTTCCGGAGTAGTCTGTACATACGAAAGACTTGAACTATCCTGCTTGTATAGGGTAGATGGCCTTGTACGAGTCCTCAAGTAGTGTCTCGCCTCGCCTCGCCTCGACTCCACCTCCAGACAAGACAAGGTCAAAGTACGAGACAAAACGAGACGAGTCCTAGACAAGTATGTACTCGGAAGGGGACGATCCATTCTGGCCACCACCGTTCCCCGTCTAGCATAGGCACGGCGCCTTTGGCTTGCTGTGTTGCGTTATTCTGGCGAGGGGATCGATGCCTGCAGCTTGTTTGCTTATTGACTGGTTGACTGACTGGTTAACTGGCTGGCTGGCTGGCTTGGCCACTGCCAGGCCATTCGGCGGCGCCCGTAAGTGTGCACTGTGTCGCAATATCGCGCATCTCGCGGTCGCTTTGCCTGAGGCCCTGAGCCTATCAATCAAATCAATCGATCAATATCCTGAACTGCACCTACACCATTGTGCATCATCCATACATTCCTCCAAACCCCTCATCACAATCGATAGCAACCTCCCAAAAAGACTTAGACCCTGTCAATCCTCCTCATCCCATTAAACCGATCGGCAGACCACCCCTCAGCATTCGCTACTCTGGGGCATGAGATGCGCCTGCAGCAAAGAAAGACAAGGCAAGGCAGGCAGGTAGGCAGGGACAAGGCTCCCTATCAAATTCCTGCCAAGTTTCTGTCTCTACGAAGTATTGAGCGTATCAATCCTCCATCGTCCTACTCGTCCTCGTACGTCTCAATTACCTACGCCCGTCGAGCATTGCGCCGCAATCCTGTTCTCCATATTTCTTCCCTTCTGGTGTCTCCTCCTCCACAGTCCTCGTTTATGCGTCTATCCGTGTAATGACCGTCATCGTCATCTCTCGCGCGGAGTCCGGCGCAGTACACAGTAGCGTTGCCAGCACATCCCAGTGATATGCTAGAGTCGCATCTAATAATACCGAACTCCCAATAATAACAGGCAATGTGCCACTAACGTTATCTGGTAGTGCTGGTACACTTCCTACTGCTCTCCAGAACCAAATGCCATTGACGCAAGATGCCACGCCCATTAGGTCCTTTCCACGGTAGAGCTGCGTGAGTACCCGCTGGCCTCACATTGTTTACTCCACTTACTCCGTACTTTTCCCTTCCTGCTCGTAGGAGTATTCTAGGTACGCTACGAATACTTGGAGAGTTGGTTGAGGTTGGCTGTTACATCGCCCACTATTTACCTATTTGTAACGGCGCGATTCGCCGCCTAACCTATCCACCAGTCCATCCCTCACCGGACGCGTAGGAGCGCCTAGCAGAGAGACCGTCCGGGCTTTTATCGTGCCTACACCAACGAGTACGGAATACTGTACAGTTACTTTGTCAACAGTGACAGTCTTTTCCATATTCCCATTTCTTGCAATATGCGACCTGTGCCTCGAGCATGAGCTGGCCTTGCTTCCGACTCCACGCGCAAGATTGATCGTCTCATGTCTTGTCCGGCGCAAATCCTCGTGCCGTAGAGCGTTCTACCACGATTGAGCCACCAGCAACATGCCATTGTCCCCATTGAGCCCAGCTGCATGCACATAAGCGTCTGCTGTGTGTTTGTATCACCCACCATTCACGCGCCGTGTCACACACTGAGCATTTCCTTGCCTCCACTCTCTGATCAATGACCACCTCGAAAGAGAGAGCAGACCAAGCGTTTCAAGTGCCGTACACCTGCCGTCGAACCATCCTCCCTAGCCCTGAACCTCGTTTCTGCTCTCTCGTTCGCCAGTTTTCCAAAGACTGTTAACACTTGACAGGAAAAGAAATGCTCTGTAGACCCTAACCCTCACATTGGTCGCGCAGGTGCAACACCAGGAGTAACGAACATGTTTCTCTTTTATCATTCCTCGTGATGTGGTTGTTCCTTTCTGTTTGTCTATCTGGCCGCTTCCATCTTTCCATCTTGTTCTTTCATTCTCCTTGCCTCGTTACATGCTCGCCGTCTTGTCATGCAGCAGCTCGTTCCCAAAACCAAAGAAAGACCCTGGAGCACATCGGCGTTGCCGTTTGCCCACACAGTACTAGCAAGGCAGCCGTCCAGTCATTACAAAGGTTGGAAGAATGAGCCCATAAATTGTGCATCCTGTGGCGTTCTTCGTCGCACCTGTTCTCGCGGAGTCAAAGTTGGCCTCTTCGCGCAAGCCAGAGTAGTACCTCAATGTCGTGACACGCAAGGCCTGCGGACTCGCAAGGTGCCGAATAGGATCATCGTGACAAACTCGAAAGATTTCTCTTTCAGAAGATTCTAGCAAAAATCATGTGGAGGGGAAGGAGGGGGGAGAATTGCTGACCCGAAAGACGAGCTGATTTGCTGTGCATATGCCCCATGCAAATGAAATAGAGAGTGGACGGCCCAATTCAGCGATCTCCCTAATTGAGCCAGCCTACGTCTGACACACAACCTCTCACCCTGGGAGCCAGAGCCAGAACCAGAGCAAGAGCCAACGATACCCCGCGTGTTGCAGAGACCTTCCTCCGACCGTTTTCTGATCCCTCGTTCGCCCGTGCTGATTCTCTCTCCTTTCTGACAAGTTGGGGTATCGAGGGTAACAAAGGTCGACTGTGACAGATGCGCGTCATACGCATATACCATCGGGACTTGCTCGGTTGGGGAGTCTGATTGGGCCGTTAGCGATATCAATCACTTGAGACATCACTATCATGGTTGAGCACAGTGGTTCCCGATTGGGTTGTTAAGCAACGACTATGCAAGCCCATCGGCAATGAGACCAAGACTCGAAGGCGTCGTTCGTACGCTCTTGTTAGATTAGCATATACGGAGACATGCCATTGCATTCGAATTCGAATCTCCCGGGGAAGGATTGTAACACGGACTATGCAAGTGCTTGAACGTTCGACCATGATGAAACCTTTACTTCTTTTGTCTCAATTTCGAATGAGCAGGGAATCGTAGAGCGATGTGCCAAATCGGTCAGACATCGCTGTGACGTCCATTTTGAAGGCTTCTCTCTACTTCCTGTCATCACACGAGTAGGACATAATCACACATGGATGCTCAATGCTGATCTGGGGAAGTCATCTCAGGCCAGAAGTATCCGAAGACGAAAATTGACGCAAGCCTACTTTCAATAATCTCTTCAATTGAAGTAACTACTCAACAGCCACGCAGACAAATTGATCTAACAACTACCATACTTCCGACTCAACGATTCCCCAGACAAACAAACAAATAAACAAAAGCAACCAAATAACACCACCCACAAAAAAAAGAAAGAAAAAGAAAAACAATTCGAACCCATCTCCGCCGATCAGACACAGCCTCCCCCACAAGAACTAACATCCACACCTCCATTCCTTCCGACCCTCAGACCGCCCTTGAACCGTCTTTTACGCCCGATCACGGTAGATCATGAATATCACATACATCCTGACACCGCTCTTATCCTCCGTCCACCCCTACCTCAATTCAAAAAAAATCTACTAGTCCCTTCGGCTTCGGGAGAATAAAGACGTCAAGAATCAACTATTGAAATGGTCAGAAGAAATGCCGATAGACATCACATACGCCGCACCAGCCACACATCTCCCCCACCCTTGCTAACCCACTTCCAACAAATCCAACGACATCTTTCCATGCGGCGCAGCAAACGAAAAGCCAAAGAAGCAATTGATATCTACGAGGACATAATATCGGCGGTGAGTTAGCCCATCATTTACAATCGCTAGCTTGCTCGTTTTGTTCTTGTGTCGAGCTTCCGGTGAGTATGGCAGTGCGGTGAATGTGGCGCAGCAATCGTGAAGTACTTGCATGCATGTATGCTATCGGATGAGGACGAAAAGGAGGAAATTATGAGGTCCTACGTCCGAATTTGTCTAATGGGTTAAGCGACCTTGTCGTCTTTTCGTGATTTGAGGCAGAACTGGAGATATGTTGATGCCTGGCGTGATGTAGCTTGATATGGAGAATGGGCGGTCGAGTGGGTCCTTGTTGTGGGAAAAGCTGGGCGGACACCTTCATTATCATGAGTGCTCATGTGGGGAGGTTCACCGACTTCATGTCGAATGATTGTGCGGGAGATTCCGCATAGGATGAGGCATTAGATGGTGCCTGGTTTTAGGTATGCTGGTTTGAATGCTGACGATGGAGATGCAAGTTCGGGGGCATTTTGAGGAGCAAACCCGGTGGGATCGTATGAAAGGAGAGATGTATGGTAGGAATTTACTTTGGAAGTACGAGCGATTGCGATTTGAATCTAAGAGAATTGATCACTATTTTCTAGGACGATTGATATTTGGTGACAAGTTGGTTGAGATATCTTGAGTTATTCTATTACCTTACAACAGTGTGTCCAAAATAGCTTGATCGTTTTGATGATACCATACTAAAATCACTTTGTTTTGATCCCACTTATATCGCTCTAGGTAATGCTTCTTCAACGTTTCCCTTGATCCAAGACAGCGATCAAATCCTGTTGTTGGAATTTGGATGCTGAAACCAAATATCTTTGTCTCCCGTCGCGTCACCGTTGGGATCCTATATTCGTGACGCCTTTTACTTCCAATACTGGTGCTATAAACAGGTAAATTAAGTAAATCCAAGATTCATACCCGTACATCCAGATCGTACTTATCAGGTTCGTAGAAAACTTCGTAGAAATACATGATTTCTGCCTTAGGGATCGGACCTTTGTCAAATTGGTCTGTTGCGCGAAGTACTGGTCGATGTATATCATTATGACACTGTCACACTTCCTTGATCCTGATATGCTTTGCGACTTCTTCTTCGAAGGTAGTTTGAGAATTAGCAAAAAGCCAGTGTATTATTTGACAGTTGCGAGATGGAGCAATGGAGACGAGACAGCGGAGTCGCTCAGCTCCTCTGTTCCTCGGCTGCAATACTCAGAAGAGGTTTAGAGAAGACACAGGCAATATGATTGAGACTTTATTGATCGCAATTGGGCGATTGTATCACATCTCAAGATACCGAATCACTTTCAAACACATTCAGCGTGTATATTTGCCGATGGTCAATCGAATGAGCATTTCAATTGAGAACCGGAGTGTACATATCCCATTATACTTTTTATCAAATGCTAATGGGATGCAATATTGATCGATTTCAAACATAAAATGCACCTGGAGCATTGAACTGTTACATTGTTTCGCTAATCAGAGATCTAGACTTCAGAGGAAATATTTTAAGAATGGAGTGAAGAAGCATTGAGCATATTTAAGTCGTCACGTACCTTACTTCATATGTTAGAAAGAGGTACGTAACTCAACATCAGAGCAGTTATGTACCAATTTCGGGTGACTAGGAGCATAGACCTTAATTTCATCATATATCAAGAGCTCGCAGCAAATCCACCGCGTACATCTAGGCTCTACTTTGACAATAGCTTTTGAGTACAATTCGTTTTAAAATCGTATGAAAAGACTCATCCTAGAAAAGGGAGATATACTTGATCACCAAGTAAGAAGTTGTAATGCTCTTGATTTCGGTTAGGGGTGTTCATTCATGTTGATCGTGATGATCAAGTACGACTTCACTTGTTTTTTCGAACCTACAGCTTTGATTGCAAAATAGAAGATCCCTGATATCCCATTTTTTTCATGTTCAACATTATGTTCGAGGAGCCACTAAGGTACTTCGAGATCAATTAGATTTAGCATGTCACTGCTGAATTCAATGATACGATATATACCAGGACAAGTGCATGGCTGTCTTGTCCATGGTCGGATATCTTTGCGACGATACCCAAATTCGGTCCTTTATAACCTGGACATGGTCAGAGTCAACAAGCATAGCAACAAGGAGTAGATATAGGGCATTATCGGATAGAATACGTACACAGATACGCATACTTTTTCCAAGGACAACTTTCAATTCCCATCGGTTCGAGGTCGCGGGCTCTGGCAATTTGTCAAGAGATGGAAGCACATAGTCATCACCGTTCAACACGACCCATGTAATCCAATCTGGAAAAGGCAACAAAGATTTTATATTTGCTTTTGCACCACTCCCGAAGAAAATGGAAGCCCCCCCGCATATCACCAACAACCAGCCAATCTCGGAGGCGGGGGAGAATGCACGAGGGGCTCCCCAACCGGACTTCGGGATCGAGCCCCTCGCAGTTTCCAAGCTTTCGTGTAACCTTCACGGCAGAAGTCGCGACCATATATAATATCATGCGATAGCCATTACACGTAGCAAGTTTGGTTTTCACATTTGATATCTAGATAGATCTTGCAGCGGCACTTCATCTACGCTTTGCTTCATCTAGAAAGCTCCTACGACAGCTAGAAATCAATCACAAGATAATCAGTCAACATGGCTCACGTCGGCGCTCTTCCCAAGATTAAGCGCTACGTGACAGCACACAACAAAGAAGGCAAAGCGATCTTTAGTGACAAGTTCGACGATGAAAGCACCATGAAGCCAAACGATGACGGCATAGCGTTCGCACTGAGCTACACCACGAAGGGCTTCCCCGTCAGCATGGACGACGACGAAGATCTCCAAGTCTACGATAAATATCTAAACAGCGCCCCTGGCCTCGTTGTCTCAGGAGGCACAGTCCTTCGACACGTCGATATCCCACCCAAGACTGCATGTACCATGCATCGGACCGTGAGCTTGGATTACGGCGCGGTGATAGAGGGAGAGGTCGAGCTGCTCTTGGACAGCGGGGAGAAGCGTATCATGAAGAGAGGCGATGTTGCTATTCAGCGCGGGACGATGCATCAGTGGATCAACAACAGTGAAACGGAGTGGACGAGAATGCTGTTCGTCCTGCAAGAGAGCAAGCCGCTCAAGGTTGCGGGGGAGACGTTCGGAGAGCATTTGGCGGGTATGGCAGGTGTGCGATCGTCGGATTGACCCTAGAGGAAGGGTGAGTGGAGTATGGCAATTTTCCAGATATGATCATTGAGTATCGAACGTATATCGAGACAAATGGCCGTTGGGCAGGTATATCATGAGTGCGAGCGCGGGGAACTTCTCGTAGAAATGAATACGAAATTGGCGTTGATTCCTTTGCCAAGACCGAGCTAGTGCCTGTCATCTCACCAGGCACGAATATAATGTTGCATGAATGAACAAAGAACAGATTTACATGTGGCTGAATTCGGCTTGGAGACGAACCTAGCCTTGGTACTGGGAAGAAACGACCGTCCCAAAATGTAAATGCTGAGTCGTTGTCCTCCCGAAGAACAATAGTAGCGAATTTTGCCAATCCCCACCTCACGAAAGCCTTGTTCACAAACTCACGAACAAACACCCATCCAGATTCCTTTGAAAGTCAGCATAGTAGACACCAGATTTAAAGAATCATGGCCGCCGAAGACTCTTCGGCACCGCCATCTGCTCGGTTTGAAGAGGTTCTTACCATCTCGAACCGGATCGAAGAGTTATCAAATTCTGAAAACGAGTACGAGGAAATGGGGACAGTCGCCAACGAACATGAGTCCGCAAATATCGCGTTCATCAACAGCATAACTGTACCTATACGAGATAAGTTTCAGACCGAAACGTCTATGGTCCAGGATGACACTCTGGGAGAAGTGCTTCTCTTCCTAGAGGGCAATCCTAATGACTTTCCCCTCAACAACTTCGGCCTCCCACAACTTCAACGGGCCAAACACAAGAGCTTTCTGGAGAAAGCTATTGGCGACTATGAACCTCATATGGCACCTCTTGATGCGGCACGGCCATGGTACACATATTGGAGTTTGCAAGGACTATCGGCCTTGGGCGAGGATGTAAGCACATACAGAGACCGGTATGTTCCACTTAGTTCTTGGCTCTATTTCTAGTACTCAGAATTTCTTGGGCAGTAATTAGAATAGAGCAAACATTGGATGAGCTGACCAAAATCCATAGAGTCATAGCTACATTCAAACAATGCCAACACCCCGAGGGTGGATTTGGTGGAGGCTACGGTCATCTTCCGCATCTGGCAGCAACGTATGCGGCAACTCTCAGCATCGCTATGGTTGGTGGAGAAGCAGCGTATGAGTGTATCAATCGCAAGGCTATGTGGCACTTCCTGGGCCGCATGAAGCAAGCCGATGGTGGATTCACGATGGCGCCTGGTGGCGAGGAAGATATTCGTGGCGCATTCTGTGCACTAGTTGCCATGTCACTATTGAACCTTCCACTCGAACTACCCCCAGATGCACCCGCGAGACAACAAGGACTCACTAATTTCCTTGACAATCTAGGGGACTGGGTGTCGAGGTGTCAGACATATGAGGGTGGAATTTCAGCAGCCCCTGGAAACGAAGCACATGGAGCCTACGCATTCTGCGGACTTGGATGTTTGTCAATCATGGGTCCTCCAAAGGAGACACTGAACAAGTATTTGGATGTCCCTAGCCTAATTCACTGCCTTTCGTCTCGACACTGCGCACCAGAGTGCGGGTACAATGGTCGTACCAATAAATTAGTCGACGGTTGCTACTCACACTGGATTGGAGGCTGCTGGGCTCTTGTCGAAGCAGCTGCCGGGAAAGGTCTCTGGAATCGTGGAGCACTTGGCCGATATATCCTTTCAGCTGCACAGTTCAAGAAAGGTGGCCTGATTGACAAGCCAGGCAAGAGACCAGATAGTTACCATACATGCTACAACCTATCAGGACTGAGTGCTGTTCAGCACGAATACGTCTTCGACGAGGATGTGAACAGCGATATAGGGCAGGATAACTTGGGAGCACCTTTCCACTGGAAGGCAGAGAAGCAGGTGGAAGAAGGAAAGGTCTGGGGCGATGAGGACGTGGTTGCAGAAACCCACCCCGTCTTCGTCATACCCAGCCAGGCTGCTACAGATTGCAGGAAATACTTCGAGGCAAATCCGGGTTTCTGATTGAATCTACATTTTTGAGATAGCAACATTGGGTCTGATTGCAACGCAATGTTGAGGATAGGAACTTAACACGTATAACATGCGACAATCGTATGATACCATTTCTCATGATTCCAATTGGCATTTCTTTCAAACTATGTACCCGCATGGTTTTATAGAATCGGTTGGTCCAGAATCATTGATTACATTTTGCACCGTACGCTCATTGCAAGTCCATGTAAAGCATAATTGGCGGGGCCTCAATAATCTGCTTCAAGAGCTTCTTGATCTCTACGTGTGCCGTGCACTCGTTGTCGTAGAAGTCCATGTCCGCTTTCGACTCGAAGACCGTGCGGGCCACCAACGTAATGCCCTGGCGGCGCGGGTCATCGTGTGTGGGCGAGGCCTGAGCTTGTTGTATGTATTGTTTCCCATCCTGCATGCACCCGTTAGGACGTTGTTCGCCTCTGGAGGTCAAGCTGCACCAGCTAGTCTCGCGGCATGTCTCTTTTCATGTCTGGAGTATCAAGAACCTAGCCAATGGTGGAGGATACCGCTCTTCTCCACAAGGACCTGCAAAGCCTCGACATGTCGCCTAAAAATGGAGAGGGGATTCGTGCAACGCAAAGGCAGCAGTTTCGTCAACAAACGACGCGCAAGGTGCACAATACGCTCCTCCCATCATCGACGACTACGACGCAATACATGACGGGAAGCAGAATTAGAAATCTAGATGACTCGACATAAAGACCTAACACGGGACGGAGCGAATGGTGAGGGTTTCTGGTGCGTGATAGGAAAGTCCCGACCTGCATATGCTGCAGAGCGATTGCCACTACAATCGTGATATCGCCTCAATCCCCATGCATAACGGCCTGGGGCCCCCAAGAGTCCCGCGGGAATCGAAGAAAAGGACAGTAATGGATCGAGCTCACCTTCAATGCATCTTGAGTCAATGTCGAATACTTCTTGATAGCTTCCTGTACGTTTGCAGGGTCAGGGATCTTGAAGAGGGTCAGGCGGGCGATCTTTGGCATTGTGAGGTTTGTGGCTTGCAGCTTGAGGGATCAGACAGATGAGGATGAATTGACCAAACGCCAGAGGCAAAGGACTAAAGATCAAAAGTGAAGAAATGATTCGATTCAGATGAGATTCTGAACGAGGGATTGTTATTCAAGTTTAATGGCTGTATGTGGATGTTCACGGCAGCGGGTCATAAGTTGGAGAAATGGGTAGCTTCGGATGTGAGGGGAGCCACAACGTCGGCAATTCAAAGGACTGCCATGAAGCTTCTCGGAGAATTAGTGGCAGTATGGAAGGGGGAATCTGAACACATAGGAACAGAAACAGACGTTGATAAATGTGGCAGTTTTAGACCGGTCATCATCCGATGTCTATTGGGGATTTCAATGGGGGTTATTCTCATCTCAACCTTTGTAGGGGTTGAGCAAGTACGGTGTACCTCCATCTATCTAGGTACCTAGGTACATGCCTAGGTATTTTCCGGATTGGGCGTGAGTTCGGAGGCGGGACAACAACACTACAAAAGGTGGAGACTCGACATCAAGACCTCGGTCACACAGCAGACGTTGAGCCCACGGCACGAGCGGACTGAACGAACGCAGTACTCCGTAACTCGTACTGCATGTATACACACGGTAAATGATGGAGGACCACCGGCCCTCGCGACCCTGGTGTATCCATCCATTCCTTGCCCAGTCGTGCCAGTCTGCCGCAGCACGTCTCACAAGGCTGAAGAGGAGGTCGCGGGAGCTCGTGGTTGGAGAGCTGAACCAGTGGGCCGTCTCTGTTGTCATCTCTATAGCCGGAATCAGGCCGATTCGAAGATGGCGAACGAATCTTAGGTTTGAGAGGCTAGCAGTCAAGAGGGCGCTGGGCGAGATATGAGAATATGGTCATGGCATTCTCTGTGGCCTTGCAACCAGAACAGCGACACTGCAATTGACAGTAGTCTAGTGGCATGACGGCCGAAACACAAACTACCTTCTTGCACCGCTTTCGATTTTTTCTGTCTGGTCTCAACGAAAGATTCTTAAGAGGATAGTCCTTCGTCTTAGGAGGGGCCAGCTATTGACACGCCGGCGTCAGCTCACCGCCTTTCTCCTCAGCAAAATGCAACGATTGCGGATACCGCCAGTGGGTAGTCGCCTGTGTCGCGCGTCGAAGGGGGAAAGAACGTGCATCCCGTAGTGGAGAATTATGGGAAATGGGAAATGGAGAATGGTGAGGATTGAATCCCAGCGTCGTTCAAGGTTGCTCGAAGATATTTCATTTTCGAGACACCCGGTACCAATGGCATCGCTCGATCACGAGATAATCCTCACCTTTCATTGGTGATCTATATTCTTCTATGGGTATCACATTTGCAATAACGTAGACATTGTCTACTCATGGCGCGACTTTTCGCCCATTGCATCCCCATCCCATCCCATCGCATCCTGATGTACGTCAGTCGACACGCTCTTTATCCAGCGGGGGACTGATTGCCCAATGCTGTGGCCATCCCGCTGCAATTATTATGCTCCCGCATGCATCAAATCATTGATGCCCCGCGTCTTGCTAGCCGTCTCCCAAGACATTGGACCGACGCCAAAGGCCCATCTCCTTGTACATGTACGTACATGCTATAAGTCCTTATGTACCGACCCTCGTCAGAATTCGCCGTGAGCCTATCGTCCCTTCGCGATCCGGACCACTGCTCCACTGCACCATGCAGTCCCCTCCGTGGAATCCAAAGAAGCTATTCTCAATAATCAATCATACACTCAAAGGGAATGATCCATATCGAACGGTCGGCGGTCTGCTACGGTCTGCGACCTACTGTTTGGGGTGTACGGTCTCCGTCGCCGGATCTTGAGGCTACGATAAGCTGCCTCGCATCCAATTCTGATAGGTACGAATGTATGTACTACAGTAAATACTGTGTGCATTATGCCGAGCTACTCTCAGCAAGTCCGTAAAGCAGTTCAAAGCAGCTAAAGGCTTCGTCATGCGAGGTCCGCTAACTATCTATTACATCGTATCGTACCGTTGCACCAAGGCTGTATGGCCATATGTGGAACCCTAGCGATGCTTCGAAACTTGAATTGATGCCTCGTCTTCATCTGCCGTTCATCGTACATTTCCTGTACATACAGTGGTGTTCTGCTTTGATCTGAGCCATCCCCCGTATTCATAATCAAAGTCATTCGCCTTACACTCCCCTACCGTCTTCAAGCCGACTGTCAATGGTCAATGTGTCTAGATGCAAATTGCTTACGGCAAACGTAAACGGTAAAGCCTCTGTGTGTGGCGGTTAATGTACGTCGTATGTATGTACGGAGTATGTCTACACAGAGAGGAGCGAGGGGGGCCAAGTGAACAGGATAGGTAGGCAATGTGTATGAGTAGTATATGTACGGAGTATGCAGGTATGTGCAACGCGTTCGTTCGCCTGGCTGGACCCGGGCCTTGAACAATCAATCTATCAAGGATCGACTTCGCTTTCCCCCTTCTCTTCTCCAGATCCCAAAAGTTCGTTCCAGGGACCCTCGTCATTTCTCGCTTGGTCCCAGCTCCGTTCGCCAAGGCCCTTCCTTTTCTTACTCCTGCTCTTGCATCTTTGCAGGGTAAGGGTAGGCAAACTATACTACACTCCACTGCACACTACACTCCACCTCATATGGCACAGTGCCTGCCCGCACCTATTCACCTCACAGATACGCAATCGACACATTCTGGAGCCATCGAGCCATCGAGAGATGTGCTCAGACGTGCTCCACAACGGCGATTCATGCTTGCGAGCATGCCTTACAGCTAACAGCCGTTGGTCCTCACCCCTTCTGGAGGTTGGCGCAGATAGTAAAGTATCAAGCGTCGCCAGCTCACCATGCATACAGGAGCTCGGTTGTCCAGGGTGCAACGACATTCGGATGGGTAACACCAACCCCGTTCTATCCTAAACCCTCGATTCCAGCAATCAAATCAATTTGCCTTGTGTTCTCTTCGATCCTGTCGCCAGGAATCCGCCTGTTGTTCCTGGTGTGACGCTCTTCCACTTTCAAGCCACCATGCTTTGCTCTACGCCCGCTTTTTTCTTCCCACGATAGCGTGTCACCAGTAAATTCCTTCTCCTTCACGCGCGACTCCCGCGCTGTCTTCACTTGCTACCAGACCAGACCAATTCGAAAAATCCGTTCTTCTCTCTTATGCATGGTGGCAAACAGCGGGCAAAGCCTGTTCTCTACTTTCGTCCTCGATGGAGCACACTTGCCCGCTTTGCTCGTAGTCCAGGACAATGGCCATATGTATACCTTTCCAGTCGTCCTGCCAAGGCCCTTATATAGCAATCTGGGTTCACGGAATCCTCGACAGGGCTTGCAGCAATTGACGTTGCGCTGCTTTGCTACTCCTCTTCTTCCTCTTCCTGTTCCTCCTCCCCCTCCGCTTCCAATCTGTGCATTAGTGGGCCCCGCCCTACGTTCAACCAGTGTACGGGACTGCTTGTTGGATTCAATGCATCCTCCCTCTATCGCCGTGCCCAGGACGCAGTACTGCTACACTCGTCCGTTATGCTTCCCCTTCAGGCGCCTAAAGGTGCCGATCTAAACGCCGGATACAGCCTTTGATGAACGGGCCACAAGGTATCCCGATCCTCCAGCCGTCTATCACGCTACTGCTGCAGTAAAGTGGCGAACCCAGATGATGTGCACTCTCGCGAAGACCGGTGAGCTGTGCCTTTTGGAGTTTGGATCTCTCTGCTAGCCAAACCCTGGAACCATATCTTCCACTGGCGAAAACGCACGCCAACACATCACTATGGGTCTCTGCTACAGAGCCGCAAGAGAGTCCCGCATAGTGTTCATTTCTAGATGTCCAATTGCCCTCGGATCCTAACGCCGGGCGAACTTTGACGCGGGTGCATAACCTAAGATTGCTTGCTGCTCTCGGCTGCCGCAATAAATTACACTTCATCCCACGGCAGAGGGGCCCATATGTCCACCCCCATCCCCCAACCCTCTTTCTGCAGGCCAACTCACTCTCCCTTGCTGTTGTTCATACTTCGATAGTTGCTGTTCACCACCAGGACAGCTGTCACTTCTCACATTGGTAGCTGTCAAGTCTACATACGTGCTCGCTGTCGTACAACAGCAGCCACGATTACCGTACCGGGTCTGATATTCTCGCCACCAACAGGCACTTGCCAGTTCAGCAACCAAATTCTCCCCTACGTCTTCCCCTTGAGATCTACCTGTTCGCATTCCAAGGGCCTTTAATTGCATCAATTGGTTCCATTCGTCCACGTCAACAACTACAACACCATGTTCTATGTTATGTACCTTACAGGTAAGGCCTCAATCAATCCCATGCCCCACGGAACTAGTGCCCTAAGCCTGGATTGCATGCTCATCTCAGCATCAACGGGCTAGTAGTCGAAGCAATCGGTGTTGGACCGTAATCAGGAACGGTTTGCCGCCTCTTTCTGTAAGGCTGGCACACCGGTTACCGTCCTACCGGATGTTGACTGCGAGTGTTCTTGGGACGTTCCAGGGGGGGACCGGGGAGTGTTGATCTTCGTTGTTCATACACTGACGGACATCAGGTCTTTGCCAGCGTCGTCACTGGCCCGATCCTCTCTTCCAGACGTTCCGGACTCGTTACGGCTATGGCTGCACTGTTCGGGTGAACAATCGGGAGTACTCAACTGATGTCGAGTACGAGACCGACGAGCTCGCGAAGAACGCTGCCGCTACCCGTGCCTACATGATCTGCAGGAACTTCTCTGTCAATGACGGCATGTATCCCGGCCAACGCCCCGGACAGGGTGGCCTCGTCCAGGGACTTCCAGTGGCCATTGGGACGGGTAGGAGGAACACCTGTTCGTCCAACGACTTCGATAGCGTCAGCTCCTCCAGCGGGGATACGAGCCCCAGGGGTAGTGACTGCGGCCTCGATGCAGAGAGATCCGACCGTAGAACCAGCAATGCCTCGGCGTCGACCACGACCTGTTATTGCGGCCGTGGGACTGTCCGTGCATATGAGCGATGCACATCATGCCTGCGTGATGCCGGCTATAGAATCTAGATGGCGGTATTCTGATTTCCAACGCATACAACGTTATGCACGATTCCTTCAATGGACTGCAGGAAAACAAAAAAGGCGGAAACGACATGAACACCTTTACGAACCAAAAGACTTGACGGGCTCAGGCTCAGCGATACCACGATTTGTTACGATTTGCATTATGATTAGCTTTTAACGATATTACGAAAGCCCGCATTTAACGACTTCCGAGCTCTCTATTTCATCTCCTTCTTTCTTTGGCGCGGCTCTATTCTCATTTACCTCCAAATGACGGTGGCACGCACATGAACGTTCACGCCCCTCATTCAGGCCTTCTTCATCACAGGGTGACAAGCATAGCGATGGCATTGAAGCGTTTAGCGACTTTATTATCGGGTGGAACAACTGTCCTTTTTCCTGCTCAGACTGCAAGCTTTTACGGCTCATGACCTGCCAACTTCTTTCTTCTTCTCCTATTGATGAACGAATTGAAGATAATGATTATGATGCGTCTCGAACTTTTTGCGCATATTTCACGGCTCCCCTATCCAACAGACTGGATTCTATTATACTGCGTTTTTGAAACCTACTTCGTTTTCCTGAGATCATACGGCCTGGATATTTCGGTTTAACGAATCCTCTTGAATCAAATGCTGGAATTTGTTGCTATGAAATCCTCTTGACAATGGCTTGAGAAGCCGTCACTGATGACCGACGTGTGACACCGTGAGTGGTTGTTAACGCATGCAGGTCCAACCAATGAATGCCGTGGGCGGCAGCGGGAACACCCTCTTGCATTGCACGAGGCTTGTACCGCCTGCAAGAGTGCGGCGATGGGGCATGGCTGTAGCACGAGCTGTGCCACACCACATCCAGATATATGGGCTTCATGATCGCCAATTGATTGCGGAGGATAACGGAGCAGAATCGTATATCCTTGGTAATTATCTGCGGAAGTTCACTAGTTCAATTATACATGATGTCCAAATCGACTAGGTATTCTAGGAACGATACACCCGCTCCATCAAACGACAACATACTACCTCCGCATGATTCCTTCGTCTCAGCAACTCAAACAAATGGACAGCTTTCAATTGATATGTGCGTCTCTTTTATCGGAATGACAAATCATGGCCGTGCAGCCTTCTCCCAGTCTGTCTTCGCTTGATTCTCCAGAACGGCCTCGTTGCACCAAGAGTCTTATAGTCGATAACAAGCTCACCTGCCTTCACTACACTCAGAGTATCCGAATGACTTTTGCCAAATAATATCAACCAAAGGGATACAATGAGACACATTGTCCGGTCGATCTTTCTTTGGAAATGCCTCTGCACTTACATTCGAGGCCAATACAGGGCCATTACCCTTAACATAAATATCAGTGCAAACATTGACATCCTTTCCTCGAATATGTCGCGAAAAGTGCTAGCGTCGAACGAGGTGTGTAAGGGCACTTTACGATCGACGCTAGTCTCTTTCCCACCGAGGGAAGCTTCAGTGACGTCGTTGATATTTTGTCGAACGAAGAAATATACTTGACCTTGCCTTTCAACACCACCTGGCATCTCGCATTTTTCACTATCTGCTAAATACGAGGATAGACAAGATAAAACAGGACGCATTCGAGGGGAGCGTGCGAAGAAAAACTGCATTGCGGTCTTCCACTCACGTTGGACGAGTACCTTGAAGCCTTGATTATTTTATTCATATTACGAGAAAGAGATAGATGATAAGAGGAGCCCGGAAGTGGTGTTTCGATATGGGGTCGTCGTCTGTTGTCAAGAACGGGGCAAGCGGGGGGAGGATGTCGTATGCCTCTGCTGCTGTTGGTGATACGAGTGGGAGCAGTGGACCACAAAGAGAAAACGAGAATGAGCATAACGTTTCGACGAAGAAGGAGAAAATAAGATACTATAAGAGCACCCACGCACCGAATTACCCAAGCAGACAACGTAGCGATGGACCAAATCACGCATCAAAAACGCGAACTCACCATCACCATCGTAACCAACACCACCACCACCACCACCACCAAAACCCACAACCACGACAACACCCCGACCAAACGAACAAACCCTCAACGACCAATTCCTTCCACAGGCCCAACACCGCCAACCCAGAACCCCACGTCTACGTCCTCACCCTCCGCCTAACCCCGAGCATCTCCGACCCCATGTCCTCCCTCCGCACCACCTACTTCCCAGCCCACCTGAACCGCACGCCAGCGCACCTGACCATCTTCCACGCCCTCCCGGACTCCCACATCGACTCAATAGAATCCACGCTTCGCGCCGTGGGCGACTCCACGCCCGCATTCCCCGTCTCCGCCGGCGCAGTGTTCCGCATGCGCCGCGGCGTGGGCGTGAGGCTGGGCGACGGGATAGGCCAGGCTAGGACGTTGCGCGGGGCGTTGAAGCGCGAGTGGGAGGGCTGGCTCAGCGAGCAGGATAGGGGGGGTTGGGTCCCGCATTGGACGGTCATGAATAAGGTTGATGGGGAGGAGAGGGTACAGGAGGGGTTGGAGGGGACGAAGGAGGCTCTTGGGAGGGAGGAGGTCAGGGGGATGGCGACGGGGTTGGAGGTCTGGAGGTACGATCGTGGAAGGTGGGTTTGGAGAGCGGAGTTTGAGTTTCGGGGGGAGTAAGTGATGGGGTTGAAGGAGGTGGAAAGTGTCTGCTTTGTGCAAAGATCGCGAAAGTGTCTCCATATCGCAGGGATGATAAGACATCCGTCTAAACATGAGAGTATCACGAGCTGTATAACGGAGCATATACCGCAGAGCAACTATCGAAAAGACAAGACCAATACCTGAATTCGTATTCCGTCCTCAATTACTCAATTCTCTCATGGGAGGGGGAGAGAGTTTGGTTTTAGAAAGCGAACTTCAAAGGAAGATCATCTCTAAGAAAAAAGGACGGAGCTGGAAATAGAAGGAAAGAAGTACAATGAACATATAGAGATGATAGATATCGATAATTTAACCAGAAGAGCGTTGTTGTGTACATACATACATACATACATACATACATACATACACACCCTCTCACACGCATGTCCCTATTAATAAATCAGAGTATAAGCAAGCGGTAGACCGCTATATACATCTCCCTCTTGATCACATCAAAACCTCGTACTGAACCTCACCCTCCCCTCCACCTCCCCTAACCTAAACACACGCAGTCAAGTACATACCCAGACACCCACGTAACCCAACATCACGAAACCCTACCCTACATCTCAATTCCCCCCATGAAAAGAAGCACAAATTCGCATACTCCGCTAAGACACACACACACACCTCTCCTTACAACTCCCCAAAAAAATCCCCACTATACAGTCCGAGGTAGGGGAGGACAATACGTACAAAAGCATACAAGGGGCTATTAAGAAGAACAGCAGCAGTGCAGAACACGGTTTAGCGCCACTACCTTCGACACTTTTTCTCCCCTGCCTGTGTTTGTTGCCTCATTGAGGATGTTTAATGGGGCTTGGGTCATGGGTCATGGGTCATGGGGTGTTACGACTATTGGGGTTTTCGTACGAGGATGGGAGTTAAGGCTATAGGGCTGAGGCGAAGCGAGGTGAGGTGAGGTGAGGCGGAGGCGGGAGGACAGATGCGCGGTACGCACCTGGGATGCTGGGGAGAGGTGTGGGGATGATGATGTGGTTGTTGTTACATGGTGGACGGATTGGATATACGATGGTGTTGGGTTTGGTGGCGGAGGATGGCACGATGGGATGGGGTGTTCTTGGAGGGAGTTGTTGTAGGGGTTTAGAAGTTAGAGAGGTGAGGATTATCGGGGTTGATGGTTGTGTCCGAGAGGTGGAAGGTACATTGATTGTCAGAGATATTGGAGAAAGAGGGTGTTAACGTTGGTTGTGGTGGTGGTCACAAAATGTGTAAATTCCTACGTGTCGCGAATGCAACTGTGGCATGAGACAAGGCCGATGGTGATGGTGGTGACGCTGTACCATCAATTCCCAGCTTCCATCAGGATTGCAGACGTACGCTGACAAGTCGATTGATGGATTTACGGTTCCGATAATCTTCTTCGGGGCATTTGGTAAGGCTGAAAAATCACGTCGGATGAGGATCAGGTCAGGTCCAGTCCGTAGCATGATTGTGTTGTCTGTATCGCAGGTCCGTAAAATGTATGTACCTTGTAGTTGATTATTGATTTCTGGAAGGATGGCAAGATCGCCACCGTAGTGAGAAGGGAAAGGTGACGCGCGTTCTTTATTTGGAACAAACCATTGATGGAGGCACTGTTACATACGACTACGACAACGAGGCGAGGATACTGAGTTGACGTCCGTCTAAATCAATTCGCCGGGTGGATCCGGCATTATTCTTGTCGTTCGTCTAATTAGCAGAAGCGGTAGGACTAGGACTATTGTGAAACACCAAGCACGAGCAGTGGTATCGTGAACATGAGATCGCGGATCGCATTGTCTGTTTCTGGAGGAGATGGCATAAAGTTCTAATTCATTAAGCATTCGATGGGCGATTCGGCATATCGCTAAGGAGAGAATAGAAGTGATGATTCTCCTTGATAGTCTTCTTCTCCGAAAAGGGGTAATCTTCGATCTAAATAGTGGGTAGAAAAAGCTAACTATCAAGTAGAAGAGACAAAAATTAAAAAGAATTGTGGGTGAGTAGACAGCCACGGGCAAGCCACGACCAGCCACGTCATTGCTTGCCATATAGAAAAGTTAAATGAGATAAGGCTGTACTTGAGATGAATAGTGAACATTAGTGAATGCTGTACTGCATGTGCGCTGTGATGGGGATTTGGTAGGCGGCCATCATGTGACGGCGTTCCCCCACGTTACCGAACGGGCACGCGCATGCGGCTACGGGAAGGGGGAACCGAATTGTTCGGTCGCTTGTGATTCTCAGTGCAAGTGCAAGTGCAAGTGTGTATTTTGTCTGTAAAGACTAAAGAGATGTAGTATGGAGTAGCATCATTATTATTATTATTAGTATCATTAATAACTAGGGCATACGGAGTAGTGGTGGTGGTGGTGGTAGGAGAGGAGTCAAGTCCGGTGTATACGAGTACCATGCAGAATTGCATCCCCACGTGGACGGGAAAGGCGACGAGGCCAGGGTGTATACAGGTATGGCAGGGTAGTTAATATGGTAGGCGAGACGAGGCGGTGAATCGAGTCGCGGGGTTTAATGCTTGAAGGGAGAAGAGGAAGGAAATTTAGAATTATGGACTTGGTGAAACCGAGATCCGTGACCACAGTAGCAAGTAGCAAGTAGTTACCGTGTACAAGCAATGTAATGCGGGATATTATGGACGATACAGCGCGTGATGTTCGGAGAAATACTAAGAGGATATGGGACATTGGCCAATGAGGGAGTGAAGTAGAGGTGGGTGGATGAACGGATGGCAATACGATGTCACCCCAGGGCTGGAAGGACAGGCCAGCAGTGCAGGATCGAAGAGACAGAACAGAGGCGAGATCGTTTTTAAAATTAGGATGTCGGAGAGGAGAGTCGCAAGGGGGAGGTGGGATGTAATGTAATGTCAATGTTAGGGGTGGCGAGGGATGGATGAAATCGTGGATGATGATTTGCGCGTTCTTGTACGGAGTACCTGAGAGGAAGGATAAAAAAGAAAGGGAAAGAGGTCAGGTGTACATCCTGTGAGTGTATGTACTGCGTGGAGGGCGGTGGGTGATCATACTATAGTACCGTATACTACTCCTTTACTATGATGATGGCGAAATCTAAGGAAATAAAAGAACAATACACACTTGGCGGGGTGGTAGGCTTTGATTCTATTCTTGCATTACACGCAACCAAATGAACCGAACTAATTAATTCATGTTTGGTATGGAAACGGGATCGGATAGGGAGGTCGATCCAAGGTTAGTTCTTAGTAGTGGTAATAGTAGCCTCGTAGTAGTACGGAGTACGGAGTAGGGATATAGAGAGAGGAGTCCATTTCCTACGACTAGATACATTCTTGATATCACTGGTTGGAAACAATAATCATAATATGATTCATTCATTAATTGTAGCTTCGGAGCATTGTTACATGTATCAGGTATTGGTCGTGTAGAAGGTCGTCGCTCATTACGAGTACACTTGATAGTGTAAAAGTATCATCCCTCTTACATGTTCTGTGTGGACAAAGAGGTACGCCCAAGTCATGATTATTAACTTTATTTGAAGCATTTCATTTGTTTTGAAATGTTGAATTCCCATAGATGAATAATATAGGAGAATTGGGATGAGACGAGATGGAGTGTCGCTGAATGTCCGTCGTGTCCGCCTCCGAGTGTCCTATTACGAGTACATGCCCCAAGTGCATGGTACAGTACTCGAATGTCGAGGGAAGTGAAGATGGGAGTGTCTCGTAACCTGTGATTCCGTGATCTAATGATGTGTGTCCAATCCTTGTCCTTGCTCTTGTACTGTTAATACTGTAACTGTGGTGTTTTGTGTGTCTGTCCACCATCCGACCATGATCCAGCGGGCCAGCAGGTCCCCCAAGTCAGAAGTGTCAAGTGTCCACCGCCACTACCACAATCGGCTTAAGCTATTGCTATTGGGACTAGAGCGGGAAGGAAGGGACCACCACCCCATCCACCCATCCACCCATCCCTCCTTCCCTCCTTCCCTCCTTCTCCTTGCGCTTTGCCCTAACTAACCAGTAACCAGTAACCACTAACCACCTGCTCTCCCTCCTTTCTTGTAAACTAAGTAGGAAAAGAACACCTTATATAACAACCTGTCCTCTCCTTCATCTTTTTGCCTTTTTCTTTCTTTGCTCTTTGACTCTCTCACACTTCTTCAATTCCTACCAATCCACATTACCCCGGACTTTGGTTTGTCTTATCTATCGCCAATCTCCCGACCTGCTCACTCCCCGACTCTCGCTCTTACTGTTTCTACCAAACACCACCACCACTGTCACTAGCTATCCCCACCGAGTAGCTACCCTCGTACTACCTACCACCGTCAACTTTCCCCCCCTACATCACCACCACACAACTGCAAATATGAAAGGTCCGCATCTTTACCATCCCAAATCAATTGACCTCGTCTCACAATGCCACAGCCATCATTCTCGTCGGAGGGTTTGGAACCCGTCTACGACCTCTCGTACGCTCCCCTCATCCATGCTCATTTCAATCATCAGAGCTTTCCCACCCCCGCAATCAGCAATCCGCGGTCTATGCACTGCATACCACAGCGCCTCTGCTCAATCCTCGCTGACCCTACAAAAAGACCCTCACTCTCCCCAAGCCTCTCGTCGAGTTCGCCAACAAGCCCATGATCCAGCACCAGATCGAGGCCCTCGCCTCGGCTGGTGTCACCGACATTGTCCTCGCCGTCAACTACAGGCCTGAGATCATGGCCGAAGCCTTGAAGACCGTGAGTACCTTGCTCCAAAGGCACCCTCCAATCCTCCAAGCTAACGCCGCCCCGCACAGTACGAGCAACAATACAACGTCAAGATCGAGTTCTCCGTCGAGACCGAACCCCTGGGCACCGCCGGCCCCCTCAAGCTCGCCGAGAAGATCCTCGGAAAGGACGACAGCCCCTTCTTCGTCCTCAACGCCGATGTCACCTGCGAATACCCATTCAAGAAGCTCGCCGAGTTCCACAAGTCGCACGGTGAGGAGGGAACCATCGTCGTCACAAAGGTCGAGGAGCCTTCCAAGTACGGTGTCGTTGTCCACAAGCCCAACCACGCCTCCAGGATCGACCGCTTCGTTGAGAAGCCCGTCGAGTTCGTCGGCAACCGTATCAACGCCGGTATCTACATCCTGAACCCCAGCGTCCTCGACCGCATCGAGCTCCGCCCCACCTCCATCGAGCAGGAGACTTTCCCCGCCCTCGTCAGGGATGGTCAATTGCACTCCTTCGACCTCGAGGGCTTCTGGATGGACGTCGGTCAGCCCAAGGACTTCATCTCCGGTACCTGTCTGTACCTCTCCTCGTTGACCCGCCAGGGCTCCAAGTTGCTCACCCCCGCCTCCGAACCCTACGTCCACCAGGGCAACGTTCTCATCGACCCCTCCGCCAAGATCGGAAAGGGCTGCCGCATCGGCCCCAACGTCGTCGTTGGCCCCAACGTTGTCATCGGCGACGGTGTCAGGCTGCAGCGATGCGTCATCCTCAAGAACAGCAAGGTCAAGGACCACGCTTGGGTCAAGTCTTCCATTGTTGGCTGGAACAGCAGCATAGGAAAGTGGGCTCGCCTCGAGAACATCACCGTCTTGGGTGACGATGTCTCCGTCGGTGACGAGGTCTACGTCAACGGTGGTTCCGTCCTCCCCCACAAGTCGATCAAGCAGAATGTCGACAGTAAGTTCCTCCGTATTCTATGCATTTTAAGAATTTCAAATCTGACACCACTTAGCTCCCTCCATTATCATGTAATCGTTCGAATTCTCCCCTAGACCTTACGTTCAGACTCTCCGAACTGCAGAAGAGCCGGTTCATTAGACATTGTAATCTTCTTGCTCTTTGTTCGTACGTTCTGCATTGCGGTCTTGCATCTCTACAACGCATGATGCGTTTGTGTGAATTCTGGAGTTTATCACGGAGTCTTCTTTACCTCTCAGCTCTGATTATTGGGTTCATGAAAATCTGTTGGGGATTGTGGCGGCAAAGGCCCGTCTCTCGGTCAACGGATGGGCTATCGAGTGGGCGAGTATGCTTCCACGAGTGGCCTTGTAGGCTGGTGTGTTTATGGTTTACATGTTTGCAAGCGTACCCCGAGGGGTCTAGCTCTCTGCTTTGGGTTTTCAGATGGTTTTGGCTGGTCTTTTGGCTTTGCATGGGGAAGACAAAATCATTCATCGTAGATATACCACACAGGAAGGGTAGAATCTATTGCACGTTTAACATTTCAATTCGTACGGAATATCCCTGGTGCGTGATAATCATCTCTCCCCTCCTCTTATTGGGGGGTTTGAGAATGACGATCACTTGAAGCCGAATTTGATACTTTCCTAGCAGACCCTGATTGCCTGTGGCTGGAATCTGCACAATGACATTCCAAGACAGCCTAGCTCGCATCACCACCCTCCATTGCCATTGGCGGAGCCCTACCACTTCTCATCCATATACCCACCTAGGTACCTAACAACAAACACATTGTATACTCGAGAAACACCTTGTGCAACTATACACTCCATCTAGTCTTCGAATCCGTCAAGCCCTCACCCTCGGTGATTATCACAAGCAGGAAACCCCAGATAAGACTATCTCTCTCTCTCTCTCTCTCTCTTGCAGTGCCGATCACTGGTCCTCGGTGAGCCATTTTCCAAAACACTGCAGAGGAGGCTGTGAAAAGATGTCCAAAATCGCGCATACATCCAACATCCAACATCCAACCCGATACTTACTGGCATTCATTGTACACGCACGATAGACAGACAGACAGTGCAACGAGACTCTCACTCCGACTCCCCCGGACCTTTCCCACTCCGTCATTGTGAACGAGGGTCGTCGATCTAACACTGAAAGAGCTTGCTAGACCAACAATGGAGTAAGGTGAATCCTGTAAGTGGGGTGTATATATAATATATAAATGTACAAGTAATCCGTGTGCGTGCGTTTGTGCGCTGGCAAACCGTAAAATTCCTACAAGATACTCTATCTATCTCTTACTTTGTTCATCACTTCACTTGAGTACGGCACTACAAGACATTGAGAACAGTGACTTATAACTCCACACTACGATACACACAAGCCATCGCAATCACTTTTAGAAAAGAAAAAGGAGTTTCGAATTCACGTATTTCGCTTCTGTGTTGACGTCTGCCTCCTACGCGACCGTCTCTAGGCAGCTGGCTGGTTGGATTGTTTTGTTGGCTGGCTGGCTAGCAGGTGAAGGAGAGAGAGCGCGCGCGAGAGAGAGAAAAATGGAAGACAATGACAACAACAACACGATGATTTCCTTCGTCAACAAAATCACCTCCATCGTCACCCTCTTACTCTCACCCAAAACACAACCACCACACCCACACCCACACCCACAATCACTTCGACCTCCACAACCACCACTACTACCAACAACGCAACGAACCATGGAGGGTTATCGAGGTCAAAATCTCCCGCCGGTGCTTCATGCACCTGCACTTCAGCCTCCCATGAATTACGAGGATGAAATTGAGGAAGTTCGAGGTAAGAATGAAGAAATAGACGAAGATAGAGGGCCTTGCCAGCCAAACCTCACCACCACTGCCACTGCCATCACCACTGCCACTGCCATCACCACTGCCACCCCTATACACAATCCCGTTGTAATTTCGCCTCCTAACCCTCTAGACTTAGACCATCACGGTCTTGCTGCCCCCACCGTGATCCTCGTGCTCAGGGACGCGTTTCCTCCCAAGAGATATCGAATCTCCAAGGCGACGGTGGACTTCTGGGCACCGCCACTGCGAAACATGATGGAGGAGCAGATGGACGCCATGATGGACCATGACGGCGACTTCACGGACGTCGCCTCGATCAACGTCCTGCACACCGACGACGACGCCTTCAGGCATGTCCTCTACTTCTGGCAGCATCACCGCCTCCGCCCTGAATTGTGTCATCGTTACGATGACGGCTTCCCGGGTAGCCAGGCAATGCACTCGAAAGACCCCTACGCTGTTCCGATCATCATCAAGATTTGGGCTCTCGCCGACCGCCTTGGAGGTCCCACGACCGTCCTGCGAGACATCTGCATGCGCCACATCTACGCCGACCAGCACGCGTTGCCTATTCCCCATTGTATGTCCGCTGCCTCTATGCGTTACGTCCTCGAACAACATCGCTATGACTTCTCTTCCTCGCTCCTCCCGGGCAAGGAATTGCATCGGTATTTTGAGAGCGGCCTCACGAGATTTCTACTCGGACTGGCGGCACGCCACTACGACCACCCGTATAATGGCCAAGACGCGGATGTAAGAGTGGGCACCGCGGAGGAATGGACTGATCTAGTGGATGAGTTCATGCCATTCTTCCGTGCCGTCGAGAGTCTTTCGAAGAGGATGGCGGTGCGGAGGGATATCATGGGCGGGCATGAGGGTGGAAACAGGGCCCCGCCCAATCGCGAAATGTCAAACGCGGAGGCGAGGAGGTTGGCGTTGCGGAGGGAGATTATGGGCCAATTCCAACGCCCGCCGACTTCGCTGCCATTTTCATCCTTGGACCAGTTCGAGGTAAAAGGTTTGGAGACGTATGCTGCGTCTTTGGGCGAGTTGACGTCCGGATGGCACGCCAAACGTGACCAGTTTGGAAGGCGCTGAAGGCGATGGCGCTGTCAGGCGGTTTTCCATTGCTTCATCGACTTCCTTGTTTCCCTGCTGCTTTGAATTCTGTATAATATGGCGATAGGTGGGTAGGTATTGTCCTTGTTAACTTTGGCTGTTCATATATGTCTGCGGCGTTGTTGGTTGTATTGACGGGGTTTTATGTGCGCGGGCGAGCGCAATTGTACAATTCCATAGTACTGAAGAAGGTTTCAGGGTCCGGAAGAGAAGGAGATCTTCTTCTTCTCTTCTCCCTTTGGCCTATCAGTTTCGAATCATTAAAAATGACAACAAACCTTGATGATAAGTACAGCCTCTTTTCGTCTCTTGTATTCTTCCTTGTTTGTTTTTCAAGACTCGACATATCCCCCCTTTCCCTGCTGGCCGCTCCCATCTATCATCGTCATCGTCGTCCAATCATTCTCGTCTCTTCGCTGGTATTCGATGACGTCTTCTTCGTTATAGTAGATAACGGGCTCCTGCTGATATTCAGGCTCGGGGTGGTATTCATAACTAGAGACAAGCGAGTCACCAAGCTGATATCCGGGCCTACTGAAGTAATCGAACATGCGACCCATGAATACTGGGTTTGGTGGTGGTGGCTGTGGGTGAAGTGTGCTCATGTCAGAGTAGTTGTCTTCGTCGTAGTATGGAGGTGCATTTGAGTGGTTAGTGCTGTTGCTGTCGTCGTTCCACAACGATGGCGAACCGGAGAAAGAAGCTGTCGATACCGAAGTGTTGACGTAGCGACGGGGTGGTTCTGGATCCGTCTGTGTGCCCGTGGAAGCGTAAGCAACTTTCCTTACATTCATGGCCGTGGTCTGGTCATTGAAGTCACTTTCATTATTATTTGGTGATTTCCTGTGTGTAATGCAGCTATCACAATGACAGGGGATGTGGTCTTTATCTTGCTTTTGGTCTTGTGGTTGGCCTCCATCAGCGGTGGAACGGGCAGCTGAGAGTCTTTTGCCCTCGACGATTTTGGGGAAGGGACTCGGGTTGAAGGATATGCTTAAGGGGCGCGCTCTGCGTACTAGACGGCTCTGAGATGACAAGGATGATGGAAAAGACGGGTCTGAAGTTGTTGTCGTTATGGTGGTAGGGGTGTAGTCCTTTGGTGATGCTGTTTCAATGGCAGCCATAGTAGTGGTGGGACTTGACTCTGCTCTTGGGCGTGATGAGAAGGACGTATTGGTCGCTGATGGTGTCGAAAGCGATATATACGACGATCGGCGACTCGATGCCTGGGTACTGTTCGTATCGGCGAGGGAAGGGCTATACGGCCGGGAAATGGGATCCGACGTCGGTCTTGAGAACACCTGACTTGGTGGTCGCGATGACGAAGCCGAAGACGTAGCTGAGGATGTACGTTTATTCGATGAGTCTCTGGTGCCGGTTGGTGTATCCATTCCAGCAGTATCGTAATCGAACGGCCGAGTAATGGACTCTGATATCGACAACGGACGCACATACGATATTGTGCGGGATCTCCTCAGCGGCATCGGTTTCTCGACGTCACCCAAAGTAGAAGAATTGATTGAAGTAGAAGATTTCTTAGCTGCCTCCGGCGGCTCCTTGTACTCCATCTTCCCGTTCTTATCAGATGCGAAGTACTCATTACCCCGACCGAACACCACCTGCAACGATGGGAAGTCCCTTGTCGTTCCATCTTCTGGGTAGAGCCATTGCTGCAATTGAATTGGTAGATCGTACCCATCTGATAATGTCAGCTATCAAGCAACGTACATGTCATCCAGGGGGGCACGATTTTACGGAGTGGGATTTTGAAGAACATACCTTGTCTGAATTCACCGCCCCGAGTCTTCCAACATACGTAGTACCGCTCGAAAGCTCCGAATGCACATACGATGAGGTCTTCTAGGCTCTCGGGGTCGGAGGGGTCCTGGGGGATCTGGCCGAGGCGCTCGTAGAGCCGGCTTGTAGAGTCCATGGGCTTGTTATTCTATCGACCACTAGTGATATCTGCGGGGATAGTGAGCGAGGGAACGAGAGCATATGGAGAATATGTCGAGTCCGTACTAGATTTCGAGATTGTGTACGTATGGTCATCAGTCAAAGAAGGTTCAAGAAATTTGAAATTATGAAGATATAAAGATTGACACAACAAGAAGCCCAGCTTCAACGACACTTGTAAAAATAAAATAGAACGAGAGAAGGGGAGAAAAAGAAAGAATGCAAAGAGAAAGGGGAATCAGAAGCCAAGGACAGCAATGGATGAATCGTCCTTGATTCAGCAGGTCATTGCGTCGTTCCAACGCAACATCACAGCGGGTAGGAAGGAACGATCTCAAGTTCGCTTAAAGAGAAATGCCACGAGAATGAATAGGTATTATCAGCGCACCTGCTATGACGAACACGCAAACTGCGACAGAAGGGAGGACGAAAAGGCTTAGGGGCAGACATGACAGGCTAGGATTGGAAAACAATGCGCCCTCGATATGAAATGATCGCGTGAGCGAGCCATCTCGTCCACCGAGGGAAACAACTTGATACCTCGCTGAGGCTTGTTACAGAAGTTAGCGTGTTGGTCGCATCTCCGTGTAGTAAAGTGTTGTGTGGTGCAGTGCGTGGTGGTTCGAGTTTCAGATCAGGGGAAGGTCTTCCTGGTTGGCTCGTGCCTGCCCTACAGACAGTGTGGGGAGGCAACAGGCAAGACCTTGGACGGGCGAAAGAACAAAGACACTTTCGGATCTAGATCCGAAGCTCTTCTTGCCCTTCTATGGGCTTGTTTTCAAGAGCAAGATGGGTGTAGTGTAGTTTAGTGTACGAGTTCGAGATGTGGTTATCATTCTGTGAATAGATGGAATGAAGCATATACGAGAGACTACTACCTCTTGCCCAGTTGCAGAATATTGCAATAATCCACTTATCATTGTACTGTATTTTTAAGCTGAAAGAACTATAGACGGGTATCATAATCAACATCGTAGCAGACCATCCTTTCTCCTTACCAGCAAAACTAGGTAGGAACGACACCACAATCTCCACATAACAGCATCAGCAACCTCCTATCTGTTCTGATCAAAACACCCCCGGTGGTTTCTTCTCCACCGACCTTCTAGACCTCCCGTCCCTTTCACCCACACTCCCCCTCCCTCTCGTCGTTGGCGGCAGCGCCTTCGAAGTCTGTGCCCTACGTAGCAAAGGTTGCGGCCGATCCCGCTCGTTTCCTCTGCTATCCTTCCGCTCCTCGCGCTGTGAACTCCTGCTACCTCCATCGCCAATAGATCCAGGCTTCAAAATATCATCAATCTCGCGGTACAAACTCGAGTTGGTGCGATCACGACCTGGCACTATCGGCGGGGCCATCTGTCTAGACATGGATGTCATAGATCCCGACGTCATTGTCATACCTGCCATGGATCTCTTTCCTGGAACAGGAGTCGTATTTGTGCGACTGAGAGGCTTTGGCAACGATCTCGCATCATTGCTTCTTGTTGAAGAGGTCGAGGCACCTCGTTCTCGTGTCAACGATGCTGACGGTGACGGTGATGACGATGCTGGAGGAACCCTTCTTGAACTCGATGTATCGCGTACTGGCCTGGGCGAACTGCGAGCAAGTGCTTCTCTCGAGACTGTGGGGCGTCTTTCTAGGGGACGGGTACGGTCCATGGATGCTGTTCGACGGTCAACGGGCGATGACGTGTTTCGGGACGAACTTCTGCTGGTAGGGTTGGGTACTGGTGGCAGCGACTCTTTTCGCGGTCTGGAGGTCTGAACAGAGGGAGTGGGCCGTTTTCGCATCGTCTCATCCGCCACCACGGCCTTCTTGTCTCTTGTAGATGATGACACCTCCTTTGCCACCGAAGCTCTCGGAGGAGATTTGCCTGTCGATGCTCCAAATATCGCTGGGTCCGACGCTTTGATCGGTTTGTCCAGCGTTGCCGCTGCTGCGGGTACGACGGCAGAGTAAGGTCGAGCATACGCACCGATGATGTCTGTCGTCCCGCTTTCTGAGTAGTTGGACGCAGAGTCAGAGTTGTTGCTGCTCTCGCGCCTGTTGAATGATTTCGCGGTCCGGAGGAGCGGAGGCGGCTCTGCCTGGCTCATGGCTTCAAATTTCTGGGCTTGCGCGAGGGCTCTCGAGCCACTGCTTCGATTCAGCTTTGGGGTGGTGGTGGTGGAAGAAGATCTGCTTTTTCTTTCCGCAGAGGGAGGCGATTGCTGTTTGGTTGCACCTGGCGAAGGGGTTCGAGCTACGGGCCGAGCTTGTGCAGCATCCTCCGAGTCTGCTGTATATGCTGGCGGCGGCGTGTCCGGACGCACTGGCATGGGCAGCGGAGCAGAATCCGGAAATATGGTCTTTGGCAATGGGAAAGGCGCTGGAGGTTCTACATTGACTTCTGCACCTGCACCAGGGGGATTCAACTGCGGCGTTACTGTAATAGGTTTATCGTGAGGTGCGTCAGTCTTCGTATCGACCTCCCTTTTTGTCGTCTGGTCCTGCTGTCTACTCTCCGATTCCTTCTTCCATCTCTTCTCTTTTCGCGAGAGTTCGATGTCGAGAACGCGAGTCCCCTCTGGCACCTTCCCACGCAGCCCATCATCGTCCAAGTCGAAGTAAACGGCCCACAACGTTGGGAACTCTTCCACTGCGCAGAAACCTTCCCAGCCATCGAACGTCAGGCGCCTGTCCTGTCGAGTGCAATCAAAGGGCCCAGTAAGGTTGGGTTGCGCATTCGCGCGCACGCCGTACTTGAGCTCGCACGTCTCCCGGTCGACGTACACCCAGTTCATTATGGGTGCTTCGTCGGTTATCGTCGTCACCAGGCCTTCGTATTTGGTGTCCGGGTAGGGAAGGTAGTATCCCGCGTAGGCATGGCCGAACGGACTGCCATCGCTGGTGCCGGTGTCGATGTAGATCTGGTTATCGAAATGAGTAAAAGCGGTTCAAAGGAAGGCAATGAAGGCAAAAATCATGCATAATGAAGCCAGGCCAATACATTTACTCAGCCGTACATACGTACCTTACCGTTCCGCAGGACAAGCGGACGACCATTGATTTCGCGACTTCGCAGTGACGACTTGACGCAAGTTGCGATGAGATTGCATCGCCGGGCTCGATGTTCCTCTCTCTTCTCTTTGGCCTGCGATTGTCGGATTGCCTCTTGTGTTCCGAGAAGAGCGGGTGCTGAGATGATTGCAACGAGGACGGAGAGTACCATTGTTTCTATCCAGTCCAAGGTCCAATATGGTGAGGCGGTGAGAGATGGTCATTTCAGAGCAAACAGGGAAGCACCGTCGACGAGAGCTACATTGAGCAACCAGGATACGACAACTTGCCTGTTACAGTGTCTTCGGCTCTAGGTAAGGGAAACGCAGAGTCAGGGATATGATGACGATGGCGAGAGATATGTCCTAATTCGAAGATTACACTTTTCGGACAACGTTGCGCAGTTCACGAGTAAGATGCTAGACGGGGAAACACAAAGATTCTCCCAAAAAAGCAGGGCTTTGAAACCGACGTCAACGGGATTCTTTCAAGCCAAATGTTGATATGCATCGTCGTTCCCTGCAGCCATAGCCAGCAAGGAAAGGAAGAGAATATCCATTGTCGTGGATCCACAAAAACCTGAGACTCGAAGATGGGGTCTGATTCAAGATGGACAGATGGATTATCGTTCGATATCAGAGGGAAATGCAACGGATTGTGTCGAAGAAACTGAAAGGATTCCCAACATGCAGCACGCACGCGCTATGGTATCTGTGCCCATATTGATGATAGCCACTTAGTGTCGGTGAATGTTGAATTGGAATATTGGACCCTGAGTAGTAAGTACAGTGAGCCCCGAGGCGATCCCAATAGTAAAGAAACCCCCAGATTCGCAAGAAGGGGGTTTTGGTTGCATGGGCTGATGATCATTCGATCCCTTGAAGGGAGGAAAGGGAAGAGAGAAAGACAGGCCTAACACCCAAAACGTCCTCGACGAACATGGTATCATTGGTAATACTCGTGGTGGACACCCCCTTGGGCGTTTCAAAATGCTGCCTATGTAGGTACCCGTTAAGATAGTCCCGGCATATATGTGACGAACGCATTGACCACTGCCCATCACCCATTGACCATAACGGCAACAACATTCGGGAATCTCGCATCTAGAACACACTAAGCGATCGACGGGGGAAGCGGTTTTGGCAGAGAGAATGGGATTGATAGTGCGAGTATCGAACCATCACTTCCATGTGCCTCGACACCGCTTGAGTCGGGGGTTGTCATCGCTACTGCATGCGTTTCGGAGGAACATGCTCGACTCGCCCAGTCGCCTGTAGGAGGACGACGACCGACCACAAACGACGACCGCTTTGGGTGACAATGCGGGTCTTTCGATAAACCTAGATGCTCGAAAACGAAGGGACCACAGGCCATGAAGAATGCACAATGGTATATAAGGCAGACATTCGACATGTCTAGAAAGGCCAGACAGCTGAGCTGATTCTCCTTCATCCACTTGCAACCACCACCACCGACCTTCCAACACCAAAAACCGACTCGACGAGCTAGCCTCTCCAGTCCTACTATTCTACTATCTACTATTCATTAATCCATTTCCGAGAGATCTCTCAATCCCTTCAAACACACCAAACCAAAACCAACAACCCAATCTTCCAAATATGTCTGCTGTGTACGTCTAATCCCCACCACCAACATCACGAACGACTTCATCCCTTTAAACAACCAACTAACACTTTCCCCCAGCGACACCGCCAAACGCCCCACCGGCTACATGTCCGACTCTGACGACGGCCACCAGTCCACAGGCGGCCGCAAAGTCACCAGCACCGCTGGCTCGAACCTCCCGCCCTCGTCCGCCAACCTCAACCGGCCCGCGGGCAACATCGTCAAGGGCCCCGTCGACGACGACGGCAAGCTGAAAGACGCCGCGCTCCTGCTGGGCATCAAGCTCGACCTCGAGGCCGAGATCCACCTCACGGCGAGGATCCGCGGTGACATCACCATCGGACTGTACTAGTTAGACCGGGCATTTGAGCGTTTTTTGTTTTGTTTGTGTTTGGTCTTATGTATGGGGGGGTGGGAATGTACGAAATGAAATACCCCCTCTTTCCCCTCTTCCCTTCCTCGCATTGCGAAGGATAGGGCTTGGGGCGGGGAAGAGGATGTAGATACGAGGGAACAGGAGGACAAAGGTCAGTTTTTGAAAAGCAAAAACGACTCCCTGTGGTGGGGGTTAGAAAGACAAATCATGTGGGTTGAAGCTTAGAAAGAGTGAGGGGGGGACACATTGTGATCACAGAGTATATATATATGTATGATGGCGGCGATATTTTCCCGGCCGGATACATAGGCAAAGCTATTGAATATACGTGTTTCCCGTCTGCTATTACTCATTGTTCTTCTCTTGTGCTTATGGTTATGTCTTTGGGTTTCTTGTGAGACGGATGACAACGTGGTGGTAAGGCGAGGCGATGTGATGCAAGGCAGGGTCTTGTAATGATGTTCAATAGGTTGTTGGTACATGAGCGGTGAGTAGTCAACACAAGATATACAATGTATATCTCATGTACGAACCACATCCCTATTACTTCGATCATTGCAGTGTTCAAGGTGCACAAGGACTACGAGAGGACGACATGTCTAGAAGCGAAGAAGTAATCACAGAGGAAGAGGCAACACGAAGGATCTCAAGTGTGGAAGTGTCACAATGATTTTAATTTGGCTATTATTAGACCTCCTTCCCCATTTGAATAGCAAGCCTCGCGCGGCCAGCAGAAGAATTTTTTTTCCTCCTGGAGGAGGTCATGGCGTGTCTTCCATACATCAGCCTGCCCGTGGTAGACGACTGCAACCATATATATAGAATGAGGGAACCACCGATAAGAAGACTGCAAGTGCAGTCATGATGGGGTTGTCACATTGTATCTATAATCTTATTTGATGTCAGCTTAAGCAACACAATGAAGTACGATTAAAACATCGAATGTAGTTGAGGGTGTCAGACACTTGCCATGTCACTGGCGTTTATCACCATTGCCGAAGCTCGGAAGACCGTCGTGATAAAATTAAATGTTCATCTTTCAAGGTGCAGGGGAGTAGAAGAAAAAAGTAGAGATAACTTACAGCAAGGTCATTGGGTGAAGGAAGATGGTTGATGAGTGTACGAGCAAAGATTCAAGTTAATGTCTGTTCAGGAGATTAGTTAGCGTCTTGCAGGTAGAAAAAAATCCTTAATGCAGATGCAACGATCAGACATGACTGTTCTCGTCTTCGCTACAAAAGCAGCTTGGACATATGCTTGTCTATTTGTATGTCGTATCATCACTCGATGGGGTTTGGGGAAAGAAGAACAGACTGTGCTTACCATTAGAGCGATCGTACACAGTGGCCAGGATGGCTAAACCTCTTAGAGAGAGATAAGTCTGTGATTTCAATTAGCAAGGAACTTCCAAACACGTTCAGCAAGCTAATGATAATGAGGTGGATCAGTGAAGCATGAATGGAATAAAAGATTTATGTTTCGTCATCGGGTAACCCGAATAAGACTCGTCATCTAGTTACATCATTTCCAAGGGTGGATTGAGTGAAGAAAGGAAACTTCAAAGGGAATCATGTACATACCAATCCAAGGTCAACCTAGTGATCCTTTCTGGAAGTGTTTTCCGTCAGCGCAATTCTTTGACAGCGCCATGAGAGAACACATGAATATAAGAGGCGATCAGTGGGCGAGGTTTTCTAGGCCTGCCGCAATGGGGCATATCCGTCATGTAATTGTCGGAGCCCAGTGCCATTCATCATGAAAGTATTCGAGGTAGTGGAACGAGATCCAAGGCATACCGGAGTTTACAAGAGCGTCCGTGTCAACGAGTGGCAGAAGCTTGATACTAGGTCTTCATTAGCGACAATGTTCAACACAGGAAGATCGAAACATGAGTTCGGTGAAGATTGGCAGATCAGAAAACAGCCTAGTTTTTATCGACATTGACGGTATCTCAGTCGGTAATTTCCAGCGTGCCGAAGCACAAAGTGTTCATCATTGGATGCCATTGGGGAGTGTCGAGAGTAGCTTACCTATTCAAGCGAATGCGACACGCATGCTGCAGCATCTAAGTTGGCGGATGATCAAGCGTCAAGCTTCATGATGAAAACCTAGTTCCAAGTCAGTCAACAGGTCACAATGCGTCGACAGAAAACATTGATAGGAACATAGTCGTTTCAGACTGACGTGCAAAGCTGAAGTTTCATTCCCCTTGAGGTCAAAGACTCTAGTTTGTAAAAAGCGTTGTTTGTCATCACATAGGATGATGTGCAAAGTGGAAAAAATCATCGCATACCTGAGACTGAGCTTTTCATCGCATGGATTTGGTAGTCATGCTGGACGGCGAACGTGAGTTGCCTCAGCAGTGGAAAATTGTTCACACCATTGCTACTTGGGGAGTTGGGAATGTTGTTGTAAGAAAGAAAGGGAAGGAAGAACGGTTGAGCAGAGAACTGAAGAAAAGTTGGAGGTCGGAGCATGGAGCTATTTTTCCGGGAAGTGGGTCTTGGCGATGACTAACCCTAACAACAGCCAGCGACAGCCACGAGCTTCCAAAGACGTTGACGCGACGCGTGCGCATTTGAAAAGATGACATTTTGGTTTGAACAAAAATCTGTTGCGTCCGAGTTCAGGTGTCAAAATTCATATCATCCAATGGACCATAAATCAAAATTAAGATATTCTATAGTTGAAAGGATACAGCCCCTTGAAATAAACTACACAGGACCACTCAAGCTCCCATGAGTGATATGCAGACACACGATTCCAAACAGCATTTAAAGAAGTATAAGATTTTTAGACGGAAATATAATCACTACCTCCTAAATCACCCCCCTACCAACCAATGCACACGCGAGTAAATTCCAGCCGAGCCATGAGGGAATCTTTGCGGACGAACAAAAAGTAATGAGCCCTTTACCTATATAGACAAGCCGAGCTTCTGGAGACAAGTCCTGCGCTTCTTCTTCTTCTTCTTTGCTGGACTTCCCGGAACTCTGACCTTGGTGAAGGGATGTCACTGGAAAAAACGGGGGGAAAGGCAAATCGTCACAGCAGCAGTGCGCTCTGAACTCAGACAAAAGAAACGCCCCTACATCCTTCGTCCCCTCGACTATAGGTCTATCAAATTATTGCCACCGGACTGCTGTCGGTTGTTCTGGGCTCCGCCGAATGGGTTTCCACTGGCGTATGGGTTTGCACCAAATCCTCCCGCGGGTCCAGTTTGTGCTGGGACCATGCGGTTTTGCTGCGGCAAGCCGGTGAACTGAGAGTTCAAGAAGGGGTTGTTGCCAGTAGCGTTGGCAGTGATTCTTTGGGCACCAGCTCCTGCCGAGTTGACAAAAGTACCAGGTGCCGTATGCTGAGCGGGAATGCGTAGATTGCCCGTGTTTCCAAAAGTATCTTGGCCCTCGCCGGCCGCGAGCAGAGCGTTGAGCTTTGCCGCGTTGGGGTCCATCTCCTTTGCCGGTTGTGCTGTTTGCTGGGGCTGGAAAGATTGTTGCGGGTTGAATGAAACGGGAGGATTGAAGCTGGTGTTGTTGAATTGTGTTTGAGTCTTCTGCTCGTGTAGGGTATTCAAGGTTGGCTGGGTATTCGTAGGTGCGGTCTGTGACCTGTTGAATGAAGACGCGAACGGATTGTTCGAGCCAGTAGGCTGGGGCATAATAGACTCCTGGGGTTTGTTCGCCGCCCAAGGGTTATGACTTCCGGGCTGCAATGTGCTTTGCGCTTGCAGGGGCTGCTGTTGCTGCTGCTGCTGGCCTAGGTTATCAAATCCGCCCATCTGTTGGCCGTAAGGGTTGTTGACATTGAAAGACGTCTGCTGTGGCTGCAGGTATGATGCTTGTTGCCCGCCGAATTGGTCAAAACCGGTTGCTTGTGGCTGTTGCTGTTGCTGCTGCTGTGGGAAACCATTGTATCCACCATAGCCGTTCTGGAACCCTGTCTGCTGTGTCTGCATTCCTGTTGGCTGGGAGTACGCATTGTTTAGGAATCCTGTACTCTGCGGTTGCTGCTGATCGACTAGATTTCCAAACCAGTCCACCGCGCCTTGCTGCTGGTAGCCCTGGTTATTGCCGGTCGGTTGGTATGCGGCTGACTGGGCAGGGGCGTCGCCGAACAGAAGGTCTGCATTGCTCTGTTCCAGCTCTTTGCGCCTGAGTTCTTCTTCCTCTTTGCTCAACTTGATTGCTTTTGCAAGATCATCATCATCGTCTCCGCCCGCGGCTCCAACCCCAGAGTTGCGCTCACGGCGTTTGCGGTCCTCTTCGGCCTCGTTCTTGCTTGCTTCGAGGGCGAGTCGGAACTCAAGGTCCTCCTCTTCGTTCCTCTTGTTACCGCGATGCTCACGTTGGCGCCTACTTGAGTGTTCTCCGCCACTACCGCCAGCATGGCTGCCGCCAGCCTGGCCACCGCCGTACTCTTCGATGCCGGTGACTCGCGACTTCCAGGACTTCCGGTCCGCTCGCTCGGCGCGCAATCGCTCCTCGTCAAGGATCAACGAAGTAAGCTCCTTCGCGGAGATACGCACTGCATCATGTGAGTGGGCTTTCTGTGCACCAGTCGGCAAAACTTACCATTCTGCCCAACGTCACGGCCATCCTCGTCAATATGCTGGAACTCGCGGAGCGTCTTGATGATGTAGATGTTTTTCCGGGCCCAGGTCACGACCAATTCTGAACCCTCGTGCAGGCAGTAGTCCAGCACCTTTAAGGATTTGAGAACGTGACGCCAATTCCTTCCCTTGTCATTCAGGCGCTTGTCCAGCATGTCCATGACCTGGTAAAAATCGGTAGAGCTATATTGTATAAGTAGATGCGAGGAGGCTTGCGGGGAGGGGAATGGCGGTGTCTGCGTACTTGTTGAAGGTGATTTGGGCGATTTCGGCCATATCGGAACCTACAGGGCCCCATGGATCGTTGCTGGTCGCTGATATGGTCAGTGACGGGGCGGTAGAGAGATGCAAGGACGATGCTCACCATTGCGGACCTTGACCTCCACGGCGGAGTACCCCTTGGTGACGTTCTTGACGCTTCGAACGACCTTAGACATGATGTATACGAGGAAGGTCGAAACAGGGAGCTTCGATGGTGTAGCGCACAGGCGTCTACGTGATGGCTAACTGGGCGCGAGAGGTCGCAGAGCAGATGCGCGCAGGTGTGCGGAGGTGTCGAGCTTTTCCGTAGTGGCGGGCGTTGAGGTATGATGCAAGCAGTCGTCCACGAATACCCGCTTGGCAGTGGTGGAGAGGCGGGAGCCACTGGTTATAAGGTACGAGGTACGTAGTCTTCAGAGTCGGCGGGCGCGCCGGATGATGGATCTTCACGGCGCAACGTTGGGATAAGCGTCAGCCACGGTCGTAATGATGGAAAAAAAAGTGAGAGGATGTGGCGGTTGGGTCAATTAGTAGATAGTAAGTAGGGTAGAGAAAGGGTGTTGAGGGCGCAGGTGATTAGCAGGTATGGATGGATCTCGGTACTGGTAGTAACAGGTACTGGCACTGGCACTGAGACTGGCAGTGGTAACTGGTACCTAACGCTGGTACTGGTCAGTGGTCAGGAACTTGGCTGGCTTCGTCACCAACCCCAGCGAACGAGGCTGGGAGAGCTCGGCACCACCACCCACCACCACCACATACGAACGAACCGACACGCCGGAGGCCCATGCACTCTCTCAGGCTATCTTCTTCGAGTTATCTTCCTGTCTCTCCACGATCAATAATATATCTATTCGTTCATACTCTCGTTGTTGTTTGCATATATGATCGCATTCTTAGAAGAAACCAATACGGATGGGATGGAGAAGTTCACTGCAGGTGCACATACGTCAAAATTCTTTGCCTGCAGCCAGCATATCCACAGCATCGAGAAGTCATCTTCCCTGTGATTTTCCTGCTTATACATCGCTAAACAATGTCATGATTATTATGTGACAATTCGGCCTGAAATAATCATCCTACATCACCAACCACTGCTCATGCTCCCTACGCATTTAGCACAGCAGAACCCTTCGTCTCAGTGGCACGAACACTCCAATAGATTGGTAGCTTTTATGTGAATTTTTTCTAATGAGATTTTGCATTGTTTGCACATTATTTGTATAGTCTAGGGACGGATGATGATCATCCTTGATTAAGTTTCCAGTCTAGGTATTCTGTCCGCACGGAAAGCAAAGAAGACAGCAATAGTTCAGATCTAAAAAGTCATGGACGCCCTTTGGTCCTCTTCGGGACGCCCGACTCCGATCCACCCAGATATGTGTGTGTGACAGTGTGAGGGGAATAGGGAACAAACATCAAACCAAACAAACCCTTAATAGCACATGCTGACCATCCCGAACCAAAAGGGAAGATAGATGAGGAAGGAATGCGACATCGAAATGTGCCCATCCAAAAGTGACAAAGGAAACCCTTCAGTAGTGACTGAATCTAATAAAACCACAAGGAAACAGGGAGATAGGGAGAGAAAGAAAAAGAGAGCAGAGGGTGTCATGTTACAGGGTGCCTTTTCAACCCCATACAAAGCCCTCCGGCAAAACAGACTAGAACCGAGCTTACAGGAAGGAAATTTTTCTGTGAAAAACAGGGGTATAACCACTGCCGACCAAACACCAATGTAAAGACCCGGAGACTTGTAACTTATGAAGTAGTGATACAGATGGTGAGCAACACGCCTACTGCACAGCGGGGGCCCACATCGGCTCATTTCCCATTCTCTGCTGGTTGGGGTTGTATTGCTCGGGCTCGGTGCTGTGAGGGCGGCGGATGTTGGGGTTGGAATAGTAGATGCTGTTGTTGGGCTGTCCGTACTGAGGCTCAGGGTAGACATAGCCATTGTCACCAGAACCGGGGGAGGGCAGAGCATGTTGCGAGGGAGATTGCCAGCCCATGGCGCCCATGTGAGGGCTTCCATTGGCACTGGTGGTGCCACCAGACTGGTTGTGATTGGCAGATGCTGGGGGCTCAAGGATCTGAGGCGGGCCATAGCCGGTGGGGTGAGAAGTGATCGTGGGGCGCTGGTTGCCAACGGGCTGGTAGGACTGTGTGGTCAAGGAGGGGGAAGCACGCGGGCTGGGCTGTGGCATCTCGTTGCGAAGGTGAGGGGGGACGTTCATGCCACCCATGTACGCATAATCGGAGTTCTGGCGATGCATGCCGGGGACGACACCAGCGGGCATGCCGGCAGCGGGAGACAGTGACAATGGTCGCTCATTGGGAGAAGGTGTGCCCAAGGGGGAGGCTGTCTCAGAGAATTCATCAGCATCAGATCGGGGTGGCCTTCCAGGAGCAGCAGCGCGGGAAGCCAAAGCAGCGGCAGTGGCAGCAGCAGCCTCCTCGACGGTGCCGGTGTGGTGATTTTGATGGCGGGTGAGGGTAGTGCGACGCGTGAAAGTCTTTTGGCAATCGGCATAAGGGCACTTGTATGGACGCTTTCCAGAATGGATACGACGGTGACGAGCGAGAGAGCTTGAATCGCTGAAAGGCTGGAGTCTGGGTTAGGTCGATGATTGCAACGAGTTTATGTCGAGAGCACATACCTTTCCGCAACGCTCACACATGTGAGGCTTCTCGCCAGTGTGGACACGTTGATGCACGGTCAGGGCTGAACGCTGGATGAACTGCTTGCCGCAGTTGGGGTACTCGCAGACGTGAGGACGAATGCCACTGTGGATACGCTCTGTCGATGATGTTAGTGAGATGTTGGGGGAACATTTGGGGTCGAGGGCCCAAGCTCCTTACCGTGACGCGCGAGGTCACTGCGGCGCGCGAAGCCCTTCCCACAAGTTGAGCACGCAAATGCCTTGGGCGGGCCCGTGTCGGACGTGGGGCGACCACCAGGCTGTTGGGTCTGCTGGTCGGGCATCTGCTGTTGTCCGTATGTGTGGTCTGGCGGGTTGGGGATGTAGTTGTTGTTGTTGAGCAGGGGCATCGGGGTCTGCATCTGCGTCGGAGAAGGGTATCGCATGTTGGCACCGTTCATGTTGTGACCTGGCATGGGAGGGTACGAGGGGAGTTGTTGAGGCTGCTGGGACGAGTAACGCGACGAATCCGAGGGATGAGGGGAGACTCCTCGATCGGAGCCATTCTCTGATTTGATGCGTCCGTTCATGTAGGGCGGCGCGCCGAAGTGCTGCTGTTGCAGATCGTGCTGCATTGTGTGTTGCATGGCGACGAAGAGCGGGCCTATTTCCTGTGAACGATGTTATTATTATTGTATCCAACAATGTACAAGTTTTCTTCGACGAGCGTTGCAGTGATGGGACGTGTAAAAATCCGATGTGACCGGGCGATGGAAAAAGCAAGCAGGGGGAAAAAGTTGTAGACGCGAGAATGAGGAAGGGCAGGGCGTACGAGATCAGAGGCTGCGTGCCAAGCTTCTTAGCGGTAAACCTGGCAGAGGAGGGTGAGGATGGCTGCACAGAACGGCGAGGATCGAAGTCGCGTTGATTGATCACGGCAGTATGGTGGTAGTGGTGACGATGACTTTGGTGATGGTGATGATGGTCTTCACCGACAGAGGTACTCGAGGTGGTCCGTTCTGCACGTCGAAAACTAGGTCGGACCGCGTACAGGTCAATGCTGAGGGGTGCACTAAAGATAATGGCGAGGTCAGTGATGTCGAAGACAACAATAGAACGAAGTCGCAAGCAACAATTTGCGCGTCGAGATGGGTTGGGAGAGTTGTCGAGCTGGTTGTACGGCTGGGGGTGGAGTTGAGTTTTTTTGAGAGAGGAAGGGAAGAAAAAAAAAGGAGGCAATGGGGCGACGGGGAGACCAGCAACGGACGGGCAGAACGCGGAAGAGAGAGTAGACTCCAGAGGGGACAGGGGAAGTTGACAACAGAAATGGCACGTACCTTTGGTGAGTTAGAGGGTTGAGAGAGGGATGGAATAAATTGAGGATGAAGGAAGAGCGCAAAAGAAAATGAGTGAGGAAGTAGTAGAGTGTAAGAAAGTGAGAGAGAGCGTGTGTTGGGTGTTGGGTGTTGGGTATGTGTTGGTGTAAGTGTAAGTGAGAGAGTAGAGTGAGTGAGTGAGAGAGTGAGTGAAAGGTACAAAAGGTACTTCTTCCCTCTGTAGATGCGCGTGTTGGAAATGCCTGAATAGGCGCTAATCCCGAAGCAGAAACCGGCTACTTCCGAGTCGTGGTGGTGTTTTCTTGTAGGTGAAGATGTGCAGTGAGCTTTTTTGGGGAGTGGAGAAGGGTGGAACAGAGTGAGAGGGGAGAGGTGGTAAGGGTATATAGCAAACCCTGGGTATTCACTCTGGACAGAGTCTGGACAGAGAGTGTAGGCTGTAGGGAATGGATGGTGGATGGTGTGTATGGAGTAGGGGAGTGAATAATGACACTGAGAGACGGCGACAGAGAGAGAGAGAGAGAGAGAGAGAGACAGTGAGCGAGGGTGTGCCAGCCAGAGTCAGTGCCACTTTTACGGGGGCGCGGAAAGGATTGATTTAGGGTGGGAAGAGAGGAAGAACTAGCTAACTAGGAGGGTAGGGTAGGGTAGGGAAGGGTAGGGTAGGGGTGGTGGCACCGATGGGTATGGGTATGGGTATGGGTAGGGGTAGGGGTACCTAGGCAGGTTACTGTAGTAGGGTAGGTACCTAGGTATTATTCAAGGTAACTGAATAGGGACCTAGGTATTGTACAAGGTCCGAGTTACCTAGGGGAGAGAGGGGATTGTCATTACCGTAGCACCTTGATACCTAGGTAGGTAACCTCGTGGACTTGTCAATAAGATTAGGTCACGTCAGTCTGGGTTAGGTGGAATTAGGTAGATGCTGTTGGTTGGACGGATGGATGAATGAATAAACGAAATAAACGAATAATAGATGGATGGATGGATGGATGGATGAATGGATGGTTGGTTGATTGGATTGTTGGACTATGAGGTAGTCCTTCAAGGCTTCGTGCCTGTTGCCTGTGCTTAACGATAGAGGGGGGTAGAGGGGGAGGAGGGGTGGATAGAAATGGTGGTAATAGAATACTGTGTAGTAATAGGAATGGTGGTGATGCTTACGCTGTACTGACTGGTAGCTGCGCCTTGATATTATTCTTATTATTATGGTGATGATGACGATGCTGATGATGGATGATGATGATGGCAGTTGATGGCGTTGGATGCTGGTACTCGAACAAAATACCATTTACTCAAAATGCCCCTCGAGATAATATCCTGAATAGTGAGGCAATGGACAATTGGACATCGACATCCTATTGTCATGGAAGCGAATAATCATAATAACCTTAATGCTTCCATTCCTTCGTTTCTCCCCCCTCGTCAATCGCGATTCTCTGCTGTCACTCTCCCAAGTAAACGCTTCCTATCAGGGACACGCTCGACCTCTAGCGGCGTCTCTCGTTCTTCGTTTTGGGCGACCTGAAACCTCCAAATCTCACCGACTCCTGATTCTTCTGCACATGCTGCACTGCCGGCAGGGATGACTAACGGCCCGTTGATTTGATTTGATTTGATTTTTCTATTTTGCTTCCTCTTTGCGCGTCTTGACCTTCCCCCCTCTGTTTAGCTCTTTGATTCTTCTTTTGCTTTTTCCATAGGGTGGAACAGAGGAAAACGGAGAAGTAGAAGCGAAGAATAGAAGAAAAGAAAAAAAAAATGAAATCCCCGAACGGCCCCTGGTCCGCGCCTATTGGATGTCACTCTATTGTCGTTTAAGCCGGATTATGCTCGCTCGCTGCTGTCAAAATTTCTTCCAAATGGTCCCGGAGGTTTAATTTAGCCCGCCCGGCCTTCCGCAAATTGGAAATTTGATGCGTGACTTTTAATGGCCGGGACACTCCCAGAATAGCTGGTGACGTTGTACTGTCGTAGGGAAAAGGTTTCTTAGCCGCTAAATTGTTCTTTCGTTCTTATTATTCATGCAGATGGTGGTGAGGTTACTCTCGGTCGTGTCGAAGGTATTATTATTATTGTTCCGATGTTGGTATTGTAATGTACAATACCTATACAGTACGTAGGCACGTTGGTATGTTTGTTATGCACGGTCGGTGCTTTGATGGCGTCCATGCTTGCAACGATATGCGTGGTGACCGTTACAGGGCCATCTCTTGCAAATCCACGGCTTTATGGCCCCGGTCTGACTTGTGCTCGATCGTGGCTGAATCGCGGCTGTCAGTCACCGACCTCATTCCTGTCCACTCGGTGGGGGAAATGGTTCATGTTGCTGTTGTTAGCTGACTGTACTCCAGCTCCCGACATGGCCAAAAAGAACACCCATGGGCAAAAGCTTACCCTATACAAGCAGGCTCGCATTCAAATCGGTTGGGTGTCGACTTGTTGCTGTTCTCGGATTTCCTCCACTCATCGACCCCTTCTGGAACAATCATACGTGGATGATGTCCTCTCGTGCTTGTTGATGCAGATGGAGAAATAGATGGGAGCAGACAGGAATCCGAAGAGTGGATCCCCATGTGCGGTGGGTGTGTGGCAGGGTTGGTGTGTGCGTCACAGCGCGTTTCTCAACAGCAGCAACAAATGCAGTGCACAACGTGAATTACGTTCGAAATGGATAGAACTGCGATGCTATTATTCCTGTTTGCAGGCATTCATCTCATCCGGCGCATGGGGATGCAGAGTTTGAGGGTATCTTCTTCATAGCGAGTGAAAATCATCATCAATCAATCAATCAATCAATCCATCAATTCCACTGCGCACAACTACAGCAATATCCTTGTGGCCATCCTTTCACACCCCAGCCAGGCGTTCACACCATCAAATGCTAGCCTCCGCTAGAGCATCAATAATGGAGCGCCCCGAGAGTGTCCATGTTTGAAGGGCGTTCGGTGGCGCCCCTGGCCTCACGAGTCGCGACATGCGATCGCTCCACTTCCCTCGCACTTGTCAGGGGCGACAGAGCTTCCATAATTGCTATTTTTTGCCATGCATCATCGTATTTGCAATTATGAGTCGCGCCATGGAGCTACGTAAACGTCCTAGGTAGAATTCATTCGACTGATCATGGAGAAAGGAGGAGAATGGTCTTTTGATCGCGACACTGGTAATTATTCTTTTCCTCTGTCAACCACACCAGTCCCCCCTGAAGACATAGGATCCACAAGATGCGACATGCAGAAGGTAACGATGGAAAATAGCAGGTGTCGACGTGTTGCAGCATGCATTCAAGCGACCTACTGTACCTACCTAGGCACTCTAGGATACCCAAATGCACACTGGAAGAACAAGGGGGGACCCGTCCATGGATGGCGGCTGCCCGGGATGTAAGCAAGGGCCATGTTTATGGAAGCCCACTAGAAGCTCCCCAAGACCTTCCATCGCTTCCAATGCTTCCAATGCTTCCAATGCTCCCACCGTTCCACCACTCTTCCAGTAGTGTGTCGTTGTTGTCGCGAGACGCCTGGGCCATCAATTGTCACAACACAAGGGACGACACGGCGAGGCGAGTTCGCCAAATGCATCTCTCAAACCTCCGTCTGGGCGGCAAGCGGGGCGACATCCTTGCTCGTGTTGTGCTTGTATGAGCATACATACCTACAACAACTGCCCATACTCGTACGCACAAAGAACGTATTGCCCTATGTATGTACTGTGTACGGAGTACAGTGTACAAACTGACTTTGAAACGTCCACATCGTCTTCCAGCCATGGACTACTAGTTGCATCAAGCCTAGTCCTGACTCCTCACTACTGGCATGAAGGATACATGAAAAGACATTGGTTACACGATGGACACTGTGCTTCAGCCTCTTGCGCTTCAGAAGCTCACCCTTGATCCTGTCTTTTATGTTGCGAACCGCAGCGGCAACGGCAGCGGCCGCAAGCAATGGGCACCGGGCAGCATCACGCTGCCTACCACGAGCAGGCAGAAGATCGAGCCCCTCCTCTGTGCATGCATGTATCCACCACCACCACTACTACCACTACCACTACCACTGTACGAGTACCATGAACCACCAATAGCATGATAGTGACACCATCACAACATCTCTACGACTGCATGATTCCAACAGCTGCAACAGTGGCAGCACAGTAAGCACACTCCACACTGCCTGTTACCAATTCAACTCGACACTGGTGACTGCATACGATTACAATCCTTCATGCTCGAGACGGAGCTTGCCGGCTCAGAAAGGACGCAGCCAACACATCCGCGCCATGTTCTACACCGATTCTGGTTTGTCTTCGGAATCATCAGCGCTCCTCCTCAAATATGCCAATTCGCATCCATCGTGATTCGCACCTGCATACTTGGTGTTACGTTCTGGTTCGGCAGAGTACGAGTGGAACATGCAATGTATCCAGCACATCGGACCGATACGTATCCATCTCGCTCCGCTCTGCTCCCCTCATCGGAATAATTCGTGATCAACACTGTTGTTGCGGGGAAGATCATCTGCGTCAGCATGGACACAGTGCGATCGTTCCAATGACTTCAGGCCTTCTGCTCACGGCATGTTGTAACCATCGGATGCCGTGGACGCTCTCCGCTGCTATAGAGGTCTTTCGCCTCTATAACCTTAGCCGTGACCCCCGATCCAATCTGCTCGCACGCGTCCAGGGCCAGGCGCCACTGCGTCAGCAGATCGAACCCCTAGCTCTGATGCCAAGGTTGTTATATTGTCGATTGTTGAACGACCAAACATTAGAAGGATTGTACGATTGAATAATTGAACAATACGGTCGACGATGCTGTGTGACCAGGAAGTAAGGAGTCCACAGCTCCAGTCTAAATCGCAAGGCGACTACATGTATGTACACAAGGCTGGATATTGGTGGTCATTTTGCAACCCACGCGAGTCATCCCTGGGCGACGAGGTTGGGCTTGTGAGTGTCAAACGATACTGCATACCGTCCCTCCACCAGAACCCGGCTTCCCCAAAACCTTCCATGGGCCTTCCTTCAGATCCGTCTGTGCTTGGGTGACACGATATCACGATGGGGCGCGCGGATAGCCCGGGCCACTCGACAGCCTCATGCTTTGTGTCGGAAGCAGATCTCCATCAGTCCCGCTCTCCGTGATGTGCTCTCACCACCACCGGCAGACATACCTTGGATCGTATGCTGCTGCGGAATGCTTGCTCGGAGCGATGATATAACATTTCGTAAACTTCATGCGACAGCCGGATGATAGGCACGCCTTCATCTCGGGGAGCGACAGCCGCTGCCAGAGGAAACAAACTTCTGCAACTCTGAGTGGAGGATTTCCAGGGTGACTTCGTGCTCGCTAATTGTGCCTACCAGCCTGTACACAGTATGCACGCCGTGGGCCTGTCAGGAAATACCGTTTAAAACTGCGACAGAGATCCAACACGCACGGGCGTTTCATCGCCGCTTCTGCCGCTTCTGCCTCCTGTTCATCGCACTGCTCTTCGCTAGAGCGTGTTTTAGGCCTCCTTGGGCTTTGGGTCCACGTCGTTGATCATCATTCGCAGTACCGGTATGGATTGGGGGGTGAAGGCGAGGTGCAAAGCCAAGGCCTACTACTGTTGCTACCTACTACATACTGTACACCGGGCGGTGTGCGGTGTGCGTATGTGTGTGCGTGTTCCTGCTCATGTACATGTGCTGTTGTGCGAGAAGCTCATTGACGAAAGCTGTGAGCCTGCGTTCTTCAATACACTACTATGTGGCTTTCCAATCATTATTATTTCACTACTAGCAAGATTGCGGGCCGGCTGGTGCTGACTATGCGACAGCACCGCAGGATGGTCAACACCCTTCCCTCCTCTCCATATCCCTAAAGTCCCGGAGAGCATGACCCTACGCCGTAAGTTTGTTAGACACTGGCGCCGCTTCACATCCCAGTTTTAAAGCTGTAAGGCGGCAACATTATCCATGCGCCCTTCTGGAAGCCTTCTTCTTTCGTGTTAGCGGACCTGTCCTGTCGGGTACCCTCCTAAATTGCAACCAGCCCAAGATGGTTGCAGAGAGCGCCCTGTGCCATCGATGCATGATGCGTGATGCGTACTGCGCGCAGTGCAGGGAAACCTTTCTTCCCTTTCCTCCCCCCATCCCCTGGTTGATTTCTAGAAGATTACCCCTTTTACCACAATTTCCCGGCGGTCGAAAAAGGAGCTTGGGCTGATTGTCTCCTCCTTTCGTCATCCCGCGCCGCCCACAGCCTGTCTCGCGGCCAGTCCGCTCTCTTTGACAGTCAGTCGGAACTCTCTCTCCTCCATATGAGGTCCGGCCTCTACCACAACAGTCGCATACATGGACGTGTAGGCGGTTGATCTACTGGCTAATGGATTGCCACCTCTCGCTCTCCTTGTCGAGCCAAATGATGTCAAACAGATAAAAGGGGAGGTAGGTGCGGTAGTGTGGGGAGGGATTGCTATAATTACAACCTCATTTTCATGCATCACGCGCTCAACATCGAGAATCGCCTATCCTCCCAATCCTCCCACCCAACTTCCCCCTATCGTATGAAGATCTCGATTCGTAGAATAAACGTCAATTGGGACACACTCCTTTCGGCGACACTTTTCCCCATTGAACGACACAGTTGTGAGGCCGCCGACCAGAAATAACTTTACTTACCCCTATTACGGAGTACCAAACTACCTAGCCCATTATTGTTATCACAGGTGGGCGATGCCTTTTGGGGGATCCCCCGTACTATCCATAGGTTAGAGTCAACATCCCACGTTCGTCGTTCAACCAATTCGTTGCAGAAACACCACATATCACATATCACATATCTAGATATCTACAACATCAACTGTACTTACGTACGAGCGTTCGTGCGGTACGTGTGAATCGTGCGCGGTCGTGCATGCCTGTCCTGTCAGCTGCCGTCCCGAGACAGTGGAATACCAAACACAGTCTCCCGTCTTCCTTTCCCCTCTGTCGCTCGAACTGGACAATATGTGACCCAAGCCCAAAGCCCCTCTCCAAGGACTTCTAATCGTCAATGCAAGGATTCTTCGCTTGCGAGGAAAGGGAACTCCCCATTTCCGCTTGTGGATTATTCGTGGATTCCGACTTTGCGATTCTGCTCGAGGAAGAGAAATTGTGCAGTGCATGATTGGAACTATCATCGAGATAGGTTGCTGGTCCAATGAATTTTTACCATTTAGAGTATCATATAGTATCAGATACCATTCTAGCATAAGAACAAGCAAACAAACAGATAAAACAAAGCCATTAAGACCCCTCTCTTTATTCCCTCCACCGGAGCTTCTTCCGTACGTATGTACGCACATACATACAACTTCACACCACTAAATTCTCACACCCACCCTTCCCTCGACTTCCACCTCACATCTCCCCACGAAAGCAAAACTAAACTCCAAAACCCCACGTCCACAAACTCAAAGTAACCCCAACAATCCAGGACTCCACCAAATCAAATCAACCATTCCCTCCCCTACCTCCTCCTCGTCCAAAAAGGTGGAATACACGAGAAACAACCAGGCCCACCACGCATCCGTCCTTTCCATCCTTCCTTCCTTCCTTCCATCTCACGCGCTCACTCGCTCTCACTCGCCACCAACACACATATGTACCACAGCGCAGGCGCAGGGTCCCTATAACATCTACCTATAGTTACAGTAGTTACACAATAAAAGACGTTGTACCGGTCGGTCAGCTGAAACACGTCCTATCAACTCCTCTCCTCCCTCCTCCCTATCCCCTGCAGAATAATAGGTAAGAAGGAAGAAGGCAAAATAAGGAAAAGAAAGGAGCACGGACCTGCGAGTATGCAGTCCTGTCACAGTCACAGTGTAGTATGTAGGAGTGATCGTAGGTAGGGTTATATGGGTGTGTGCTATAAGAATGAGAGGGAGGGTGAAGGTGGAAGGGACGTGGGCATGTGGGTGTGTGGCGTGCGGTGAGATGGATGGACGGAGGGTGTTGTGGTGGATTGGTGAAGTTTTGATGTACGATTATGTGACGGCGTAGGTATGTCCGTGTGCCTGTATGGGGACTCGTAGATGATTTGATGGTCTAGGGGGCGTGGAGGCGGGGAGGAGGGAGTGGTGCTGTTTTCTCTTTTTCTTGGGGTAGTTGATGGGGAGGTTTCTTTTTGGTGTTGGAGGTCGGTGGCGCGTGTACATACATGTACCTTAGGTATGCATGTGTTAAGTTTTTGGTTTTTCATAGGTATGTACTTGTTTTATATGTAGTCATTCACTGTATACAATTACACGTGTTGTCAAAACACGAACACCAAGAAAAACAATTTCGGTCTCGGTCACTCGATTTGAGATTATGTATTGCACGAGGATAATTTATGATATATGATATATGATATATGAAGAATATGGTGTTCTTTTTTTTCCATTTTATCTGACATAAAGGTAAATAGGTCAATACGCTTATATAACTGATAGAAAAAGAAATAGATGTTATCGTATCCTTTCTACGTCTGGCTTCAGTTGTACATATATGTACACGCATGCGGACAAGCTAAAATAGACAAAAAAAAGCAACTATGCTCTGCATGCGATGTAATTGAGCTGATATCATAGTAGGTAGTAACCCTGCGTTGGATATCTGTCAATGTTACAGGAAAGGCAAAGGCATACCTCTACTTATGTGTCACTTTTTTCTATGTTTGTGTTCGTGCTATTTTTATCGATCTAAAGTCTTCTGGGAATACGGTTTGGAAGTCAAATTAGTATTAGATACGATAGCATAGCATACGGTCACACAGTAAAGAAGTAGATATCTTGGATATTGTCATATAGAAGGGAGGATCTTGGAAGACCCGGAATTTGATCATTAGAGTTCGTCTAGTTATACACTATATACACACATATATTCAGAAAATGCCGCAGGATTTGGAAATGCTCATCGTGATGTTGGAAAACAAATAGCGTCGAAAAAAAGGGGAAACCCGGTAAGAAGATATTTTTGTCTGGGCGTAGTGGAATAATATGCTGTCAAGTTCGCCATGATTTTTTCGTCGTCGTCTTCTCTTTCTTTAAACCCTTGGGACGCCTCCGGTGCCGAAGAGCTCCATATGTATCCTCTCGCTGGGGACGCCGAGGCTCTTCAATTGCTCCTCCATGCTCAGCATGAAGTCTTTGGGTCCGCAAGTATAGTACTCGGCCTTGTTGTCGCCGGTGAACAGCTTATCGCTGCCGACCTTGGCCAGTTCGATGCGGCCCTCGATGTCGTAGTCTCGGCCCTGAACGTCCTCGGCCTGGGGTTTAGAGGAGAAGTAAACCGTCTGTACGTTTTCGTTGTTCGCAGCGAGGCTGTCAGTGTGTGCCTTGAAGGCACGATGGTTCGAGTCCCGAGCGCCGTGGATCCAGACGATGGGGCGGGAGGTCTTCTGTGCGGCGAGGTGGGTGAAGATGCTGTTGAGGCAGGTGAGGCCGACACCGGCGGCGATGAGGACGACGGGCGCGTCCTTTGCGATCTTGTCCTCGTCCAAGAAGAAGTCGCCCCACGGATGTGAGACCTTGACGATGTCGCCTTCGTTCTTGGTCTGGTGTAGGAGGTTGGATAGGTAGCCCTCGTGCGTCATGCTCTTCGGCTCGCCAATCTCGACGCCGGCCTCCTTCTTCACGCTGATGCGGAGATAGCTCTTTCCAGGTGCGTCGCTGAGACTGTACTGTCTCGCCTGCCACACGCCCAACTCGTCGACGAAGATGTTCACGGAGATGTACTGTCCGGGCTTGAAGATGGGGAGCTTGAGGGCCTTGTCGACCGGCTCTAGATAGAAAGAAGTGATCTGCTCCGACTCCTTTTCCTTCTTGGCGATGGTGAATTCCTTCCAGTCGTCCCATTGCTTCGTTTCCTCGTACATGGCCGCCTCCTTATTGATCATGATGTCGGCCAATTGCCAATAGGCGGCACCCCAGGCGTCGAGGATCTCATCTGTGCATGCATCACCGAGGACGACTTTCATAGTCTCCAAAAGGTGCTTGCCAACAATGGCGTAGTGAGGGGCGCGGATGAACAGACTGGTGTGCTTGTGGCAGATGAGTTCCACGGCTGCGGAGAGGTTGCCGAGAGCGTCGATGTTGGCGGCATATGCGTAGAGAGCTCCTGCGAGAGCGGCAGGTTGGTGACCAGTGGACTGGTGGGTGTTGTTGAATATGTTCTTGAGTTCCGGGTTGGCTTCAATCATGTCATGGTAGAATTTCGTCGTGATGGCGAGGCCGTGTGCTGCGAGCACGGGAACGGTGGCCTTGATGATGGCGACTTGCTCTGGTTTGAGTGCTGGAGCCATTGTGAGGTTGTCTTTGGTTGGTGTCGTTGGTGACTGTATTGGAGAATGATATGCAATTATGTGGATACGACTTTGAGGAATCGATCTATATCAAATATGAAGTTGCTTTCTAGGGAAGATGTAAGAGTAGATGATCTACAAATTGATGAGTAGGTAGCTAGATCGAATTCTTAGAAGTCGTTCTTGTGAATATATATATATTTTTCTATATAAACCGCGAAATCGATTCCGACTATGTCCATTACCATTCCTTACTTATCCGTATTGTGTACGCTTTCTCCGCGGAAACGGGGCTAAAATGCATGTAAAGGACCACACCACCTGTTTTGTGCTGGCAAGCAAGTCGAGTGAACCTGGCAAATGGGAACGCATGATTACTCAAGCTTGCAAACGTTACATAGCCCGTTGGGCGACGACGCCATAAATTTCTGGCTGTCGTCTGAAAAAAGTTCCGGCACGTGGAATTGTTAGACGCGTGGTCCGTGAATTCCGCCTGCCGCTCGGAGTCTAGGTCGTTTATGGTTTGAGGCTGATGAAATTGTCGGGTCCCTGCTGATCGCGGCCAGCATCTCGGTCGAGGAACAAGTATTTTAGTCTACACTATTGTGACTACATTCGAGAACGATCGTTCTGTATTGCTTGCATGTGCTCCATAGAGTCATCTAGTAGGATCTCGTACAGTGGAGTTCTGTCTATGTGCTCCTCTGTAGCATCATCATCGTTGATTTCGAACTGACTGAACAATATATTCAATAAGTTCATTGAATTGGGACAAAGCATAGTATTGCGCATACCATGGCCAGATCAGCATCGCAGTTCGCCTTCTATTACCCCATTAAGTGCATACACAATATGATGCAAAGTTTGTGTGTTCCAAGTCCACAAAGCGTAGATCAGTTGCAGCATGATGAATATGACTAAATGTCAGACCACCAGACGACGACGCAAAAATCGATGTGCACATCGACGGTTGAATCTACTCGGGCTCGCACGTTCGGGGGATGAGACGCCGGTCCCGCCCGGAGTAAGCGCTGTTGCAACAATAACCATTGGATGAATTGGCCGACCCTGCCCTGTAAGTATTTGAAATGGCAGCGTGCTGGCGTGATATTTTTGGCGCTGTGTAAATATCAAAATATGGGGTATCTCCGCGGCAGCGATGGAATGGACATGTTTGTTGACGACTCCCATCTAATTTGAATTCTTGCCACGACAGTTTTTCCTCTCCTCTATCTTCCAGTCTTTGCTGTTGTCTTTGCTGCGATGCATCGCAGGACTGTGAAGACCCTGGTGTTCTTTATCTGAGGAACCCCGCGATACGAGCGCCACAGTACGATATCAACGACGTTGATATGCACCGGCATTAATCATCCACGCCGTCTCTGGAAAATCGTACGAACATTCTAAAGATACGAGAGTAGTAACCAACAACAATAGTGACGTCATAGAATCACAACTCTGCACTGCCTATGAATCTTTCACAACGGTGTTGTCTTCGGATTCTTCAAATCAGTCACAAGGCTTGAAAATGGTAGGCACTATGGTCTGGGAAATATACTCGCTGCTCTATTGTGTATATCGTCCAATCTTGTCATCACGCCCAAAGGTCTTTCCAAGTAGGCACCATGCACGGCAAAGCAGTTCCAAGGTTTAGTTCAAGGTAATATTATACTAAAAGTCTTCTGAAAGGTTTCCTATTGTACATTTTTGAAGAATTGAATATCGCTGATCCAATCGTGCACCACATCCTAACACAGAACTGGGGGGAAATCTATATAATTGGAAAACGAGCATTCGGCGTTTGTGCGATAGATCCACTTCTTCTGCTGTTGTTTTTGGGTTGTTCGACCGGCAAGTAGTGGTATCGCACTCGAAAGGAAATGTGAGGAAACGCCGAATACCCTAAAGAAACATGGTCCTAGTCTTGATTTTGTGCTCGCCGGCAAGATGAGTACCACCAACCATCATCTTCCAACGGCCGCGCTTATGACATTACGGTAATAAGAGACACTCAGATCGGTGGAATGTTTGAGCCACAAGTCCTCCGTTAGTGGCAGTTTGAGGATGCGTTCTCGCTGAGTAGGCTACAAATCGTTAGTTCAATCTGGATCCAAATCTTAACCATGACACACGTACCTGGTTCTTCGCGATCAAACCTGCAACTACTCCACCAATTTCTGTGAGAGCGACACGCTCCTCAAGTCCGCTACCCTCCCAGTGATCTCTTGCCACTCCTTCCAAGGAGCGACAGAGCTTGGTTAAAAGAGCACCTATCTCGGCATTAAGTTCCTCGTCAATGCGATAGCTCGATTGATTGCTCGTAAGGTCGAGTAGGTGGATGTAGTCAAAGTACAACTGTCCTCCTCGAGCCCAGCCTTGGACCGGCTCCTTCTGGTACGAGGCGCGGCCACGGGTTGACATAGACATGTTATCGTCAATAGGGCTGCTGGGCGGCGTGGGCACGAATTCACCTAGTAATTCGCGAAGAGAGTCATAATCGCGGGAAATGATCGACTCTGGGCCAACGCTACGGCAAACAACCTCGTGAGCTTCTTCAAGCTCACCAGCCTTGATGAGGTGGCTGGCCTGCTGCACCCCATCGCCTTTGATCTTCGCTTGCAGTGCTGCAGCTGCATGGATCCACTGAGGTGAGAGACAAAGTTCATCTACGAGGTATCTGTAGGTAGAATCGGTCTCGGCTACTGCGTAAGTGTTCGAGTACTGGTTCAACATTGAGCGGATGTAATGCTCGCGCATAGGGCTGGATGAAAGATGACAGTAGACGAAAATAGCAGTCGTCCAATGCTCGGGGGTATGCAAAGACGAGGCGTAGGTGAGAGTAAGTTGGTCGCTGACCTCAGTCAATGGATCTTTGGCTTGCGTATCCTTCTCGTTGACAGAGGCAATTGAAGACATGAACGACGAACGAACACCATCGACGAGGCGATCGGTAGGCATGCTGACCCTACGATCCGTCCATTCATCGACGTCGTCGTGGCGGGATTTGAAGAGCTGGAAAAGCTGGAACGAAAAGCGGGCATTAAGCGGATGGCCAGAGACATTCTGTGGCGCCAACACATCTTCAATATTGGCGGCTAATTCGAGTTTTGAAGATGCATATAACTTGAGAATACCCCATAAGATGTCCTCGCGATCGGCAGCATCCTTATCGTTCCAAGTCATAGGTGCATCCTGCTCAACAAACCAAGGCACAGGTTTCACTTCCTCCAAACCGTCACGAAGCGCGTCGGCGTACTGTGCTACTGCCAATTCGATTGGCTCGTCAGCCAGGATGCCGTACCACAGACGAAGGCCAAACGCGCGCCGCCAATCCAGATTGAAATGTTTGGCGATGCTTAGTGCTGCCAATTTGTTCTCGCGACCACCTCCAATCTTCCCTTTGGACTGAGCGCAATTGCCTGAAACAAGTTCGTAGAGGGCACGAACTGTGTCATCCATATCGGAGAGAACGTCCAGACGACGCCATTCGTCGATCTGGGTGCTCATTGTGGCACGTGTAACCTGGTCACCACCAATTTGAGCTACCATCGTAGCGAGTCGTAAATCGTAGCCAGTGAGTAGGGCATGACAGGCGTCCGGGACATTGTGACCGCTGAGATATGCAATGGCCTTTTCTTCGGCAGAGTTGGCTTCTTGCGCATGCCTCTCCGCATCGGTAAAGACGATGGACTGCCAAAAGTCGGAGAGTTTTTCCTTCCTGAATTGTTCACGGTGTTCCTTAAACACTTCTGGCGTCATGTCGGTGGGCTGACGATCGTCCTCATCGAAGAGGATGGACAATAACTGCCAGGCTTTATGTTCATGCGAACTTGCCGGGGAATCAGTGATCATGGCCTGCGCTAGCTCAGCGAAGTCTAACGGGGCATTTGCCGTGCTGAGCCTGGCATATGGGACATTGTCCAACAGAGTGACCTTCGTCCGCTCCTTCTGCAGCTTCAATGTGTCCGTGACTGAATCGGGGAAAGAAGGAAGCTTGGTAGCCCGAATATCCAGTGTGGCGCCCACGATTGGCTCTAAGATAGTCGGGAAAATGTTATCCTCGAGCGATGTTGAGCCCTTGGCAGCGTAGACAAGAGAGCCGGATCCATTGAAATGGGGTTTGTTGCAAGAGTGAAAGTCTCGGTCGTCTGCGCTCAGCTCATCGAGGTCGCGAGATGTTTTGGGTCGTTTAGAATACGGTAACTGCAGACAAGGTTTTAGTAAAACTTGTCCTGATCAATTGGTTGCTACATACAGGGGAAGGACTCAATGTCCAAGGCTACAATCTGTAAAGGAAATAGAACCCAAGACAGCCTGCGCCCAACAATGAAATCACAACGCTAGGGGGTAGGGAAGTCAAACCTCGATGCCATGTCCACCCCGCTTTGATCCGAATTTATCTGTTCCTTCCCACAATCCTCCGAGTAACTCCATGTGTGTTGGAATGATCGATTGTTTGGCGGACTGACTAAGCTTCAAGGTATTTTCGTCCTGTTCACGTAGGACTTCGCCTTGATTTTGTCTTAGTGCTTGCCGATCCTGTTTCTTTGGGCTGATGGTGCGTTGAAGTTGACTCGCCCAATCATCATCAAAGACCAATGGCCCCTTGGAGGGCGTTCCAAGGGTAGGTCGAAGTATCTGGCTGTTCTTAAGGATTGATTTTGGCATGACCGAATCCTTGAAGGGATCCGATTGTTTAGCGGGCACTGGCTCCGTGGTATGAACCGGTACAGAAAAGGAGCCTGCCATGTCCTGATCTTCCACCGATTCGGATTCACTCTCTTCAACGTAGTCGGCATCTTGCTGACCGTCAAGTGAACCCACGGAGCGCTCACCTAAAAAAGACTCGGAAGTAGAGTCCATTGTTGCATCTACATCATCCTCGTCGTCTTCTTCGTAGGGTACTTCGTCACCGAACCCGCCAGGGACACTTGCACGAGACCGTTTGCCTTTCTTGAAATCAAAAGTATCATCAGGGCTAGACTGGGTGAAGCTAGCAGGTGAGTCATTCTGAGGCGTAGCAGTCATGCGTTCGGAACTTGGCTGCACTGGTGTGTCTGGGACTGCACTGAGTGGACTAGTACCATCGTCCTCGTCACTGCTGTAGAGATCTCCATCATAATCCAGTCCGTAGGAACTGAAATGGGGAACGGTGAAAACCCACTCTCCAGTTGAAGGGCGGTAGTCCTCGAAAGTTGTGCCACCGACACGCTTCAGGCGCTCTAGGTGCTTCACGTCCTTCTTTCCAACCCGATTGCGAGGCCAGGAGTTCGCCAGGGTGATTCGAGAGAAGTGGTTTAGGCCTGAGCCTCGGGCGGGCTTGGGCACAGTCGTGGTCTCTCCATACACTGTAGCGTTACGGGTGTTCAACTGAACAATATCACCGAAGAGCTTGTCGAGATCGACGGCGGAGAGATCGACGGTCTTTCCAGGGTTGAAAACGATCTGTCCAATCTGGTGGCGGCCAATAGTGAAATCCTCAACGCGAGACAACTGATCACGGTTCATCCTGCGCAGCTCGGTCATGCTAGGCTTGGACCAATACTCTCCCGGTTTAGGATCAGCAACCGGTGCAGGCTGAGCGCTCTGGGTGCGAGGGGGGAGCGTTCGGTTCTCAGGAACAGTCGTCAATGCCTTGCCGTTCACCTCTTCCATCTCTGGGGTTCCGTTGGAAATATGATCTGTAGTCCCGTTCACGGTTGCGGAAGAGTTGGAGGGAGTGGGTTCTCCCGAAGAGCGTTCAGAGTCAGGGTGGACCACGATTTCCGTTCCGGTGACGCCATTTGTAGCAGTTCCGTTCGTGCCATTGGGCTCAAAGGTGACCCGCTTCTTGTCAGAGGAAGGCTCGTCGAAGAGAGGCACACGGTTGATGGATCGGTTGATGTTCAGGCGTTTAAGGCTTCCTCCCGCATACGGACGGCCGTTACCTGAGAATGCACCGGGCGCAAGGATACTGGTCTCCGGGGTGAAGCTGTTACGAAGATTGCTAGTAGACAGGCTCTTGCCAAGTGTGCGCGAGACACTGTTGCCAAGGAATCCATTGGAATAACCTGGGCTAATTTGACTAGATGCACTGTTGGGAGTTCCATACGTAGAGTAAGAGAAGCCAAAACCTCCTCCGCCAATTCGCTTATTCTGGGGGGTGAGAAGGCGCGTTGAGGCAGACGGGTTGATCTTGTGCTGAGGAAGCACTGCACTCTTCCGGTTCTTCTGGCTGCTTGACAACGGCGTGGCGAGGGGACCAGGGCTTTGTGTTGGCGTAGCGAGGCCGGCAAACAGATTATCGTTTCCATATGGGTTGGTGTTGATAGAAGTCTGTAGCAATGAGCCCCCAGAAGCACCAAAGAGGCTATTGTTGGCAGGCTGTTGGCCTTGTTGATTTGAGTTTGAGAACATCGAATTTCCAAGGGCTTGATTGTTGTTGTTCTGATTCATGCTGCCAAAGAGGCCTCCACCAGTTGTGTTCGTGGTACTAGTACCGAACAATCCACCAGGCTTCTGCTGATTTTGGTTGCCGAACAAAGACGACCCTGCTGCAGGCTGCTGGTTATTTTGTGTATTCAGGCCACCGAACAGACTTCCACCAGTTGTCCCAGTGTTTGCAGTGGCCCCTCCAAAGGGATTCGTTCCTGTTGTAGCTGATTTGTTGCCGAACAAACCTCCTCCAGCGGCAGCGTTATTAGCTGTGTTTCCAAACAATCCTGATTGCTGTTGAGTCTGATTTGCTTGGTTGTTGAACAATCCCCCGCCAGTTGCGTTGTTGGCCGCTCCACCGAAAAGGCTACTTCCCTGGGTCGTGGTTTGGTTGTTCTGGGCACCAAATAAACCCCCACCCGTTGCTGTGTTCGTTGTAGTAGAGGCGCCAAAGAGACCCGGCTTTTGTTGGTTTTGCTGATTGTTCTGACCACCAAAGAGACTATTGCCACCGCCTCCGCCAAACAAGCCAGTGCCAGTGCCAGTAGTAGTTGTCTGCGCAGAGCCGAATGCTGGCGCAGATGACGTTTGGTTCTGTTGCCCGAAAAGACCTCCCCCTGTGTTGTTCGTGGATTGCCCGAAGCCAGTAGTTGTAGTGCCGCCACCAAAGGGGTTTGTGTTGGTTGTATTGTTGGAGCCAAAACCCCCGAAAGCTGGCTTGGCCTGGGTTTGGTTTTGACCGCCAAACAGCCCTCCTCCAGTGTTGGTATTAGTGGTGTTCGAACCGAAACCTCCGCCTCCCGTACCAAAGCCGCCTGTCGTATTGGACGTAGCCCCTCCGAATATGGATCCACCGGTATTGGCTTGCGATGTAGATGTAGAGCCGAACATGCCGGTGGCGGGCTTGTTCTGTCCAAACAGTCCGCCTCCGGTGGTATTGTTCGAGCTGCCAAAGGTGGTTGTATTATTTTGGCCAAAAGCTGAGGTTGTGTTCGTGTTTCCACCACCAAACAATCCCGTAGAGTTGTTGTTGGCTCCGAAACCACCGGATGTATTGGTGTTGGTGTTGTTTCCAAAGCCGCCAAAGCCGGTATTCTGACCAAATGCACCGGCTTGACCATTCTGGTTACCATAGCGTCTTCCCTGATTGTAGTCGACAACTCTCAGTTCCTCTAGGGAGAAGTTCTGATAAGGCTGCTGGAAAGTGATTGTTTGGTAATGTTGAGTTCCACCAGCCGCGGTCCCGTCCTTCTCTTGAAAAGCAGTGAAGGGGGTGCCGGCCGTGCCATTGTTAGTGTTGGCTGTGTTTCCTGCACCGAAAGCATTTGTAGATGTGGACCCGAAACCACCGGTTGTATTGTTCGAACCGAAGCCACCGGTGCCAGTATTTCCACCACCGAATAGGGTCCCGGTGCCAGTACCAGTAGAGTTGAATCCGGTCTTGTTCTGACCAAAGAGCCCAGTGTTCGTGGTATTGCTTCCGAAGCCCGTGGAGGTGTTTGTGGTATTGTTGTTTGATCCAAACCCTCCAAAGGTTGATCCAGAGCTAGCTCCACCGAACAGATTGCCAGTGTTGGTTGATCCAAATGGTTTTGAGCCAAAAGAGGTGTTCGTGTTGCTTCCGAAGCCGCCTAAAGAAAATCATATGTTAGTAGATGTATTGAAAAAATAGTACGTAACTTTCCGCATCCATCTAATTTCGATATCTCTGGATACGACGCGAGGCTTCTCCATCACATGGAACTGAGTCGCGGACGATCTGGACGAAGAAATATGATGCGCGCTGGAACGCGCAAAGGCTCAGACCGACGTACCTCCGCCGCCTCCAAATGGGGAGCTGGTATTATTGTTGTTGCCACCACCGAAGAGGCTTCCGCCAGTGTTGGATTGACCGAAGGGGCTGTTGGTATTGTTTGAACCGAAGCCTGATCGCGTGGAGATCGAGTTAGATATCTCGGAGTTGAAGATGGCGAAGGTCGCAACATCGCGTATCAAGATACCCATCCAAACGGCATCGAGGTTTAGGAATAAAGAGAATACATACCTGAGTTGTTGTTGTTGTTAGCACCAAATCCACCGAAGGTGTTGTTGCTATTGGTGTTGCTTGAGGAGCCGAAGCCCCCAAAGCCACCGCCGCCGCCAAAAGACATTGTCGGCGCGTCCGGCGATCACGCGCTGCAGTTTATACTAGGTCAAGAGTTGGAAAGAAATGGAGGGGATCGCGACAGTATCGTCAAATGAGATATGGCAGCTGAGGTATCGGCGTTGCAGGTTCGAGTAGAAGCGCAGGTCCGTACCAACGGCTGTGACGAAAACGCGCCCGGGAAAAGGGTAAGCTCGTGGGTGCTTGCGAGAATGTATGAAAGGAATGGGGACTGCTTGAGGAGCAGCGCGATTAAAGAGTTAAAAAGGCCGTCATAAGAGAGGGGATGACGGAGGAGGAAGAGTAGTTGTGGTGGTGGTGCGAGAGTGAAGTTGTCGACGTTAAAGTTGGGGGTTGGCTTAAACAATGAGGAGCACGGACCGGTACTGTCACGTGGTACGTCAACTGGTGGACGCCCCTCACTCACACAGTGCCCAACCAGTAAGATCTCGAGCATGGACACATAAAGTGAATGTAGTAAAGGTAGTACACTGGTCTAGGCAAACAATCATGGTGGGAGTTTTGTTGAAATTGGCGAATCAAACAATACACGTCAAGGGAAGCTCTGCCTAGTCACGCTGCCTGCGTGATACCTACAGCTGCCTGATAGATGCCTAAGATGAGGTACCCCTCTAAGCCCCGATCACAACTGCTACAGGCCTCGGAAACGAAACACATGTGTCTCCAAAGTTCGGATCTTAACTTGTAATTCATGCCATGCCTAACCAAAAAGTCTCGTCTATAGCAGAAGCCCTCTAGTCCAGCTGCCAGGTAGTCATCTTACTCATGTACGAGCACAAATAGAGTTTGCTATATGGTATGGCTCGTTTCCTATACTTTATCTCATAGCCAACCGCTTGTGGCTACACTCCGTACGGGCTCATGTTAACGCACTAGGGCTGAAGACTTAAGGGAAGCTATCATTGGGACTCATAGGCAACTACCTAGGTAGATGTGAAACTTTCCTCTGTGTGAAATCGAGAACAGAACAATCATCGCATTAGTAAATCATGAGAACGAGGGGAAAGCGGGCAGAGAGAAAGTACTTCTGGTAGTTCGAGTGGCTTTGAGACCTGTCCATCTTTGTTTGACCTACCATAAATGCTCGGGTGGTGAATTACCTTGGCCAGTAGCTGAGGCCATTGGAACGCCATCACACGCCAGTATACACTCACATTTGAACATGAAACATAATACCACTAGAAATACTCAAGACACTTTGTACAAAAAGGTCTGCATCCAATGTTAATACAAATCCATTCACTTGCGAAAGAAGGTATTCCCGAACAGAGACTAGCGCCCTCCCTTGAGTCGCGCTAATACGGCTCACGAACGCGTCTTTCTACTTAGGTATACGCCAATTCCGACGTCAATATCGTGTAGCTCTAAACAAAGAGCAGGCGAAATCCAACCCTACCCAAGAAGTGTGCCTTATTCTCTCCTCTCCGTAACTTTTAGGAGCATCGTGCACCGTTATTGTGCCATCACCACCGGTCCACCTTCGTGCGTACGAATAAATGGCAACAGCCGGAGGCACAAATCCCAATCTCGCACCCCGCTACGGCCATCACGGGCTCGGTGGACGCGCCGGGGGAGGCCCAAGTGGTGTGCAGAATACATACAATACACCTAATGCTGGTTTCAATACTTCTGTGAAAGCACAGCAGCGAATCGAGGCAGAGCGGTTCGAGCGCGACCGGAAAGCGCGCGAAGAGCGTGAGAGGATAGAACAAGCAGGCCAGGACAGTCTTGCTGAGCTGAGCGAGGAGCAACGAGAAGAGATCGTCGAAGCTGTAAGTCTTTATGGCAAGCAAGAAATCCTTCAAGGCTAATCTGAATCGTGTCGTAGTTCAACCTGTTCGATTTGGATAAAGATCAGTTCATCGATTACCATGAGCTCAAGGTAGCAATGAGAGCGCTGGGGTTCGATCTTCCCAAACAAGAGATCCTTTCAATTCTCCATACCCACGGTGTGCAGTCGACCGCTCCGAGCGCCCCGACGAATTCTAAAGCGAAACAAGCTGCACAGCAGGCATACCAGGCGCCACCGAGGCTGCTACTGTCCTTCCAGGCGTTTCAAACGCTAATGGCTCAAAGAATACTGAGTAGGGATCCCACGGAGGAAATCATAAGGGCTTTTGAACTGTTTGATGAGGGTGGAAAGGGGAAAATTACACTACAAGACCTCCAGCGAGTTGCTAGAGAACTCGGCGAGAATTTGCGGGAAGATGAAATGCAAGCCATGATTGAGGAGTTCGATATGGACGGAGACGCAGCCATTAGCAAGGACGAGTTTATCAACATCTGCCTGGGATGAGGCGGGGAGCTGTAACCATTCATTGGGCTGGTGGAGGCGTCGCATTGGGATGGACGTCATGTTTTTGGTATGCTGGGAATTATTCATTTGCTTGAGCCCTCGGGCTGATGGCGTTGGCGACACTGAGATACCACTTTCACAAAGCAATTTAAAAGTTTTCAAAGAAGTCTCATGCACTAATATACTATGCACAACTCAGGGCATTTGACAACCAAGAACAGAAAACGTAAAGAAATTCTTATACAATATTGCTCGTGTCAACCAGTCTCTATTGGCCTGGTGAGATCAGGAGCCCCTTCTTGCTTGCATCGTGTGCCCATCCTCCTGCTAATGCCGGTCCATTCTTTGCTGAATAATCCTTGATCCTAGCCTCCAACTCGGGCCTGAAATGCCTGATCAAACCTTGCAATGGCCAGGCGAAAGCCTCACCCAGCGCACAGATGGTGTGGCCTTCGACCTGCTTGGTCAGCTCCTGAAGCATATCAATCTCACGCTCCCTTGCTTGTCCAGTCATGAAGCGATCCATGATCTGGTGGGTCCATTTTGAGCCTTCACGGCATGGTGTACATTGGCCGCAGGACTCGTGGTGGTAGAACTTGGCAAGTCGAGTAATAGCACGGACAACGTCCGTGGACTTGTCCATAACGATGACGGCGGCGGTTCCCAGACCTGACTGCGAGTCCTTGAGGGCATCGAAGTCCATGAGCTGGTCATTGCAGATATGTGCAGGCAGAATGGGGGTCGACGAGCCACCAGGAATGACGGCTTTCAAATTGTCCCAACCGCCGCGGACACCACCACAGTGCTTGTCAATCAACTCACGAAGGGGAATGCTCATCTCCTCCTCAACTGTGCAGGGGTTGTTGACATGTCCTGAAATGCAGAAAAGCTTGGTGCCCTGGTTGCGCTCACGTCCAAAGCCTGCAAACCAGCTACCACCTCGTCGACAGATAGTGGGGGCGACAGCAATCGTCTCGACGTTGGCGACGGTAGATGGGCATCCAAAGAGACCGACGGCAGCAGGGAACGGAGGCTTCAGACGAGGCTTGCCGGGCTTGCCTTCGAGAGATTCAATGAGAGAAGTCTCCTCTCCACAAACGTAGGCGCCCATGCCGCGGTGCACGTAGACGTCGAAATCGTAACCGGATCCGCAAGCGTTCTTGCCAATCAAACCTGCCTGGTAGGCTTCCTGAATAGCACGCTGAAGGACGGTGGCCTCGTGATAGAACTCTCCTCGGATATAGATATAGGCAGCGGTAGCGTTCATGGCACGTCCAGCGACAAGACAGCCCTCGATCAATTTGTGTGGGTCTTTGCGCATAATCTCACGATCCTTGCAAGTTCCGGGCTCACCCTCATCAGCGTTGACAACGAGGTAACGGGGTTTGTCGTCCTTGTCCCAGTCTTTGAAGTTCATGAACGACTACATGCACGTCAGTTGTGACCCCGGTATAGTTACGGGACACACTTACCCATTTCAAACCGGAGGGGAAACCTGCACCGCCTCGGCCACGAAGACCAGAAGCCTTGATCTCAGAGATAATCTAGTCCGGCCATTAGCTACCTTGGTAGACATTCAATTCCCTCTTCACGAACATACCCAGTCGTGGCCCTTCAAAATGATTTCCTTGGTTTTGTGCCAATCGCCATACTTCATGGCGCTCTTCAGATCCGCACCATGATGGCCGTACAAGTTCTGGAAGATCCTGTCTTGATCCTTCAATCCGCCGTAGGTCCTCACTGGTGTCGAGTCCTGGACTGTTGCGAGAGTCCTTCGCTGTGTTCGGTTCGGGGCGGTGGCGGACGAAAGGCGTGAAGCTACAGCAGCTGCTGGCAGAGCTCGATGCGTGACGGCGCTCAGCGCCTGCGGGGCGGGAGCATGCCGAGCGAGCATATTGAAAGCGATGTCGACGATGAGACGCGCAATTGACGCTCGGGTGGGCTTGTGAACGGGTGTTGTCGAGCGTCGTAGTAGGTGGAGGTTCGCGATTTCTCAGGTTTAGGGCGCTCGGCTTGGCGACGGCTTAGATTTAGGCGACTGTGATTGGCTAAACACACGACAGTGACTTCATACATTACATGAGCATCTCATTGCTTAACTAGATCGCTTTAATTTCAATTGATTGGATATTTAGAGCCTTCGAATTCTTTCATCCATTCGATTTGACAGGAAGTCACTTACGCATTGTTGATTTGTTTCGTTCAACCGTCACTGTGCTGACGTAATCGCATACAGCTTGGAAGAAATTATGTACACTCGCAAGGAAATCTTATGTACAAGAGAGACAACCCAAAGCTTTCTGGCAATTCGCCTTAGATGAAAAGTTGAATCAAGGTCTCCTTGTGCAAAATGCCTTCCATGCGTCGTACATGCTCTATGTAAAGGATCTTCTATGTCACAGAGGAGCAATATTTGACGAGAAATGAATTCGTATGGCGAAGCAAGAAAAATAAAATTACCTACCTAAGCATTTGTCGAACCAGTGATGCAGTATCGAAATCGAACTCGTACATAAAGCTTCGCAATGTTACAAGGTGTACTCGGATTCTCAGCATCTAAATAAGATAGTGCATCTTCATCAATCCATGAATCAATCCCAAACCCGTCTTACACACAATGAGATAATAGATGTTTAGCTCGACTATCAAATTCCTAATCATTAGATCTTATTGTGTCTTTTACTTACATTCCAGGCTTCTTCACGCTATTTGTCTTCTGTTTTAGCTTCACAGCTACCACGCCAGCGGCACGAGTCAACTGACCTGTTCTAACTAACACCTAATTATTGTGTTGGCAGTCTGAACGATACTCCTATCAAAGACATTACCCTGCCACTCACGCGTGATAAGAAGGAAGAGCCACCCCATTGTATAAATCTCGAGGATTTAGCATGCTGTACAATCTAGCACTTGAAAGCCTTTTTACAGGATGAGAAGCAGTTATGATGACCCTGTGAATAATCTGTCCATTCAGAGCAACACCAAAGAGGACAGGTAGAATCGTGATGCCTAGATTTTATCAACGAATCTCGTGAGGTTTACACCTTATAAAAAGCCCATGTAGATCTAACCTGCAAAACCTGAGAGAGTGATGGGGAAAGAAAGACGATGGAATCGAGAGCAAGAAACTGGCCTTAGTATCTTTTGTTCCGCAGAGATAGAACACTGGTGTGCGGTAGATTATATACTTGCTGCCTATTAGTCTGCCCAATGATTACTATGGACTGATACTATGCCCCAAGTGTGCCTAAGGAGCTCCGTGCGAAAGAGACTTGAATACTATCTTCTTCTTGTGATCTAATATCAAGACCAAGTAATCCCAGGTAGGTAGTCTGAACCTAGTACGTATGGTCAAATATCTCATGAAACGTCTAGATGTTTGGTACCGTAGCTAACAGGATCCTGGATGAGGAAAACAGGTTTATCTGGAGTGAAATAGAATGTCAACGGAGCTAGGTCGACATTGGGTAGTGCCTGGAGGTGATATAAAATATGGAAAGATTGAGAGACTGAGGGCTAGACTGGGGTGTGGATCCCTATTTGAGCAGAATGGTCGTATGGCAATCTTGAATGCATAGTTCGATGGCGGCGACATACAATGGAATTTCGATCTAAAGCATATACGTTTCGTGGCGATACATGTGCTTACAGGAAGGCCGGAGGCACACTTCCATGTTGTTGGATCGGGCCGAACGAAGGCATATGGTTGTCAACACCTCATCGTCTTAAAGTTTCACATAGACATAAAACTCAAAGGTCGTGGGTCTATGCAAATGGCTGTGGGTACTATGGAACGAAACCATATTCGGCCGATCAAGTTAGGTGTGATCCGCGCGTACCCTTTATGATGCAAGAAGCTATGTGCAGGCGAAGCGATCTTGAATAAGCCGTGAGTCTTCGAAACTATGGGCCTCATTGTCGTTGTACCTTCGAGCTCAGTAAGGTGTGCCGGTTTCTGTAGCTTGGCCAATGGCTGCGCTCTAGATGCACTAGTGTAAGCAGGAGATGAAAGCGTTCCCAGAAAATACCATAGTTTGCGCATGAACAATAGAAACAGAGTTGATCGAGCGATGCGTTTAAAACTAGATGTATGATCACTTTCCACCCCACAGTGATATAAGAAATTGTGGAATAATGGTTCCAGTGACGACGAGAAAATTGATACCGGTACGTCAATCTTGCGTACTGGGTGGGTATTCTATGTTGTTGGTTTTATGGAGCTTGAACCAACGCATGGACGTTTGGTTTAGTTAGCATTTGTAACTTGGGGCATTATGTTCTGTCAGACCCAAACATCTTTGTCGAAGTCTCTGCGGTGGATAAATTTCATTCCGGAATGGCTTGCAAGCTCAACACTACAATCAGCCCTATCGTGACTTATTCGTAGGGAGTGCGAGCCTCGGAGGAGTCAAGAAAAGGGGCCGGAAAGAAGACCGGTGCAATGCAGACCGAGTTTGTGCGGTAGGAATCCGTAGGATAAGCCTGATTGAGCCGTGAACAGCCTTTCGATGTTGAATCCGGAAAAAGAGTTCATGATTGAGTGATTTACTTGTGGAGGCTCCCGGCACGATATCGTGCATCATGGGGAAATTTGTGTCAGTACGGATTATCGTATAGTGCAGAAATGCGGAGCCGCCAGTTTGTATAAAGTGCACTATCTCTCCGTTATATAGATGATTCTGGGTCAAACGAACGCGATCAGGGTCCCTATACCTTGTCTGTAGGCATGATTCTGTGTCGATCTGAAGTAACGCGTCCATTGAGGTATCACAATAATTTAAAAAGAACTTTCAATTCCATTGTTCTACTACTGTTATTGCTATACAGAGATGAAGCTGAAGCTAAAGAGTTACGTCCGCGCTTCGGAATATGTCGGAAAAAACTAGAGTCGCACTTTCCCCGGAAGGCGCGTGCCCCCTCAAGGGAAGGTGCCGTGTGCCCCGCAGAAGTCAAACCCCTCGATCGTCATCTTTCACAAGCCTAACAAAGCATGACCGAGCAATTCTTTAGCAATACATAGGTAGAAAGATAGAAAGAGTAGCCATGTCTCCATTTCCATTGGATTCAAATTCCACATTCCATTGCTCATCTTTCCTCTTCCTCTCAAAGCCACGCCTCCGATCCCTTCTCGTGACCTCATAGCCTACAGCCGAGGGCGGCATCTTCCAATCAGTACCATCGTGATCCAAATACCGACGGTTTCTCCGCGTGCCCGATTCTAGCCACTTGATCCCAAGAGCTAGCTCGGACGATATCCGATCCAGTCCCTTCGTGTGCAAGCAATTGCTTCCTGCTACCGATACTTCAAATTACAATTTCTGCGTCTCTCCGTTTCTCTCCTTTTCATCGATACCCTTTCCCTCATACCCAGACACAATGGCGAACAACGTCAACAATAACGAAGCCGGAGCAGTGGGCAAGGAGTCCATCAACACAGACATCATCACGCTCACAAGGTTTCTTACCGAGGAGCAAGCGAAACACAAGGAGGCCTCGGGAGACTTTACGTATGTATCGGACTGGAGCGAAATTGGTCAATCCGCGGCTAACACCTAGATTCCACAGCCTCCTATGCCATGCACTTCAATTCGCATTCAAGAGCATATCCTACTACATCAGGAGAGCAACACTTATCAACGTTGGTAACCCACGCTTAAAGTTGTCGAAACACTGACTGATTGACAATTCGTAGCTCACTGGTCTTGCGGGATCTGCCAACACAACAGGAGATGATCAGAAGAAGCTCGACGTCATTGGCAATGATCTTTTCATCAGCGCCATGAAGAGCTCCGGCAGAGTCAAGTTGCTCGTCTCCGAGGAAGAGGAGGAGGCTATTGTCTTCAACGAGTACCCCAACGCCCGCTACGCAGTCGCATGCGACCCCATTGACGGCTCGTCGAACTTGGACGCCGGTGTCTCGGTCGGCACGATCTTCGCAATCTACAAGCTTGGTGAAGACGCTAAGGGTACGAAGGAGGATTTGCTAAAGCCAGGAACCGAAATGGTCGCGTCAGGATTCACTATGTATGGCGCATCAGCTCAACTCGTCATTACAATGAAGGGCGGAGGTGTGAATGGTTTCACATTGGACAACTCGTTTGGCGAGTTCATCTTGTCCCATCCCGATATGAGGATTCCTAAGACACGTGCCATCTACTCCGTCAACGAAGGAAACAGCCTTTACTGGGAGGAGCCTGTAAAGGAGTACATTAACAGCCTTAAGTACCCCAGCGAGGGCGGCAAGCCGTATAGTGCCAGATACATTGGATCCATGGTTGCTGATGCATACCGCACCCTGCTATATGGAGGCATCTTCGCTTACCCCGCGGATAAGAAGAGTCCTAAGGGCAAGCTGCGAATCCTCTACGAGTGCGCACCCATGGCCATGGTTTTCGAGAATGGTATGTTTGAGACACATTATCCATGCTCGGCAATTTACTGACCCAATCGCAGCCGGTGGAAAGGCCGTCGACAGCAACATGCGACGCATGCTCGAGGTTGTGCCCGAGCACATCCACGACCGAAGTGGTATATTTATGGGTAGCGAAGGCGAGGTCGAGAAGGTCATCCAAGCGCACAAGAAATACCAAAAGTAGGCGTGCGTGCGTGTGTGCATTGGCAAGAAGAAAGCATAATTCGTTTCTCTATGGAAATGTCTCATGATGAGTTATTAGCGCGCTTCCGAGATGGAGATATTGGTACATATTGGTATTTGGTGCGATAATACTGGAAAAAGGGCGCCAGGTGTACGTTAACTACCAGATATGATTACGGATGTATGGGCTTCCAGATTGCTGGACGATCACTCCAATCTTGTCTCACCCCAATCGTTGCTGTGATATGTATTGTAAGCATTATGATGCGAGTAATGTGCCCTCGCATTGGACCATGCTAGGCTGACCATTATTATTGCCTTCTTGAGGTAAAATGGGATTCGCCGAGCTCTGAGCAAAGCTAACTTGATGCTGCCCAAGATGCTCTTGGGGGAGAAGAATGTAGACAAGTGTGGCCGGTGCAACGGCCCCCTTCAGTTGTTGGTGCATAAGCCTGGGTTGGTGTCTTGAATCCAACAAACCAGGAGAGCCTATTAGGGTTATGGACATATTCAGGAATAGGACGGGCGCAACAGCAGCCGCGGTATTTTTATTGCCCACTACACACTTACCCACGGCCACCTTGATTGAACAATAATGTACGGTGTATTGTGTGGACAGTGGCATGTGGGTGGCATGGAGGATCTCCAAGCATGTGGCCACTGGAGGGGAAAATAGTGGACCAAGCGGCACTTGAAAGATTGGGTATACTATTTTTATATACTCGGTGGAAATGCTTGGGAACGCAACGCCGACGACACGCAGAACACGTCGAAAAGAGGTTAATATGTTTTTGGAGGGTTCTTTCTTCCATTTTCGATACTACCTAAACGGTGGAGCATTATTATTCCAGATGGCCAGCTCGTGACTGGATATTACATTGATTGGCAGTGACCAAGACCAGGAAAATCAGATCATTTTCATCGGAGATTTCTGGGATTATATATTGCATCCAAGCACAATGCAGCACGGACAAAGACATTTTAAGGTGGGAGAAAGGCGAGAATGGCGAGTTTGCGGTAGATGGACGGGTAGATAGAGCCACGGACAGTAATCAATTGCCTGCAGGCAACCGGTGGTGTTGCGCCTGGATCATCCCACCAGCCGGCGCCGTCCCCGTCTCCGTCTCGCGTCACCTGTGATATGCACCCAGTTGCATACAGTAGGGTGATACTAGTAATTTGTAACTGCTCGTTGGAGTAATTACTCTGTATGTGGTGTACGAACGGAGTACTCGTACTCGAGTCTCTCTCTCGTGGGGGGTGGAGTGTTGGATACAAGAATAATGACACTACTGAGTATATTCTTAGCCGCCGAGTTCAGTGAAGGACAAGGATGGTGCATTCGACTCCATACTAGTCAACCGTCAGGAACACATTTCCGTCTTCTCATTCGCTCGAAGGTCAGTGACAAGCCTTACTAGTAAACCTCAAATCACAAAGGTTATCCCCCTTTAGGAATAGTCCTGGTCCGACCGGCCTGAGACCGACCTCTGGCCCATTCACCATCCCTCCAACCCTTCAACCTCCAGCCCAGATCGTCCACATTTTGGCGTACGTGCGGGCGAGCGACGAGAGGACGGACTTACGAGTACGCATTTACGAGTACTGGCTGGCTGGCTGGCTGGCTGGCTTGCTTGGGAATCGAGGTTCACTTTCCATCCCATACCTCACTCCACAATTCGCACATCACACACACACAGTGCACACAATGATGTGGTCCCGACCGTCTTCCCGTCCTCTCGCCGCAGGACCATGAACAAGGATTCCACAAACTATCATCCCGGCCTTCATTGTTGCTTTTGTGGGCCTATGCGTCCTATGGTGACAAACCTCTCTAGGCCTGCACCCATTTCAAACATCACCTGTCGTCTGTGATCTCGGATTCGTTGCACCAGTCCCAGCAGGCGCTGGAGGCTTCGGCGTCAAGCCAAATTCTGGGAAACTCTAATAGACTCTTCAACAACTCGTGAGCCATGTCGTTCGAACAGGACTATGCGGCACCGCGATCTCCTCTGCCTCCTCCTCCTCCACCTCCTCATCCGCATATTCACCATCAGGCGCCACAATCCCCTCTCCCTCACTCAGGGCATTCCTCACAAACGTCTCCGCTACGGCGCATTGCTGTGCAACCTCCGCTGATCACAACTGCACTTGCACCGCCGCAAGGGACATCGTTCCTGCATTCGCAAACGCCTATATCTGCTGTCTCGCTGAGCGTGCCTCTGTCGCCGTATGGCCCTCCATCCTCGACGTATGCCGCTTCTCCTGTCTCTTCACCGATGGCGATGAGACATACTTCCTCCGTTCCCTACAACCCGCAACAATGGGCTGGGGGAACATATCTTCCTCGAACAAATACCCAGGCGTCGTCGTCGAGAACTCGCCCGCAGGATGTGACAGGCATGGAAGGTAGTAGCAATCTCTATGTTTCTTATTCTCGTTCCGAAACTCTACTCTGTAGTCCTCTTGACTGTGTCCTCTCCTACCATATGTGAACGAAAAGTGCAATATGCTCTCTCCATATATATGTATGTTCACTGGATCATATACTAAGCGTTTCTCTAGCTTCAATGCCTTCTCCGCCTCCTCCATATTCGCCAGCTCCCAACCAAAACTTGTCGCATGTTGTTAGCAATTCCCCTCATATGTCCAGCAATGCATTCACACCCCCCGCAAACCCGCCTACAATACAGCCCGGGGGATACGTACCCTCACCTCCGTCACGCCCTACCTCTTCCTATAATATATCGAGCCGGCCTGAATCGATGGTGGTGCCTTCCAGTGCGACTAGTATAACTTCGAACCAGCAATTTCCCCCTCCCCCTCCTAGAAATGGAAGCGAACGTACTGTGTCACGAGATAGGTTGCACTCCAAGTTTAGTCTGTCTGCTTTGCGCAATCGTAACTCGGACCAAAGCCCGGCGCCTACAGCTATTGAATCGCTACGTGTCAACACATCTGAGGCGATATCAGCAACTGTCTCTCCTGGAGCGCGAGCTTCACAACCGTATGTTAGCGCTAGAACTGTTCCTTTTGACTCTATACTTATTTCTCCAGATTCTTCTCTGGCGCGCTTCCTGATCGGAGGTGGAGCCCCGACACACAATCACCCATAAGAGCCCCTAATGCTCGACGGGCGGTGTCTACCGGAGCGCTTGCACTTGGTTCCGAAGCAAGGACGCCTATCGAGTCACCTATTGTAGGCCATGGTGGCTGGGGTAATAGTGTACCGCTTCCTCCACCTCCACCCGGACCTCCTCCCAGTAGTTCAAGATCTCAAAGCGTTGGACATGGAGTAGATTCATCATCTAGCCTTCACGCCAGAATGGCACCTGCACCTCCAACTAGACGGCCCGGCCAAAGCAGTTTAGGTCCAATCCCCCCAACTCCGGTTGGTTGGACCGAGGAAGAGGCAAGGACACGATCAAGATCACCAGGAGGCCGTGGTCTCCAAATAGACACAAGCCCACAGGCAATCAACCAACGACAGCATGCCATCCAGCAATCAGAAAGTGAGGACATGTCGACATCGTCGGGTCCGACTGCTTCAACATCGAGCAGCACACTTTACCGGCAACCGCAGAGACGAGATCCGAGTGTCCGAGGTATTCGAGAACGACGAAGTGAAAGCCGGGCCGCTCGTGAACGCGTCGAACCGAGCAACAACCCATGGGCCGATGACCTTGAAGCTGCAGCAGCCAAGCCTGCAGATTTAGTATTGGGAACGCCTGATGGCTCTCTAGCACGTCGGGGCGCGGTGAAGACGCCGCGTAGTGGAAGTGGCATTCGGTCTCCTCGGAGCTCCCAGCTCTTGGACGAACCTGGGTCGAGCAATTCTACTCCTCGAATCTCAGATCATCATCGAAGGCTTCCTTCTGGTGCTGCCCCGACGCCGCCTTTCTCGCCAGGTACGGACAATTTTGAATATCAGTCTCGAAAAGCTACCGCAGCAATCCCTACCAAAGCTCTTCCTACTCCTCCTCTACGCTCTTATGGCGATGATCTTGCTTCTTCAGGCCTGACAAATAATTCAGGAAGTGCTGCTAGATCCACATCTATCGCATCCCACCTTTCCGAAGCCCTGCCCGAGGCATCGTCTTCGAGCACGCCGCGACCCACCGACCGTGATACGTTTGCACAAGCTTCTATTGAAAGGCATCGACTGTTCATCGAGAAAGAGGCCGCTGCCCAGTCCGATCAAGATCGACTGGAACTTTTCGCAGAATTCATTGTTGCAGAATCACGACTACGACGAGACCGATATTCCGGAGCGTTTGATGCTATGGCCAGCGAGGTTCTGGACCTGACAAGAGACCTTTGGAGATCGTACGCAAGCACAGGACGTAGGTCAGCTACCCCTGGAGCACAGAGCACATCGGTAGTCAGCGGCAGACGTTCCCAAGCCTCCACCCATGGAGAATCCCCAGACACGAGGTTCTCGAATTCCGTCCCCACGACAGCTGCAAGCCCTGCATCTTCAGTAGCCAACTTTACACCGCACACCGAACCCGCATCTCCTTCGAGCGCTACGAGCCAACGAGCTCGCGACCAGCCCTGGAACAACAACTTTCAACCATGCCTCTCTCCTATTCCAAGCATGGCCATGAGCACTGTGCCTGATGAGGAGGATTCGCGTGGACGATCTGCCAGCCGTTGGTGGGAAGCCAGTCATGATGGAGCATCATCTGGTGTGGGCAGTCGGAGGCTGGAGAGAAGCAAGCGAGAGTCCAAATACATGGGCGTGCCTAAGGAGGCACGCGAAAGTTTACAGTGGGCCAACGATTCGCAGGCATCCCCAGCCAACCCGGAGGCGTCGAGCCAGCAAGGTTACGGGCCAAATGAATACCCAGCAGAGAAGGCTGGCTGGCACGACGAGGCACAATCGTCTGCAAAATCTTCTCAAGGCTACTATCCCAGTCCCGCACCGATGACCCCGGACCCTCACAGGCTAGATGTTTCAAGACTCGTCACGCTTCCGCCTCCATATCCAAGACACCATCCAGCTGTGAACAACAGCCATCCTGACCTGAATTCCATTAGAAGCACTTTGCGACTTTCGTCGGAGCTGGGTGAGGTTAAGACTACAAAGGAGCGATTCACGACCAAAATCCAGGCTCACAAGGAACAAGAAAGTACTTCTTTGGCAGAGCGAAGATCCCAGCTTCGCTTCAATATAGAACAGAACGTCAAGAATGGTGTGATGAATTTCACAGAAGCTGCCAAGGCCGAAAACGATTTCGAGACTCGAGAACACAAGCGCGCGCAAGAAACCGTGCAATACGTCTTTGACACGTTCCAGGCCGATGTCGCGAACCCGCTGCACGCCATGTTCTGCGAACGCATCAACAAGGTGTCGGCTTCTATCGAGCACTTGAAAGCACGCCTGAAGGACGATGCTCAGGAACTCAACCCAGACCATACTCAAGAGGAGGGAGACGACAAGCCGGAACTTTTGGAGATTCTCACGTTGCTCAAATGGCTCTTTGAATCCCGCGAGCAGCTCCACAAAGAGATGTTTGAGCTGGAAGACGAGCGCAATGATCTATATAAAGACATCATCATCCTGCCTTATATCCAAACAAAGAACGACCAGAAGGTGAAAGAAGCCAGCAACTTCTTTGGGCAGGACGCACGTGACCGCAAGGTCACTTGGGAGAAGGAAATCCTCAAGCGCTACGAGGAGTTCATGAACATCGTCGAAACGAACGTGACGAGAGGCGTAGAAGCGCAACTGTCGGCGTTCTGGGACATCGCGCCAGGCCTATTGGCCATCGTCCAGAAAGTGCCGCAGCGGTTGCGAGATTTCGACATCGTTATTCCCCCGCAGGAGTATGAAGAAAACCCCGCGTACCACGACTTTCCTTTGCAGTATCTCTACACGCTTCTGGCTCATGCTGGCCGCTCGGCGTACCAGTTCATCGAGTCCCAGATCAACCTCCTCTGCCTCCTCCACGAGGTCAAGACTGGCGTTATGACTGCAGGGTCCCGTCTCCTGGAAACGCAACGCATCCTCGAAGGCGAAGACCTCGCAAGCGTGGACACGGAGATGCGCGCCATCCGCGAAGATGAAGAGAGCCGTCTAACAGAAGACCTAAAAGACAAGGTCGGTCTTGTCGAAAGCCAATGGGGCGAGGCGTTAGGCAACGGCATGGACGAATGCAAGAACAGGGTGGAAGCGTTCTTGGTCCAGCAAAACGGGTGGGACGACGCGTTGAAGGAGTGATCCCAAACCTGCACCTGAATCTAAAACTAGAATCTATGGGAGGAAACGATGGTTATTTGTGGTGTTGCACTTTCTTTGTAGCATTCTTCTTTCCTTTCAACCTTTTGAGATCGATTGTTGTAACTTTCTTAACGGCACAGATACCCATCTATTATACTTTTTTGTCTAGTCTGTTTTCTAGCGCCGCGTCTTGGATAGAGGAAAGACGTGAATGAAAAGAAGATGTCATCTCGATGAAAGCAGCACAGGTTGTGTGAGTCTTGTCTTATACTCTAGATAATGAATATACAGAAAATATGACCCGTATCGACGTATCCCATGATCCTTTGCTTGAATAATTTGCAAAAGAGTTTCGTTTTCGAATCACATGCAAATGCGAGCTACAAAGGAATCCACTATGGGTGTTCTGTGCTCATGTTGTAACGTGTTGTACCTTGTATTCGATACTGCACTGCACGTTACATGTGTACTGTTGTAGCCCGACACCATTCCGCATTGGGATTTTTCATGATGCAGGACCCTGAATTTGTGTGCGTGAGTGTATTTTGGTTGTGTGGCCACCAGGAAAAGTCAGTAAATTGCCATCTTACTTAGCACACCCAAGGCTCCCATGTGATAGGTCAGCCAGCCCTATGAATTTTTTTCTCTGCCCTTTTATCTTACTTTTTCTTGCTGTGCTCACCCGTGCCCCTCCATCGTGTGCATACGAGGCATGTGCTTAGCCTCAAGGTATAGAGCAGCGAGAAGAATGGCGGCGAAATTGTATGTGCCGCCACCTCTTGTCATAACAAGACATTCAAGACTTCGGAAGTGACTGTCATTATTGTATTATTCATTCAAGTTTTTGGTGATCAAGTGTCGTTGTGTTATGCTTCTTTATGGGTGGAATGAGATGGATTTGCATGGATACCAGATGGTTACTTCCTCATCACAGCCTCGTGCATGGTGTTGATAAGATGAAGGGACACCTCCTACCTTCATTGCCTCTACTTGCCCTTTTTAGTAGTGAAAGCAAGGTCGAACGTCTTGTTACTGATCTCATCTTTGTCTTGAATCCATTATTTATCTGTCTTGAATAGCAAAGAAAAGAGAGATAGTCGCGCATTGTGTCTGTCTTGCCTGTCTTGCCTACGAGTACCTGCCCGCCGCTGTGCCCGCCTGCCGCCAATTTTGAGTGGGACGCACGGGCCACCAACCACACTGCACGACCGGTTGGCTTCAAATCCCACATCTACTTTTTCTTCTTCTCTTCTTCTTCTTTCTTTACTCCCAACCCACAAACATCCCACCGCTCCCCCAACCCACCGAGTCTCTCGCAAGTCGCCAGTCTGCTACCAGACGGCTTCCATAAAGCGGCTCATCTGCCTCATTAAATACACAAAAAAACGTCAAAATATAAAAAAACCCAGGAAGTCACGACCCAAAAACATCGATTCTCCGTCGCTTGTTCCAACGTCCAGACCAACAAACATTTACCCCCCTCTCTCTCACACAAATCGTCGTAGTGTTTTTACAATCGCCTAGTCGCCCTCGAATCCTTCACTCATACACTTCTCCTCGTCAACATCCAACTTACAGTACGTACCCCCGTCATCGCCTCTTTCCCTTCGTTCTACCTCTTGTTTAGCGAGGGTAGTGCCTCGAACCATCAGCACTCGTTCAATGAAGACAATGTCTCTAACAATTCGACAGATCATGTCTGACGTCCCCAATACCTCTGTCTCCCCCGCCAACGAGGGCGCTGCCCCCGACGCTGGCGCCAACGGCAACACCGTCAACACCAACGTCCCCGCTGCTGAAGGCGGTGAGGCCGCGACCCCAACCTCCGCTGCGCCCGCCGCACACCAGAACTCGGCTTCGCTGTACGTCGGTGAGCTCGATCCGTCGGTGACGGAGGCTATGCTTTTCGAGCTTTTCTCCTCCATCGGCCAGGTCGCCTCCATCCGTGTCTGCCGTGACGCCGTCACCCGTCGCTCGCTCGGATACGCCTACGTCAACTACAACAGCGCCGAGGATGGCGAGAAGGCTCTCGAGGAGCTCAACTACACCGTCATCAAGGGCAAGCCCTGCCGTATCATGTGGTCTCAGCGTGACCCCGCCCTCCGCAAGACCGGTCAGGGCAACGTCTTCATCAAGAACTTGGATGTCGCCATTGACAACAAGGCTCTTCACGATACCTTTGCTGCTTTCGGTAACATCTTGAGCTGCAAGGTCGCCCAGGACGAGGCTGGTAACTCCAAGGGCTACGGATTCGTTCACTACGAGACCGCCGAGGCCGCTACCAATGCCATCAAGCATGTCAATGGTATGCTTCTGAACGAGAAGAAGGTCTTTGTCGGCCACCACATCCCCAAGAAAGACCGCATGAGCAAGTTCGAGGAGATGAAGGCCAACTTCACCAACATCTATGTCAAGAACGTCGACACCGAGGTCACCGACGACGAGTTCCGTGAGCTCTTCGAGAAGTACGGTCAGATCACCTCTGCTTCTCTTGCACACGACGACTCAGGCAAGAGCCGTGGCTTCGGATTCGTCAACTACATCAGGCATGAGGATGCTGCTACCGCTGTCGATAACTTGAATGATTCCGACTTCCGCGGTAACAAGCTCTACGTTGGACGTGCACAGAAGAAGCACGAGCGCGAGGAGGAGCTCCGCAAGCAGTACGAGGCCGCTCGCCTTGAGAAGCAGTCCAAGTACCAGGGTGTCAACTTGTACATCAAGAACCTTGATGATGACGTTGACGACGAGAAGCTCCGTGAGCTCTTCACTCCTTTCGGTACCATTACCTCTGCCAAGGTCATGCGTGATGCCATGCCTGCTGATGGCGCCGAGGCCTCCGAGGAGAAGAAGGAGGAGCCCGCCGCGAAGAAGGAGGGCGAGGAGGAGCCCGCCAAGGATGAGGAGAAGAAGGAGAGCTCCGACGAGGAGAAGAGCGAGAAGAAGGACAAGGTGACCATCAAGGGCGAGAAGAAGATTCTCGGCAAGAGCAAGGGCTTCGGCTTCGTCTGCTTTAGCAACCCTGATGAGGCTACCAAGGCAGTCACCGAGATGAACCAGAAGATGATCAACGGCAAGCCGTTGTACGTCGCTTTGGCTCAGCGCAAGGATGTCCGCAAGAACCAGCTCGAGGCCACCATCCAGGCCCGCAACCAGCTCCGCATGCAGCAACAGCAGCAGCAGCAATTTGGTGGCTTCCCTGGCATGATCCTCCCCGGGCAGCAGCCGCTCATGTTCCCTCCTGGCCGCGGTCAGGTCCCATTCCCCCAGGGCGTTCCCGCCGGTGGTCAGGGAGGCCGTGGAGCTGGATTCCCCGGAGGCATTCCTGGCCAGCAGGGTGGACGTGGTGGACCTAACCAGCAAATCCCCCCCATGTACATGCCACCAGGCATGGCTCCCGGTGCTTTCCCTCCTCAGTACATGAACCCTCAATACCTCCAGCTTGCCCAAGCTGCTCAGCAGGCTGCTATGGGAGGCCGTGGCGGTCCTCGTGGCGGTATGCCTCAGATGCCTGGTATGCAACCCCAGATGGGTGGCGTCCCCGGAATCCGTGGCGGACAGTCCTTCCCTCAAGGAGGACCCCAGGGTGGTCGCGGTGGAAACGCAGGAGGTCGTCAAGGCCAGCCACCTGCTCAAGGCGGGTTCCCGCAAGGTCGCCCTGGACCCCCATCCGGCCCATCTGGCGCTGGTGTTGACCTCAGTGTCTTGAACGCTGCTCCTGCTCCTCAGCAGAAGCAGATGTTGGGTGAGGCTCTTTACCCCAAGATCCACGAGTTGCAGCCCGAGTTAGCCGGCAAGATCACTGGTATGCTCTTGGAGATGGACAACTCCGAGCTCATCAACCTGTAAGTCTATTTGATCCTATAGTAACAGAAGCTCCTACTGACATATCATAGTACTTCCGACGAGTCTGCTCTTCGCGCCAAGGTCGAGGAGGCCATGAGCGTCTACGACGAGTACCTCAAGAACAAGGAAGGCGATGCACCAAAGGAGGAGGCCAAGGAGGAGGCCAAGGAGGAGAAGGCATAGATGCCTACCTTTAGATGAATCGGCCATTCTAGTCTCACATCACCACGACGCGGCATGGCAGCTAACGATTCTCTACTGACGACTTCTCTTCGGCGAACGGCGTATTTCTTACGGTTTCTTTTACTATCGGCGGACGCACTCATGATTACACCCAAAAGTTCCCCTGCTTATGGTCGATTTCTTTCCTTGTGCCTCACTCTCGTCCTTGCTTTCGGCGCCAAACGGCCAAAGGAGAACAATGGCTAAGACTGCAAGACGCCGAGAGCGCTGAGGACTGGTTCCTACCTTTTTGCTTACCCCGATGATCCATCTGTCTTGACTGGATCGCGGGTAGAGCTTTCACTTTTTTGCGTGTACTTTAGACGGTCAGCACCGCAATGACCAGGCTATGGATGGAGGGAACCTTTAACCGACAAAGATTATCGGCTTTGATACCTTTATGTGATGGGATAATGATGGATTACACGGCGGTGGAAATGATGTGTATGGCTCGGCATGATGACCCCTTTTCCATGGATATGTCATGTCTTGCTATAGGTCGGGGGCTTATGAGGATTATGTGTCTGTAGCTATTAAGTAGCTCTCCAATATGATTTCCAAACATGTTCAAAAGAAGTTGTTTACCTGCGATGCGTGTGACATTGTACAGCTGCGATGCAATATACTTTACACGTGGTTAGTTCTGGGGACGGGAAGCTTAGCAGTGTGCACCCGTCCCCTACGTTAGTTGGTGGAACAAGTATTCCACACCGTGATGTTTCGAAATCTTCCAGCAATAAGCGATCTCCCTCGAAATGACCACCACCACTGCCGCCTGACGAAGTAGGTCGAAGAGCAGAAAGTCGATCCACCAGCTTACCGCGCAACCAACCCGTCGTCGGTTAGAGCAGAAACAAAACCCTAGGCACCTCTTCTCCCGAAATCAGTGTAACAACCTACTTCCCTCCCTTTCCCCACAAAGCCACTAACCAAGCGTAGTTACCTAGTCTTATATATTAGGTATGTTAGAGTGCAATTTAGATTAAAACATCCATGTGTGTGCCCATGCAGATGTCAATGCAGATGTGCAAGGCTATGTCCTAGTTGAGAAATTCTCCGTGTGAGTATGTTGTGTAAGTGTGCATGGTATCGGGTATAGCGATAGGTCTTGCTTGCATAGATACCTTCTTTCCCTAGGCGAGTGTTTGGGTAACGTAGATGCATAGACGCATAGATGGCTTGTCGGTCTTGTTGGGATTTGGGGTTGATGTGAGATATTCTCGTGTGTGTACGTAGGGAAGTTGGGGAGGTAAAGAGTGGTGGTATGGTTTTGATATTCTCTCCGTCGTACGTGTGCAACCATGTAAGTATCTATGTATGTCTCCCATCCTTTTCCTTTTACATTTTCAGCCAAGACGACGAGAGCTTGAAGCTTGAGCATGACAAGACGTCCGTCGAGCAGCAAACCCTGCAAGGAACCAAACAATGTGGCAGACGTTGCCCCGTTTGCCGATCTTCCCCATGGGGCACTTTCCACACACACACACACACACACATACGCAAGATGAATCGAACGCACAGGGAAAGAAGCTTGTGTGTGTGATGTATGATGGGCGATAGATGTAGTGGATGTGGATTCTTAGTTTTTCCTTCCAATCAATGCTGCTGATACACGATGTATGCTCAACATTCCCCCCCTCCTCCCGCTGTGCTAGGATTCTCGTCTCCGTGATTTTCTTGGTAAGGCTTAAGTGCTTCATTGATATAGACGAAGGTAAGGTAGGGCAATGAAAGGCGAGGCGAGTGTATGTACGGTCATTGTCGCCGGTCATTGTCGCCGGTCATGGTCATGGTCATGGTCATGGTCACGATAGTTGCCCAACGAAAAGGAACCAATCCGACCGGTGGAGTATCTCGAGCAATTCAAAATTTAGGTACTGCAGGGATCGGAGAAGGGTTTTGAGTAAAGGCTTGTTTTTTTCTCCGCAATGTAAATCTTGGTTCGGATTAGATAGATAAATAGATGTATGTAAGTTTTGTGTATTTAGTTGGCTAGTTTCGTGACCCCGGATCTGGGGTAGACAGGGGTGAAGAGGTAGTGCGTGGAGGGGTTTTGATATTTGGGCGCTGCGATGTATGAGGGGACAAGGGTTGTAGTGTAGTGTAGCTAGTGGAGAGGAGGTAAGGGTAGGAGAGAGATGCTCCGTTTCTGTTGTGTGAAAGATTGTGATTGTCGTGGTGGTGATGGTGGTGGTCGTTGGTGTTGCTGTGGCGGACGTCTGTCTGTCTGTGTAGGGGGAGAATTAGGATTCCGTCGTTATATTGCGTTTTCCTTTATTGTCCTAACATGGGGGTTTAGGTGCTCTAGGTTTGGAGGTAGGGGCCTTGTTCGTGACGATTTCTTAAGCTTTTTTCTTCATTCTATGCGGAGAGGGAGAGGGTGAAGCTTGGTGAATGTGGGGATATATAAAGGAGGTGGATATGCTTCAATTGATGCTTCTTGAGTCCAAGGTCTTCTTCGATATACTCACTACTACTCTGAGTTTGATCCTACCTTCTTGCTTTACCTCGACGACTGATCAAAACATATCATCAGACATGCTTTCCAAGATTGCAATTGTTGCCTCTTTGGCTGGCCTTGCTGCATCGGCAACGACGAATACCAACCTCCAGACTACGTTCCCCAAGCCGTCCTCTACCACGAACCTGGCGGCAGTCAAGACAATTGCAGCAGGACAGTCCTTCGATGGAGAAATGAAGCAATGGGACAGGAACCGTGAGTCCTTCCACTGATATCCAGACATGGGTGATCGCAACACCTTCATGGTGACACGCGGTTTCACGTACATACAACGTTGGGAACACATGACTGACGAGAGATCGACAGCATCGACCTGCAACGACCAAGCCGAAGGCGGAGACGCAGACGCAGTCTTCCTTCTCGAAGAGGGAGCAACACTATCTAATGCCGTCATTGGCCCCAACAACGGCGAGGGTGTTCACTGTCTCGGGACCTGCACGTTAAACAACAGTACGTGACACAAGATCTATATGATGAATGCTAGGCTATCTCCTACCCTGGCACTTGTACTCCCTACTTGGGAACAATTGAACATGTGCTAATAGTTTGTCTCTCATCGCACAGTCTGGTGGACTGATGTCTGCGAGGACGCGGCAACGTTCAAGCAGAAGTCCGGAACATCGTACGTCAATGGAGGAGGAGCGAGGAAGGCAGACGACAAGGTACTGCAGCACAATGGGGCGGGCACGGTCGCGGTCAAGAACTGTGAGTATAATAGCCGAAACAACTTTATACATGCGTTTGTATAATATCCAGATGGCGATGGAAACTAACGATTGAGCAAAAAAGTCTATGCCGAAGACATAGGCAAATTGTACAGAAGCTGCGGCAATTGTGGAACCCAATACGCCAGGAAGTCGACATTTGACAACGTCAGGATCAAAGGCGCGAGCGTGCTGGCCGGAGTAAACGGCAATTTGGGAGGTAAGTCTAGCAGCGGACGTGGTAGTACGGGTAGCAACACCACGTTCGTCCCATTCCGTCCCATGTCTCTCGTATCAGAGGTGTTGCGCTTTAATGGGCATGCCTGAACCTAGGAGCAGCGTAGGTAAAGTGTGCACAATAAGCAACTAGGCGTAGTGTACCTGTACCTGTACATATACATAGTACAGGCACATACATACACTAAAACTAGCTGTGGCGCATATTGCTGCTAATACTGCTTGCCGGGTTGCGACCGAAGTGGGGAGCGGGTCCCTGGATGAGTGGTATCTTGTAGCGGTCGGGTACGAGGCGCAACAGGAACAATGGCTGATTGAGAAACATTTAGACACCACTTCGATCAAGAACTCCTGTCTTTTGGACAGCAAGATCTGCTGGCTATACAAGGGAGTAACGAGCGGTGAGCCTAGCAAGACGGCCTCTGCGCCAGATGGAAAAGCGTGCGCGACCAGCGCCGTCCAAACAAGCGGTTGCTAAGGGAAAGGATGCCGGTGTGCCACAGGAGGCGCATGGAGGCTTGCATGGGGACGATGATTCGTATTACAGGACTCCTGCTGTGGCTTTCGTGGGTTCGATGGAATACAAGGTGGAGGAAGGGAAAAGTCGAGGAGTTTTGCTGACGACGCTCGGAAGCCGGCACGGAATGCGGAATGGGAGAGGGACGGATTGAAACCTGCCTGATAGTGCCATAGTTCCCTTCGTTTTCAACTTAGTACGGTACGGTAAACAGTGAACAGTATATATATGTATATATATTCGTATCGAAGGATTCGAGGTACTTGTCGCCTCTCCGCTCTCTCTTTTGCTATTGCGCCATCTGGTTATGTTGCCATTCCATGTACATTCACTTCACCTGTACACCCAATTGCTCCCTTGAATTGAATAGCAACATATTCAAGCCAATTATCGAAAACGTATACAGCAGATATAGCGACAATGTCGAGGGTTCTGGACGTTATTTCGGTGCTTTGGTGGTGTGTGGCGTCGAGTTTTAGCCACTGGCCCATCCAACACTCAAATGCTCATACAGCCAAACACGCCAAACATGCAAATCACGATGACGTAGCGGCGCAACCTTGTTCTGCGCCTGTTGCGTACAAGCGCTCCTGAACGTGTTATCCCCAGCAACAACAATCATCACCGTAACCTAGTTGTGTGTATTGTGTCGCGTCGTGTCGATTATTGTGCTCTACTTTCGCGAGCTCATTCTCTATCGTTTGGGGCCTCTTTCAATTCGCCGCTTCGACGTCATTTCCGTACCCAGGAACCGCAACATGAAGCCACGGATATCAACCATCGCTACGGTCACGCGAATCGCACACTGTCCACGAGCGTTCCCGAGTCCAATCCTTTCGAAAACATTTCCTGCACTTCGACCATCTTATGATGGTGGTTCTGCAAGGCGTGCACAATTGACCAGTTTCACACTCACACGGCATTTGACAGGCAACGGGAGAAAGCACAATGACTATGAGAAGTCGAATGCCCGACCAGCAAACGAGCTCAATCATGACATTTCTCCGGAAGAAGAGGCAGATTTCGAAGAGAAGATGAAGACTCTCAAGGATAAACAGATTCGGACTCCTTGGCAGAGAGAGGGCAGTGACGTCCCACCAGTCGCGCGACAACGGAGTGCAGGAGCAATGACAAAAGGTATAGCAGCCACCATAACCTAAACTCGGTTCCTCCTATTCGGTACTGACAATCTCCCAGGAAAACTGCTCACAACTCCCTCTCGAATGCTCAAACTCGTGCTTCCCCTAACCACAAGGGACGCCAATTCAGACCGCAAAGATGTCGAGCCACTCGCCCTCCTCGTCCACCCACAGCAACCTCTCTCCTACCTCGAGCGTCTCATCCAGGCCGAACTACCCACAATCGACAAAGACGGCAGAGATCGTATCCCTAATGTTTACTTTCGTGCCGAGGACTCGATGCAAGGCGAGTTGGAGCCCTCCAAACCCGCCAAGACGCCGGTAGCAACCGACAGCGAGCCGGTCAGCGAACAAGAGGGCGAGGAAGATTTCGAGAAAGTAGATGAAATCCGGATTAACGGCAAGACTGAGAAGACTGGAAAGCTGACGGGGCGTATGAACAAGAGAACTCCCGATGAAGCAGCTGAATTGCGAGGTGGACACGGTGAGGGAGGTGTAGAAAGCTATAGCGGACTGGGCCAGGAAGCTTCATCTGACAAGCACGCTGAGCGGAAGTTCGTGCGCTGGTCTAGCTCTACGGAGATTGGTGACTTCATCCGGGATGCTGCGCGTGGTCAGGAGTTTTCCGTCGAGATTGAGGGCGCACCGCACGATATTCGGGTTGGTGTTCCCAGCTTCAATGACCGAACATACTATCTCCGACAACGTCTTCGCAAGAAGAGTGAGGAGATTGCTTCCTTGGCGGAGATCAAGAAGGAATGCGATAAACTAGCACACAAGGGCGCCCAGCGCGTTGCTATGGGCGGTTTCGGTATCCTTCTCGGATGGTGGTGCCTCGTGTACCGCTTGACATTCCAGACAGAACTTGGCTGGGACGTCATGGAACCTGTGACTTATCTCGTCGGTCTTTCCACCCTTATCGGCGGTTACGTCTGGTTTCTGTACCACAACCGTGAAGTCAGCTACCGCTCCGCCATGAACTTCACCATCAGCAAGCGTCAAGCCAAGCTATATGCCGATCGTAACTTCAACCTTGAGCGCTGGCAGGCTCTTGTTGACGAAGGCAACGCTTTGCGCAAGGAGATCAAGGCAGTTGCACAAGAGTACGACGTCGAGTGGGACGAACTACAGGACGAGAAGGACGAGAAGGTGGTCAAGGCCCTCAAGAAGGAGCGAGAGAAGAAGAAAGAGCGTAAAGCGAGCAAAGACTCTGAATCCGATGACGAGATCAGCAAGGGCAAAGATCACTGAAATGCAACAACGTCCATACAAACATAGCATACGCATCGAAGCGATTCATCAAGACACTGCCGGTACATACAGGTTTTCTTCTTTCCTTTCTTTCCTCACTCGTGAACTGGGGCATGGATCTTCGAGCGCGGAGTTCTTGGATTGCGAGCGGCTTTGGTTTCTGGTGTCGGATAGCATCGAGGAATTGTTCGTTATCTTCTTCAACTTCCTGCATCTGGCGAGATGAGTATATATTATCATACATATGGGCATTGATACCCACTTGCTACAAGCGAGCATAAATAAAGTCTTACATATAAATGGCATGCATCATAATCAATCTATTCTGCTTCTGACCACCAATGCTCCAATCAGAAAGTAGGCTGTAGATAGAGTGCGGATGGATCGTTATTCACCACGTACGTGACAGAGGAGAGAGCAAGGGCTAAATAGAAGAAACCACTTTTTACATACACCGACTACGTACGAATACTGTCCAACCGAGGCCTTCCTCCCCCTTATCAGCCCCGTCTCACACGTACTTACTATACACTCACTCCCAACAAATGCCAAAAAGAAAACGATGTATGCACACAAAACACACAGTAGTCAAGACTTTGGACGTGGGTGGTGGGGAAAGGCGAAGGAAATGAACGAGAAAAAAAGAGAGGATTCCTATCCATATTCAAAAAAAGAAAAAAAGGTTCCCCATATCCCAAGTTTCTCCCAGAATCCTGACACCACCTTATATTTGTTTGTGTCGTTCGTCAAGCGGCGTGATGTGACGATGATGTGAGAACCCTAGGGAGAGAAAAAACAACATATACTATTACATCGAACCTCTTGCACTCGCTTTGGTTCTTTTTTTATCATCGTTTCTTTCCCCTTTCAGAAAACCCCCCCGTTCGCTCTGGGCTGTGTGACCCTGTGTCTTGCATTTGTGTGCCTTTTCTTTTCTTATTCTTTCGTGTTTCGATATCCTACATCCACCCGCCCCCGCTCGACAAGTATATATATGCGTTTGAAATAATATGTCGAGTGATCTGGCCAACTGACACTCTACTCGCCCTTGAGCTTGTCCTGCTTCACGGTGAAAGCATCGTCAAGCAATTGCGCCTCCTCCTTCTTGTGCGCGCTCTTGAGACCGGTGGCAACACTGGCGCTGGGGGATCGTCCAGCGTACATGACGTGCCTGCGGTTGTGGTGCTCGGTCTGGTTGAGGAGGGTCTCGATGCGGGGCTGGGTGAAGCTCCAGGCACCGGCGTTCAGGGGCTCCTCCTGGCACCAGATGATGTTCTCGGCGTTGGGGTAGGAGTCGAGATTCTCCTTGAGCTGCTGCCAGGGGAAGGGGTGCAGCTGCTCAATGCGAGTGATGGCGACATCCTTCAACTCGCGGGCCTCACGCTCCTTGACGAGCGCGGTGTAGACCTGGCCAGAGCAGAGGATGACACGCTTGATCTCGTCGTGGGAAGCAATCGCGCTGGTCTCGTGGGCCGGGTCGGGGATCACCCATCGGAAATGGGAGTCACCGGTGAACTCCTCAATGTTGGAGCGAGCCATGGGGTGACGTAGGAGAGACTTGGAGAAGAAGAGGATGAGAGGTTTCCTGAACTGCCTGTTCATCTGGCGACGGAGAATGTGGAACATGTTGGAGGGCGAGGTGAGGTATGCGACTTGCATGTTGCAGTCCTGGTGTTGGCGTTCAAGCTTGTCAGGGGAGGGGAAGATGCGTGGGTCTTCGTTGCAAAGCTGCAGGTAACGCTCCATACGGCCAGAAGAATGCTCTGGACCTTGGCCATCGTATCCGTGGGGCAAGCTCATGACGAGACCGCTTCGCTGCAGCCATTTTGTCTCACCGGAAGCGACGAACTGGTCAATGATACATTGGGCGTTGTTGGCGAAATCACCGAATTGTGCCTCCCAGATGACGAGGGCGTTGGGAGAAGACAGCGAGTATCCGTACTCAAAACCGAGACTATGAAAATTAGCCAATATGAATCAACATATGCAATGTTCACTTACACTCCGAATTCGCTCAAAGATGAGTTAGAAATTGTGAAGGTTTCCTGGTCTTCGCTGAGATGCTGGAGAGGCGTGTAGGTCTTCTCAGTCTCTTGGTCGTGAAGGACCGCGTGACGCTGGGAGAATGTTCCTCGCTCAACATCCTGTCCAGAGACACGGACGTGGTGGCCTTCCATGCAGAGGGAGCCAAAGGCGAGAGCCTCAGCAGTGGCCATATCGATGTTCTTACCCTCTGTGACGGTCTTAGCACGGCCAGCGAGAATACGTTTGAGGTTGCGGTGCACAGTAAAGTCTTTGGGTGCGTCACCCATAACTTCAGCGATATGCTTCAATTGGGATTCCTCAACAGCGGTAGGCAAGTGAGGCAAGATCTCGGTGGCAAGCTCCTTGGGAGACTTGAAACCGTTCCAGGCAGATGTGAGCCACTCCTTAGAGCTTGGGGTGTAGTCCTTGCTGCGGTTGAAGCTCTCATCGAGCATTCCCCAGACCCAAGACTTGTGCTCATCGATATCCTCCTTAGTGAAAGTCTTCTCCTCAAGCAACTTCTTGACGTAGATGTCAAGCGCTGGTGGGTGATCCGTGATCTTCTTGTACATGATTGGCTGCGTGAAGAAGGGCTGGTCGGTCTCGTTATGTCCCTGTTTGCGGTAGCACACCATGTCAATAACGACGTCCTTCTTGAACTCAGCACGGTAGTCGGCAGCGAGCTGGCAGACAAAGTTGAGCGCCTCAACATCGTCACCATTGACGTGGAAGACGGGAGCGTCGATAGCCTTGGCGATGTCGGAGCAGTATGGGGTTGAACGAGAGAAACGGGGGTCGGTTGTGAAACCAATCTGGTTGTTCACGACGATGTGGATAGTTCCTCCAGTGTGGTAGCTTGGAAGATTGTGGAAACCCATGGTCTCGTAGACAATACCCTGACCAGCGAAAGCGGCGTCACCGTGGAGCAGAACGCCCATTGCTGAGCGAGCCTCGGTCTCATCCTTGTTGTAGTGGAGGATAGCACGAGTCTTTCCAAGAACGACGGGATCTTCGGCTTCCAAATGGGAGGGGTTGGCAACCAAAGAGAGCTGCACTCGCTTGCCGGAAGGAGTCGGGCGCTCGAAGTTCATACCCAAATGATACTTCACATCACCGGAGCCTTCGTCGGACGGGTCCGCAGTGCCGGCAAACTCGCTGAAGATGGACTCGTTCGGTTTCCTGACGACATTGCTGAGGACGTTCAATCGACCACGATGAGGCATACCAATGACAATATCCTTGACGCCATAATCGACACTGCGGTCGATCAAGGCCTTCATACCCGGAATGAGAGTCTCGCCACCCTCAAGACCAAATCGCTTGTCGTTGGGGTACTTTGTGGCCAAGAAACTTTCGAAGTTTGTTCCCCAAATGAGACGGTCGAGAATGCGCCTCTTCTCGTCTACGGAGTACTTGTAGGGCTGCGGGATCTCGATACGTTCACGAAGCCAGTCGCATTGTTCTCGGTCAGGGATGTGGATGTATTCGATACCGTATGAGCCGCAGTATGTGCGTTCGCAAGCGGCAATAATTTCCCGCAAGGTCATCTTCTCACGGCTTTCCGTCTTGAATCGGGGAAGGATACCGGGACCGAGAGTGAACTCTTGGTCCAGATCTTTCTCGGTAAATGCATAATGGCTCAATTCGAGCTCTCGAGGTTTGCTGTACTGTTACATTGGTTAGTCAAAACATGTTGCGAAACTTTTATCTGTGACATCATACCCCGAACTGTTCAGCTTCCGAACGAATACCTAATCGAGTCAGTACAGGCAGAGCTGAAATGCGACAAGGGACTCACCAAGAGGGTCGATTCTAGCCTTGTGATGTCCTCGGGCCCTGTCGCATTGGTTAGAATGTCCAAGATTTGTCACAATGGGTATTCTTCAGCCTACTGGTATGCGCGAACAAGCAACTGGACCTTCAAATGGTTCATGATATCTGAACCCTGGCCGGGAGCCATACCTAGGCCAGGCTTGATATCAGGACCTAATCCTCCATGTGGTGCGGGAACGATAGTCGGTGGTGGTTGGAAGGCTTGAGAAACGGGCATGTCGCCGCTCTCCATATTCCGGAAGTAGACCTGCCATGAGTAGTGAACGCTGGTAGGATCCCGCTTCCATTGCATGTACATTTCATCGACATAGTTGGCAGTGTTTCCCTGGAGGAAGGAATCGTTGGGGTCCTGGAATTCAGCAGTTAGCGATTGTGGAGATTATTGAGGATTTCTTTCCGGATGAACGGAGCAACGTACAACGCCCTTGTCGGTATCCTCCGCAGCAATAGCGTAGCTTCTCCTCTGCTGGGAATGCGATAGAGCCAGAGGTCGTCGACTAGCGATGCCTGCTGTTCTCGAGGGTGCGGCAGCCACGGAAGAGAAGCTTGCTCTCGACGAACAGCTTGCGAGCTGCCGGCTGCACTTGTGCAAACTGGCGCGCAACATGATGCAATGAAGAACGAACAATTACGCAAAAGCGAAGAGTGGCATCAAAACGATGAAGGATGGGGAAGGAGGAAACTCCTGTGAGGGTAGGTGAGTGGATTAGGGTTTGGGAGAAAGTATTGAACTGGTTCTGAGGGCGAGGAGAAGCCAACGCGGACACCAAAGATGCCAGGATGCGGTCACAATCGGCGCTAAGAGCCACAGTGCAAAGTGGCTAGTAGTGTGCCTCACTGGGCGTTTCTCTCACACAAACCCTTGAAATCCCTCATACAATTCGTGAATGGGCTTAATAAGTACTACTAGCACGAGAACTCCGTAATAAAAATACCAATAATAACAATTAAAATATCAATTTGGGCTTGTGCGGTTCTTTGACTCTTGTCCAAACAAGTCACGGCCTGCATATCCGCTCATATTCAACATACCTGCTAACAGGTGCCCAAATGTACGCCGTACGGTAGCCGTACGGTAACGATGCGAAGTGTATGAATCCCGGAGTACTCCGTTCCATCGTGTCTTCTTCACCACACACTCGTTACCCGTCTCGTCGCTCCCGGCCTGTGCATGAAATAATCAGCATACTCATGTAGACGTTTGCAAGCAGCTGTTGCATATAATACACCTAGATCGTTGTAGGCCTCGTGGTTCTTTTCTACCAGATAACGGTAACATCTCGTCATCAGCATCGTCACAATCGATCATCATTATTGATCATCTGCAATGATACATCATCCAAGAGTTGAAGCCAGGGCAGCAGGACAAAACCACTGGCCAATGATGTAAAGCCTTAGGTAAACGGCTCGTTGCTTGCAAGCCCGCATGCGCGTAGACTAACTCTGCGCCATCCGGCACTGGAAGACAATCTGCTTCAGTAGCCTGTCCTGTCAAGCAACTAACCACATCTGCAGTTACTTGCCCAGGAGGCGCAAGCACACCAGACAATTATCGTAAGTACGATTCTGGGGTATCTACCGCACATCTCTCCCGCCGCGATAGGGAAAAGGAGAGTCCGCGGCCGTCGAGAAGTCCATCCGGCAACATACCGATGGAGTCTTTCGGTCGTGTCGGACATTCCAGGTCCTGTTCAAGTCTTGGTCTTGGTCCTGGTCTACTTCGTACGGCCGAGGTTTAACGGGTGTTTTAGGCAAACTGAATCGCGACTCTTTTGCGACGTCTTTGGTCGGTCATGTTCCTTACATGGCTTGCTTCTCATACGGCGATCGGACCCTATGCAAGATGTTTGATGCATAGGCGTCTAACAATATCTCGTCTTGCGTCAAACCAGATGGATTCAACAGGCGAGAATCCAATTCTGTTTGAGCTGCCATTCTGTGCGCGTTCGTTTCGACAATTCAATCTCATTGTTCTTATTTTAGCTCACAACCACTTCCACAGGTACAACGGTACACTCCAAAGAGGTTGTACAGTCGTTGCGAGTGTTGGGAACGGGGATCTACGCTTGTCGATTGCGGACGGGAAATCAATCTGGGGTAGATGATCACGTGCAAAAGTGCAACGAGAAACGGATCATCTGATTGGCCCGTGTGGTGGTAGGTACAATAACAATTGCTTGGCGTATCTTTCATCAGCGGCCGTTGCCTCAAGCTCAAAGTTCATGACCACTCTTCCCACATCAGCATGTCCCAAGCTTCGGCACAGTACAAGAAGCAGGATGGCACCATCGCATTGTCTGCAGAAGGTGGAGGGACTGTGTCCTGGACATCGACCAACGGCGCGATCCCTCCGCTGACCATACCCGTGTCAGAGATTACCAGTATGTCTGCCTTTCTTGTCTGTACTCAGTCAATGTAGTTTCACAACCACCCAAGAGTTCCTCAATCAGTTGACCAAACTACAGATCTACAGCAAACCCCAGCGACCTCCGCGAAAGCTTCCATCAAAATCATAGCCAAAGAGAACCATACCTTTACCTTCACGTCAGCTACCGCTCGCGATGACCAACAGGCGACAACGGACACACTTCGCAAATGGATTGAGGCTGCCAAAAATGCTGCATCTGCCCCAACACCTGCACCGGGCACACCATCTGCCGGTAACGGTGCTGGGGCCTCAGGTTCGATGACAATGGCCCAAACGGTAGCTGCAGCGGCAGCCGGCTCCGCAAAAGGCGATGAAGATAAATACGATGGTGCAGCTTTGCTCAAGGATATCAAACTACAACAGTCATTGCTAAACTCGAACCCCTCTCTGCGCCAGCGATTCGATCAAGCCTATAAAGAGAAGCCAGAGTCCATTGGACCTCAGCAGTTCATGACGCAATTTTGGGAAAACCGCGTTCACCTTCTTCGCTCGCACGCTGTTGAAACCAGCCAAGGCGTCGGAAAGTACAACGTACTCGCTGCGCTAAAGCCTCAATATGTCAATGGAGAAAAGAAGATGAATTTGAGCAAGGAGCAGATTCACATCATCTTTGCTCAACATCCACTCGTACGGAAAGCATACAATGAGAATGTCCCACGACGGTCCGAGGATGAGTTTTGGTCTCAATTTTTTGGCAGCAGATTGCTCAAGAAGCTCAAGGGTGAAAAGATAAACCCTGATACAGATCCCATTGTGCCATTCCTCGACAAGTATCTTGATTTAAATGTCGATACAGATCCTCTGCAAAATCAAGGAGCTCAGGAATTGATCGTTCCTCACTTCCTAGACGTTGAAGGTAACGAGCAGAACCATAGCCAACGTCTAGGCAACCGACCGGATTGGACCATGCGCCCCAATTCCTACGACAAGGTCCCAATTCTCCGTACCCTCAATCGAATGAGTGAGAAAATGATGAAGGATGTTCCGCCAGCGGACATAGTTGATCGTCATGCTCCAGTCGGTATGGATGAAGATACATACAAGGAATTGCAGCTCCGCGATCTGCAGCGCGCGGAAGCAGACAACCGTGTCGTACTGAAAGTAAAGGACCAAGGGCGTCTATTTGCGATTGGCCAAGGACTTCACACGTCATCCAGTGCATCTACTTACGCCAAACGCACACCAAGCCAGGTGCTGTCGACGATACATAAAGACTTGAATACTATATCGCCTGGTGCAGCGCTGAATTTAGAGTCAGCTATCGGAATTGACGAAGATAGCAGTAGCGACGAGGAGAGTGGCTCGCGAAAGAAGGCCAGAGTCGGAAGCAAATCGACACGGACCGCCGCCACTTCCGAGATCGTCAAGGCTATCAAAAAACGCCATACCTACGATGACGATCTTTTATCATCTCAAGATACTGTGTCGAATGAGCAAATTGCAAAGTTGGGGGTATCAAGGTCTGTATTTGACACACTCTCCATGACCCATAACACGACTGTAGAGTTTTTGCATTATTTCTGGGCTGTATATTATTCAGGGGATGCAGATCGTGCCAATGAAGTCGCAAGGCTCGTCGAGACATTGGACAAGTCCCTCGACAGGATCAAGGCTGTCGAAACAACGGCTGAGCTTGAGCGTACGGCAAAAATAGATCAGCTCCGTAAAGACAATGAGGCGTTCACTCAGCGAACTGGCAGAAGAAGGAAATTTGACCCCAACAGCATGCCTGGAGGGGCCAAGGCAGTCAACGATATTATGACTCCTCTCACTAGAGCTATCCAGTCCGCAATTGACCAGTACAGGAAAGCCTTACAGGAACAAATGAGCCAGCTTCCTACCTCTTGAATTCGAATGCTGAGCGGTCACTGAGCGGTAATTGACAGGGCAATGCGTATCGCATCATAGCATAGCGGCGGCGTTCGGGTACATGCAATAGATCTTGATAATTATTGAACACATCACACGATTTTTCCATTGGTGTTGGGAGGTACTCAAACCGATATCTATCAGACGAGACTTCCTCCTTAAACTCTAAGACCAAACAATGCATTACTTGCGAATAGAGCAATCGCACTGAAATTCTTCATCATCTTTGGTCAGCCGAAAAGATAACTTCCGATACTTTTCCGGTTGCCTGTAATACTGCTCCATTCAACAACTCTCGTTCGCAGCCACTCCAATGGCTAATGCACTGGGATTTCACATATTGCTTCGCGCAACCTTTACAAGTCGGAGACTGGCCTGCCGAAAGTTAGCCGAGCGCGCAACGACTGATTCTTGCATGCGTGGCGCAAAGATCAACACACAGGGCGGTGACAGAGCTTGTCAATTTAGCAGACACCATAGATGCAAGATGGACGCCTGGTTAAAAAAATAATGAGGCGCGTCAGATACATCGAGCAAGAGTTGCCATGTGACATCATAAGCACAGGTTGTACTTGTGTTCTTCGATGCCGGCTACGAGCATACTTTAATCAGAGATCCCTCGCACATGAAAGCATTCGCTCATATGCACACCCACGTTCGACGTGCGCCACCATCCCCAATAATCCGTAACGCGTCCTTGCAATCGGGTTGGAATTCTTCATGGTATCTGGTTCCTGGATCTTAGCAAGGGGTATTTGGCCTCTTTCGTTCTAGCATCCCGCGAATCACTTCGTTGGCCCCACTTAAGTATGGAGACAAACCACAATCCCTATCTTGATAGTAAAGCTTACCTTCACAACCTCATATACTCATCACTTTAATCTTTTCTGCTTTGCATGACCTACATCATCTCTCAATTCAATCGACCACAATACATATTCACGCACGGATACGACCATGGGACACAGTTCGGGTTTAAGCTTTCCAGATGTCATTGTAAACACAAGTGGAAGCTAAGTCATGCTTTCTTCATGAAGCGTGGAAATATAATGATACCCAAAGATAATAATACCAGGAATTCTGAATGGAATGAAAAATAAATACATCAAGCTGCAAAGAAATGGGAAAAAAGAAGACCGAGGAAGCGGCAGCTTGATGGTGGTTCCAGCGAAGCAGTTATCATCTACGTTTGCTCGCCGTCTTGAAGGATACCGGATACTTGAGGAGACATCTACATGTAAAAGGTGGAATAGCATGATCAATATTTCATGCGTTCGGTAGCGATCGACGTTGTTCTGTCATTGCGAGCTATTGGTCGTGTCGGACGGGGTCCCAATACATAGGGGTACTCAAATTTCCTGCGATTTGTCAATTGTGTTCTCTTATTGACGTCTCCATAGGAACTTCGCCATGGTCTTCGGTTGTATCAGATGCAAACCACACTTACCTCTGTACCCATGACTGGGCCTACCAGCGACTCCCCTGCCGCGATTGTCGCGATTGTCCCTGTACCGGAAACTGTGCCAGAGGTACCAACGAGTTGCCCAATTCTCTTCCCCAACTGAGGTGAAAAAGCGGCCCTTGTCAAAGTACGGTCTGGTTTGGGGGCTGGCTTCCAAGGCAATCCTCAAGATCTCTCTGTGTTTTGCCGTCTCTGACAACTCATCCCATTTGTACGGTTGCTGGACATAAGGATTTGCTCGCGATTGATCCGTCAAGTTGCCCGAATCTTTACTGAGACGGTCTCTTGCTTCTGCCGCCTCTTGCTAAAAGCCAAAATGAGCGAAATGTATTTGTTGTTGAGCATGACAACTTCTCCTACCAACATCATTTTATGGATATGGTCCGTCAACCCCAGTCTTGCGAATAGAGTTGCTTTATCAGCACTCTGTGCCAGAGGTGGAAGGCTCATTTTCCGAAGGTGTGAGATAACAAAAACCGAAAAGGCGATAGATATGTGGTCAAGTCAATTGTACCAGACGAAACTTCACTCGTAGCGCGAGGGCTTCGAAAACGACGACTGGCTATACCTTTATAGTCTCGAGAGAAGACTCGAACTATCAAGGAAACTCGCGGCACCTCCCCCATGTGACTGCAGAGCGTTGTTATCTTGCCTTACCAATATGGTGGGACGTAAAGCACGGGCACGCTCGGGTATGTACCCTCGGCAGGGCCTGAAACCTTGACCATGGAGTGAGGGTGTATCAATCAGCTTGCATCCCGAACCGATGTAGTAACTCCAGCTTTGCAAGGCCCGTTATGGAAGCCAAAAGTCCAACGTATGGCGCCGGCGGCCAGTGAAGGACTCGCCGATCTTAATGCGGTCTGACTCTGGTCACGCTGCCGCCCGCATGCAGTGACGGCAGACAGTTACAGTTACCTTGATTCGTTACAAGGGCGCCCCTTCACGCAGCAGCTGCAAGATTTCCATCCCTGGCCTATCGATCGACATGTTCCCCATCCTCGAACCCTTCACCGCCCAGGCGACTGGGTATGTCTGCCTCATCTAGTTTGGAGACTGGAGCAAACAAGACTCGACAATGGGCCCTTGCCTGGGATTGCAGTGGGCGGCATAAGCTCCTTCGGGTAGGCCAGAGCAGATCTGATCGATTCATTCTGCAGCCTCGATGCTCTCCAGACGATACACATTAATCACGTACGGCCCGCGCCTATACCCGCCCGTCATTAGAAAGAAGCAACGTCTTTTAGGCAACTTGGGCTTATGCATCCATCGCATTTGATGTCCATAATAACCGAGACTGCGTCCTAGGGCGACGGCTCGTCTCGTCTAACGGGTCGTGGACATTCTTGCAGACACACTCATGCTAAGTTTGCTTGAGTAACATCTCCCTTTCCTTGATATGGTCATGGAGTGGTCATATCAGTGGTCTGACGTTTTACTGCAACCCACGCTATGCACGAGCTTGCACAAGCCAGTTTGTTGATCCACATGGAAGCCACGTACTTCTACTGCTACACTCATGCTTTAATTGAGCCAATGGATTCGATCGACAGCCGAAACTATGATGCCATGTATCGTTGCAATCCAGCTGTCCTCGGTCGGGCTGCAATCGATGGCCCACCAAGATTACTACCTATCTTGGATGATCATTATGGAAGATGAATGATCCAACTTGCCGCCAAAGCCACTATATACGCCTCCGTTCAGAATCACAATAGCGCATTTTGCGTCGAGGCCTTTCTCCATCTCCAATGACCAATATTTTGTATTCGATAGGTATGCACAGGACGACTCATGGCCCGTGCCAGCGTAGAAACCTGTGAGTTGCCTGCCTGCATGGAATGTTCTCCCCGGTGTACAGCCAGACGCGCTTAATACTCGACTTCCTGATCAGTACATACGAGATTGCGAACGTTTAATTGCGATTGGGTGCTGGGGATGCTCCACTCATTGTTGCTTATTGTAGAATGCGAGATGCAGGTCTACCGATCACCGGTGGCGATGGGCCGCATCGGACGCGAAGCAGAAGCTGGGCTGGGTATCCTCGTCCCTTGCGCAAAGATCTTGCTGCTGCATATCCAACCCTTGCTGCCGCATCTCCGACCGTGACAGATTGCCCGGCAGACCCAGCAGCTGGGTACTCGGATTCCAAACAGGCTAGCCGAGATCCGGAGAAATGCCCCCCTCATCGTATCGCATTCGCGTCAGTCTGACGCCGCTCCAGCTGCTCAAGTTGCGAGTGGTTTCCGTGTCTGCTGTCGTATGGAGCGTCGAGCCACAGCCAAAAGGCGCTTCATCGAGGATACACAATCAGGCAATGTCGACTTATTGGTCACGACGATTCTGGCATATTTCACTAGTATACAAGAGCCACACCTTGCGTTAACGCCATGTAAACAGCAAACACTAGACCCGCTGAGGATAACGCAACGATAAAACGTAATGATCGTCCCATGTCCACCTGAGGAGGCTTTTCTACCGTCGACATACACTTCGTCCCGGAGATTCAGCCTCTACTCAAGCGCTGCTCAGCGTCATTATCAGCAGATGTATACCTAGAGCCAGCGACAATGGTGGATCAGAGTCGGTGTGGCCGTGTGCAAGACCACACGGAACATAGCAAGCACGTTCGAGAACCTTCCCAATCACTCCATTACTCGTACCACAATGCTCGCAGAAAGCAAACCTGCAGATCGGTTCTCAACACAGTCACTTTTGTGCTACCAACAGTTCTTCATGCTTGCCTCGTTCCACGGTCGTCGGAGCCTCGTTCCCTATTGCGCTAGCTTGACAAGGCCAATGTTCCCTAGGGCAATGTTGTTGGCGGTATGTGATCTGCAAAGGCGCGTGGAGATTGTGCTCATGAGGTGCATCAGCCTGTACAGGCTATCATCTTTGTGGGTGAGCAGTTGGCCTGTCATGATTCAAAGTCACTGTCGCTAGACTTTTCTTTTTCCTTTGGCCACGTCTCAGTTGCCAATTCTCGATATGCCCACCTTGAACATCAGTACTACCTTGACGTGTACGTGAGTTTGGGTTCAGGCTAGGTGTGTCTGACACGCAGTTTATGGGTAGGAATTCGCGAAGCGCGGCTTGCTCTGAGCATCCAACTAAGCCATTGCGAAAGATGTGTGCCTTTCAGTCAAGAATCACTTCAGCTAAACAAACGCAGACACTAGCCCTGTAGATATCTTACAAATGAGGTAAGTGTATACTATCCATCGAACTGATCGGATACTCCCGAAGGTGCTTTACAGATCGTTGAGCGGAAGGCGGCCCGGGGTAGCAGTCGCTCCATATGGGGCTGCTCCCTGTCTAGTGTGTTCGTTCTGTTTACTCTGGACAGATACATTCTATACCGAATACCTGTTGCCAAACTATAAAACTTCCAAACTCTTACTCCTGCGCAACTTCACTACTCTAGCAGAATAACAAAGCATATTTCAACAGAATGCATCCTTCCAATTCGACGATTATATGGGACACAATTCTCAACCCCTGTCCACAAACCATGCCTGTCAACAGCTCAAAAGCACCATTAGTCGACTCGTCAAATGTTGTACGGACAATAATATGCTACCAGAGAGATCGGCCCCCTTCGAATGAGACTCGAGTCTCTGGAGACAAATGTAACCCACGGTGTTTCGACAGCGAAGACCTACGATACCAATCAACACAGCCAGATATCTCGACCAACTCTTCATGCAATCATCAATGTCGAGAGCGGGCACCATTGGGCACTACTATTCCTCTGCCTGATCCTACGGTGAATGGTCCGCGTTTAGCCACCATTGTCGAACACGGCTCTTGCTCCACCATCCCAGCTTATGCCAGAAGCACCAGTCATCAGCAACCAAAAGCCATGATGCACAATGGCATTTTGGGCGTAAAAGTGGGTGGGAGTCTACCTGTCAAGTCGAAGGACAGCAGTACACATGGTGGAAAAGGGAGCCTCGCATCGGGAACAAATTTCAAGAGAATTATTGGACCGCATGCACAACCAGGACGCAAAGGTGGAGCGTCATACGTTCATCACGAAACAATCGACTCGACTGTCCACCGCAAGGGTAAGCGCTATGGCTTGAAAGCACATCAGGGGTCCGAGAAGGAAGATGAACAGGGTGGACACTGCCTCAACACGGTTTTCGGGGGTGTCATACGGCATATTCGCAGTGCATCCCAACGTAATGAGTCACTTTCGCGGACCCACATCGATCCTAATTTGAGGCCAAGAGGAAGTCTGTCGGACATGATCTGTTCGAACGGACCCAGCGATGTGGATACAGATATTGCTTCTGCAGATCAAAAGTGCTCACAATCTGCAAGCTGTCAAAAGGGCACCACCAAGAAGCTCGCTTTACCCAGTCTCTGCGTCGTCCTTGGTAGGGTAGTTGGTCTTGCCCAGCAGAAACAGGAACGAAAATCTCAACTGCGTAACCCTTCGCGAAGATACGGGCCGCCAGATCAAAAGACCCTTGATTTTCGATCTACGCATGAGGCTGATGTCACGGCCAACTGCATGTGCATATCCCTGCCAGCAAGGCCATCATCTGCAGGCGAACCCCTGGCCCAACAGCAAACTCGAAGCTCCGCATTAGTTACGCCTATCATCCCATATCCGACTACTAAATCCCCACCAGTCAAGCAATATCCGGACAGCATATCAACCGGGCAGCCCCATTCCCCTGTACAGCAGCAAGGTATTCCCCTCCACGAAGAGAGTGCAGAAAGTCTGTTGTCCTCCGATTACTCTGGCACTGTGTTGGGTGTTGATTTGGATCTCGAAGAACGGCACTCAAACATGTCAGTAGGACGTAGCACGGATGGGCTATTAGACCAATGGCGAGGCAATATGCCTGACCATATGAGACACAGGTCGACCCCAGTGCCTCCTGCACAGTACCAAAACAAATCCAGAGATTCAACGGCGTCTCATTCGCCGCCCCGTCATTCCCACTCTCTTGTATCGTCCGCTCTTCCCGTCCTACTACCCATAGCGGTCGCTTCTGGTATTGTGGAGCCTCTCCATACCCCTTCTCAAGTGACATATTTCTCTCCATCAGGAAACATGGTCCAAGTCAGCAGGACTCCGCCTCGAGGTTGCAAAGCTCGAACTCTATCTGGATGTCGAAACGCAAATACGAATATAATTCCCCCACCTAGGCCCCGCTATTGCTCTGCCGCAACTAATCAGCATTTACGATCGGAGCTGCCGCGACACATGAAGCCAAAGTATCCATGACTTTGATTGACAGTGGCAGGCAAAGCAATCACATCACGTGCTGTCTTGAGCTTCATACTTAGCATTAGCAAGCCAAAATTTGGAAGAATAGCTTGACCGGGGGGTTATCATTGCGGTAAAATCGATAATTTATTGGCTCGTACTGTTCTCAGTGCATGTCTAGTGTTGCATCTACATCCTAATCTTGATGGCAAAGTGGGAAATCAGATCGCGATTCCGCGCAGTAGCGTCATGTACTTGTTTCCCGAACCGGGGTAGATGGATTTCAGCATCGGCGACGAACCCCAAGCTCGGGTTCGATAAATACTTTGCATGGGGCCACTGAAGTCACAAACCTTGACACAAATTTCTTTCCGTTTCTCATTATTGACCGATGATACGCTCCTGGCAGCTTTTGTATAGTTTGGCCGAGAACGGTTAATGGTTGTTGTAGTCGTATTTGGAGCGTACCTTTTCAAACAGAGCAACATTTATACAGGGTGGATAAAGCTACTTCCGTGGCCTTACTGATATCACGAAACTGACGTAGATCAGTTACATCGAAATGTATACACAGTAGACATCGGTCACATCAACACTCCAACAGGTAAAAGAAAAGTCTGAAGCCACCACTCCATTACTCTATTAAGTTTGATGCCAAGATAGTCGATGTGTACGAAGTGCCATCAGGTCAAATTACTTCTACAAATATGAGTCGTCGTGTTAGCTATGGTATAGTCGTACAACAATTGGCACATGGTATTCTACAATATCGCGAAGGTATCCGTCCTCCCTTCTCTCAACCTTTGTCCCAGATGTCTTTCCAGAATTGCCTAAAGCCATAGCGTCTCTCCACACGCTCATCGCTGACTTTGACCTTTTCACCAACTAATCTATCCATGACACCATTTCCGCCCGACAGACTTTGGCCAAATCCTTCTACTTTCTTGGGCGCTAATGCACGTTCTCTGATTGCTCCTGCAAGCAAAGGTGCCATGTCTGCAAAGCAGGCATTAAGCTCACGCTGCAGGGAGAAGTAGGGCTTCTTGGCCAGACTGGGTGCCTGAAGATTGTACGAGCGAGTCTTGCTGTTGAGATCGTTTATAGCCAAGTTGTGATATGCCAATTCGATATTTTCCCAGTCGGGATCACGAAATGGATACGGTGCTGGGGCAACCTCAGTAGGAGGAGGAGTGGGAAGCTTTACCTCGATGGTGTGTGAGGTTGCTTCTGGCTGTGCCAAGTCGCTCGAGACCTCGCCGATCTTGCCGATCGTTCCCAGTTCCACCCTGTCAGCAACCACTTCCTCGATGACTGGCGCGCCAGGAGATGATGGGGAAGCCACCTTCAGCTCGCCGGAAAGGGATATTTGCGATATGTGCCCTGACTCGTCAACTGCCGTGATATCCTCTTTCTTTCTTTTTTGTGGATTGGCGATTAGTTCGGCCTTTGCGTACGCCTCTGCTCGTTTCATTTGCTCGGCCAGCGTTCCGCCTCTGCTGGCTATCACCCTGGCCGCATGTCTCTTCCAGTCGTTCCGGAGCCGCGATCGGAACTTGGTGGCTGTGCTGATCAATTCCTGCTGTTTCTCGATCCATGGAGGCACGATATCTTGTTTTTGAATGATCTTATTCATGAAATACTCGGTAGTATCCAGGAAGGGAGAGGAGGCATTGTAATTCCTCTCGATCTTCTGCCCTCGAGGGAGATTCTTGAATTGACCGCGGGCAATCGCGTTTTCGATACGTTCGTTGGCCAAACTCGCCAGGCCTTGGATGGAACCCGGGACAATTGTGCGCGCATGTGGTGAGAAGCGATCCTTCAGTTCCTGGAAGCGTTTCTGCCTCTCTTGTTCGTCGATATCCGACTCCTTCAGACTGCTATATAGCCCGCTCCGGTCCCTTGCATTCGCGAGCCTCACACCCGGCGCTGGCTTGCTGCTGCTCCTGCCAGTGTCGACGCGTGTCGGCGGAGGAGCTGCAGGCCCGGGGATCCGCGGCCCTCTCCCCGATTTCAAAGGCTTGTAGGCGTCGTTGAGCATCCGTAGACTTGCGTCATGCAAGGACTCTTCTCCTGTCCAGGCCTGGGAGGTAGCGATGTCTCGCGTGCCTCGGCCAGCGTGAGACGGCAGTTCCGCTTCCACGAAGGCGTTCCGATTTTCTGCGCGGAAATTGGCTGATGCTATGCGCTCCTCGAGCTGCTTCCTCAAATCTTCACTGAAGCCTGCTTCGGAGACCGCTTTCCGACTGCTTCGACCGCCGGTTTCGATAGCTTCTTCGCTCATGTCTCTTAATCGACGGGTCATTGCACCCTCTTCCTTTTCAACTGGTTGTTGACCCCCAGGGGCCGACCCCTTTCCTTCTCCATTGTTTATATTGTGACTTTGATCTTCCTTTTCGCGAGGCTGTGGTTTCGAGTCTGCATATTGTCGAACTGGGGCGACGCGGTGTATCGAGGTCCGAAGTGTCGAAGCTCCAATGCGGCCACTTGAGCGCAAGCAGCCAGCGCAGATGTATGGGACGGTCGCCAGATGCACGGGCATGTATAGTCGTAAGATCAGACGAGAGTGAAATGGTCAAAGGCGAAACGAGAAGCGAAAAGAAAGTATCAAGAACGTCATGAATCACCACATGCAGGGTTGGAGCGGACCTATTCTTAGCTTGGCATAGGAGATCTCCCCCGCCACAGTCATCTTTCGTATCGATAAGGGGTCATCATGGATCGGATTAAACCGAATTCTCGAAGGTCCCCACTATCTCCTTCACACGCTGAGAAATGCTCTCATTGGGCAGTGAAAGCAGCTCTCGTTGGTCGATGCGATGTCCGAATCAGGGAAACAGTCTGCTGATGGTGTTCAGTCGGTTTGTCGGAGGAGCGTTGCACTCGTAGTACGAAAGCGCATGATGAACTGGTCACCGCTAGAAATCCGACGCAGGGCAGCTGGCACTTTCGGGTCCTCACATTCGACATGTTCGTGATGCCTTACACAGACAGGAGGCAGCTCGTCCCTTGACAAACAACAAACAAACACTGACTCCCTAGCTGAAAGAAGGCGGTCAGACTCGTGTCACTCTCGATTTACGCCCCGAGCATTCCACAAGCACAACATGTCTGTATGGACCCTTGGAAGCCCGAGCAATGCACAACAGTCTTTCCATGAGGAATGAAGCAAGACCAAGCAATACTCCGTACATGAAGTAGCAACGCACGATAAAGTCGAGTATCACCAGATCCGGTCCCGATCCCAACGAGCCGATACCGGCCAGGGAGAGAGACCATTCCGACCTACGCTTCACCGCAGCTAGATCGCCCGGGACGGGAACTGCAAAACGCGATTCCATATCCACGGCACGGGGAACTGTGCACTGCATGATGATAGGGACTGGGATTGTATCAGTAATTGAATGCATTGCTGCCAGCCAGTCTGCCTCACGACACTTGGCATTTATGGGCAGAATCACAGGTCAATCTTCTGACCCTACACGTGGGCCGGGTTGCTGGTCAAATCAGCCTGTCCTTTCAAGAGAGAATAATGGCTGCCATCCATCTATCGTATGAGGTGCAGTGAGCCAATTGGGTGCTCAGGGGGCGTAGCTATCCAAATCAAGATAGCTAAAGAAAGCGAGCAAAGCGAGTGGTGGAGGCTTAGACACTCATTTAGTGCAGATCATTATCGCATCTTCAACCATCACTCACGATACATAAAATGGGAGAGGCTAGCTCTAAGATTCCATGCCTTCGATATTTGAATTAAACAACAGGAAATCTGTTGGAATGGTTCAGGGTTTGTCGGTTCTTCGTCACCTTCCAGCAAGCTTTTCCGCACGTGAACGCATGTGTCGAGACAATGGCTAAGGTAATTTCTTTGCTATAGTAATGATTTTTACATACAAGCTCACCGATGATAGATATCAAACTTGGTTTCTGCAAGCTCTCTCGAAGACTTGAAGAGCGGTCAATTCAACGCAACCACATCCTTTGATCCACTTCTCACCAGCAACGAACTACGTTCCACATATCATGTTTACCACAAAAGAGAGCGACATGCCGTATTGACTACGGCTGTCGATTCTACCAGGGAACGATGGTCAGGCCCAAACGTGAAGGAATTGAAGGCCGAACGAATTCAAAGGAAGCTAAGCAGGACGCGCACTATCCCATGTCCAGGAAATCAATCCACAGAATTGGACGCGGTCGATAATGATGCTTCGTTCTTACTGTACACACCTTACCTGAGCTTTCACGATCCTCCACGTGTGCTCTATACTCAAACATCGAATGTTGGGGTTCCTTTGATGCTGATTCATACGAAGTCTTTCTGGAGGAGTTACAAGTTACAATTTGGTCCGTCGATTGCAAAGCCAGGAGTGATCGATCCACGAGGTGTCGTATCGTGGAAAAATAATGGCGGAGACAAGAAAATACTAAAATCTGACGATCAGAGGCTGAAAGGATACAAAGTAAAGACCTGGCGTTTATGGGGTGAAGGTGGCAAGGAATATGTTCACAATTTACGAGCGAAACGTAAGGCGAACGTTGGGCCCGATCCCGATGTACTCGAAGATGAGACGGAAGCTATAGACCAAGCAGCAGTTCGAGCAGAATATGTAGTGTACCTCAAGTGGACATCTCCTTTCTCGCGAGACACCAGAAGATACCACTTCCACTTCGAGGGGATTGACTTCTATTGGAAGGGGACAGGAACTGTAAAAGAGACACGCACGTGTGGCATTTGGTGCCATTTCAGCCACCTCAAGTTAGTCGCAAAACTGCCCGCAACTGAAGACGGCCAACAACTAGAGGTTTGTCTCGGTAAATACACTTCTTCAATTGCATCAAAGAAGCACGGCACGCTCGATTTGTTTGATGGTGCAATTTGGCATCTCATGGTGGACTACATGCCGTCAGCTCTTCCTAGAGTTTCTAGAGAAGGCCTTGCAGATAGCACTCAGGAGCAACTTTCAGCCGTCAAGAAGACGTGGCTCTACAATGTTATCGTAGCCACGTCAATGTGTATGATCCTGGGAGAGAAGCACAAGCGTGCAACCGTTCGACAGATTCTTGAAGCAGCCGCGTCAGAGGGCGGAGGTGGAGGTGGATGATAGCACTTGGGTACCCATCATTTTTCCAGTTGGATGTATTTATAATCTCAGATATACCCGATTCTACATGATTGTAAGAAATTGGAAGAAGTCGTCCATTTCCCCGCAATGAAGTAGCGTGGTATTCAGGTACAAGGCTGCTGAGGTATGACGCAGCTTACACGCGAGGAGCAAAGTGGGTCGTGCGTCGAGCTTCTCCATCTGATGCCGATCGACTGACAGCTCAGCAACACAACCAAACCTCGACGCCATCATGTCTCGTTCAGTTATACCTCGAGTAACCCAGCGCCTAAATCCGAGGATACCTCTATCTATCCAATTGCGTGCAATTGGTTCACCACAACGCCATGCGTAGGTGCTGTTCTGAACATGACCTGATCCGAAACCTAACACATTCATGTCTAGACGTCTCTCAGCAGCCTGCGCCCATGAACAAACATGCAATACCGCACGTAGCTTCTCCTCAACCCCCGGACTACTGAAGAAGGCCGGAAAAGCCAATAAAGTACGCGCACGCTCAGATTCCTCCCCGCCCGTTACCGATGCGTCAGGCCCCACAGCTGTTGACGAGGCATATGACATGTCCGGGCTGGAGTCACAAATATTGAAGGCCATAGAGCGCCTGACACATGAGCTTTCGCAGCTGAGGTCCGGTGGAAGGCTCAATCCCAGCGTGGTAGAGTCGTTGAAGGTACAATTAGGCACGGCAAAGGAAGGCAAGGAAACGGTCCGCTTGGGAGACATTGCACAAGTCGTACCGAAAGGAAGATTGCTTAATGTCATGCTCGGAGAGCAAAGCGTAAGTTCACTACCATGTAGCGCATCTGTATGATGTGTGTAGACTAATAACGAGCAGCACGTCAAGCCCGTAACATCGGCTATTGCAGCCTCAACACACAACCTCACACCTCAGCAACCGCACGCCGATTCTCCCCTTACTATCCCTGTGCCGATTCCTCCACCAACTGGTGAATCCCGCCAGGCTGCTCTTGAGACTGCACAGAAGGCCTCCGAACAGGCCGACCGTGCCATTCACGATGCAAGAGCCAGCCACAATAAGAAGTTGAGGAAGTTTGGACTGGACAAAGCCGTGTTGCCGGACGATCTGCAAAAGGCAGGCAAGCGAATGGAGGAGGTTGTGAAAAAGGGTCATTCGGAAGTCAAGCGAATCACCGAAGGTGCTAAGAAGGTGCTCGAGAGTCAGTAATCTTGAGTTACATGTGGACATTGCTAGCACTGTAAAAGAATCAAATCTATTGGTAACCTTATTACTAGGTATGTAAATATCTATATTGCAATGTCTCAAACCCGTTTTGGGAAACAAATCGAGAGTGATCAACAAAGGGGGAACTAAGGAATGACGACCAACATCTAGCTCAGGAGCCGTACTTGTTGTTTCATGAATATCGGTGTCCTATCCAACACGAACCCAGTTAATTTGAGTAACCTTTTCCTCTTTCCAGGTCATCTGCGCGGCGGACTTCCAAAAGCTCAGTGCTAACGGGCACATTGTCCATTTTCGTGAACCCTTTTCCCATTTTCTTCTCCTCTTTAATTGCCTTCTTCTGGGCCTTCTTAGCCTTTTTTGCTTCCTTCTTCTCTTTCCTGGACGGGAACTCCGATTCAGGACCTTTTAAAGCTAAGCCAGGATGCACCACAGCCAATATAAGGGCCGCCAACAGCATTGGGAAAGCATCTAATGTCAACGCATAAACTTCCTTGTACGGCAAAGGGTTACTGGTGTTGTTTCCAGCACTGAATTCCACAAGTCGAAAGATGACACGCATGGTGATCAAAGCCAGGACAGCATAAAGAGCGTACGTCAGCCATTTCCATCTAGTGTTTGCCGGCGAAGGACCAACGCCATTGCTCGCGAGGCGCTGCATTGTGAGATGGAAGCGGACGATTAACGCTAGGAACAGGACGATGAAAAACTCCTGGAGACCCACGCCGCTCATGTATATGTTCTTCCCGATGTCCAAGATTTTAGCATCTCCTCCTGGTTCCAGCATGAGGCCGCCGGCACCCTGCACCAGGAAGGAGAGTATGTCGAGCCAGACGAAGTACTTTCCAATACGGATGGCCTTAATCCCAAACACCTTCTTTTCTGGGTGGAAAGTCCAAATCAGTCGCCCCGCAGTCATGTATACAAAGGCATTGATCCAAAGTGGTGCCAAGAGGAAGAGTAGGGACGAGGGATAGGCATATCCAAGCTTCTGCTGATCGTGGGCTCCAAGAGAGCGAGTGATGAAAGCAATGAACTCCCATGCTACACCCATGATGATCACCCAGCAAAATGGCTTGCGGTGCAGGACGGCGAGGGAAATGTGAGCGAAAGTCAGGATTCCGAAGAGGACACACATGGCAATTGCGGCCGTGAAGCTGGGAGCATATGCCCAGTTCGCATTGCATGCTTCGGGCGGCACGTAACCGTACTTGCCGGGCACAGCGGTCGTACAAGAGGGGACGGAGGTTGAACTTGTTGTAGAAGAAAGAGACGTCGTGGTAGGGGACGCCATTGAGATGCGCTTTCAGCCAAAAGAAGAATGAATTGATAGAGCAAAATGGTCTGTGTGTATTGATAGAATCTGACGATGGGATCTTTGAGGACTTGATGATGAGGTGGTGCTAATTCCTACATGATCCCAGATACCTATATATACAAGTTTCCACAGAGTATGATTCTTCTACGATATAATGGTCTGCTTCAGCTTCGTGGCCATGTTGTTGCATAGTACGCGTACTTCGCATCCATTCTGCAGTGAGTAGCGAACTGGCCAATCAAATGGTGAGGATATCTAGAAAGGGCTTAGCTGAGCTAAATACATACACAGGCGGTGGAATAAGCTTGCGAGTACCCTAGCGAGTCGGTTCCTTCAGGCTTCCATTCGCGAGATTGCTCAATCGGGCAATGCGTGCGAATTGAGGATGCAGTCATAGGAATATGAGTGCCATAGAAAATTGTTATATCTACAGACTAGCAGTACCATCAAACAAAATCAATAAATTCTCTCTGACTACGTGCAAGCTCCATCGCTCCTACATTTCTTCTACTTATCATCTCTTGTTTATTGGAAATTTTGTGAAAACTCTTGTAATTACCGTGAAAATTTTGTTATGACTTCAGACTCTAGGCAACCATTAAACTGACCTACGAGTACGGGAAGACGACGACTATGTACCCTTGAGTGAACTATTGCTGATCTTGATTGCAGGTCGAATCAATTTCTTACAGTACGTCCATCGTTTACTGTGGAAAGTTGAAGCTAGAAAGCGGAGCGTTACTGAGACGTCGGAGATCACCATTGAGTTTGTCGATAGGGGTAGACTCCTTAAGTGGACTAAAAAGAAGAGAGTGTTGTATGATTCTCTCTTTTGTTAGTATAGAAGTAATCAATTGGTTTACCGTGATTGATACTGACCTTAGAAGTCTCTTTTGAAGCTCAAGTTGGATGTTTAAGGGCATTCAACATGCTGAATGCTTTTTCTTTTAATGATTTCAGAACCCATAATATGATCAAAAGAATATAGCAAACTCCCATGTTAGCCACATGAGAAGTCTTTCGTGTCATTTGCAAACTTCTCTGTAGCTTCGGTCTCCAGGACGCGACCGCTCAGGGGCCCAATGCTCACAAGCATGCCTATAACACCGTTTAAACCCTTGTTGACTTGCTACGTATAACCTAATCACAACAAACACATGGGGCGGGAACCTCCTTCATGGGTTGCTTGTAGGGAACGATTAGGCGCATCTAGGCCTATACAAGGTTGCATTCGGAGGAGTTACTGTCCCACAGCTCGTTGTTAATGGCATATACCTAAGCTTCCGGTCACGGGTTCAACACTTCCGTACACCTTTAAGCTTCATTCTGTACCTATAAGGCCGCTACTGTCCAGTAGACACAGTGCACATGTTGGCCAATTCTCGGGCTCCACCACGTTATGTCGCATCCCAATTCGCCAGTACCACGTTGCGATAGTTCACAAGATTGCCTTGTGCATATATATTGATTCCTGTAAGCCTTTCATCAGTTGGTAGCCTTGGCAGCTTTAAAGGGTGACAGTTTTTTTTTGATTTGTTTTGTAATTCAATCAATTCTAAGTCAGACACCAAGTAGCTTTCAAAACCCACAACTATGGATGACTTATACAGTAGGTCGGCTTGCACTGCTTTGTGCTGAGACGCTGTTACCTCTCTATTATAATCCAAAGGCCAAACGCAGCTACAAAAATGGAGCAGAAAAGGTTTCAACTAGATATGCTACATGGTCTTTCCGTAGAAGACTAACTAAGTAATCGGTATTCTGCTTTACATTGGGGTCCGAGCGAAGAATGTCTCATTGTTTGTATAGACTTTGCTTTAGCGTCATCATTTTACTTTATATTAAAAGTAGTCACAGATAAATAAATTGCATTCAGCTGATAATATTTGTACGTAACCCGCGATCTGCTACATCGTAGGCGTTCGTTGTTACACCATGCCTTGCGTCACACTTCTTGCGACCGTTGGAGGCAATACCGCAGAAGGAGCGCATGTTATGGAGCGCATCCAAAACCTTTCATGCAAATGCCCGTGTATTTGTGTTCTACAAGCGGTGACGAAATGATCACAATCGCAACAATCTGACATGTAGGACAAACTGGGGCGCAGGCCAGCCTGTCAGAGTAGATCGCCCCGTATCCTCCAATCGCTATTAGACACCTGCGAGTTGAGAGCATACATCACAACCACTGACGGTGTGCATTATGGCAGGATGACGTGAGGATACCTATGACAGTAGTACCCATCGTTCAATCATTTGAACTCTTGATGTTTCTTTTTCTTATCTGTTTGCATGTTTGCATGCTGACTGCCTTCTTTTACGCGATGGCTTGAGATGCGCGGGCATTGTGGTCTGCAGTAAGGGAGAGTAAGATGCCATGCTTTTTAAGAGGATATGAACATGATCACAATCAATATTTGGCGGTGATCTGATGAGACCAAATTCGTGAATCACCCTTGTTTGAGAACCATGAAAGAACTAGGGAGACGTTTAATGTATTTGTATGATTCGTAAAAATACGACCGCTTCAAAGCCGACATTGACATCCATAGGGCCGACTCGGGCTACTTGACACAAATACGAGTGATCAACACCGAGTCTCCCCTAGTTGCGTGTCATAGCGCGCCTCATTGTCCAGTGGTATCACGGCACCCCAAACTCACAAGTCATGATCAAGCACCGCCTTGACGGCCTGTCGGGTTCAGGCGTCCTTTCACAAATAGGCCGTCATGCCACCTACATAGGCGGTCAGCCGCCTCATAGCCTTTTCATTCATCCAATATCCAAATTCTCGCTGCCACCGACGTTGATCGCTCACTACATCAAGGAGGACGCAATTGCGCCTGACCCCACTCTTTCATGGAGAGCTTTGTGTAACCTCTATGTTAGACTAAGCATCGCCCGTGTATTAAGCACGCGAGCCCCATGCGAGCAATCTGGAGAATGACCCACTTTATCAAGATGGCTCCCGTTGACGACTTGCGCGTGCTTTCGAAACGCTTTCCTGTGCCCTCTACACGCACATCGCCTCCTACTCGATCAAGTCTAACTACTGAGGGAGGCTTTCTAGAAGCTTGGGCTCAAGGATACAATGTCGGATCGCTCGTTATACTTATACTGATCGTCTTTTGCAACTATCGTTCCGGCATCTGGCTCCACAAGTTAATTCTACTAGAGGTAACAATGGCGTCTGCAATGGCTTTTGCAAGCACTGACCGTACATACTTAGCTGATACTTGCCCTATGGCATGGCACGTTCATCTTTGTTGAAGACCCCGTTTATGGATGGTATGCTGAAGAACCCGAATTTACATTTGTCCTTTCCTTACATGATCAGGTATCTGAGTGCAACAGCGACACTGCTCTTCATATCATATCAACTTCATAACGTCGTCTCCTGGCTTAAGATCCGACCTTTTCTTCCTAAATGGGGCAGTCGTCTGTTCATCTTATCCCTACTAGCTGTTCAGCCTTTCTGGGTTGCGGAAGCGTGGTCAAACTTCTCGTACTTCAATGGATTAGGGTCCAATGTAAATGAGAGGATGAGGCCATGGGAAGCTCTGCTTCGGGACCCCTGGTGGATTTTCACAACGTGGAAGCTCCTTGACGCCATCAAAAAGACATACGGCTTCAAACTCCTTGCGCTCGTGAAGATAAACCCCCGCTTCGGAGTCATGATCGCCTGCATGTTCATCTCAATTGCCTTTCTCCTAACAGACGTGGTCGTCAATGCCATTCGCTTAACCTCGTCATCTGGAATCAATCCGTACTGGAGGTTTGCGCTCGTGTTCAAGTGCGCGTCAGACACAATCTTCCTGGACGATTTCAAATCCGTGCTTGACGAAATCGTTGCTCGCAAGTTTAGTAGCACCGGTGGCACTATCCATCGCGGGCCCCAGAGTCGCCGTAAATCGTCCGTCACTGCCCGAGATCCTAACGAGTTCATCGAGTGCGGACCCATCACGACGCATATCTCCTCGCCCGAACAGGCCAATACAGCCTGGTCAAGGCACTTGAACCCTTTCGTCTCCCGATCTCGGGATCACGCTTTCCCTGTGCCTTCAATACACGTTCAGCAAGAGACAAGGGTGATCAGTGAACGAAAACCAAGCTCGGATAGTTACGCTAGCGACAATCAGATTCTACCCGTGCCTGCTCCGGCCGTTTATGCGAGCAAGCAGGACAACAGTAGCACAAGCTCATTATCAATTGCTCGTCCCCAATACCCAGAAAGATGAACAGACACCTGTTCAGCGACCTCGAAACGAACTCGGCCACGTGCCATGTTCCTCGATTTACACACACAGGCCATTTATCATGGTGATCGTTCCTTTCCTCCTTTGGAGGAATTCTGAAGGGTATATGCCCACCCCGAGGCCTCTTGCTGTTGAGGTTGTGTTTTACATAGGGGAAATTTTCGAAAAATTTCTTTTCGGAATTATCGTGTCGTCTTGGTTGTCAATTAGGTCGAACGTCGATTTTTGCGGACACGACGCACAGGGTGAAACCGATACTCTACAACTTGTAGCTATCGCTTTCTTTGCAGTCTCGCTATGGCGGGACTATAATATGTACGATGGAAATACGGCGTTGGATAGATTTTCTTGATACCCACTGAGTAAGGATGACTCGTATGTCTGCTATTGCACATGCTTGAGCTTAGCCAAAGCACCGTCATGGGTTTGATGTACGATAGTGAAATAATGGTAACCATTGGAATTTCGATGATGACAATTGGGTTCAGCAAGTGCAGTTGTGAATGCGATGATATATTTGTATATATTGGGCCGAGGCATGATACTTGTACCCACTGGTCATGCCACTACAATTGAATGACACAATAACGGCAGTCATGGCCCCTGAGCGTGATAAGATAACTTATCTGTCATTTCGTATTATGTCTGGAGGGTGCGTGTTAGTGCAAGCAACAAGCAATCGTCGTCAAGTTATCTGGCTATGATGGACTTTGAAATCAGCATCTCTACTACTTTCTGTTTTGGGACTTAGGGGCACTCGGAGAGTCGAAGGGCTGAGACAGAGCCGACACTTTAGTGGCGAATTGTTTCACACGCGCCAACAGCAAATCGACCTAGAACAGATTCGCCGCATCCCCCACAGCCTAAACCCATCGACTAGCATCAAATTTCCCCAGAAAGTCGATAAGAAAGGTCCTAAAACAGAACAGGCAGGAATTCGAGATGTAGAAACGCCGGTAGAGCGGAAGCCGTTATCTACAGAGTCGCGTCCGTCCTGGCACCTGTCGATGTCCTTTTAAGAGGTCGCATATCCCCTCCCTCGCTCTTCGTGTTTTGAAATTGGAGCATCTCCCTCGTCAATTTATCAAACTTCACACCATCGTACCAGCCGTTTCAGGGGCGTCTCAAGCCGACCACGGCCTCTGTACCACGGCAACTGAATCTATCATCTGCTGTTCTGCATTCAAGAGGTGTCTGATCAAGACCCCTGGAAGCCATCCACATCAGGCTTTACCCCATCTGCAGTAAACGCCGATACCAAGATACGCACAGTGTACACAGAAGGTAAGTGTATCCAAGCTCGGAACATGCTCCGGATTGCTTCCAGATAGATGGATCCAGATCTCAAGTTAACGTTGAACTGCAGGGTAACATTGGCATTATTTCCTCGCTGCGACAACCATTTTGGCTTGCAACACGCATATCTTATAGCCCACATCTTCTCGTTCTTGTAACTCACGCTTCTTTTGGACATCGACTTCTCACAACATGACGACAAGTAACGATGGACTGTCTAATGACCTCAAGCACAGCACGTCAAAGGATGCTGAAGCCAACATCGATTCGAAACATATTATCGCCAATTCTCAGGACTTAATTAACGCTTCCGGACATGTTCAGGAACTTCAACGAAACTTCAGTCTCTGGTCGCTTGCCGGCATTGGACTGACTGTTGGCAATGTTTGGCCTGCAGTAGGCGGAAGCATCCTGGTCGCACTCTACAATGGCGGCCCTCCAGGAGTGCTATTCGAGTTTATCGTGGTTTCCGTCTTCTACTGGAACGTTGCGCTTTCTATTGCAGAGCTAGCAAGTGCTATTCCCTCGTCGGCAGGCGTATATCACTGGGCTACGATAACGGGAGGAAAATATGGTCGACCAATTGGCTTTTTCGCAGGATGGTGGAACTATTTTGCTTGGGTTTTTGGCGCTGCCTCGATGTCTTCAATCCTGGCCAGCACCATCGTCCAGATGTATGCACTGAATCACCCGGACCTTGTCGTACAGAATTGGCACGTCTTCATTGTCTACATCATCCTCACCTGGATAGCCTGTCTTTCGGTCTGCTTCTTCAATCGGGCCATGCCACTCCTCAACCAGTGTGGCATTTTCTTCATTCTCGCGGGATTCTTCATTACCATTGTTGTCCTCGCCGCTTTGCCTGGAAAGGGGGGTCGACCACCACATGCTCCAAGTTCATTCGTCTGGACTCAATGGTCAGCAGACATTGGATACCCTGACGGATTCGTTTTCGTGACCGGCATGCTGAATGGAGCCTTTTCAATTGGAGTGCCTGATGTAGTATCTCATCTTTCAGAGGAGATCCCTAACCCGGGCAGGAACATCCCAATCGCCATCGGACTCCAATATGCCATCGGCTTCATTACCGGATTCACCTATCTTATTTCGATCATGTACGCTATCAATGACTACGATGCACTCTTCGAAAGTGCTTATCCCATTGCCGAGATCTACCGACAAGGAACTGGTTCTGTCGCTGGTGCAACGGGTCTATTATCACTTGTCATGATATGCATCGCCATCTGCCTGGTCGGTTTGTACATCACTGCAGGACGTACTCTCTGGACACTTGCACGAGACAAGGCGACGCCATTCCCGAGCCAACTCTCGAAAGTCCATCCAAAGCTGGAAGTACCCGTCCTTACGACGCTGCTCAGCGGAGTGCTAGTCACGATCCTTGGTTGCATCTACGTTGGCAGCACCACAGCCTTCAACGCCTTTGTAGGCTCATTCATTCTCATGAGCTCCTCATCCTACATTGCTGCCATCCTACCCCACCTCCTCACCAAGCGCAAGAAGATCATTTTCGGCCCCTTCAATCTCAACAAGGGCCCAATTGGATACATCTGCAACTTCATCGCTTGCGCGTACATGATAGTCTGGTTCGTCATCTACTGCTTCCCATTCGCTCTGCCGGTAGATGCCGCGACGATGAACTACACCAGCTTGCTATGGGGCGGGTTCACGATTCTGTTGTCGGGCTGGTGGTTCTTTGGCGTTAAAGACTACGTCGGGCCAACCACCATTGGAGGACAGACGGAGGCAGACAATATTCGACATGTAACTATACACTCCTCTTAGTATACCACGTCGTATGGGAGAAAAAAATTTGTTTACTATCGGAAATGTACATATTATACTTATTTAATGTGATTCATATCGCTACTGTTCATTTGTACATTCCTTACTTCTTATGTACATCGTACATCCGCGTCAATCTAAACACGCTTCCTGAACTGTTTCGTCAACTTGAAGCGGGCCAACAAGACAAAGAGACTAGCGAGAGTCGAGATCCCTCCCGCGTAGAAGATAGCAGGCCGATAGACACTGATACCTTGTTCTCTTCCCGCGTCCCTCGACCCACCCGCCGCCTGCAGCAAATATCCAGCAATCGGCGCGCCCATGAGATACCCGCCCGTCCACCCCGTAATCGCCATGCTCATCGCGACCGCTGCTCGACCCGGTCCGACCATACCCGCGATGACGGTCGGGAACGTCGTGAAGTAGGATCCATTAGCGACGCCGTTAAGAGTGGCGAATAGAACGAGAGGGCCGAGGGTGTCTGAGACTGGCCAGATGGCCAGCATCGTTGCTGCGTTTACGGCCATGGTGATGAGAAGCATGTTGATGGGACCGATCTTGTCGCACAGAGGGCCGGCTATGAATCTCCCAATCGCGTTGCAGGCGTTGAACCCCGCAACGAGGCCTGCGCCGGTACTCGAACTCAGACCGACGGATTGGGCGAACAGCGGGAGGAAATATGGCGGGACATAGAGGGCGAATGTGCCGGTGACACCAACTAAGAAAATGGCGAGGAAGGGGATCGAGCGTAGCATCTCCAGCTCCATGAATGGTACGTTGCGGCGGTATGGGACTCGATCCTTTAGCAGTGAGGCGGCAGGGAGGCCGATTCCAAGCGTGATAAGGCCTTGGATGATGAAGGTCCATTGGATGCCAACATGGCGATTCAAAGATTCGAGAGCCATCGCCATGACACAGCCGCCTATTCCGCCACCAAGTTTGACGAGCCCATTGGCAAGGCCCAAATGTCCGCTAAAGTACTGGACCGGTAGCGCATTGGAGACGGTGTATACGAGTGCCATTCCCACGCCGGCAAGGACTCCTGCTGTGCCGAACAAGCCTGGGACATTTGTAGTGCAGAACCCGCTTCCGATCAAACTCAGGCCGATAATCAAGATTCCAATTAGAGCCGCGATTCTGGAGCCACAATATGCCAATGCTCGAGTTGCAATGAGTCCATAAGCTGCAGCGCCAGCAAGCCCCAGGGAGCCGACGAAGGACAGCGTCGACGGCGGAACGTGCTGAAGTTCAGAATTCAAGAGAGCGGCCTGCAAGACACCCCAACAGTTGATGATCCCATTGTGACAGAAAGTGATCAAAGAGCAACAGAATACAATAGTCCAACCATAGCCTCCGTCTGGAATTGCAGTGGTTGAGTACGCGGCATCGGGAGGGGAGTCATCGGGTAGCTGTTCCAGCAAAGGTTCCGGTGCACGTTCAGGGACCTTGGGGTCAAACCTCCTTAATTCAATGTGTTCTTCCGTTATCGTCGCCATGACAATCCTGATGATTTGATGGAGGCGAACAGTATAATTTGTTGTTCGAAACATGGGTCGAGTCTGTCAGATATTTTATAGTAGTTTGAATGGATTGCTAGCCGAACCTAGCTAGAGTGCGCCCTTCCGGAACCATAGGCCGAATGGAGTGAAATAGAAAGGCGCTGTTCATCCTTGCCGGATAAGGAAGGACGAGGTAGAGAGGGTGATACAAGTACTTGTAAATGATGTTGTGCCTCGTCAGGAACGGAGTACATTACAAGTTCAAGGTATAAAAGACAGCAGTCGCAAAAAGCAGTAGTCTGATGCGAATTTAGAACACGCGACGACTACTTTTGGCAAGCAGGGATTATGATCAGGACTCTTTTAACATTTGAACATAAGTTATATTGTTTTTTAATTCCATTCGGCTGATCAAGCAACTCTCATAAATATATCCACGGTCATTTCGCTATTTAGTTGTTCAACTTTTCGCTGAGTTTCATCAATTCCTCAATGACTACCATGTGGTCATCCCATTGCTTGAGCCCACTCACAACCACGACAGCCACAGGTCCTTCAACATTGTTCACGAAGATGGGCACACCACCACCGTGAATCGCATACTCTTTAGCATCCTCTCCTAGACCCAACTTCTTCGCAAACTTCTCCTCGTCTCCCTCGAAGGTGTTGTGCAAGCGCCATGTGCTCGCGCTCCACCTGATGACAGCATTGCGCTTGCGTCGGACCCAGTAGTCGTTGTCTAGTGCGGTACCGGAGTGAGTAGCCGCGTGGAAAAGGACATGTGGTGGTGTTGAAACGGTGGAAATGTGGATAACGGCAGGTTTATCAAATGTGAGAAGGCGAGTGCGAAGAGCACTGCCTAGTTCAAAGGCGACGGATGCATTCCAATGTGGGAGTCGTGCTGCTTCTTCTTGTGCCTGGATGGCTTCAATATCGCGGGGTGCCTCTGCCAAGGCGACGTAGTCTGGGTGAGCCATTGTATGTATCGATGATGGAGATTGATTGGGTTGGTGAAATGGATGTGGATTGATGGTTTCTTTGAGAACTTTTGGAGAATTGAGTTGATTGATGATTTAAGTTCAGAAACTGAGCACTCTTGACTGATATTAAATAGTACCGGGTAACCACTTAACCATATGCATTGTCCCGACGATCGCGGAGTTGGTCCAAGCGATGAAGGGTAAAACTCTTATAATAGCTACTTCCAGTATAGTTCGGCGCTTGGTTCGCACTTGTCCGGTTCCAACCAGGCGTCGATCTGCTTAATCAATCATTTGGTAGATTGACTTTGCGAACGAAAAACATAGATGACGACTTTGCTCAGTCGTAAAACTCGTCTTGGGAAGTTCAGAGATAAATTGGAGTTCTCTGCGCAGAACAAAGGCTATGCAGCAAGATAGCTTCGGCACAAATGCAGACTGTACTTTTATTTCAAATCACCAACATGTCAAAAGTTCTGAGCAATCTTGTGAAGTATGTCTATACCTCGTAAATGTTTTGGTCAATGAATTGGGTTTCATAATTGTTTGGCTCAATCTAATCGCATCGACAAATCTCGCTCTACATACCATCCGCTCAGTCGAACAGAGACAACCCGATATCATCGTCACTAGGTTCATCTTCAATCCCTTGTTCTTCATCGTCCTTGCTTCCCTCTTCACCCTCCCTATCGTCCTGAGACTTCTCGACATTGGGCCCTCTGACGTTCTCCGACGAAGCGATAGTCGTCAAGATGGCCTTGACGTCCTTCGCCTCGAGTGCTTTCGCAAATAGAGCAGTCCAGATGGGTTCGATGTCGTCGATACCGGCTGCTTCGAGGATTATCTGCAACTTTTCGGCTGTAATGGCGATGTCCGCGTCGGCAAGAATGAGTGATGCGTACTAGATTCGTTCAGTACCATCGCGGAAGGTTCAAGCCTGATTCACTCATACCGAGACAGCGGTTTCAGCGCGCGATGAAGACATTGCAACCTTCTTAGTGTTCTCGGGTAAAATATGGTCTGTTGATGGTGTTGTAGTCGTCGCACTTTGCTCTTGCTGCGATGAACTCGAGCAGACGCATTGGACAGACGACTTGATATACAATTTTGTCAACCGCCATGATATTCTCCGAAGCCATTGAATTCGGACATCTACGCTGTGGCTGATACAAAAAACATATGACTCCCCATAGATGATTTACTACGTGCGAAGGTTGGTACTTGCTGCCTTCTGGGGCGGTGTCGTGAGTCACTGCGCGCCTGACAGCATGACTGTTCATCAGCAAGGCTCCAGCAGAAACATAGCAGGGCAAGTTAGACAGAGCAAATTATTGTAATTTCGGGTCATCTGTCACATTTATATGATGTTATAGTGGACTCAGTGCTTCATATCAATGAGTCAGCATAAGATGTACTGCGTAGTATGACTATAGCGCTCTTCATAGTTACTACATAGTCACCCTAAGATTACCACCCTAAACTCCTTAGCAGATGATTCGATACAAAATGAGAAAAGGATTCTTAGTCAGATATAATATGGAATGTTTGTAAGGTGGCCACGGAGGTCGCCTGGTCCTTTCGTGAAATATCATGTCAACAACTTTTGTTCCTCAATGATGTCGAACTACGAGTTCGAACAAACATCTCATTTATGTAAATGACATGCATATTAACGTTTCATATAATATATCGACTTGAAATAATCACATGATATGTACAGGATATATATGCGTTTTCTTATTGGTGTGTATGGTCTGATTGCAATCGGATTCGGCTTGGTTATGAACCAGCAACTATTTTCAGCGATTGACTGACTTTGAGGCTGAAAATACCAGCATGTGAGCCGGCAGGTAGAGACGTCTTGATCACAATAGATGATGAGCACGGTATGGTATGTAATGTTCCATGAGATCTGGGAAACAATGAATATTTCTTAGATATGCCCGTCGGCATCAAGTAGTTACAACAGAGGGGTATCCAAAAATTACGTATCAAACCATTCAAGCGCATCGTTCTTTCCAAAGATCGCACGGAACACATGGTCTCCATCGTCCTTAACCACCTCCTCGGTATGGATACTGTGCAACTTGTACTCCCTCTCGTCAGGGCTGCTTCCATCCGTGTTCTCCTTCGCTGAACCGAAGATACGGATGTGGATATAGGCGTTGTCGACAGCCGGAATCTTCACCTTGCCAAAGAGGTGCAGCCCGTATGCCGAGTTTGCGACGCGAACCGACTCGAGGTCAGAAGCGGAGAAACTTGCCAGGTCGCTGTCGGAAACGTCTTTCACCGCGCGGAAATACTCAGGTTCATGCTCTACTCGCTGTTAGAATCAATCGTGAAGGACATGCGACTTGAAGCATACTATCGTGGCTGTGCCTTAGCTTGATCAGCTCTTGCTTAACGGACTCCAGAATTGAGTCGAATGCATCAAGCGATGCTTGCTGGGGCGCATGAGCTTCATTGAGCTGAACGGTGTCTTCGGTCGCCATGATGAGTGTGTCGTGTATTTTGGGAGGCAAGAAAGGTTGATTTGGTTGTTTTATCGAGGGTTGAAACTGTGATCAGTTGAATACTGGATGCAGGAAGGTTAATCAATTGACTTTATATGGGTCATTCACATGATACAACCGACCCCGCAATATGATGCCATTGCTTTGGTTGGCTTTCCAAGGACGCGAGGCGGGTCGCGTTTCAGGCCGTGATTGTCGTACCTGGCAGAACCAAGTTTTTGAGCATGACGAAATCCAAGATTCCTCTGAATGAAATAAGTGATGTGCTATTACAGTAAGAAACGTAAACATCTCGTATTCTAATCTCATACTATTCATTCATCATCTGCCACGTAGTATTGTTTAGGTTACAATGCTGTGTTTGTTGTTATTTTGCTCGCTACGAACGGCATGTCGAGCAGGGGTATGAATCGGCGTAATCGTCACTTGTGAGGAATTAAATAAGGATGATACGTTACGCTTGCGAAAATGCTTAACGAATCCTTCGAATAGGTATTAAGTCTTCTTGTTCTACTCTTGAGTTCCGCTTCATGTCAATTTTTAGATTGCTCTTGATTTGCTCGTCGGCTTTCAACTTTGCGTAGTGCATATGACAATCAGCATACGGTATCGACTGGATGACGAGGAATGTCTATAAGACTTGGATCCAGATCAAACGATGGTAAACGAAACGCAAGTTCAAGAGGGGTCACACTGTGAGGACGTTCAAATACTTCCTACGAAGGGGGAGAGATTTGCACAAACTCGACTTTTGTATCAAAAGAGCACTTATCACCTTCTTGCCACAACAATGACACCTCTCATGATGCCTGACCGCGCCCACCACCCAAACATCCACTTTGCTACGTGAAACTGTCCCAACCCACTGCCGAATGACTGTAGCTTTTGGTCGTGGTCTCCCAGGAATGTTACCAGTGGCCCAAAAACACGCTCTGTAACATCGCGCAATTTAACATCCGAGTAGCCGGCTTTGTGGAGTTTACTACGATATTCATCCATCGTGCTGAAGTTCGCCCAAGGTGCTCTCATTAGACTCGTTAATGCGCGGAGAAGCGCACGATCAATCCCAGAGGCCTCGTCCGCAAGGCAAAGGTCGAAAGCCATAAACGACGCGCCTAGTACGCGGGATGCGTACTCAATGACTGGCCAACGTGACGGTGCGAAGTGATACAGGGTATCCAAGGCCATGACCCAATTCTCGTCTCCATCCTTCGTGGCATTAAGGACTTGCTGTTGGAGGTCGAGGTTCCATCGATCTGGCTGTGCTGCATCCGCGCAGAAAAGACGTAATTGTCGTTTCTCCGATAAAGGATCGCCTTTGGTTTGTTGAATGCATTCTTGGAGACGCTGTTCGGCATATCGAAACTGGGTCTTGTCGACTGTTATGCCGATATAGGTATCGAATCTCTCCACATACTTCTGATCATCCCACCAGGTAATATCTGATTCTCGGATCGGGGATTGACTGTTCAAATATACAGTCTGCTCCCCACATCCGACACCCAGATCAATGAGGGTCTTCTTCTGAGGCGGTTGGGAACTCCGTGCCCTGTCGAATCCAGCCGTTTTCAAGACCTCTGATAATAGATTTCTACTTGCTTGTGCCAACGTCATGGAGCAAGCTTTGCCTTTCTTCGAGCCGTCGGAGTCCTCCTGAAACTAGGTCAGTGCTATGCGCAGTGTATTCTTTCGTCCGGCTTGCCTTCCAGTAGCCCATGTTCATCCACATCGAAGGTGGGCTCAAAGTTAGATTGAGTTTTCCATGCGCCAGACTGTATAAAGTTCTGGTATCATCCTCCTTGAATTTCTTACGGTTCCAAAGCTTCAACACACCCGACAAAAACCACTTCAAAAACGGCACGAAGAACAATCCACTTAGAAATACGAATAGATGAGAACGTTGAAAATCAAAATTCAAAAAGCGTAACAACATGGTTAGAACATTAAATGAAATCGGCGAAATTATATACAAGAAATTAAACACAATACGCTGCCTATAATGTTCTGGTGTCGTCTCATCGGGTCCTCGAGGTTGCTGGTGGTAGAAGAATGATGACAAGTCACTGATGTAGTGCGTCAACATGATATTACTACCACTAGCTCAACCTAGACGAGCTCGAATGCATGTACCCTCATACGGAATAGGCAGTTCACGTTAAAGATTAAGCCTACAGCAAAAGAGTTATAAAGGCTATCTGGAGGGTTTCGTTCACTTTGAGTGACCACATGAAAGTTAATAGCATTGTTGTAATTTGTGACGGCTACCTACAGGCAAATCGGCAGGTCTAACAATCGCTGCCATTGATAGAAGTTCGTTTTGGGCTACAACGCATTTACCTTACGATATGATATGTACTTGATATATGAATAGATTTTGGTTACAACACATTTTACAAATCGAAAAACGAGTTAATTTTCCGGTACAACGTATTTTACATTGAACTACGATTCACGCCATCGACATAGATTTAGGTTACAGCGCATTTACGTTCAACTATTAGATATGTTCGCTATCCTAGATCAAGACTTCCAGGGTATCTCAACATTAAGAGCATTGGCAACACGCATCGCAGATACGATGCAGCCTTCCAGAAGCACCATTCCATCCCAGCACCAACCTCCTACCAGGAAGACGTTATCATCGCCGTTCTTCCAAAGGGAATTAGACTTCTCTGCTCCCGCAAAATTAGGGGTATCTCTAAAAATGCTATTTACAATGCGCTTGCTCTCCGGGGTTCGAAGTACTCGAGTAAATGTCGCTGAATGGATCGTATGCTCGTCATCGATTTTATCGATCGGGCAGGTCGTAACAATAGAACCACAATTTTGAACATGATGAGACTCCGTCTGATGGATATTATCGGTCGTCGTCCGTAGATATATCAGTTGTGCGCCAAGCCTGCTCTTTCTTTGTTCCAGGCTCGAGCCTTGCTTCAACATTGTCTTGTCCGAGTGGACAACACTTTCCACCATCACAGTGGGTATCCTTCGCATGAAATGCTGCAAAGGCCCGAATATTTGGCCAACAATGTCCGGAGCCACAGCCATGATCACTTTATCAAAGGTTTCTTCCTGATCCTCGGCATCATTACTGTCGACCTTCTTCCACGTTAGTTTCACCCTGTTTCCAGTAGGTGTCACCTTCGAGATTGGTGCAGAAAGCTCGTAATTGACGCCCTTTATAAGCCGCTCCTGAACAGTGTTCACGCCGTTCGATACCGTGTAATGCGGTGCATTATGCGTCCTCCGCTTGTAACCGATCACATCACTGGCTGGAAACCCGAGCAATGATTGATGCGGACATGTCGTGACACTCGAGATGAGCGGCAAGACATAGTAGGATATAAAATATTCCGGGACCCAAGTTCTCCGCAAATACTCTTCCAACGATTCAGCACCTTGCAGCCCGTCCAAGGGTGCCACCAAGAAACAGCACAACGAGAACCATGCATAGCAAACCAATAAATATACGACTTCGAGTATATACGATATAAATGGCAGGGCGCGGGGGCGCGGAGGCGGTGTCTCATGCAGGTTCGAAGCATGAACGAAGTATGAGGACGCCGGCAACTGCGACTGCGAATCCGACCGTAGCCGCGAACCCAGCTTTGTCGGCGATTTTGCAAACTCGAAGAGGAAGGGTTGTGAATGGTATTTTACGCCTAGGTGATCGTACATTGCCTTCAAGTTACTGTAAAAGCCGCCCGCGAATGCGCGCATGGGAAGATCGACGCGATTGAAGGCCGTTTTCGTGGCATTTGGTATCGAGACGGAGGCGGAGTCTAGGGAAAGTGTTTTGCCCTTCACGAATCGTCAGTTTCGCTCGCAGAGATCGCAGCCATCTGTCACGTACCGACTCGAAAATTTTGACCGCATACCGTTGGTGAGGATCGTTCGAAAGGAGGTAAGCGGTAACCAGCCCGGCCATACCAGAGCCAACAATGGCTACTTGCAGTTTCTTTGTCCCATTGTTGGAAGCCATTGTCATGGTAGAATGGGACATATCATTTCAGCACCGTAAGTGACATGTCGAACAATAAGAGGGGTCAGAGGTATCCTGGGTTCTGGCTGGTATACGATGAGATGGGGAGAAGACAGCTTGGCATCGTGCAATTGTGACAAAACTGCGACGCACGATTTTGCAGGGGGAGTAGTGGCGGGAAATGGTACGAAAAGAGGCAGGTCTCAAGCGGAGAGTTTTACCAGCACTTGGCTGGGTGACATCGTCATTAGCATATTTAGTCGCACGTGTTGAAGCGAACGGGATAATTGATGATATGGGATAATAAAGTAATGCTTGCGATTGGTTGTTTCTCAATGAGACGTAATCGTAGAGCCGCTTAGTCTCTCTATCGGCCGAGGGAGTAATGATGTCAAGGTGAGGAGCTAATAGTTACACAACATCACCATTCCGACTACTCGTAGGTACGAAAGGGTTTCGTTCCTTGTCAAGACCCCTCAAGATAACTGAAACGGTTTACATGCTAGTAATAATTCATACCATTTAACAACTCGATCGGTCTATGCCTCGGGATTCGGCCCTCAAAAACAACTCGTATTCTCTATCATAATACAGTTCATCAAGCATGTCTGGGCAGATCCACCCGGGCGTGGCAGCTCGGCGCGTAGCAATAATCGGAGCTGGGTGAGTGAGTTGCTGTATTTTACATAACACCACCAATTCACGTATATATCTGTTCATTGAACACCCTACTGAAAGAAACAATACTTATTCCTTTTTGTAGCCCGGGCGGATTGGTAACACTGAAAACGCTCCTTGAAGCATCCACTCCGGATTCGCCTATCGAAGTTCAACTCTTCGAAGCGTAGGTATATCTTCATGATAACCGGCACTATCTTAATATTAACGAGCGCATAAGAGAACATGACATTGGGGGTACATTCCAGTTTCGTTCTTACGAAAATGCAGAATTGGTGTCCTCTAAGCAATTGACCACCTTTTCTGATCATCGTTTCCCACTTTCAACACCTGATCACATATCGCTTCCACAATACGTCGATTATCTAAAGACTTATATAGACCGCTTCGCTCTTAGTCCATTTATTAATCTGGGATGCCGAGTAACCAATATCTCCCCATTAGCCACAACATCAGAGCAGCAATGGAAGCACCGTGTTACCTACATAGATGGCAAACATGATGGCAAAGAACGGACATACGACTGCTCGCATATCGCGATATGCACCGGGCTACATGTACAACCCAACATTCCCAATATTCCGGGTGTAGAGAACGTAAAGGGGGATGTCTTCCATTCCTCACAATACAAGCTTCGATCACAGCTTACAGGTCGAAACGTCTTGATACTCGGATGCGGAGAGACAGCCATGGGTATGACATAAACCACATATCTACTAAAATCATTTGACTGACAATCAAGCTAGATCTAGCCTATGAGTCGATGAAAGCCGATGCTTTGCAGGTCACCATGTGCTTCCGAACGGGATTTCTCTCGTTCCCAAAAGCCTTGAGCCGATTCAAGGTTTTCTCGAAGCAATTCAAGGGTGGTCTCCCAATCGATGGCCTGATCACGAATCTATTCGAAACCGCATATGTCCACCGCGCAATTGCACAGTCTAGACTTCGTTGGTTCGTCTCCGACTTCGTCATCAAGCGGGTGCTGTGGTTTTTGACTGGTACCCAAGCTGGGATGAATCAACATGTAGGAGCTCTGCCTCACGACCGACTTGGGCGTGCCTACGTGTTCTTGAATAAAAGTAGCAAAGCAATGCCGTATCTGAATAGACCGTATCAGGAGAAGCACCCTTTGGCTTTCCTAGGCAACGGCTATGTGGATCCACCGGAAGATGCCAATTCCAAGAGATGGGTTGACACCTGCAGTTTTCCCGAACGTATCGATTCGTCTGGACGGGTTATCTTTGAGAGCAGACCTGATAGGAAAGATTGGAGGCGCATGAAGAACGTTGAGGTTAGACCTAACTGCGTCATCTACTGTACCGGATACAAGCAAGTGTTTTCCTGGCTCGATGCCAGCTACCCTACCGCATCCGACGCAGCGATACGCAACATCATCGCCCCATCGCATCCAGACATTGCATTCATAGGCTTCGTTCGCCCCGGAGTAGGAGCCATCCCCCCGATCGCCGAACAGCAAGCCATGTGGTGGATAGCCTTGATCACCGGCCGCATGCAGATTCCCACCGACCCACCGCACTACCATCTCCTCGCTCGAAAGACGTCTCGCATACAGTATGGCGTCGATCACAGCGCATACATGAGCACACTTGCCAAAGACTTTGGCGGCGCGCCGGGCCTCCTCGAATTGTATAAAGCTCATGGGCTCAAGGTCTTGCTGACGTACTGCTTCGGTGCAAGTTTCGTCACGTTCTATCGACTGCTTGGGCCGTTCAAATCGGAGCTGGCACCAGAAATATCGAGGACGGAATTGGCAGAAACGATTACTCGACGCGGTATTCTGGGTAATTTGTTCTTTGGTGTAAGTGTCCAAGCTCTTCTTCCTTTTCTTCTTCTGCTGCATCAGTGGATCTGTTGACTAACTCGTAATAGGTGATACCAATGCTGTTCTATGGAATGATCAATAGTGCGGCCTTCATGCTAGAGATGTTGGGTCTGATACCAAAGGAGCAGACTGCTATGTAGGTTTTAGGTGTGGTTTCTACATTCAAGTTAGCGGAGATACTTATTTAAGCATGTCCGCGACGGGTGAGCTTATGGAGAAGTAGACAAAAGATATCTGCGTAGACAACTGCCTTGGGTATGGGTACAAATCTGGCACAAGCATCACTATTCGGTCTTTACTCACTGGCACGACTACTACACATGGATGGACTGCAAGCGTGGGAAACATGCATTACTCTATTAACTTGTGCCCATGTCAAGGGCAACATTTAGATTAAAGTATACTATCAATAAATTATGGGGTATCATGGAATTTTTCAATGGCGACCAAACACTATGCTCCTTCTCATGTAGAGTGCGTTGTGATTGATTCAACTCCTGCTGGGGCCAACCGTGGTTGTTTGGATTTAGCTTCTGTCTTGATGCGTTCCGGTCTGATCAAGAGTGAGGACTTCGGAATCCTTCACCTATTGGTAATATCGTACTGATACGGCAGCTCGCCCTCTGCAGACTCCGAGCGCAATCGTACGACGGACCTTGCAGACCTTAGGGAGGAAGATGATGAGTTCGGTAAGATGGTTGAGGGACTCCGTTGGATTGATAGCCTTCTGACGGATCCAGAAGCGAAGGACCTCTCTGAGGGTGACCTCGGCAATGTATAATAACTAGAACTGACGTTCCGGTGCATCGATGGTGCGGTTCGCAATGTCTGTGGGCTTTCGCTCCCATGGCCATAAGGTGATGCCTGACTACTGCGATTGGAGTCGGAACGTGGATGAACCCGTGGTGTGCGCCAGTCCACGGGCAACCCGGAAGAATCCGACGATATTGAGGATGAAAGACTCTGTGTGTCTGAACCAAAACTTGCTGCTCTGGCTTCTTCAATGACCGAGGGATCCAGATGTGTCATGCCATTGAGTATGTCCGCGAATACTGCCATGATGTCTCGAAATTCCGTCTCGGTGAGGGCCTGTGTAGAGAAACGCGCATACTCGTATTGTGAGAGGAAGTCTGGGCCGAGATTTGGGGGATTGATGAGTCCGAACGACGAGAGACGACCGAGATACTGGCGCAACCCCATTGTACGTGGTCTTTGAAGAAGTGCGACGACACTAGCATCTGGCAACATCGGTCCATTGTCGCGAGGATGGAATGGACTGTCAACGGCCGGGTCTGGCGGGGCCAATGCGACGGCCTTTGCTTCGATAAGGTTGGGCAGCTCGGTGACAACTTTCCAGTACTGCAGACTCGGAAGATCGGGTGATGAAGGGGAAGCCCAGCCTGAGTGAGATATGTGACCCCATGGTGGTGACTTTGCGGATACAGGTATCACCGTGGCCGCCTTAACATGGCTCCAACGCTTGCGGTCGCGCTCTGCGGTCATCGGTCGTTCCTCCTCGACAGCTACGTCTTTCACAGTCCTACTAAGGTCTCGAGGTCGTGAGTCCCAGGCTATAATTGCACTTCTCTTGAGTGCCTTCACGATCATCTTCCTAACCATCGTTCCGACTTCTCCATCTTCGATCGGTACATAGGGCTTCGGTATCGCGGCGAGGACTGTTCTGTTTGTATATATGCGCGTCGAGTACACTAGGAGCACAATGAGAAAGGTCAAGACGTATGCACCGCCGATTACGAATAGTTTCTGGAGCTCTTTGACGCGGATCGATTGGTATATGGTGTCTCCGGGTGTGACGGCGAGGAGGATTATTAGGATAAAGAAGATAACGGTATAGGTGGTGCTATACCATATGCGAAAGAGAGGGATGCGCATTGTGCGTTCTCCAATTAATATTATTTACATGGTGAGGAAGAATGCGTTTCGTTTCGGAACATTTGCGTCATGCAGAAGGGGTAACGGTTGAGGAATCGATGTTGTATGCCAAGCACCCGCACAAGCCAGCAACACCTATTCGTAGTTGTGCCGCGGTTCGCCGTTCAACTCCTGACCTAGTTATGCTCTGGACTTGACAGCAAATCACCATCTTCCAATAGCTCTTCGACCATCAAGTATATCTGCAATGCCATCATTACCAATAGACAGGAACTCGCCGTACAACTAGATCCAATCAAGTGAGATTCAATTGGAATCAGAATTACATCAATCAGGCGCCCGTCACCTAATGACAGTCCCGTGCTCCTAGGTGCCCCAATCTGACCATCATGTTTTCAACCAATATATACGCCTCCCAGGTCTCCCTGTCAGATTATTGCCTTTTTGGTGTATTCAAGTCATCCTCAGTTCCATAGTCAGTCACTTTCAAAGAAGTCCTTCGCATAATGAGGCACAGAACAGTTGGTCTGTCTTGCAGTACCGGTATCTGCTTTCTCGCACGAGGCAACGCCAAAACTCACAAGTTAAATGAATTATGAGAAGGACGCAATTTAACACTTCAGCTCGACTTCCACAATACCGTGCGAGACACCAGAGCATACACAAACAGGCTCAAGCTAGTGCATGATGCACTGAGATTACACTACAACTCCTGCGAACAGTGCGCCCAACAGGTATAATGAGTATTGTATGGATCCTCTATATTTCTGTTTGTTAGTTGCACCACCCCCTGGATGCAGCAGGCGGCAATGGATGAAGGGCGTGGACCAAGGGAGACTGGCAGTGCAGCTGTGGCACGTAGGATCTGTCTGACCTCACGTGTGAAGATCGTCAAGATTTCAGGCGCAGCTATACGCCTGTTGCTAGCTATAGACGCCCTTGTACAATTTATTGGTTGGTGGTGTTTTACTTTTCAAGGCAGTGAACTTATATAATGAATGACTCTCGGTGGCTAACACTCACAGACTTGGTCCCTCCTGCCTTTAGATCAATCCATGATCATCAACGCCCACTATCCAACTCTTTATAGTCATTTTAGTAGTCATCGGTGCCGAATTACACTGTTACATTGAGTACAAAGCTGATCAAACATCGCAAGAATGTCGTTGACGGCACCTTATACGAATGCAATGCGCGTATGACACTAACTGTCTATTTCGAAGAGTCCAGCTAATTTCTTCTCAGATCGGACAAGGCTTCAATACGTACACACAAGAAATACGCCTGGAGGATGCAGTACGGGTGCTCTCAGGAAAAGAGAGCGAATCCCCAACCGATCCAGGTCAACACAACAGGAGTCTCGTCAATTTGCCCTCGGCAGAAAGGCTCGATGGGAGCGCCAACGGCTCTGAAAACGTGCCCTCAGTTCCTGCGAATAGCATATCCGAAGCAAAAGATGGCCTCTTATCCCCCCTGCCCACCCATAGGCAAGCTCTAGGTAGTGTAACAGATGTAGTGTCGTCTGGAGCGAACATAGTACCATTCGATATTCCGAGAGCACCGTCTCCTTTGACAAGTCAAAGCGTCACCTACTCCACCAGGGCGATTGAGAACGTTAGCGACATAATGGATGCGTTGAACATTTCAACTTCGATGTCGATCAAATATGGGACAATTCATGGTAACGGCAATGCCTCGTTCGTTAATGAGACAAAGGTTCTGGATAGCGACCTCAACTACGTTGTTTCCGTGACCGTTAACAATGATCCTCGTTCCTCAGTCAAAGACATGGATTTCCAGGATATACCGGGTCTCCCGCTTGACAGATTCACAGAAGTGTATGGAGATTCCTTCATCTCTGGCTTCATGGAAGGGGGCGAGTTCAACGCCGTCATTTCTGTTAAAATAAACGATAAGAGCAGGTTCAAGGCAGTCAAACAAGCAGTGGATGTGCAACTAGCCGTCGGTCCTCCTACGCTTGAGGTTGGAGCGAGCGAGTCATTTGGTAAAGACCACGCCGAAACCCTGAAGAATACAGAGATTTCGATCTCCGTCAATTGGGTCGGTGGCGGCGAAATCAAGAAACCCGGAGTGCCATGGACCAACAAGACCGTGGTAGCCGTTGCCAATGCATTCCCATCTATGGTAGCTCGATCATCCGCGAGAACCCAGGCTATTCTCACTAGATACACTTCCCTCAGATCCTTTCAAGTGTGGAAGTGGAATCGGCTCGTGGAAGAACGACGAATTTGGGAGTCTAGTCCGGCCAACCAAAAAGGGGGCGAAAACAACAAAGATGGCAAGCAAAGATATGAGGAGCCAGTCATCATTCTCAACTATGTACCATGCTCACTTTACACTGCTGATCTATTCGACGCACTGATGAACTACAAAAAGTTGTGGAAACGAATTGGAGAGAGTGAGTGTGAAGGGGTCTGACATTCGAAATGAAACTAATATATCTACAGTGCTCCAAAATACTTCACAATACAAGCTCAGATCATCTGCGTCGAAGACACTGGCCAAGGATAAAGATACTACGACCAAGCCTTCTCCTCTTTTGACCAGGATGGCAACCCCGACTGGTATCACTTCGCGCTCTTCAATTGCCAACGGATCACCCTGCGACACCAAGGCAGTAGAAACCAATGGAATAGAGCGTGCTTACACATTTGATGTTGAAGAGGGCACGTTAGGATGGAATCTCCTCGAGAACAACACGCGGCGCGATCCAATACCACCTGAGCCCGTCGCGTTAAATGAGGCCCGCCTTCTATGTAGGGAGGCTATGACTTTGATAATTGAAGAGGCATGTTCTGAAAAATCAGAATAGCTGATAATATTTGCTAACAACATCGATAGGCATCAAGACTGGTGGATCATCCACATCTTGCGTACGCAGAGTATGACGACAGAACCAAATCAACTCGAATGAAGCGCCCAAACTATGCTTACCCACAGGTTCTGAAGGAACGCCTTCCCGTTCCCATTCACAATGATATACTATCCGACCTCTCTACTGATGGTGCATACCTGAAGACGATAGCATTTGCAGGTGGTGAGGACAACATTTGGTTTGAACCGGACATGATTGGTGATCCAAAAGCAAACGAAGATGACTTGAGTCGAAAATTTGGTGCCAGCAAATACGAAGACTTCAGCACCCTGGAGCTCACGGAGCCAAAGGGAACAAAAGGCCTCAACCCGTTGCGGCGCATATCTCTCCACAGGTACCGCCCTCACTCCTTGACCGGCTGGCTGTCTAAGTCCGCCTTGAAGCAGGCAGAGAATGCCATCGGGACGATTGGACTTGCCCGCGTGCAAGACGACCCCTCAACTGCGAAGGCAGACGGCTGTGTCCACCACCTTGGTCACCTGCATCACAGTGACTCAGACGACGCTGCAAGCTTCAAAGCACTCGAGCTCGGCAACGTCGACATCACCAAGATTGATGTGGCATACGTCCCAGGCTCAGGCTACATTGCTGGAATTACATTCTTCGACGAGATCGATGGACAGACGACGGAGCGGCTCTCGTGGAAGCAGTGGGAGGGGAACGCCCCAGCGGGCCTAGTTCATATCTCTAATGAGCCGCCTGATGGAAGAGCCGTATGGAAGTTTGTAGGACTATCTGGGAGCTGGATAAATACAGTAGGGCATGGGCATGTACTGGCGAGAATTAGTGGTATATGGAAAAGGAACGACGTATAGAGCTGTCTCCGACTCTCCGTACGTGGCCAATGAGTACAGGGATTTAGTCGTCATCAACAAATTGACTGTTTCTTTCAATGAATCAACCATTGAGTGGCAAGATATGAGTCTGGCCATGTTAAACCAAGAACGCTTGCTACTTGGTACCTATTGTCGTGATGACGCAAGCCGACTACGTTGTGTACATACTCGTAACCCGTTGTGAAGAATCACAAGACCTCTATAAGATGTGGGCGATCCGACCCGACCACAAGGCACCGGCGACAACTTTAATCCAACCCATCGATTCAGAAATCCTTCAACGTTTGTGCATATAGTTTCTGCGTACTACATAAACGTGCTTGAAGCCCTCCCGTCAGCGACAAATCAATACCTGTTGATGGTTTGTTCCTAGTCAGGGCCCAGGAATTTATTATTCGTTTACCGCGATTGGCACTGTCGGCGCAACGCCACCAAGACTCGAGTGACAAAGTCCCCGCAATCCCAAAACCCCTAAACCCTAAACTTTCGCGCAACAAGCCATCACTCGCATCAGCATCTGCGCGCTTTAGCCGCACCAATATCTCTGATTCGACGCGGACGTCGGCCCGTCCTTGCAGCAACTCCCAACTGACTCTAAAGTGTATGTACCGGTACTGTTCTGCACAGTAGACAGTAGATATCTCGCACTAGGCCATACCAGACGGCTCGCCGCGTGGCCCAGCCGTACCGCACTCTTGCCCGTTCCCAACACCCTAACGACTCACGGCGTTCCAAGATCATTACTTTGCAGGGCTGCCCACAAGCGAAGAGCATACTGAAAGAGGGGGCAAGGCTACTGTAGTCCAAGGAACCACTCTGTCATACCAAGTCGAGTGCAAGTACCGACCCAAAATGTCCATAAAGTGAGTATACTCGCTCCTCTCGATCGATGTGTTTTACCTCTTCGCCGCCCCTCTCCCCACCTGTAACGTCTACCCCGCAAATCGTGTGTAGTTACTGGGGGGCCGAATTGTTATAATCACATTGGAGATTCCTCGAAACCTCAAGATGCGGAAGAGCAAATCTAACAGAAAGAGCAGTTGGGTGATGCTCACTGAGAGCGGTGGATATACTCCGCTGCCTGGCGAGCAGAGCCTCTATGTATCTCCTCCACGAACAACCTTGTCGCTGCAGAGCTCCAATCGAAACCCCCCGAGCCAGGCTTACTCCGTTCAATGCAAGTCAGGCGTGGTACATCTCACGAATAGACGGGTATGCTCGCACCATGTAACCCATCTTGCCATCGGTGAAGCTGACCCGTGACAGATAGTCTATCTACCCGTCTCGCCCACGCCAGAGTTCCAATCCTTTGCTGTCCCGATCCTAAACGTACAAGACTCCCGCGTCACGGCTCCATGGTTTGGTGCGAACAAGTGGGAGGCAGTCATACAGCCCGTTTACGGTGGAGGAATACCAGCACAGTTTGCTGAGCTGGAGGTCACAATGGAATTCAAGGAGGGGGGCGCCTTCGACTTCTCTACGACATTTGAGAGGCTACGCGAGCGATTACGGCAAGCTTTCGATGTGGCAAGAGAGAGTGGCCTGACCTCAGGCGATGGAGCAGAACTTGGAGGTGGAAGAGGGGGAGGAGCGTTGTCGGGAGTGAACCTCAACTCAGTACATCTAGAGGACTTGCCAGCATACGAGGATACGAGGGGGCAGAATTCTACCGGACGTGCAGACGCACTATCCAGTCCACCTCCTCCACGAGACAGCGTCGTAGCGCCATCATCGCCTCCCAGAGATGAGAAGTCGAGTACAGCCCGGAGCCCGCAACAAGAGACCTTTGAGCCTCCTTCGGAACCACCACCAGGATACGAAGAGGTCCAGAGAGAAAGCGTGGCCGACGAGCTTGAGCGGAGACTTCGGGATGCGGATGGGAATGATCGACGATAATCTTTGCGGGGTGATTTGATTCAAAAGCATGGCGTTTGCGGAGCGATTAATGATCACACTGGTAATGACGAACATTTTCATTTTCGATTACAGTAGCAGCTTTCCAGAAGAAGGGTGGAACGGCTTCGGCCAAATATGCTTAGCCACGCCAGATGGCTATGATCATCTATCTGTTATTTTTTAGATCCACGCTCAGTGTTACACATATAAATGATTGTATGAAAGCATTCAATGTCCGTATCGTGGAAGTATACAACCCCGAACCTGGCCGTACGGCAGGGGTCAACTAGCTTCATGTGGAGCAGACATTAGTACGCATTGCCGGACGCTCAGAGACCCTAAATCTCTTAGGTTCTGAATGATTTACAGACCCTTCTATAAGCTCTGGAGCCATATGTTTGTAATGCTGTCCACATGATAGTTGACAATGGTGCACCGCATAGCATGTGATGGAAGTGCTGCATGTGAAAGTAGAAACGCCGCGTTTGGCGCTATTCTGGAAGAGGCAGTCACCTCGGCATGACCTCAGCGCGAGCTTCCATAATAAAAGAAAGGGCCCGGCTGCACCTCCTACTCCCTCTTTCTATCTATACGGTAAATACTATTCAGCACTTGTATTATACTCGGGTTTCTATCATTTCTATACTTCAATCATGGCAAACCAGACCGGACGCAATTCTCAAGGTTCGTAAGCTCCATAGCACTGGTACGATGTCATATCGGGTTGTGATGGAACGCTGACGTTTCCACAGCGCAGGAGCGCCTTTCGCAGGTCACCGGCCACCTCAGTGGCAAGAAGGGAAGGCAAGGGCTTCTTGAGAAGCATGCCGATGATGTATGTACTGATTCAATCGATTGAAGAGACCCTACGTTGCTCCCATCGACGTCACAGCAACGATATCATACTCGAACGGTCTGATCTCAGTACTGACACGAATACGACAGGTTGTCGTAACATGCGCCCTCCGCACCCCCTTCACAAAAGGCGGAAAGGGTGGATTCAAGGACACCGCCGCCGCTGATCTTCTCCACGGTGCATTCAAGACCCTTATCGAGCGTTCCGGCATCGACCCCAAACTCGTTGAAGATATCGCTGTTGGCGCTGTGCTTGCACCAGGTGGTGGCGCAACTGAGTTCCGTGCCGCGGCCCTCGCAGCTGGATTCCCTGTTACCACATCTTGCAAGTCGTTGAACAGGCAATGCTCTTCTGGTCTCCAGGCATGTGTTGACATTGCCAACGCCATCAAGTCCGGCATGATCGAGATTGGCATCGGTGCCGGTGCAGAGAGCATGAGCCAACAGTATGGCCCACAAGCCGTTACTGAGTTCTCAGAGCTCCTCGAAAGCCACAAGGAGGCTGCCAACTGCAAGGTTCCAATGGGTGTCTTGTCGGAGAAGATGGCAAAGAGCAAGGGCATTGCCAGGGCAGACCAGGACAAATTTGCCGCAGAGAGTTTCCAGAAGGCCATCGAGGCCCAGAAGAAGGGTCTCTTCGACGAGGAGATTGCACCCTTGAAGGTGAAGTGGACAGACCCTAAGACCGATGAGGAGAAGGAGATCACCGTTTCCAAGGATGATGGCGTCCGAGAGGGCATCACAGCAGAGTCGTTGGCCAAGATCCGGCCTGCATTCTCGAAGGATGGCTCAATCCATGCCGGAAATGCCTCTCAGATTTCCGATGGTGCCGCTGCCGTTCTTCTCATGAAGCGCAGCACCGCAGAGCGCCTCGGCCAGAAGATCATCGGCAAGTTCGTCCAGGCATCCATTGTTGGCGTGCCACCGCTACTCATGGGTGTCGGCCCAGCAGCCGCTATCCCTGTTGTTCTTGGAAAGACTGGCCTTGACAAGGACGACGTCGACATCTACGAGATCAACGAGGCTTTCGCAAGCCAGTGCTTGTACTGCATCAACGAGCTCGGTTTGGACAAGGCCAAGATCAACCCCAAAGGTGGAGCCATCGCATTCGGACATCCTCTTGGTGTTACTGGTGCAAGACAGGTCAGCACACTCTTGACTGAGCTCAAGCGGACAGGAAAGAGCGTCGGTGTCACATCCATGTGTATTGGAACTGGGTAAGCATAGAATCTCCATTCTTGTGGGGACGCCAGAGGCTAACAAATTTCAGAATGGGCATGGCCGCGGTCTGGGTTGCTGAGTAAGGGAGAGAAGAGAGATGCATTATCTTCTTGTATTTGTATACGGGACATTTGAGGAGACTTTTATGTTGATATTTGAAGTTATCTCGCAATTTACTACGCCTCAAAAGCTGGGCATTCATGACGTCAAGTCCGCTGTGCCACTGTGAAAGATTCTATAGGAAATCTCTAACTGAGTACTTGTAAGAATCGCTGTGCAATCATTTATTTCTGGATATCGTTCCCATCTACAATAATCCTGAATCTTTCGCGCCAATACATACCTATTGAACTCAATTTCATCGCCCTCCACTACGAAATCCTGGCCCGTGTACACGATAATGAACGTTCAGAAGCGCCGCATTGATGCATGCATTCATACTTGTCTGTCAGATAGGGCATTCATTGGCACCTTACCCAATCCACTTGCTGCTCTTCCAATTAGTATTGATGGCTTTCCCCTCCCCCAATATGGCGCAAACCTCTAACGGTGAAATATCGCTGTCTCGGCCGGGTCAACCAGATAACGACAATTATTAGGCAGCAGTGGCGGAGTCGTCTAGTTGAGAGGACGGGGTGAAGATGTGTAGAGTACGACGCAAAAATCATTCATTTTCTCCTGGCTACCACGGGTCTAATGCTACAACCAGCTCCAATTGATGTGACCATTCTTGGTGTGAACAGCCATTTAGAAGCATACGCGATGAAGCGATTTCAAATCTCCAGACCCTGCGGGGATCCAGAACATAGCCAAGTGCCCCAATTGACCTCCAGATCGGGGGGCATTCACGTAATTACAGCAATGATGGCGAAGGAAAAGAAGTGCCAAGGAACATGAAATATTGATACGTTGCAGAGACCGATTCTCAGAGACTCGAAACAGTCCTTTTTTTTCTCATTTTGTGACGTTGAGGGCGGGCCCAACGACCATGGAACCGGTCAGTCAATATATGTATCGAGCTCTCGGAACAAGCTTTACTAACACCATAGTCCGGGGTTTCCCTGATTTTCACTCTATGTGCTTCGTGTGTAAATCGCCCCTGCTTGCTAGGTATTGAACACGCCGAAACAGCTAAGGGGTTTGATTTGTATGGTCCCCCGCCTTCGAGTTTGGTTCATGGATGAAATACCTTTCCAAATCCGCACGATGGATCAGCACACGGGATACCGAGGCCGCAAATCGATACCATGACGCTCTGCAGCACTGCCAAAAGCTTCTGCTCCGAGTGCCATTCGAGATGGAGATAGGGAATTTCTACAAAAAGGTGTGTGCTTCGGCTCCAACCCGATGGTGCATCAATATCCGCGACATGGACTGATGCGGTAATCCTTCGACTATTGTTGAGAGTCGTCTCCCGTTCAATGGGTTTGTCGAGTTCCTAAAAGAAGTATCGAATTTTTCGCAAGGCGACAGCACTTAAAAACCGAAGATGATGTCAAAATCCTCGAAAACAGTAACACCACAGAGGAACTGCGAGCGAAACGATGTCCATGGTACAATTCATTGACCTCCAGCAGCCTCGAGGCCCCCAACCCTCGGTGCGAAACCGCAATGCTTCCCTCCGCAAGCGCCTCGTTCAAGTGGAGCATGAGCGCATCAAACATATGGAGACCGTTATCTCGTTCAACCAATCCCGACACGAGGGCTTTCTTGTGAATCTCGAGGACAAAAGGCGACGGTGGGCGACCAAGATGGACAGATTGTACGTGCAGCTGATCAAGGCGGACGCAAGTGCGGAAGGGAAGCTGCTGGAGCGGAGGGAGTCGCTGCTTGCGGCGCGCGACGACATCGCGCAGCTGGAACAGCAGTGCCGGGCGTATGCGAGGGAAATCGCGGACAAGCGGAAGGAGCTGGCGAGTCAGGGTTGGGAGCTCGATATTTTCAGGTGCGGCCCATTTCTGGATGTGTTCATTACTTTGATTCGGTGGATGCTCCGGGCATACAAGTTGTTGTTCAAGGAACGGTGGCGGCTGCGGCTGCGGCTTCGGCTGCAGCAGAAGGTGTTTTCGTTGATGAAGTTACCTGGAGAACTTCGGATGGACATCTACAGAGCTTGCTTGATCTCGCCACACCCGATCGACTTTTGGCCAATTCTCCCTCGTAAGCCGTGGAGGAACCACGTCACCCGCCAGGACATGATCAAACGGTCCACTAAGCCCCTCAATGTCACTTTACTCCGCCTATCACGGCAGGTCCATGCTGAAGCCATCGGCATTCTGTATGGCTGTAATGAATTCCGTTTCTCGGACACGGGCGGTTGGTCGATGCTGTGCGGCTTCCTCTGGCACATTAACACGAACTGCCAGTATCTGACCAATGTCTCCGTCAACTATCCGGAATGGTGCTCCGTGGGCAAGTGGCAGTGGACGAATCCGCTAGAAAGGGACGGCGATGACTTCCCCGAAATGAATGCCATACTAGATCGCCTGAAGATTCCAAAGCTCGGCGAACCTATAGGGCCAGATCAGGATGGGTTGCGTGCGTATGAAACTGCTTGCAATATCCTGGCTAAGCTCCCCGCTCTGAAGGAACTCAATCTCGTAGTTCCTTACTACGCAAAGGTTATGAAACTCTCGTTTTCAGCGGTACTTGATGTACCAGTTCGGACGAGAAAGCCTAATGTGGGTGTAGTGAACGGCGGTGTACCGGAGCTGAAACGAACAGTCATATTCCTCAAAAAGCATCCTCAGCAAACAAACGGTGGTCTTCCATTCTGGACGTATATCGACAACGACGTACTGATGGGTAGGGTGTGGTTGCTAGATGAATGTCGTCGTCGAGCAATCCCGGTCGCTTTCGCCAAGTATGGGGATTTTGAAGACCGAACGTCATACATCTCTGAGGCTCAACTTGACATGGAGGAGAGAAAACGTGCTAGGCATCCGACGATGAGAAAGCGGTGTTTGCTGCGCAGGCTGCTTGGGATGCTGCTTGGGATGCTTAGGAGGTAGATTCTGATCGGCATTCTTCGGAATGACCTTGCGGATCGCAAAACGCCTAGAAGAGATGATATTAACAGAAGTAATTCAATGCCCTTTCCGACGAAAGACGAAAAGTAATAATCGAACCACAAGAGAGCTTGCGCAGGGATGGTAAACATGGTTTGCGAAACGCATCGAGAAACTTCCTTTACACAGATGGCCGACCCAGTGGATGACAGTCGTCCAGCCAGGAGCACTCAGGCGAGCGATAGGGTGAGATGGAGAAAACATGTTGTATTCGGAGAGCCCGTCCTATACGGGTGGACCAGTAGGGCAGATATGCTACGTAAGGACATAACGAGTTACAATGATACCACCAGGCCACCAAAATGTGAATTCCAGCCGGACAGCCTTCATGCGTAAAAACCCCTAGATCTAGGAGGTGTCGTCCATTTGCGGCCTACGGTCACGGGTACGGATGTCGTAGAAGGTGTGAGAAAAAGTTCAAGTCCAAGACTAATGCTTTATCGATGTTATGAGAGAGAGATTTCCATTCCTGCTTCCTACAAATGGCATACTGGAAATTGATGGCGTCCAAATGCGAAATGGTATATTAATATGTTGAATTCGGGTAAATAGATTCCAGGAAATGATACGGTGCGATCTCCCTGAATAGCGAAGCTGCTGTGTGTTGACCCGACATAGGTGACGATGTGACGAATATCTGGAGTGAAAGAATATGTTGAGGGTCCGACAGAGAGCAGAATATGGAACATGCGCGTTTATGGCAACTCGGGAGATTAGTGCAATATAGCTCCATCTGAAAGGGTGTTTGAGCCTCTGAAGTTCCCACAATCCCAGTTCAATAATGGCTGTTCCCAAGAGTGTACGGTGAGTCCGGGTCAAGTAGAAGGATCCAGTCATTAAACATGCAGCTCGAGAATCCCAATGGTCCAGAATGAATACCTGTCATGTGAGCAAGCTTCATGTTAGTTGTCTGACAGAAACGAGAAAGAGAGGGAGAGAAACAGAGCGAACTCATGCGCCTGTCATACTGATCAAGAGGCCAACAAAGAGAGTTGGAGGTGTCAAAACGAATAAGGAACCAAAGGCATACGACTTGATAGGTTTGATCCAAGGATTCAGGTTATACAGCGAGAAGTAGCGGAAGTGTGGACACGGCAAGAAGGCGGATGTTATGCGCCTCTAGGAGAGGACGACGATTCCAAAGTGTTCACATAACGATAGACAGGTGCTGTTGCTGTTGGTATCCCGCATGTGCCTTCATAGTCCAGAGAGAAAGGTCCGAGGGTAAAGACAGGAAACAAAATCAATGGTCAGTGTGAGGAAGAGTCCCCAATTGGTGCCATTTGAAAACGGGAGACTGGTATGTAGATAGGATAGCCCTGGCTAAGGTATTCATGACCCATGGGAGAGAATGCTTCCATTCTTCGAGAATGGCGTTGCTATGGAGTTGCAGAGGTCGGTACGAGTACGGTCAAGTGAGTAGAGCGAAAGGATTAGGTGCAGTTGCATCGGGATATCGACTGAGGAACAGTGGTGAAGGACGAAAGCACTGAATAGGAATGGAGCAGTGGAAGGTGCAAAGGGAAGGAACGGTGTCCAGCATGGTTGAAGGTGTTGAGAGGTTGAAGGTGTTGAGAGAAAAGATCCTGAGGTACGGAGGAGGAAGATACGGGTGACACCCTCGAATGTCGAACTGTACTGTGTAGATATCGCGATCGATGAGTGCTGAAACCTGAAGACGAGGGTGGAGACTCCTGCGCTGGCATATCAAAGTACCCACATAGTGTATACATAGGAAACGGCCAAAGCGAGATGGTGACCCAAACAGGACGTGCACGACAGTTACGTTAATGCACGAAGAAAGGAGTACTTGGTTCAGCAATAAGCCTCGTGTAGATCTCTCTACATCTCCTTTGTCACCAACAGATTGCTGTCGGTCCTCAGATCATGAAGCTTGGCAGGAGTGAAATCCACTTTTCGGAACAAATGGAACGGTCGATTTGGGTCTCGGTTTTCAGCGTTTGGTGGAGATTTGAGATGATGGGTAGAGGAAAGCGAGTGCCGCACGAGCACTGAGGGAGTAATTGGACCGACGGGCGAGATGAGCGACTCATGTGGTACAGGGCGGCTGGCCAATTACGAGGGGCTGAAACGTGATAGGCGGCGTCAATGGCAAAGAACAGGAAGGTGGAGGTGGATAGGGCGAAGGAGTAGAGCATAGGAGTGACTGGGGGCAAATTACGAGCATGAACAATTGCTAATTGCGTTTGAACAGGGCTGTTGAAGCGAAATGACATGAGGTTGAGGGAGGCCTGCTGCAAACCAAAGGTACCTTGAACAGTAGTGCGCAGATGAGATGAGATGAGATGATGAGATGGGAGGAATCGCAGGGGGATCAATCCTATACCCAATGGGGACCCGCCTGAGCTTTCATTTCCACATCTCCACAATGGTATGGACGTGCGCTGCCTTTCGTGCTTTTTATCGATTATGGATAATCATCCTTGCCTGGACTCTTCGGCCAAACGACCATGCTTGCCTACGTGCTTGTGGTGTTCTTGCATGCGACCAAGCATGCATGGCGGTAACCTATTTGCACTCAGCGTCTCGCCGTGTTGTCAATAACTCTGATCCCGGATAAGTAGCAATAAGGTTGTATTTACGATGAGCTGATGAGCTCTCGCTCCGACATGGAGTGCCCCCGTATTCCTCACATAGTCGAGTGCTAATCGATGGTCCATACACGGAGGTAAAGGCCATCACCGGCAGGCGCCGTTATTCACGGCGTCTGTCTGCACAGCTGAATTGTGCATGATTTTCAACGGGAGCGCGGCGGGAGGAGCAAAACAAGCTCTCGTGAAGTAGCCCCAGTCACGTTCAACGGTTTTTCTCTCCTGTCGAAAATATCCGGGACATCGCACGAGCAAGGATAACTGACTTGTCGCGAGCTGTTTACTCGTTCCTTGTTTCATCCAAACAATACCCAGAGTAGGTAAACACAACAACACACACGTGGAGTCATGGACCATGGAGCTTAGGAGGTAAGGTTGGTTCAACTTGGTTGTATGGTCGGAGAACAAAGAGGTAGCGCTGGTGCGAGAAAGGAATCTGTGACGCTGACACAGCCAGCTCAAGCCTGATTGGGTTAGGGATCTACAGGACCATTTGCCGCCAAATTTTGTTTTCATTATTGTTATTACTTTCGTTTGGGGCGGATTGTTGGCCGAGACTCGACTCATTAATTTCACCGTGGTCGTGACGAGCGTTATTGGACCGCTCTGGTAGGCCGGGTAGGCCAGAGGTTATGATGATGTCCAGTCAAATTGTGCGCGCGTGCTGGACAATCAATTCCGACCGCAAAGGGCAATCGAGATAAGGTGCGCCCCTGACGATACGTTCCATTTTCGGTCGGTCCAACTGGGGCTGCGTTGCGTGTCGTCTCCACGCTGTATTCCATGGCACACGAGGAGTGGCTTTCATGCTTTCATGATTGATTATTGCTCACCCACTCCAATGTGCAGCGTAATATGGGTACTGCTGCTATTCTTTGCAACAGGCTCGCAGATTATTCTTGGGTTGCGCAGGACATCACGGGCAGGGAACAGTCAGGAGAACCCGTGCCCTGCAGCTGTTGAGTGTTGCTGACAGCTGGAGAGGATAATTTTGGTCGCCATGGGAGTTCGCCGCTGTCAACCCGTCATCGTCCTCGTCCTCGCCGTCGCCGTGGACCGTCGCCACCGGCCAGTACACACAGCACCTACGTAGAGGGGAAGCTCGAGAGAGCTCCAGAAGCTGTACCTAGGTAGGCCAACAGGACGGTGTGCCAGCGGGATAGCCGCCCTGGCCACCCTTCCGAGCGGTGGAGAGCGTTGTACATACACACGCAGTATTGGCGCGGAAGACAGCGAATACTGTTGACAACGAGGCGGTCAGGCCCTCTCCGCCTCTCCGCCGGGAAGTCTCTACCCTCAGACTATTAATTACACTTCCTACTTGCGTTGTAGACTTGCACTCCACTTGTGGATCTAATTGGTGGGAGGAGTGGAGGAAGGCAATCTGGATGTTTACTCCGTACAGGACCAGAGGCTCGACTCAGCGGAACGACTCACAGAATCAATGGTGCAGTAGTAGTACCGTGTAGTAGTGATCCTGAGAATCAAGGCATGAGAAGGGGGGGCCTGTTGTTCATTCGAAGAATACGAAAAAAAGCCACAAGCACCGGGGCGACAGCCAAACCTTCTGAAGAGAGTAAAGTCAAGTCAAGTAGTGAATGGGTAGGCCGTGGAGGGAGGGATGAAGTGTGGTGGAGGATGGTGGAGGGGGGGGTGGAGGAGGAAAAGATGACAGGGGAAACAGCAGGGAAGAAAAGGAGGAAGTGGAAAAAGATTGGCCCTAGCGGCTGCATGTTCCTGCGTTAGCTCCTCCATCCACTCCAATCCCAACGACCAACCGAAATGGCGAGAGACGGTCTGCGGTCTACCCCCCTGGCGCCCGCCCATTCACTTCCACTTTTGCCTCCTGGTTATGCCCTGGTATGGTCTGTATGGTCTGTATGGGTTGTCTATTCCCCCTTTCAAGCTCCATCCCGCTGGCCCATTTGTTTCCGGTCCGCGCTACCGTGCACGCAATCTCCCACTTGTACATAAGATATCCCATCTCTCGCTCTCCATTTCGTTTTCTTTCTCTCTCTTCACTCAAGCAAGTTACTTCGAGCCTTACACCTGACCCACGGTCGTCCATTCGTTGAATACCAACTAATTACCACTATCTTTAATACCAAACCTCCGCCAATTACCACTATTCTCTTTTCGAGTTCAAGTACCTCTTAATCTTCAAATCAATCAAAATGCGTGCCTCCATTGCCATCATTGCTGCCGTTGCCGGCCTCGTCTCCGCCGCCCCTGGCTACGGTGCTTACCCGTAAGTTTCTCCCAACTTCTTCATCTGATACTCTCAACATCCATTTACTCACAATTCTCTCCAGCGCTGAGCCCGTCTCCTCCACCCCGGCTTACCCCGAGGTCTCCTCCACCCCCGTCTACCCGGTCTACCCCGTCGAGTCCAGCAGCGTCCCCGCCTACCCTGCTGAGTCTTCCAGCGCTCCCGCCTACCCCGGCTACCCTGCCGAGTCCAGCAGCGTTCCTTCTTACCCTGCTGAGTCCTCCAGCGCTCCCGCCTACCCTGGATACCCCAGCAAGCCATCCAGCACCCCCGCCTACCCTGTTGAGTCCAGCAGCAAGCCCAGCTACCCTGCTGAGTCTTCCGGTAAACCCTACCCCTCCGCTCCCGCCCCCGTCGAGTCTTCTTCGGTTTGCCTGACAACCTCTACCGTTACAGTCGTTGTCCCCTACCCCAGCAGCACCCCCGGATACCCCTCCGGCCCTGCTCCCAGCGCTCCTGCTCCTTACCCCAGCGCTCCCGCTCCTAGCGCCCCTGCTCCTTACCCGATCCCCTCCGGCACCGGTTACCCCGTTGTCCCAATCGTCGGCACTGCCTCCAGCTCCGGGTAAGTTTTCAATCCTAAATCTGATATACGAAGTTCAAGTCCTAATGCCATTCACAGCTACATCAAGCCCACTGCTCCTGCTGAGTTCACTGGCGCTGCCAGCCACGCCAAGGTCGGTGGCTTCGTCGCCGGTGTTGGTGCCTTCGCCGCTTTCTTCTTGTAAATGTCATCTCTCAATTAAAAGCTTTGTGCGGCCCGCTCGCGGGTTGCTAAAAGGCTATGACTTTGCATGAACGGAGTGCATTGGTTTCGGATTCCCAGGGATTAGGGAAAACGTCCAGACAAATACCCTTGCGTGTACATGGTTCGCGATTGTTTAATAATTGGTAGTTCGGTGGTGGAAGCGGTAGATATTTGAAGAGACTTGTTCTAGAAAACCCTAAACATGTGTGCCTTATTGTGATGTCCGCTTGACACTTGTCTTTGAATTTGTTTTGTCTTCTTCCTGTCACAAATAATCTGCTTGTCCTATGCAAAATTAAGACGCAATTGACGCTATCACACTACTGTCCTGTGGTTGTGTCGTCCGCTGTTCTCCACGTCCCACGACGTCGACTTAAACCTTCTCTATACTTCGGTACCGCCCACCCACCTACCAACAAACCTTATTGTCGCGTGGCCGCTCGGACACATCTCCATCCCTTCCTTCCTTGAATAATTCATACACATATACTCGGTACACAAAACATTCATCTACCCGACGTCGCGTAACACATTGATCCCGACATATATCAAACCCTTGACATTCAGCCGGGAGACGACCTCTCGATATCTCAGATAGCCTTCGACGGACAATGGACGTATTGAAAACGTACGGAGCACACACACAGTCAGGTTGTGATATGACTTAAACGGTGTTTTGCTTTTCTTGTACTACACACGCGCCGTGCTGTTTGTCTCTCATGACATCTGACAGCCGGTTTTGACAGCCAGCCCAGGGCTGTTTAAGAAGAGACAGACCCGCATCGCCCACGCGAGAGAATGTTTCATACAAGCGTGCGAGCCGCCGTTACGTCTTTTGTGGTGGTGGTGGTGGTGGTGGATCATCTTTAAAGCAAGGGAGAGGCATGCGTATGTACGTTCGGCGCCTAGGGGAAAAGTATGATGCTTGTGTTACGCCAACGACCGTTGGTCTGTTTCTGGTTTTCATTTTTCTTTTCTTGGTTTTGAAGTATGGTCATAGCTACAGAAAGGACGGAGTAACCATCATCCCATATCCATTGTCAACAGAATCCCCTATTGAAGTCCGTGACTTACGCCGCCGCAGCCCGTGCCCGGGCGGAAGTTACGAAGGAATGAAGGATCAATACTCCGTCGGAGGGCCTTATTTCAACTGAAACGATGTTTATTTCGACGACAGTTGTTTTCCCTTCGTCTCTGTTGGTTCTGCGGCGTGTGGTATGTGTTGATCATGTGTTGGTATTGCAAGTCCATATTTGATAAGTGCCCGTCATGGTGGTCGTGGTGATGGTGATACTGCGGCGCGCTGTATGGTTGTCGACAATCCATCGTCAAATGACGAAAGGACTAAAAGGAAATAAATCAATCGCGCGTGAGATTATTCGTCTTGTCTTCCTTTTTTCGATATTAATACGCCTCATTCAATGTCCGATGCATGCGTAGGATTGAGGCGTTGCGTCCCTTCTCATCAGCTAGTTATCACATCTCACCCACGTATTACCAGTATAAACAACTACCCCCAGATCCTGTCTAGATCAACAAGAACTGATCGAGTCAAAAATTTCATGGTTTCTAATGAATTTCCAATGCCTCTTTTATTTTGATATCGATGGGAAACTCGATATTGTGTCGACGTTCCCCAGGGTGTAATTTCTTTTCAATTTAGTAGATAGTTGTTAGGTTGTGTTGGTAGAAGAAATAAAACAACATACGAGAAAGATCAAAAAACTAAATAAAATCCACAACCAACGAACGAAACCTGACAAATACAAATAATTTCATGTATACATTGAACGATCTTGAAAATACGATGAAACTAATTTTGAAAAATAAAAAAGTGAAAAATTGGGGATGTTAAGGCATAAGGTGTCTAGTGCACTGGCGTGTATGCGACCGTACTGCGTACGGCACGGAAATTTCGACCATATCCCCCCGTTATCACACGCCGCATGACGGAAGCGGGTAAGGATGAACGCGTCGAATTTCGACTGAAAATTCACACGTATCGGAGATTTCCATGCGATGGGGCGGGTTGGTACTGACTGAAGGTACGTTTTGGCATTTAGCTGGGTGTAAGGCCATTTATATGAGCCTTGGCGATGATTTCTCTGAGCGTGATACGGTGGATGGCATGATCACGTTGGAGAGCGTGCGAGGTGGCCATGGTACACGGAAGGGGAGCTCAGGATGGGTTTGATGCAGCGTGTGGGGAGAGGTGGTTTGGGCAGGACATCGATGGAGGCGCTCGCTCTTGGGGTCTCACAGCTTTAAGAACGCACTACGATCGGACGTGTGATAGGGAAGAGAGAGGCAGTGGAATGTGTAATGCAGGGAGATGGCAAGACCAAATTGAGGCCTAGGTGTAGCACAAAGCAGATACTAGGAAAACTGTTTCTATCGAGTGGTGTCCAAGCCAGCCTTCGTTCGTTATTACGAAGGTCACTGGGAAAAAGTATGGTTATCGCACCTAATCCTACTCAACTACCTATACATGTCAAAGACTTTGGTGAGGGGACTTCCCCCCTACACAAACCAATGATCGAGTCGAAGGTGGACGGTCCATCCAACGCCGTGCTAAGTAAAGCAAATGTCAAGCTGCTCAAAATATGGCTATAGGACCCAGGGTAACCCCCACGGTGACTGTGGGAACCTTGAACTAGACCATCGCCATGACTTGCGCATGCATGAGGAAGTATGCAAATGCCTTCCATAGATCAACCAAGAAACGCCTTGCCGCGCACTTGCAGCAGTAATTGTGCCACCCTATTATGTATTGGAATCAAACGAGGTCGGGAGCTTCCCTCCCCTCCCCCAGTGTCAAGCACCATCTTACATAGACCTCATCCAACCCCAGGGGCTCATTTCTTCATCTTGCCCAAGAAACCTTCCAGGTCAAATTCTTCTTCGTATTGTCTCTCATCCCAGAGCTCACCCAGTTCGTCGAGGAAGCCCTTCTGTCCCTTTTCACGCACAGCACCGGTAGCATCAACAGCGTCATTTTCGTCAATGCCCGTTCCATTGTCGTTCGATGGTGGGGGAGGCAAAGCTGCAGGATCAGCAGAGTCGGCCGATACATTGAAGAGGTCGAGAATCTGGTCTGTTTGCATAGAACCTAGACCTGCGTTCTGTTGATTGACAACAGTAGAAGCAACGTCGATCTTGAATCGTTGAAGACTGCGAACTTTTTAGTATCGTACTCAAAGGGGAGTGAAATAGCTGAACTTACTTAAGAATCTTCTCTTCGAGGGTACCGCGGGTGACGATGCGGTAGACGTTGACAACCTTCTTCTGACCAATGCGATGCGCGCGGTCCATGGCCTGAATATCCTTTTGAGGATTCCAATCATGCTCGACAAAAATGACGGTATCGGCTCCGGTCAAATTAAGACCCAATCCACCGACAGAAGTTGTCAGCAGGAGGACATCGTAGGATGGATCAGAGTTGAACTTGTTGACGATGTCCTGGCGTTTGGTGGCATCCACAGAGCCATCAAGGCGCATGTACTGCACAGAAGGCAACATCTTCTGCAGAACGTTGGTCTGCACCAAGTCTAGCATTTCCTTCATTTGACAGAATACAAGAGCGCGATGCTGGGACACTGCTTCGGGCAAATCGCCGTTTGAGTTTGCACTCTTGTCTTTCTCGACATCGGCAGCGCCTATGCCGCAGTCAACCAGCAAGTCTTTCAGAGCCCCGAGCTTAGGAGCGTGGGCGATGTCTTCAAGGGATGTGTTGTGTTGTTTTAGGTAGTGTTGGGTCGCGTCATATTGCTTGTGCGTTGGCTTTATGACCATTGCCGGAGAATTGCAGAGCTTCTTCATGTACTGCAGGGCCTGGAAAATATGCTGCTTACTCTCACGGTCCGCAGCGCCGGCTTTGTTCTGTATCTCTTTACCTTCCTTCTTGGTAAAGTCTTCGAACAGCTTCCTCTGGAGGTCTGAAAGATCACAGTAGTAATTCTGCAGGATCTTTGGAGGTAGGTCATCGAGGACCTCTTCTTTGAGTCTGCGAAGCAAGAAAGGCAAGACTTGCTTGTGGAGCGCTTCGATTGCAAGCGCACCCTTCTCTTGTTCCTTGGACGACGATTTGGCGAAGCGAGACGCCGCGATAGGCTTAGCAAAGCGCTCTTGGAAGACTTTCTCTGAACCCAAAAAGCCTGGCATAAGGAAGTCAAAGAGAGACCAAAGCTCGAGCACGTTGTTCTGAATAGGAGTACCAGAAAGAATCAAACGATGGTTGGACTGGAAGTTCTTGACACTTTGACTGGTCTTGGACTTTGAGTTCTTGATAAGGTGGCCTTCATCAAGAACACAGTAATTCCACGCAAATGGCTTCAAGATGTCATTATCGTTACGGCAAATGTCATAAGATGTGATGACAATGTCGACATCATTCAATTGCGATCTGTACTGTTGGCGGACGGAAGGTGATCCAACATATGCGACTGAACGTAGGAACGGAGCATATTGTCGAATCTCCTGCTGCCAATGGCCCGAGAGCGTTGGAGGGCAGACAATGAGAGAAGGTAGGCGGCGGAAATTTGGATCCTGGGTCTTCGCAAATTCCTCTGCGCGGAGATGATGGTCACTGGCCACCATGCAAAGGGTTTGCAAGGTCTTTCCGAGGCCCATGTCGTCACAAAGAATGCCATGAAGGTTGTAACGATTGAGGAACGCAAGCCAGTTGACACCATCTTGCTGGTATGATCGCAGAGTCGCCTTGATCCCGACAGGGATTTCGAAGGGCTCAACCTTCTTAGCATCGAGCATCTGCGCAACGAATTTGCGTTCTCGGTCTCGACCCTTCAAGAGGCTTTCGGGTAGACCAGGTGGGTCGGGAATACCGGCCTCAAGAGGAACAAGCTTGACTAAGGTTGCGAAGCTAGTGGTGGCTAAGAGTCGGACATCATTGTCAGAATCACTCATCCTTCCCAAAACTGGGGTAATGAGGAAGATGACATAGGGAAGGATGGCGTCCTCCATGACGTGGATCAGATGATAAATGCATTCGATCGCACCTTGGCGGCTGTGCACGTTGCCGGCGTTGTTGATTCCTGGAAGGACATTCTCTACAAGCATGGTGATGCCTTCAACAGACATGACGCTACAGATTGTGGCAAAGCACTTAGCAGCCGCATAGCGTAGAACGTAGAGTTTAGATTGTAGAGCTTTGGCGATGAGCGGTAAAAGGTCCTTGACGAAGCCGCGAACATCGGGATGAAATTTACCGACGAGGGCTCGTAGTGTCGACAGACCGTCGACGACTTCCTGGCCGAAGACGCCATCTTCAGCGGCAATCTCGGCGGGGAGTGTATCTTCGGTGAAGGCACGTTTGATGGGAGATTCGATCAGATCTTTCAAAATTGGCACCTTTTCGAATACTTCGCTCCCAAACTTCTCAGCAACTTGCTCTAGGGCTTCACGCGCACCCCGACGTGTAATACGGGCAGCCTTGGATTCTTCTGCAAACTTAGCAGCATCCGGATGATCGCGGATGTCCTCATCTTTCTTCAAAGTGAGAATGCCGGTTTCGATATGTGCATGGCCGTGGAATTCTGGCGTTTCTGCAGTTTCCATGCAGTAGAACTTAACCAGATTTCCTACGACCTTGTTTACAACGACTGGCTTCTTAGCATTGACGAGGTGGAAAATAAGTCCGGCGACAGCAGCAGCTGAACGTCTTTGCAGGTCTACATTCTCCTCCTTCTTCACACTGTCCATCATTGCTTTGATAGTCAACGCGGGCTTCTTGGGTGGAGAGTTAAGTGCAACCAAGGCGCCTGCAGCAGCCGCCTTGATTCTGATGTCGCGCTCTTCCTTGATGTCCTTGGCCTCCTGGAGTGTAGTCTCTACTTCCTGCTTCGCTGCTTCTAATTGATTTATAAAAAGCAAGCGATTGGCAGGATTCATAGCTTTCTTCATTTTCTCAAATTGAACGTCGATGATCTTATCAGCATCTGCAGTAGAGAATGCATACTGGCTCGCAGAAGGATCACCTTGCACAACCACAGCAATCTGCGGGAGACTTGTAACACCTGCATCGCGGAAGATGTTCAACAACACTGTGCAACGTGTGCGGACGACGAGAAGCTTGGGAACCAGGTCTTCATACGCGGTCGGCCTCTCTCCTTCCACAACCGGAACAAGGGCTTCAGCAAAGGAGCTAGAGAGTGCGTCCTTGCTGGCCAGTAGCTTACCGAACTCTTCAATGACCATGGCTGCCGTCAACTGGGTAGTAGAATTGGTTGACGACAGTGGAGGGAGTAGTTTGGACTTGAAGGTCTCTAGGCGTGATTGCTCAGGCCAGACGGCCATGGCTTTTCCAAGAGCTTGAGCAGCAAATATCCTGGAACGAACCATGACTTCAGCACCAACGAGTTCTAGATCACCCGTGATCATGTGGCCATCCACATTATGAGATGGCGTGGAAGGTGTCGGGGTGGACTCCTCCTTGCCCATTCGCGACTTCTTTCTCTTCTTCGCATTCGGTTCGCCGGTCGAACCAGGTGGTGTGGATCTTCGACTCTGTTGCATGCTAGGTGGTAAGCCCATTGCTTGTCCGGATGGGCGGATGAGGAGAGAGGGGTCCATAGCGATTGGATGGCGAGGAACACCAATGGGAGTGAGCGTTAAAGGAATTATTGAACCTAGAATTGGTGTGAGGTGCGTAGGCAATTGATTTTCACCATCAACAAGGGTATCGATAACGGCAGTCCATAATTGCATCGACAGCTTCAATACTCCCTCATTCCGTTCAAGGAGAATGTTCTGGAAAATCAACTGCAAGGCTTTGCTGTCGATCCACCCATCAGAGCCAGAGTCCTGGATGTTGAGGAAAGTCGTCAAAGCTCTTAGTACTGCAGCGCGAACACTGGTAATAGTGTGACGTAGGAAAGGGAAGAGCCTTGGTACTAATTCGTGAAACGACTGCGATGGGTCATGACGGGCATTGGCTTGCATGGCTTTGAGGACCTCGGGGAAACTACAAAGTTTGGCGAGCAGGTCCATGATGAAACCAGTACTGGCACTCAAGTCGTCTTGCAGATTCGAAAGACACGACCATACTTGGTTGATGAGATTCTCCAGAGTATTAGGTCGCATTTCAACAAATTCCTTGGCGACAGGAATCAGAGTAGCTGCGCTGATTGCCCGGACGTCGTCGTCATAATCGGAGAGGCCCTTGATGACTGCCGCTAAAACGCCATCCATTAAGTCGGCATCATCTAGGAGCAGATCGTTCCGTACCGCGACAAGGTAGCGAAGACCTATCATACCGCCCTGGCAGACTTGCCAAATGGCCATGTCCTCGCTTCCTGGCTGGAAGATGAGACGGTGGAGGACATGAAAGGTGGCGATGACATTCTCTCGCGAAAGATGCTGTAACAGGGCTCCCAGTGCTTGGCCTGCTGTTTCACGTATTGGCGCTACTGCATTGTCAGATGTGTAGTCGGCAAAACGATCGAGCATAAAGACGCAGCAAATTCGGCATGCAATATCATTGAGCCACTTCTGGTTGGACAAATCATTCTGGGAGCGCGTTTTGCTTTTCACTCTTCCAGCGCCACCGCCATGAACGCGGAGGATTTCACGAAGACCCATGGCGGCACCATGACGAACTTCCCATGAGGGATCGAACAGTTCCACAGTCAGGAATTCGGTCACCCTCTCGTATGGCCACTCGAGGCCCTCCTCCTCCGATTCTGTCTGGAATGACGATTTGTCTGGTATCGGCGCGCCCTTGAACTCCTTGACAAACTTAGAATCATCGTCACCTCCCTTGCGATCGAGTGAAAAGTAGTCCCCAACCCCGTCGCCCTCCTCGCCATTCTCCTGCTTGCTTTCCTGTTTGATGGCATGTGGTTGTGATGAATTTGATGGAGTCTGCGGTTGCTCATTTTGAGAGTTTTGACGACGAGGGCCAAGGTCAACGATTTGGACTTTGTTAGCCTTATTATGCAGATCTTTCTTCGCCTTCCTCTTAAGCATGTTCAGCTGTCGCTTGCTGAGGCCCGACTGCTCGCCACCCGTAGGTGTGGCACCTGGAGGTGGCGATGATGCAACAGCAGATGGAACGCTATCAGTACGGGCAACGTTGGTGTCGATGCGATGCGTTGCAGGTGTTTTTGGTCCTGGAGTTTGTGCAGTAATGTCATTCTCGTTGACGAGCTCCTCTTCGATATACTCACCGCCCAGGCCAAGTCGGGCAGTAAGTGTCTTTTTCTGGTGCTTGAGGCGATCTGCGGGGTCCATAGCGGCCATCTTGTAGTCGTACTCTCTACCGGCGCTACCCAGCAATGTTTTACCGAATTTCAAGATCGAGGGCAGATCGAGGGCAGAGAGCTCGAGCTGATTCTCGTTTGATGTCAGGGTTTCATCCCCATTCTCCTCTTTCTTCACGGCTGAACCGTTTGTCTCATCCTCCGATTTGACATGGCCGTTCGCTTCGGATTTCGCCTCTGGCTTGATGGGCTCGTCTTCGGCATTGGGATCAAACTTTTCGGCATTACCGACGATGCCGCCCACAGCTTTGGCGGCAGCGACACGAGTATCCCAGCTCTTGGACCGAAGATAGGGAATGACGCGGGTTAGTAGATTGAATAGCTCATCAGGATGTTGCTTTTGGACATCCGCGAGTTGGTCTGCAGCCGTGTTGCGAATCAATGCGGTGCTGCCGGTCTCGAGGAGGCTTGGCAAATGTCAGCGAAGAAACATGAGGGACATTAATAGAAGGTAGTGAATGGGTGTAAAACAATGATGCGCTGCGCGCCGTGCAATACAGGGAAATTGAGAAGATTTCCGGGGACGGAGAACTGTAGACTTACGTCACGAGGCGATCCAATCTTGTGGCACTGTGAGAGTGGTTAGTAAAATAATAGAATTGGAAGATGCATACATGCACACGTGCATGCAGCAGGCGGAAGATGTACGTACCTCATGATTGTGATGGGTTGATGATGGGTCGGCTTAGTTTGGTGCCGACCGGGTTACGGTTATTATAAATTAAAGGAGGGCAGTTGGGTGGATGGGAGGCACAGCCATCAGTAGGGCGTGGGAACAATGAATTCAATCATTCGTTATAGAGTATGAGACAGGCGAGAAAGAGATGGGCGACGATGATATGATGATAATGGTGATAATCAATCAATCAATTAATTTTGTGATGATGCGACGACACCTTCCTTTCTGTGTGGATGTGATGGTTGATGCCTAGTCGACTAGAGTAGTGACGGTTCATTCAATAATGGTGGATAGGTGAGGGTGAATGAATAAGGTCACGTGCCCGAAATGGGGACGAGGTGCAGCGTGTTGTGTTGTGCTGTGCTGTGTGCTGTGCTGTGTGATGATGGGTGTGATCCCTGTTCTGCCGCTGGTCGATTGAAGGGGTGGGTGGGTGAATCCGTTTTTTGGTGGGAGGCGAGCGAGTTTTACTTCTACCTTCTTATGTAGCCAGCCCGTCCACGGGTGTGTTAAAAAGTCCTTGGCGCGCAGCACGGGCCCGTTTCATCACCCTTTTGAGCAGAAAAGTCTTCCCCATCATCATCTTCATCATTCAACCTCGAGAGTCCAAAACCATCAATAGAATAATACTACTCGTTTGTGAACTTTGTTTCATTTCCGCGATATCTATTGCCTAACTATGTTATTCTTGGACGTGTAATGAGGTGTGTTCTGCTGTCGCATGGCAGGTACTTCCCACGCTCTTTCCCCCTGTGTCCTCCGGGGTAGACGGGCTACGGGCAGCGATTGGCTGGTGGCAGGAGAGAAGCGCAGGATGAAAGAGCTGACCGTGGTCCCGTCGCGCTTCCCAACTTCTTGTTGCTTTCTTCCCATTCTCCCTCTCACTCCGTACAACACATGTACACAGTACTCATACCTTCCCACACATCTCTCACATAATGATAATGATAAAGTTAACAATAATAATAATATCACACCCCGCCTCTTGCTTGGCCTGTTATCTCGTCGAGTCGACGGAGTACATATCTGTCTCTTCCGTTCTCTGCTCGTTCGCGCCTCGTCTGGTCAAGCTAATCCCGATATGGCCCGACTGCCTCATTTGCTTTGTATTCAGGAAAATCTTCTTGCCGGTCGCTCCCAGGCTACCTCGTCAGCCTTCCAGCCACGGCATCGCATCGCATCGCATCTCATCTCAGCTTTAGAGATTCGGTTCATCATTCATCATCATTACTCCGTACTAGATCTGACATTTCGTGGTTTACCTTTACAGAGCATACACTCAATACGGTGTAACATGTTCATTTTGTCGTTGTTTTGTGAATGCATACATTATCGGATCTAGTAAGCATCGCATGCCAGTCGACACTTCTCGTTCAGACTTGAGTAACCTACTGTGTACGGCCTGCATGCATCTTCATAGGACACCTGTCGAATCTGCCAGCTGTACTCCGCACACTTCTAGCCAATCATTCAGTCAAACTTCGCTTGTGTTCAACAAGGCTGAACATGCGAGAAGCCTTCGCCGGCTGGCTGCAGCACTGCAAATACGCTGGGCGTGGTACAGCACCTAACCATCAGTGAAGGGGGGAAAGAACTACGTGTTGCCAAAGGAATAAAGTCTTCGCCAGAGGTGTTCGTTGCCAAAGAATGATCATTAAACCCTTTTCTGAGCAGCAATGCGCAGATCCACCACATGCAGCGCAGCACAAAACCCTCGCGCCTCGCTTGACAAGCACAAGAGATCACCGTTGATCGACGTTGCGGCTTAGCGTAATGCACCTCCTGCTTTGCGCAGGCTCCTGTCTGACGTTGCCTGCCGTGTCTGCTTGGGCCTTGCCCTGCCTCTTTCTTGAACGCCTGCTGCCTGTCGCATGGCGTACACACACAAGCACAAAGCGGTTCAGCTAATGACAAAACTTACCATTGCTATCAACCCTCTCTGAAAAAACGAAAAGCTTTTCACGATCGTTCTCTATCTGTAGAGATCTATCGGAAAATTCACAATTCACCAGTATCGAACCGCGCACGCAAGCGTATGGGCCGGCCCCACTTGTTATGCATAGTGCCGTCCTTGGGGACACAACGCTACTACAGTCTACTTCAATCAAAATCAATAATTATTAAGATACGACGAGGTTGTTAACACCCATGGATCGTCCGAAAATCTCCGATCCGCATGACATCCTTTATTCCTACTACAAGCACTCGGCGGGAAAGTGTTCACCTGCTACTAGTCTACGACTAATATCCACTGTTCACGATTGCGCACTTAGTCAGGTCTGATGTACTATGCTCCGTGAAGATTTGTCTGGAGGTAAACTACCTAAGATAATCATGACATACGATCGACCTGAAACCAACAACACCACCTCCTAGCGAGTATCTTCCTTCCGACACGAGCAGATCTGTATCAAATCTATCACAACACCCCAATAGAAGCTATTACCACCGCGGGAGCTAATTAATCCTGTTTATATAGAGGGTTGGCACTTCGTGCTTGCCCATGGCTAGGATTTTATGCTCACAACCGTACATCCGCGTTTCAAGGCTGTTAATTGGCTACAGTATGCTCTGATACTAATCGTACGTTTGCGAGACGTTAAGACGGTCAATTGGCCACAGTGCGCTCTTATATAGCCACTTCAGAATGACAAGGGTCAACCCGAGAAGGAGCCTGCCCTGTCAGAACCAGTAAAGAAGAAGAAGAAGCGAATAGACGAGCCAAATCACGGCTCTGCGGTTGAACATATCTGTCAATGCAATTGCGGTGAATTCAAGAGGTGGTAGCAGCCGGTAGTCACTACATCTAGTCGCTATGGCAATGGGTCCCAAGCACTCAGTCCAATGCCACCCAAACGGAATGAACGTCTCCATCATCACACACTACATCTCCACAGACCAATGAGAAAGGCAACGGCAAGAATCGTATCGGGACAGGAGGATCCCATGATCCGATTCAGATTGGTGATGATACGCCTGCGCCTGCTGCACCTGCGCGGAACTTGTTCCCAAATCTCCAGGCTCATAAAGAGAAAATTCTTTGTGTCATACACGTAAAAACTGTCTTATGTGCTCAATTACGACAGGCTCTCTACTACCTGAGCCAAATGAGCAGCACATCAGACACTTTCCGAATTTCCGCTCAAGCAAGATCACATGTCTTAACATATGGAGACTTGCTATCGCTTTCACATAGATCATGGCTAAGTATCGGGATTCTGGATTTCGCGATTGATGCAACATGTACCAAGCATGCATTAGACAAGAACATTGGTATCTTCTTTGCCTCAGATACCTATTCAATCCTATATTCACCAAGAGTTGGAACTACCTTTGCAGATTGGATGCGTCAATCATTTCTATTTCTTATGGACAGAAAGGTCACTAAGATTGTAATGGCGACAAACCTACTCAACTTACATTGGGCTGTAATAGCCCTCGACAGGAAGAAGCTATCTGCAAGCTTGAATGATTCTATGGAGAACTTTGCGCCTTTTGTATTGGAAGACATTTGTTACGACATTCTACGCGCCTTACGACAGGTCCACGGATCAGAATGGACTATACCGATATTCAAGTGGAAGGTTTCAAAAATCACAAGCGAACAACAATCAAGTCACTACGATTGCGGAGTATATGCCATACACAACGTCTTTATGTCTACAAAGCCAGATGACATAGTAGCATACGAATCTCCACTTTGTGGAATAAGACATCGGGTTATGTTGGTCAATTTTGCCATTCCTCATATCTTTGACCAGGCACTGAAGATGGGCGTATCACCAGCAGAGGATAAGACTATTACCTCTTTCCTGACTGCGCATGTATCTGTTAAGGCGTATCCAACTACTATGCTTAACACGAAAGCTTGTAGAGCGCCCAAAACAAAAGCTTTACCAATCATGAAAGCTCTACCCCGCGAACTCATGAAAGATCTCCCAGAAGCTGCGCCTTATGAGGCAATGGCAGAAATAGAAGTTTTGCGGCAACCAATTGTGGAAAATCGCCAGCTTGCCGCACCTGTTGAAATGGTATTTTCAATGAAGGATCTGTCGAAAACAGAGGATGTGTCGTTTTCTGATAAGAGATTTTCGTCGTTAAAGAAAGATCCAACCAAAAAGAAAGAGCCAACCAAAAAGAAAGATCCAACCAAAAAGAAAGATCCGCCAAAAACGAAAGTCTCAACTAAAAAAAAAGGTCTAGCAATAGAATGTCCGCCTGAAATAAAGTTTGTGCATACGCCAGTCTATGCAACTCTCGCAGAATACATAAGTGAACGTGGGCATCCGCAATCGCTGTGCATCTACCACAATGCAATCTGGGATAGACAACCAAGGTCGAAGCCACAAATGGCAGAGTGGCTGATATCAATCTCCAGTATTCCTGGATCTCGATCTTTGCATCAGAGAGAGCTTTTTTACTGGTTATATAAAGCACCAGAGAACAAAGGTCAAACGACTGTAATAAATCGCAATTGCAAGGTCGTCAAGAATGCAACGCCCTTTGGGAGATATTTCTCTATGTGTGACGTTGAGGACAAAGGGGTGCACTCGCACAAACCGACACCGACGCCAAAGCTACTCGCGCCACTTACGCCTGAGGATCTAGGTCAGCTACGAATGGAACCACACAGTCAGTCCTATTTAAAGGATACCCTCCCCAGGATCGGGAATACATCCTCTAGGTATTTTACGCCAGATCAAGCTCAAGTGTGCACAAAAGGCATATTGCTTGGTATACTTCTCATCGTGAAGCAATCGCAAAAGCTTTCTATCACAACCTTGGGTATGAAAGTCTAAGGGATATCAAGACTTTTTCCTGTCTCCAGGACAGAAAGTATGACCCGCACATACTCTTACGCGTGTCAAATGTCCTAGCTATGGACATTGAAAGTGTGTCATCCAGAGGCCGATGGATCCTGCACCATACCTGTTCCGAAACAGCTAACCCATCCACTGTTCTTTCACTTATAAGGATGTTCTCCGCATGGGGGCACTTAAAGTGAATGTGGGTTTTCCTTCCTATGATGGCCTGTTCACGTCAATGGACCCTTTTAATGGTCTGAAAGGGTTTCCAAGGACAGAGTTCGAGCTTTTCATGATAATAAGATACTCGTCAACATTGAATGGAGGGTGATTACTCGAATATTGCTAAGTGTGGATATACCACAATCATAGTCGTTACTGTGCTGTATGCTCCTATTTGCTATAGAGAGTTGACACATGAGGCCGGCCCATGGCTAGTAATGTATACCCACAACAGTGCCTTTACGAGGTTTTATTGCGAGGATTTGAGACTGTTTACTGACTACAGTATACTCTTAAAAATAGATACTTTAGGTACAGAGGACGCATGGAGCTAGCAGGTGGCTAGCCTTACGTTGCATCAATCGAAAATTCCAGGATTCCAATGGTCAAACATGTTCGATCTGAAAACGATAACACGCCCGCTATAGTCAAAAACAAGCATCGTCTTATCAGACTGTAAACCAGAGAAGATAACCGAGCCCATGCTTTATCTCACACAAGAACTTGACAGGTGAATTGGGCATATTTGTTCTACCAATATCTACATTAGGTAGGTATTTACACTGATACATGTTGTGATTACACACGTACGATGCGAAAAACGTGCTTCCCGGGCTAGGGATCAGATCCAGCGCGTATGGATCATGATCACATTACTTTGCATCCCGCTTTCCCTTCGCCCATTCCCGCAATACATTCTTCTTTAGCTTTCCAGTGCTCGTCTTAGGAAGCTCCTCGACGACCTCGACCTCTCTCGGCACCATGAACTTGCTGATATCGCTCTTGTGCTTCGCCCACTCGATGACATCCTCGCCCTTCACAGACTCGCCTCCTTTGATCGTGATGAAGGCTTTCGGTCGCTCGCCCCAGTGCGAGTCGGGAACGGCGACGACCCCGACTTCGAGGATGGAGGGATGGGTCGCAAGCATGCCCTCTAGTGCGACGCTAGAGATGTTTTCGCCGCCTGCATCGTTCACTGTTAGCAGCCTGCATCTGATATATCAAACAAAGGGTTCTCAAAATAACTCACCGGAAATAATGATATCCTTTGCACGATCCAGGATCTGGATAGCACCATCGGGATGCCAAACAGCAAGATCACCAGAGTGATTCACACCGCCAGCCCATAATTTCCGCGTCGCCTCGGCGTCTTTGTAGTATCCCTTCGCACAGATATTGCCCTCGAAAACGATTTCACCAATCTCCTGGCCGTCACGCTTCACATCTATCAAGACGCCCTCGGGTTGTTCAGTTTTGATAACTCTAGCAGGTAATGACATCACGAAACCATGACCTTGCCTGGCCATCTTTGCGTACTTCTCCTTCACTGGAACTTCTTCCCATTCAGGCATGTGGTATCCCTTCGTGATGGGGCCGTACGTCTCCGTCAATCCGTATACGTGAACGGGATGCAGATTGAGATTCGTCATCTGTTCGAAGAGATGTGCGGTTGGTGGGCTAGCAGCGACGGTGACGCGGACAGGTCTATCGAGCTTCTCTGCCTCCTTCGCAGCACACAATAAGGTGTTCACCGTCGGTGCTGCATTGAAGTGGGTAATGTTCTCCTCCTTCAACAGCCTCCAGATCTCGGGATAATCGATCTTTCGCAAACAGTAGTGCGTGCCACGGACGGCCGTGACAGCCCAAGGAAACGTCCAGCCCGTGGCATGGAACATGGGGAGCGTCCAGAGATAACCGCACCGTCCGGTGTGGTAGTTGAGCCCAGACTCGATCACGTTACCGACAGCCGCAAGATAGCATCCTCGATGGGTATACTCGACACCTTTTGGCCTCGCGGTCGTGCCGCTCGTGTACGCGAGCGCAATTACGTCTTCTTCATTCTTCGCTTGCGCCTCCAAGCCTGCCCACGCCTTCCCGCCCGTCTCTCTATCATACGTCAACCCCTCCAACACCGCATCGTCGAACGGTCCCGACAATTGCCCCTCCGTCGCATCGGTATCCATATCAACGAGTACGGGAACATTCGGCCTCGCCTCTTTATACGCCCCCAACAGGTTCTCGAACTCGAAATCCGCGATGATGAGATCGACCTCGGAGTGCTGGAAGATATACGAGATGTCGTCCGTCTTGAGACGATAGTTCACGGCGACGGACACGGCGCCCGCGGCGGCGATGCCGAAGATGGACTCGAGGAACGCGGGCGTATTGGTGCTGAGTATGCCGACGCGCTTGTAGCCGTGCTTGCGCAGGAAGTATGCAAGTCCGCGCGCGCGGTCGGCAGTCTCTTGGTACGAGCGGCGGAGGATTTTGTTGTTCGCGGTTACGTGGTATATCGCAGTAGCCTGCACAGATTCCAGTCAGTGAGATGCACAATTGTGAACATTCGTGACAGTGTTCCACGCCAATGCGCCGCAATCCTTCACATATTTGCTCTGGATACCGGATGGAAAGAAAGTGAAAGCCATTGCGACCGTCAGCTCACATACCTCAGGTTCAATTGCCGCAGCACGTGGCAGAAAGCTCGTGGGGCTCAACGTATGGAAATTATGTCTGTGGTGGTATTCATGGCTGTCGCCCTCCTGCACGACTGGATCGCCTGGCACGGGCGAGGCCGACGTGAAATGCGACGCGAGCTTCTGGAGACGATCTAGTGGAGACATCTTTCGTCGAACTGCCGGGGAAGGGGAGAACAATCGCGATGTAATGGATTCAATCAATCCTCTGTGACGACAAAAGCTCGGGGGAGCTATTTGTGGGGGATGTGCAATGGTTCGAGTCCAAGTCAATCAATGCTGGGATTTGGATATGATGGAATATAGATACCCTTCTAGGTAATGAACGATCAATAAACAGTCTACCGACTTAGAGAAGCGGAAAATAGGAAATCAAATATTTGGTACAGGAGAAATGCGAATTGTACAGACGGAAGAGTTCGTGTTGTTGAAACAAGAACGAAAACCTGGGGTAGAGAGAGATAGGTCTGGCGGATGTAGGGGCGGGCGGGGAGAGCGATGACGAAAAGCCGAGGTCAAGCGGGATTGGCCAAGGGGAGAGGGAAGGATGTCGGAGGGTGATGGGGCTCCCCCCGACATCCTCACGAATAAATCCCCTCTGGTGAGATGATGGTGAGGATAATATGATGATGGTGATGATGATGATTAGGGGAACACAAGACTGTTGGAAGGGTGAATGGCAGACACACGTGATGAAGGCAGAGAAAATGACGACAGGGTAACCACCATACGGCGACACAAAAAGACGTTAGGTTGTGGAATGGGAAAAGTCCACTTGGAATTTCTAAAAATCGACAAGACTATAACGCCATCACGACATTACATACCAAAGACCATGCAAGCTCTGAGTTTTTTTCATTTCTTCTAGCCGTTAAAAAGAGAATATCAGAGACGTTTGCCCGAACCTGAAGAGACCCATGAACGTGTGAAGCAGTCGTGTGCCGATATGCTCATCTTTTTGCCAGGAAATCATTTCGAATGGTGGTCGGATATATGATTGAGGTTGAATGAATCCCATGAGACCAATGCAATTCGCGCCGACCCACGTCAACCTTTGGACACCCCGCCCTTTTCTATTCACCCCCAGCGAACAACGCTTAGTATCCGTACTCAGCAAGCTGCTGCTTGACCTTTCCGTCAACCTTGGCGGTCTTCTGGGCCTCGCTCAACTGCCTTCGGGCAGCCTTCTTGCGCTCGTAGTATGCGGCACCCTTGACTTTCCTTCGCTCCTCGAGCCTGCATCAACCATGTTAGTAAAGACCAGTTGCATATCCAACACGTGTGTGTACGTACCTGGCAACAACATCCTGGTACTTCCAGCCGAACTCGTGGCCGAGACGACCAACAGTGCAGTACTTGCGGCCGGGCTTCAACCTGAGGATACGGAGAGCCTGGGGAACGACAAGGCGCTTCTTCTTGTCGTATGGGGGTGGGACACCGTCGAAAGTCTTCAGGCGCTCAAGAGCGGCGGCACCACGGGCGGTCTTGTGGGGAATCATGCCACGGACGGTTCGCCAGAAGATCTTGGAAGGGGCGCGGAAGTGGAAGGGACCTGAGAATCGAATGTTAATTATCCAATTTCCATGTATGATTTTTGAGCTCCATTTGTGCGGAGCGGAATTCCGAATTACTTACCTCCACGGGTGGGGTTGTAACGAGTCTGCTTGCGGAGGAAAGCCTGGTACTTTACTGTAATCGAATTTTTGTCAGTGTCTGTTGGTACAAAATTGAAGCTCGTCCTGGCACGCGTGAGGATGTCGAGTGTGATCCATCTCAATCCAGCACCTTCCCCTTCAGGATAAATTCTCCAGTGCAATATGCCCAGGGCAAAATTGATCTTTCTCAACTTCCTCGACGCGTGCTCGATTCTCGGGGATGGTGAACGTACGCTTTGCTCGGAAGAACTCGCCAGAGATGTTGAGTGCCTCGCAGCGCACAACAACGATCTTCTGTCCGTTCAGCAGCTGCTTCGCGACCGTAGAGGCCAGGCGACCAAGAAGGTGACCCTTGCCATCGATGACCTGCCAGACAAATCCCAATGTCAGCCAAAGTGTTCCAATGTTGTAATTCGAAAAGGTTTGTGCGGAGCTGCAAATGACGATACAGACTGCATCGTCAAGTGCCCGGCGGAGTTCTCAGGATTCATGCTTGGAGTATTCACGTACAATGACCGGCTCGAAGGTCGACATCGTGCTTGATATGGGTTGAGGTGGTGCTGTTGTTAGTATGGGGGTCGGGAGAGGTTGAAAACTGAAAGTGTGCGCTTCCCTTAGGTGACATCCTCCTAACCGAGTAGTGACTAACGCAAAGCGGTAAGCGCGACACAACGATTTTGTTAATGATGAACACAGAAATAACAGCAGGAGGAATAATTCATTGAAACGAAGGCAGCATCGATGATATTTCTCAGATTTTCAATCGTTTCAATTCAAATGAAAGAGATTCATCATATAGATTTCGCAATGATAGGCACCAAGAGCTGATTCTGCGATTTCTTCTACAGAATCTGAATTCTCTGCGCAACCAGCAAGCTGATCTTTAGCCAAGCTGATTTCACATTGCCTGCAATGGTTCATTCGTGCCTTCGTCCCGAATGAAATCAAGAAGGCATGACCGGTAAACTTGTTGCAGATTAGCTGACTCTGCAATGCTCGAATGTCATACGTCCTTACCACTCTCAACCCAGAAAAATCCATGCATTCGTGCTTGTGGCCCGCCTCCAAAGTTACGAGCAACTATCGCCTGCAACCTTAGTTCTGCGTGGAATATTCACTCTGAGTGGATTGCCCATAGCAGGCTCATCTTGCTTTCCCTTTACCTGTGTTTCGTCCACGTTGGCGAACTTGAGGTCACCGTTCTTCTATGCAACTATCCACACCATTTGCATTCGCACTGCTGCACCTGACATTCATATTAGTGGTTGACCACTCAATATTGATAGGTGTATCGCACCTATATCTCACCTCGTCATTTCGCCAGTGACTTTGCTCCCAGATGAACACACCTTTGCGCATAGCTTTTCTTTGGGCTGTCCCGCTTTCCCAATGTTCCATCGAGCAAGTGAAGCATAGTCGTCATAAAACGCAACAGCGTGAACAACGAAATCTAGAGGCACCGAAAACGTGACGAATGCTTCGATTAATCTATTCTCATCAACACATCGAATAGCTGAAGGTAACGGAGATTGTTTCAACAAAGAGCTCATTACAATACCCCTGGGAGTGACGAGGAGACCCGGATCACTGACGGCTGTGTTAACAAATGTCCCTTGTTCCACTTGGGCATTCTCGAGGAGACAATTTCCACTAAATGGAAGTGTTTGATGCACATACGTTAGAAGATGTTGGCAACCGCGCCACACCAACCGCATTCCATCAAGGACTACCAGTCAGAGACAACACAAATGCCATTTTCAAGCAGTGATCCCCGGGCAAAGTATCTTCAGATCCCTGTTCCACTTGCGTTCCCCGAACAGCCGTATCTAGGTTGCTTGTTGAGCTTCCTATTTTCATGACTTGGATCCAGTTTTCTCGAAGTGGGAAACCCGGAATCGTCAGCGTTTGTAACGGAGAGAGACATACAGTTCAGACAATCTTAGGTAGCATCTTCTTTTTCCAACAATACTGGAGGATTATGAAGACCTGCAAGCAAATCGTCTTACATATCACACTGGGTATCAATAGCAGGGGGAGGTCATTATCTCTCATGTTTTCGACTTAACATGCGATATCCCCACGTCTGGCATGGAGACAGAGGCCATTCGCTCCTACGAGACACTGCGGAGTCACATACCAAGTCTCGCTCGTCACACTTCTTGACGTTCGCAGCCCTATTCAAAGCACTTCTGGATGCATGATTCACAGCCATAAACCAAAAATTGAAGATGCTATCGTCTCATATTGATTATTTAATGATGTTCTGATGCCATCGTATCTGGCCTCACTCGAATTGAGGTCTGTTGAGTGGATTTACCTCGAGGAAGCGCGTGTGTGAACTGTGCATTCGACGGACGGAACACATGGACGTGGGGTTGACCAGCGTTACGATTTGTGAACGTTGCGAATCCCGATGCAAGACTTTGGGGTATGACAGATTTGAACAGACCGTCTTCTCGATTCTCCCGGCTGTGGTCGTGTTCGAACAGGATACTGCGCCGTGACGCATGCAAATGTGCAACAAGCCTTTGCTAGGAAACAACACAATCACGGAATCTTAGGTATCGGCGCGGAATTTGTGCACCGTTGCTTTGTTCGAGTTACGGTGATAGCTATCAAGGCAGCGTGAATGGTCTGGAGCGGTCGCCACGAATTGAGAGGGGACTTGGTAGCCAGTATCGGCCAGGGCACATCCATCATTACTCGAAACACTTCCCAGACGAGTCTTGGTTGAGAGGAGGGGGTGGGGTTCAAATCTACAGTTTCTAAAGCTCCACCTTTGCATGACGCCCGACCGTGTGTGGCTCGTGTTATACTCGATTCCGAACGACGATGTGGCGGTGAGTGTGGCACCCTTGCTCGATTAGCATGCCAGCGACCCGCAAACCACGAGCGACGATGATCGCGGATTTCCCTTTTAGTGACCGACGCAGTGTGCTTCCCTAGTGTTTATCAGCATGACGCCACTTCTATCGGTCCGGAGATTGAGGCGAGTGCAAGGTCAAGCCTCAAATTACTTGGCCCAGCCTATCAGAGAGGATCACTTTGGCTGCTTCCAACGACTCCACGAGGGAGGGGATCGTGATGAACCCAATACGTAATAATGTGTAGCTATCATGACGGACAGAGTGTCATCAATTGGAAAGCCACCGTGGCTTAAGCGAGTTGAGCCATTGGAAGACTGTGGAGCCAAGCTAGAATCTTGGCCGGTTGGCGATTGTCAACACTAAACTCAGGCTGAGACTTTAGATTCCCTTGACGACATGTTAAGATTTGGCATAGACAGAACGAGACGCCGAGCTGCCTCGGTGAGACATGCATGGTTAGTTGATACTACTGGGTCGATTACCAACAACGATCAGACGATGGGGAAGCGTCCAGCAAGCAAGGATGAACAAGGGTGCAGCCAAAAGCGTGCAACATGAACCTGACTCTGTGCAAGAACTCAACTTGCCCAGCCCAAGAGTTGAGAATTTCCGCCCTCAAGGAATAACATCCCTGGGCTCCGACTTTAGTCCGACCAGCAGAAGATGCAGCGTGAAGTCGAGCTGTGTGCGCTGGACAACTGTACGGAGTATAACGAACGAGCAAACTGGCAGATGGATCTTTCTCTCTCGCCGAGGTTATCATTCCGAATGGTATAGAGGTCAGCCTGTGTGCAGTCCTTCTTGCTGACATGCTCGTACAGTGAAATAAGAGGACGCAGCTCGCATCGAATTGTTTCCTGCCTTCTTGGGACATCCGAGTATTGATTGGAAATATCTAGCGGGCCAGCGGACCCACAGATGTCTTTTGACTTTTGGGCTTTCCGGACATTTTACCGACAAGCTTCTTCTGAGAACGAACAAAGGGCGCTTGCTCATTTACTGGGCACATATTTAGGTCGTAAATCTTTTGATTGCACGATGTCGGGTGGCCCGACAAGGAGCATAAGCAAATTAAGACCTATGAATAGCTCGATACGACGTTTCGATGAATCTCTGGGTGGAAGAGTCAAGTCTGTCTGACCTTCCCACCGACTTACGTCAAGGCAAGTAGCACTGGATTCCGCTCGTAAAGCGTATCCAAAGAGCGTACGGAGTACCTGCAGTCCGAGCCGAGGGGATGAAGTAATTAGTTACCTACACACAGTAGGGCATTCCCTCGATCGAGGGTGACGTTCCGGACGAAGACAAGAATGTGACCAACCCTACAGGGTCCAGCGTATTACACCAGCCCCCTCTCGTGGAAGAAGTGGCAGAATGTGGCAGAATGTGGCAGACGCTAGCCCCGGATAAACTGCCTTCATTGGACTGCATGCGTGGCTTGAGAACGTTTAGTGCTCGGCCGGCCTGCTCAGACGATACACACCACAGCAAAGGTCCAGGAAAGGATGAAGAAAGGAAACCAGTGACGGCCCACGATCTTGGCATTCTCTGCCACACGAGACCTGAGCCTCAGTTGCGACCAATACACGGGCGGGTCTTGTTTCCGGTGCCGATCTTCTGCCACAAGCAGGCCCCCTGAGAGCGCGTGCAGCCGGCGAGGAAGTCGATAGCGAGGCCGACCCCATTCATTATTGCACAGTAGCAATTAGTGCAGGCAGTTGGACAAGAGTTTGGTCGGCCTTCGGTGTCTTCGACGAAGGTTTGGCAGCTGGCTCCAAGGTCGTCGGAGGGCAGCGGAGCGTGAGGTGATCCTCCGCCATTGTGTGTCCGCTGCCATGGCTGATTTTTTGCTTGGTGCATCTCTGGGCAGAATGCTGGACAACACGCGGCGCATACCATCCACCATGCCCGTTTGTACCCTCCCCTCTCCTGCGGGACAATGATGAGTTGGTGTGGCGTCGAGCCGGGAAGAATGAACTCCTCTCTCCGCCGTGCCGCCTGGGGGGAGGGATTCAGGGAGGGGGAATGGGAAGGGGGGAAACCAGGCCAGGGTTACTGGTATTGCTGGTGGCCTTGGTACAATGTGCAAGCCCCAATTGTGGCCTTCATACCACCTCATGCGCCTCGGGCACAGCCCAACACAATGCGACGAAGCGCCACAGCATGCAGATAAGCGAAGACTGTTAGCTCTTCACTCCTTGGCATACGTGGGTTCCTCCAACTACTAAACTACCTTTTCCTGCGCGCCCTGGCATCAAATGCTGTTGTGGTCTGCGAGCAGATGCATCTATGGTGCGAGGGTTGCACTGGGAATGACGACGCCTGCAGCGCGCTCAATCAAAGTCCCATATCGTGAACCCCCAATGCTGCCACTGGGCTGGCTTCTCTTGATTCTGAGTTGGGAACCTGGGACCATGCAGTGGACCGAACCCGCAATGGCTAAGCGGAGCAAAGGCCAAAGGGCAGATGCCAAACGGCCTGAACAGGCCACAGACGCTTTGCTCTTCTCCCACATTCAAACTCACGCTCACCCTGGCGGCGTCATCGCTCGCTCTTTCGAATCTTGTGCCCAGCGACACCTTGTCGCTAGCCCCCTCGCTCTCGTGCGGCGCAGGCGAGCATAACATTACAATAGACCCATATGGCGGCGGTAGACTATTTCTTGTTCACACCAAACAGTCCCAAGAGCGGGAGACGACCGCTCATAGAGTAACGCTAAGACTTCCTAAGACTCCACTCACAATCCTAATCCTGTGACCTGACGCTGCTATCCACTCTTCGCCCTTCCCACCTCCCTGCTGTTCGTTTTCACTTCTCCGCGTCGCTGACTCAGGCATGCTGTTCATCTCTTGCATTTCCTTCTTAGCCTTTGCCCTACCCACTTCAATGTTTCCCACCTGTGCACCGCCATGGACTCTCCAGCCTCAGAGACTGTAGATGTCCGTACCACAGGCTCTGGCAACCAACCTAGTCAGTATGGAAGCCCTCAACTCGAGGATTCTCCAGAGCTCGCCGATCAGAACTCTCCCAGCAATGAGGATGATGCCGACCAGCCACAGAAGCCCACCATTGCTCCTATGCAAAAGCGCCGTAGAGTGACTCGGGCTTGCGATGAGTGCAGGCGAAAGAAGATCAAATGTGACGGCAAACAGCCTTGCACTCACTGTACTGTTTACAGCTACGGTGCGTCTCCCTCGCACTCCTCTTTCCGCCAAATCATCCTAATTGATGCGCGCCACATACTGACGTAGCCAGAATGCACTTACGATCAACCATCAAACCGACGACGCAATGCTGCGCCTCAGTATATTGAAGCCCTGGAGACGCAATTGAAGCGTGCTAAGACGCTTCTGGCCATTGTCTTTCCTACTCTTGACTTGAACGATCCCGCTCTCGATGCTCACCTACAGAATGGTCTCCTTCCCCAATTACCCATGGGTGGCCCTCGGCCACAGCAAATTCCCCTTGATCCTCGTATGCAGCTTCGCCGCGAGGACCAGGCCCGTACAGACATTGGAGACTCGCACCTCGAATCCATGGTGAAAGCCACTGGTCAACTAGATCTGGACGAGGATGGCAATTGGGATTATCATGGCCACTCTTCCGGACTGAGTTTTATGAGAAGACTGCAACAGCAGTTTGGTGACGTAATGCCTACACCCTCTTCCGCAGCTTCATCGCCGTTTGCAAAGTACCGGCCGATGTCCCAAGTTTTTGACTCTCCCAACTCTAATCATCAATCCCCTGGTGCCGAGTCGACAAGTAATGCTTTACCTGCTGGAACAGATTTACCGTCCAAGAAGGAGGCTAGGATACTCTGCGACAATGCTTTGATCGATGCTGGCGCTCTGCTGAGGGTTGTACACATACCCAGCTTCTACAAATCCATGGATCGCATATACGAGACAACTCCAGAAAACTACGGAAATGCGGAGAACACTTTTCTCCCACTTCTCTATGCAGTTCTTGCATTGGGTACTCTCTTTTCTAAGCGGGGGGCAGATGTTGACGAAGTAGGGTATGAAGCTTCTATCGACGAAGGGTAAGTTGCTAGACACACGATTTTCCCCTATTGAATCTAACATGTCGGTAGTTTCAAGTACTTTCGAGCCTCGCGTCAACTTTTGGATATCGCCGATTGCCGTGATTTGACATCGTTACAAGCCATCATTTTCATGATTCAGTTCCTACAATCCTCCGCGAAGTTGTCCACATGTTATGCATATATTGGAGTGGCGTTGCGGTCAGCGCTGCGCATGGGTCTTCATCGTTCGTTCAACGTGAATTTCAACCCAATCGAGGCCGAGATACGGAAGCGTTTGTTCTGGACAATTCGCAAGATGGATATATACGTGGGCGCAATGCTTGGACTGCCCAGTTTCATCAGTGACGAGGACATCGACCAGGAGTGGCCCGCGGAAGTGGACGACGAATACATCACAGAAACAGAGATAAGGCCCATGCCAGAGGGGAAAATCTCGGTAGTTGCAGCGTCAAACGCTCATACGAAGATTGTGGAGATTCTCGCCAAGATCTGTCGATACGTGTATCCCATCAAGGGCACACAGTCGGGAGGCAACAACTCGGTGACATACTCTGTCAGCTATTCCAAGATTAGGGAGATCGAACAGGATCTCCAAAGGTGGCTCGAGGCGTTGCCTATGGCCCTTCGACCCGGTGGAGAGGCGCCATCAATCATCATTCGGTATGTTTCCGTCTTTTCGAACTACAAAACCATGGAGCTAACTTGTTCAAGAGTCCAACAGTTGCTGAGAATGGCTTATGGCCACGCACAGTTGTTGTTGTATCGTCCATTCCTGCATTACGTTTCTCAATCATTTACTTCGAAACCAGTTGACCAACGAGCTTTTGCTTGCGCAAATGCCTGCACCAGTGTTTCGCGAAACATCATTCACATCACAGTAGAAATGAAGAGATCGGGGCTGCTCATTGGAGCATACTGGTTCTCCATGTACACCACATTCTTCGCCATCATCTCCATCCTGTACTTCGTTTTGGAGAATCCTAGCAGTCCCACCAGCCACGAGTTGCTCAAGGAGGCAATGGAAGGGAAAGAAGTGTTGGCGCAGTTTGCTAAACGCAGTCTAGCTGCTGATAGGTGTACCGCCACATTGAATGTACGTGGCTTGAAAACTCTTTTGAAACGAGGCTAATGACATGATTGCAGACTATTTTTGAGCGACTTCCCGAAGCAGTCAAACAGGGTGGAGAGGCAATCGGTTCCAAGAAACGCCGCCAAGGTAGTTCGCCCCAGTCACTACAGAGTCGACCAAATCTCCTCAAGCAGGACGACTTCATTGCTGGCGGTATTCGCCGTGCCAGCACGTTCCCCGAGACAATGCCCAGCAGCAAACGTACTACAGCGCTCCCCATCTCGCATGCCCATCTCGCAAATTTGGGCATGGAACCTACCTACGGACACTCGCCGTCACAGTCGAGTTCGGATTTCTTTGATCCCGCTCCCAGTCTTACGCCTTCATCTAGCACTACCAGTGGCATTGGAGGCTTTGGCATCGCCCCCACTCACACCCCTCAGCAGAGACAGTCTTTCCCAGCCACACCCATGGGCAATAGCTTCGTCGATCCATCCGGCATCAATGTGCCGTTGTCGGATGTCAATGCTATGATGTTCCCCTCTGCAGACCCATTCGCATACCCCAATCAGCCAATGACCACATTTGAGAACAACCATCCTCACGAATTCAGGGTAAAGCAAGACGCATCACCGCGTGTTGCTGGGTTGCCGTACGATGTTCCCGTAATGAAGTCACACCCAGCCGGCTACAGCCCAGCTGCGCTTGCAGGTCTTTCCATGGGACCTAGGCGCCCGAACGAGGACGTGCAGCTCTTTGGCCCAATGCCCATGTACTTGATGCATGGCGCTCAGCTTCAGGGGCAGCGCGGGTTTCACCCACCTCAGCCTCCGCAACCGCAGAATGTTCAAATGACTGGCACTCCGGAAGGAGGCAACATGAACTTTGACGATCTGTTTGGCGGAGAAGAATGGGCAAGCACCTTCATGGATCAGAGCATGGGCTTGAATGCTGGTGGTACCGGCTATGCAGGTGGCAATTCCCGCTTTGTTCCAGGAGGTCCGAACTGGCCTCGTTGATCGCGCTATTGCTGCAGTAGACGGTTGGGCAACGAAGGAGCGCCGCCATGTTCTAAAGTACTAACTATTATGAATCCGCTGATATTAGCGGCGAGCATTGTTTCACGAGTTTACGGAATTGGATTTGACCAAGACAAAAGATACCCCTACTTTCATGTATCACACCAGGCTGGACCCGAAGCGAGAGAACAGGCCCTTCTCCTCGCCGATAAAGTGTTTAATGCCGGCCAGTATTCCGTTCTAACTCATGTCTTTCTCTTATCAATCAGGCCGACGTCATGGAGATCAAACTCCACCTCTCCGCCCAAAAGGAAGACCTCTTCAAGATTGTATTATGTTTTTGGGCATATGATTTCTCTCGACCGTTACGAGTTTTGTCTCATTACTTTTCTAATCTCTGTTCCGCAACGTTTGATGATGATGGGAAGATACCAGCATACCGAGCATTTTCTTTTGGCGTATGCATGGGTCGATTTGATCCCACAAAATTTCTCCAGTTCAGTGGGCGTTTTTCTTATGTTTTTCTAAGCGGTGTAAGGCGAGTTGGCGCGGATTGAGGATGGCAAATGATAGGCAGTCTCAAGACTGCGTGCACATATGGCAGATGAGCGAGATGAATCTTCCAGCATGGACTGTACATGTACATACATTGCTACACTCAGAGATACAAAATGACCAAATCCGAAACAAAGAATATATTACAAGAAGCGATTCTCCTACTGCAAGTGTGATTTTATGGTGACATAGGGACGATATATCAGAAAGACGACGGCAGTACGATATGGAATCTCAACAACAGTGAATTCACATTCGTTGAGTACCAGTCCGTACTCCATTCTCGTCGCCGTACTCGCACTGACGGTTCTCGGTCTCCCCAGCCAGTTCGGAATGATGTTGTAACAAGCTTGTGGCTGTGAAGCATACCCGCCCACTGGCGCTTAACCCGTTACCCCAACCGTGCGGCGAACAAAGTATGGCTGGTGAGGAGAGTGGCCGTGGTGGCATCCTTGGAAAATACCGCATTTTCCCATAATTTTAAAAACGTGGTTTGGCTCAGCCATCAGCCCTATACAGATCTACCAACCGAAGGGCTACACCTGCCCAAATAGACTCCCACATTGTCTGTCTCTAATTTCACGCTTCCCCCTTCCTTTGCCCCTCCGCCCCGTCGCCGTCGCCGCCGCGCGCGCCCAGTGTGGCAGTGTAAAAGACTTCCACCCCCTTCAACAAAATATCCCTCATTGTCTACCAGCTTTTCCTCTCCGCTCGAAATAATTGCACTAACAGACCAAGAAGGTCTTTTAATTTTCCGCTCCGCCCCGCCGTTCCCAGAAAGACAAAACACTTTCATTCCTTTCCGATCCCCGCCATCACTTTCCGACCAAACACCACCACCAAACCTAGTCATTAGTAGGAAAGAAAAACCACGCCCAACCCAACAACACTCCCCCAAGATTCCAACCAAAATTCCCCTCAGCAGAGCATCAGCAGCCCTCAAGGCAGCAGCAGCAGTCCGTGCCAGAATGTCCGGTCGAGGCGGCAGCGGAAGAGGTGGTGGTGGTCGCGGCGGAGGTGGCCGCAGGGACATGCCGCGCAACCAGCAGATATCGCGGGCGTTGAGTCGTCTCTTGCGGCATTCCGCGCAGCAGGAGGGACTGACGCTGGGGAAGGGCGGTTATGTATCTGTTCAAGACGTCGTGAGTGCTGCACCCCGACCCATTACCTTAATGTCTCCAGTTTCTGCGAAGGGAGATGCTTCATCTTTGTGCTGTGTTTGCTGCCTATTCCCCCTCCCACCACACAGTCATATAATTTCAAAAGAGTAGGAAAATCATAGGTAACAGACAACTAACATCCCCCTGCCATCCCAGCTCAACACCCGTCCTTTAAAATCAATCAAAGCCACATTCTCCGACATAAAAGAAGTCGTCGCCGAAAACGACAAACAGCGCTTCTCCCTCATCCCCGTGTCGTCATCATCATCCCTTGACGACGCCTCCACCACCCCAACCCCAATCCCGGAAATAGAATCCGACCACCCATCCGACTACCTCATCCGCGCCAACCAAGGCCACTCCATAAAAGTTGACACAGACGGCCTCCTGAAGCCTATTACCCGGGACCTCGACAACATCCCCGCCGTGTGCGTCCACGGCACCGACGAGCGCGCGTGGGACGCCATTCTGCGCGCTGGCGGCTTGAACAGGATGACGAGGAATCACATTCACTTTGCGTCTGGGTTGCCTGCGGGGTTTAAGAGCGTGGTTGTTGCTGCGGACGGGAAGGGGGAGGAGGACGGGGAGGTAGCGCCGCCGGTCATCTCGGGGATGAGGAAGTCTAGTACTGTGCTTGTGTATGTGGACATTGAGAGGGCGATCGACGAGGGGATTAAGTTCTTTGTGAGCGAGAATGGGGTTATTCTTTCGGAGGGCGATGAGGGTGGGTTTGTGCCGACGAAGCTTTTTAAGAGGGTGGAGAGGAGGACGAGGGGGGGTGGCGTGCTTATGGTAGATGGGAAGGTGCCGGAGGGGACGGTCGTTGATGTCGAGGCGTGGAAGAAGGATATTCAAGAGTCGAGTGGCGGGAGGAGAGGTGGTAGAGGAGGAGGACGTGGAGGGAGAGGTGGAGGTAGGGGTGGACGAGGTGGTAAGGCGAGAGTGAACGATGATTCGGGCGACTTGCTCGCTGGGGTTTAAGTCATGCTGGTTCAAGAAAGCAAAAATGCATCAAGATACGATATGTTGCGCTATGAAACAATATAGAACTGCCGACTCAATATGAGCATCGTTCTCACGATGAGAATTGCAGCGAGATCATGTTCTACGAAGTTTGCATATCCAGCCCAAGTAGGCTGGTACGAACAAGAGCATCTAAGAGCACACTGTGTGCATTATCTATGAGTATTTATCTACATGTTTTCATTGGGAGTTATCGACTTTTCAATTTTCCACACACCATGGATCCAAAGCTGATGACATTAAACAGAAGTAATTGCCTGCCTCCCACAACGCCAGTTTATCGCCCCCTACACTGAGGAGCATAAAAGGCTTCCCAAATCAACGATCGTCTAGAATTACATTGGGAAACGAACAAAGGCTTTTGTGAAAACCCGGCTCCAAAAAGAACACTGCTGGAACGATGGTTCAGTCTTCGTCGATCTTGCGTGCAAGCCTGCCACGATACTCACCGTAACTACTGAATCATTTCAAGAGTCAAGAAATTCAAGCAATTCAGCGAGTCGTTCCGCAGTGAGCCTCGGAATTTCTAGGAATCTAGTGAATGAATCATCTGTACTCGAGTAAGAATTACCGTTGTACTCAAAGTATCATCATTCATGTTAGTTCCTACCATCATCCCTTTGACCACCCCCAATACCCAGTATATCTATTTCTTCTCTGGTGAGAAACGGCGGCGCACCATCATCGCTAGACCCGAAGTGAAGGGTGTATGGATCCGGCGAGTATAACGGATGATCATCGCTGAGGCTGAAGGGATCTGTCGGATGGAAAGGTGTCTGGAAGAGAGGAGGCTGGGGTAAATCCAGCGTGCCACCCCCTATGGCACCGCGTCTGGTCCTTGGTCGCATAGTCGGTTCCGGGCTAGTATCGATGACAGCAATCGAGCCCGTCTTTAGGTTTTGACGCCAGTAGATCCGATCGATGTTTGGGCGCTCGGGGTCTCTAAACAGTACATGCTTGTTCGCGATATACAAGCGAAGCTCGTCAAGTTCCACCATCAGCTTCGAATATGTGTCAAAACCCAACTCACGCATGTAGTAGCACAGTCTAACAGCCTCAGCGACTGTAGGACATCCGTCTGGTGAGATCCTCTCAGTCCAACTGTGGGCCTGTGCTTGGCTGAGGTCTTCCGCTGCGGAGTGCTGGAGGTACTGCAAGATCCTGACCTGCACATGGACATATCTGTCGGAGACCGGGTTGATGGTGAGGTCGCGATTCAAAGTTCCACGATCGTCAGCGTCTCGATACGGAGTGGGAGGAAGCACCGTGGTGAGTGAGACGCATGCCAGCGACCTTAGACTTCTCAATCTCGGTTTCTTTTCATGCTTCTTAGGTGCTCCGGATTGTCTACCTTCACCTGTTTCGCCCGTGCTTGAAGTTGCCTCTGCTTGATGGTGCGGCTGATTAGACATGCTGGCTTGTTGCTGGCTTTGGAAAGATACAATAATTATGGAAGGGATGGTAAAGAAGAAGCCTGTACAGCGTCACACCGTGGGGGTGGTGTTGTGGTTGTTGTTGTTGTTGCGGTGAGTGTGGGCCGGGTATTGATTGTTTGTGGGAACGAATGAGATAAAAGTCCAGGACGGATGGACCCTGCACGAGCAGGTAAAGGCGTTTATATATATTTGAAAGCCAGAATCACTAGAAAATCGAACTGTGAAGAAATGAGCAATGATTGTAGAAAGTGAGAGAAGGATGATGCTTATCATGGGCGAAGTGAAAGTCGACGTCAGTTATGGTGATTCCATCTGATGTCTTTTGGCAGTTACGACTCAACATCTGTCGTCCACCGCTGGAAAAGAGCAATGAGGGCGAGACGATTTCATGTAGTTTCGATATGACCGTTCAGGGACGCATGTGAATTTCAGCACTGTTTGATATATTGCTCCGGTAATATTGTGCATGCCTTTTTTTTCCTTTCCACACGGCCCCAAGCAAACACCTCCGGAAGATCATATCATGAGATGATCTACGCACGTGGAGCTCCCTCAATAGCTCCATCGGTATTGAGATTTATCTTTCCCACGCGCGCGGCCCACCCTCGACCTTTCCCCGTTGGCTCATCGTGGAATCTGTACGCAGCGCCCGGACGTTCACACATATAACCCGTACTTGATTCTACAAGTCGAGCCCTCATTACGCGTACACTGAGCGGACCACTAGGTGACGATGCAGTAGCTTCCCATCGAGCTTACTTCTGAAAGAATATCATGATGTTGTAATCAGCCAATCAGGATGGACAGATGGAATGCCAGAATAATCAAACGGCCCTGTTTGTCGGAAGAAACCATCTTATTCATCTCAGAACTCCAGACGGATAGTCTCGGCGAGGATATACTGGTGGAAGTGGTCTCTGACTTCTGATGAATATATCGATGGGGGTTTGGGAGAAGTTCGTTGAGGTATAGAGCTGGTGTCTCACTTCTATGTGTTGTGGAGATTGGGTTGCGTTACTGCTTGAGGTAATATTGTCAGAGGAATTTCCGTATTACTTGACAGTGAAATCTACAACCAGTAGAATGCACCAAAAAGAGAGAACGAGATGCGGTACAGTGTGACCGGATGGGTCCATATCTCATGTATCAATGTCTATAAGATATATCATTCCGTCTGCACCGAGACCCGATCGAAATGAATACCTGAAGACTACCATGACATAACAACCTATTCACCGTTAACAGCGTATGGGGAGAGTAGATGGCGCCACATGACTTTTAGTATTCGAAACTACTCTAGATAAATGACCACTTGTCGACGAACTCTACGGTTCTAAGTCTAGTCTATAGCCGCAATACTGCTCTATATACTTGACACCCAACTCCTATGCTATGCCTCAGATAACCCTTGAAATAATTCTTCCCGGATAATGCAATGCATAAGCACAGCCTCCGCTTGCCCCACAGATCAAGATCCAAATCTATAATCATTCCACTACCTCTTTCGGGTCTTGCCCTTGCTTGCCGTTGCCGTCGCCGTACTCTTACCCGTGGCCGTGCTCTTGCCCTTGGCCGGCTGCTCGATCAACTTGCGCTCCTTTTCGTTCTTCGGCTCCTCCATGCTCTTCGTGTCGCCCTTGAGCAGGAACTTGCCCACACGCTTCTGATAGATCTTGTACTCGGGATACTTCTGCGCGGAGAGGAGCTCGGTGAGCCAGGTGCTACCCTGGAAGAGGAAGAGATACCCAATGGCGCCGAAGAAAGCCCAGTTCATATAGTTCCACGTCTCGCAGCAGCTCCACTGGTACAGAGCGATCCAGAACGCCTGCTCGGCCGCGAAGTTGGGGTGGCGCGACCACGCCCAAAGGCCGGTGGTGTTGAAGCCCCTGTCGAGCTGCTCGCGGCTGTAACCGAACTCCTTGGGCAGCTGGGCGGTCTTTTGGTACTTCGACTTGGCCTGGTGGAAGTTCCACTGCTGCTGGTCGGCGAAGTATTCGATGACGACGAGGAAGAGCATTCCCTTGGAGAAGACGCTATCGTACGTGCTGATTTCGTTGTTCACGCGCCCGCAGAGCAGGAGGATGTACGTCGGGCAGGTGATCGCGAGAAGGAGGAGCTGCCCATGTTGTCAGTGTCGGCCCGCGCGGAATGAAGGAGGGGATGTCATACGTTCTGCAACAGAGCGATGAAGACGACGTTGAGTACAAACATTGGGATTGAGCCGATTTTTGCCTTGACAATCGCCCAGCGGTAGTCCTCAGAGCCGATGGTATAGCCGCCTTTTCGCCAGTAGTTGAACGTCAACCTTGCACCCCACAGAACGGTCACGGCCATGACATGATCGACTTTGTGCGTGGGGAGGCCCGAAAGGTGTGCCCATAGCGCATAATGGCAGTTATACAGCACAGGGAGAATACTCCACAGCCGATCGACCTGGGAATAGTTCTTGTTGATCTCCGATACGATCAGGACCACGACGCTGTTGAAGAGAGCAAACGCTAGCGACGTGACGAGAGGATTGGTGGTGAGGTAGATGTGTTTCAGAGCCTCGAGATCATTGTAATGTGCCAGTAATTGGTGCGGTAGCTCGTACAATTGCGGGATGTACGGGGCGACGGTCTTAGAGAAGTCGGCGCAGTCGGACAAGGACTTGACGTTGGGTATGGTAGGGGCGCTGAATTGCGGCGCCAGGAAGGACATGGTTGCGGCGGTGGGTGGTGATGATGGGTGAGGGGTGGTCAATTGGAGAGCGGGTTGGGGCTGGTCCCGCTATGTACCTGTACTTGTGGTTACTACAACGACGATGGGAAGAGCAGAGCCATCACCCGAGTTGGTTGTACCGGATGTAATGAAGTCATCTGTTGGCAGGTCGATCGATCCGTTCGCTTAGACCCGGATCGAGCCAGGGAAGTGGCCTATGCCTGCCCGCTTTGGCCAGCAAAACGCGTCCTTAGAACTACAACGCGTCTTCACATGATCATCCTGACATTACCTTGTCGCACTCTGGGTCATTCATGGACTTGAGCAAACGCACAACGGCATGGGAAGGATACTGTGCGTGGCAGAGAAGCCTTCGATAGCTAAGGCAGTGGCAAACCATCTGGGTGGACAAGTTCGAGCGGTGAGTCGCTCCCATTCCATAGCATACCATCTCGTAAACATATGCGCAAAAATAGAGAAACCGACCGATATGAGGCCTATTTACTGATCAAGTACCATGACGAATGAAGGAAAGCATCCGCGGCACCCAATACATCAAGAACTACAAATTTGACTACAACTTCCAACGCTGGGGCGAGTCCTCCGTGACGTTCACTTGCGTGGCAGGCCATGTCCAGCAGCAAGAGTTTACCGACCGCTACCGCAAATGGCATGCCTGCCAACCGTCGGATTTGTTCGACGCCCCTATTCACACGTTTGTCGCTGAGGTCAGTGTCAGAGCATTCACGGTAGCAAACAGATCTTTCAGCTGATAAGCGTGACCACAGAGCAAGAAGGCGATAGCCGCCAACATCGAACAGCAAGCTAGATATGCCAACGTGCTATTCATATGGACCGATTGCGATCGCGAGGGCGAGCACATTGGAACCGAAATACGAGAAATCGCATTGAAGGCGAACAGGAACCTTGAAGTCGTGCGAGCAAAGTTCAGCAACATCGAACGAGCGTGCGTGGAGTCCTCAACAAACACCACTACTATTATAGAAATGACGAACTGATACAGAACAGACACATCATCGCTGCCGCCCGCAACCCCGTTCCACTGGACCAGGCACAAGCCAATGCCGTCTCCGCACGCATCGAACTGGATCTCCGCCTGGGAGCAGCATTCACGCGCATGCAGACGCTGTCACTGCAAAACATGATCCCACAGCAGGGCGAGGAACGTGGCAAACTCATCAGCTACGGCTCGTGCCAATTCCCGACCCTCGGCTTCGTCGTGGACCGCTATCTGCGGGTTCGAAACTTCGTGCCGGAGCCCTTCTGGTACATCAAAGTCGTGCACGAGAAGGACGACATCAACGTGAAGTTCTCCTGGCGACGAGGCCACCTATTCGACCGGATGGCCGTGACGATAATCTACGAGCGATGCCTCATCTCGAAGACCGCCAAAGTCACCAAGATGCAGACGAAGCCGACCAAGAAGTGGAAGCCGCTCCCACTCACGACGGTCGAGCTCCAGAAGATGGGCAGTCGCTTCCTCAACATGACGAGCCAGGAGGTCATGAACGTCGCGGAGCACCTCTACACGCAGGGCTGGATCAGCTACCCGCGCACGGAGACGGACCAGTTCGACGCGGGGATGGACCTGCGCGCGCTGGTGCAGAAGCAGGTTCAAGACAGTCAATGGGGCGGGTTTGCACAGGGGCTCGTGAACGGCGGGTTCAGCCAGCCTCGCGACGGCCGCAACAACGACAAGGCGCATCCTCCGATCCACCCGGTCAACTACGTGGTCCCGAGCACGCTGAACGAGCAGCAGAGGAAGGTGTACCAGTTCGTCGTACGTAGGTTCCTGGCCTGTTGCTCGGAGGACGCGGTGGGCGAGGCTACGGATATTGAGATTGAGTATGGGGGGGAGACGTTCCACGCTCACGGCCTCACGGTCATTGCACGCAACTATCTAGACGTCTATCCTTTCGACAAGTGGGAGAGCAGCCAGAATCTGCCGCAATATACGGTTGGCGAGACGTTTGAGCCGAATGAGGCGACTATGCACGACGGGAAGACGTCGTCTCCAACCTACCTGACCGAGCCTGAGCTCATTGCCCTCATGGATGCGAATGGGATAGGCACAGATGCCACGATGGCAGAGCACATTGCCAAGATCAAGGAGCGCGAATACGTGATTTCTAGAACGAAAGGCGGAGGTGGTGGTGCAACTACAGCAAGCACTCGAGGGGGAGCAGCAGCAGGCAGAGGCCGCGGGAGGGGGAGAGGAGGACGTGGTGGACGAGGAGGTGCAGCAGCTCAGAGTGGTGGAGCATCAGGCGGAAGTGGTACCGGCGGAGTGCAGGAATTCATTCCGACGACGCTCGGAATCGCTCTGATCGAAGGATACGACAACGTGGGGATCGAAACGAGCCTCAGCAAGCCGTTCCTACGCAAAGAGGTAAGATTCCACCATCTACGACTACAGCCCATATTTTCCCATTCCTTTGTGCTTCAAGAAATGGCGTCTTATTGATGAATCCGACAGATGGAAGTCCAAATGAAGGCCATCTGCGAAGGCCGCAGCACGCGGAACGACGTGGTGCAGCAGAACCTGGATCAGTACCGAGCGATGTTCAATCGGACGACGCAACAGATCAATGTGCTCAAGGCTGTAAGCATTTCCCCCCTCGCACTTCTCTCGTAGCAAAAGCAAAGAGAAAAGCATATTCTAGAAACAGAAAATTCTTCTTCTTCACACGATGACAACAGCTGACATTCAGTGGTGGGGGATGGGGGGTTGGCTCAATCCCACCACCCCTCTCCCCTTCCGCCCGGAACACAGGCGATCAGGAAATACGTAGTCGAAGCGAATCACGGATGAGGCATATTCCACGGGGCACACGATGAGTGGACATGAGACTGGAGACTGGAAAACGAGGAAGAGAGTGAAAATCCCTCCCCCCTTCGCTACTCATCCCACAATAAACGGGTTTCAAATTCTGTGACGATGGAAATAGACAAGTGGGACGTTGCCAGTAGTAGAGCTCGTCGTAGCTTACCCATTACCCCCTCTCTGAGCTACGAATGCGTACATTGCAGCCGTATCGGGTGGAACACGTGTTGTGCGGGGTGGTGATGATGAGTTGCTTGCTAGGCAAGGCAAGGGAAGGGAATGATCCATGGGAGGTTTGGCAAGTGTCGTCCCCGGTCCCACATGTACGTGATGCCATGGAGCATATACGGTTGGCACCGGCACTATGGGCAGCGGCGGCGGCGAAGGCGACGGCGGGGGGCGGGAGCGAAGGAACGAAGAACAGATCGAAAGCAGAAAGCCAGACGGAAAGAGAGCAGCAATCATCGACATCCCCCGAAAGACATCCCCATAGGATAGCACAGGAGGGAGGGGTCTGGTTGCGTGTTGCGCTGTTTGTGGTATGTAGGGTTTTGGGTCGTCGTTTAGAGACATACCCCTCTTGTGTATGTGTGTGTGTGTGTGTATCTGGACCCCTCATTATGCGTGCGATGAGATGCTTGAGGCTGATATTGGATGCTGATGATTTGTGCCTGTCCTGTCAGCTAATGCAGCCACGCCGACTGGACCCCTCTTTTCTAGACTGTGTCGTCCATCTCCTTCTATCTATCCATTCACTTCATCAATTCATCAAGCATCGAAGCGGTTGTATGCTATGGTGATGTATATGTATGAACTCCGTCAAGACGCGGTACCTAGACAGTCATATCCGTAGTGACATAAAACCCCCCGTACTAAGAATATACATATTTAAAACAGCGCAGTAGTGGAACGAAGAAAGCATGCACGAACGATATGTTACGATGCACACGATGCAAGCGAAGCAGCACGATGACGGACAGCCCCAGCGAAGTCGGAAGAAGGCGGGGGTGGTGGTGGCCCTGCCCTCTTCTCCCAGTCCAGTCTCCACAATCCCAGCCCGACCCTCCGGCGGCGCGGGCGCGGGCACATCCAGAGGACGGGTTGGGATGGATAGATAAGGCCAATGGTGGTGGGAGCGAGGTATCATGTGGG